TTTGGATCAGCCGCCGGATCAGCCACTATGGGGCGGGTGTGGTTATCCTCCTGATAACAAGCACGGCCCGGCTTGCTCTGTTGAAGTTGTCAAGGAATGAAGCAAGTTGTCACGCAAGCTGTGCAAGTGTAACGAGAAGCTTACCGTGTTCAGCCGTCCTTCCGTCGCTTGGGCAGTAGATTGAAAGTCGGTTTTGCGTGCATATTACCTGATGACCACTTCCTTGCCCACCTGGGGTACAGTACGAGTGCCAGTTTATCGGTTAGTCAGCCTTAAAGGGAGCCGCGTATGCATGGGACAACAAGTGAGGAAAAAGCACAAAACAGCCTTCATCATCCGAGACATCTTGGTTGATCTTGATCGGTCAACACGGTGAAGTTTACCACCTCTCGCTTGGGCGAGCGCCGGATGCAGTGTTGGTGCGCTTGCCGTTGGCCAGAACGCTTGAAAGCCAAGCTGGTGACAAAGGGTTGGCGACTGCATCGTTCGCCTCCATGGGTCGGTTCGAAGGGCTGCGATCGCAACACGAGGCGGCCTAGGCCCTCTCCGATCCGATTCGCGGCCGAGAACGAGCGAAACTAACCAGTGAACGATCTGATTCTACATACGTCTTAGACGAGCCAGCGCCGTGGCTCCGGATTCGCCCGGTGGGGGGATCGGTGATTTCCACTGGGCGGCGCTTAGAGTTGAGGTGCGTTGTCGACGGGGTTCGCTGGTGAATTGAAGGTTTCTCCCGGTCGTATCCTCCTTTCCCAGGTCGTTTATGTTTCTTCACCTTCCAACCGCAACTGAGGCCAGGTATGCTGACTGCTAAATAACGCACGACGATCCGTCTTCCACCGCTGCTGAGAAGCAAGCCATTGGCAAACTTGCGCCGTGCACGGTGTGGCCAGCAAATCGGTGAGGTGATTCTTCGACCGCCCGTTCGTTGATGTCGACGGCCCGCTAAAATAATTCATCAGGACCGCTCCGGCAAGCCTGCGAATCCCGTTGCTCCGCGCTTGCGCGCCCCCCCCTCCATAACCCCTGCAACCCCCGGCCTCGCTCGCGCAGCCCCCAATTTTTATCGGTCGGCGCACAATCCAGAGCGCCGCCCGCCCATTCTGTCCGCGGGAAGGAAGAAGAGTCTTTTTGGGCCGATCCATCCTGGGTCTCCGAAATTTCCAAGTCAGGGGAACGAAATCACGTTTTTTCGTCCCCTTTCCTCTCTTTCACTCCAGTCCACCCCATTCCGCTCCCCACCTTCCGTCCCAAAGGTCCCGTGTGTCCGTCCGCCGGCCGGGTTTTCTTTCTGCATGTAGAGACCTTTGGCTGGTTTGGTGACCGCCGCCGGAGCCCGTCACAGCACCCACCTTTTTGGCGTCACTACGAAGAGCTGGTGCTGCGCGAGGACTTCGTGAGGAGAGAACCCGGGGACAGGGGAAAAAGTGACTCTCAGACGAACCCTCGCAGGCCGTGTTGGGTTTTAGAGACTTACTTGGGGTGGCGCAACTTCAGGGACAATGCCGTCAAAGTACAATTACCAGCCTTGGTGAGTTAAGAAACCCCCTTTTTTCATTTTTTAGGTTTCGAGGTTTCGTCCGATCTTGCGGACCGATATTCGGGCCCCTTCCACCCCCTGGCATTTTCCCCACTCCTTGACTTCCGACGACAGTTTCAGTCCCAACACACATATTCTTTGCTAACACCTTCCTGCTGCGTAGTCGGGAATTCAATGTGGTCGTTCTCGGTGCAGGTGTGTTTCTGCTTCCTGGCTTGAAGAAACCGTTCTTCCCCGCCAAGACCTCCCATCACATGCAACATCAACTGACATTGGCTCTCTGCTTACCTAAGGTGGCGTCGGGAAGAGCTGTCTGACTGGTACGTGTTCCGGCTTACTTTGTTCTCGCCTTTCCCCCCACGTTTTTATAGTACTGGTCTTTGTTACACACCCCCCACCTTTCCATGCTGACAGACAATAGCCCAATTTGTTCACAATGAGTGGATTGAGAGCTATGACCCCACAATCGAGGACTCGTACAGGACGCAAAGGGCTGTTGATGTAAGTCCCAGGTCGCCAAGAAATTTTGGTGGGGTTGAGATTACTTGTACTGACTTGCATGTTTCTTTACGTAGGGTCGTCAAGTAATGTTGGAGATGTGAGTTTAGGAGTACCTAAAATAACACTCATAAGCACGGAGCATGTCAACTAACACCTTGTTAGCCTCGACACAGCTGGGACGGAACAATTCGGTTCGTGGCATTGACAGTAAATCCCCGAGAGTTGTAATGCTGACTGAAAGCTAGTTGCCATGCGAGATCTCTACATGAAAACTGGTCAGGGGTTCCTTCTAGTCTTTAGCATTGCCTCGAGAACCTCGTTCGAGGAGCTGGTTATGCTCCGCGACGATATTATCCGGATCAAAGACGACGAGGACATCCCGATTGTCATTGTTGGGAACAAGGTCGACTTGGAGGAGAACCGGGCGGTCGACCGGGCCAAGGCTTTCTCCCTTTCCCAACGATGGAACGCGCCCTATTATGAGGCTAGCGCCAGGACACGGAGTACGTACTTGCAGAATATTCCCAGAAGGGATGAGAGTTTTTGCTGACAATGTGTGTGCACGTGGATAGCCAACGTCGACGAGGCCTTCATTGACCTTTGCCGGCAAATGTTGCGCAGGGACGACAGCCAAGACGACGCCCGCGACGACCCATACCCTCTTCGAGGGGATGATCCGACGGCTAGGAGACGACGGAGGAGGAAGCGGAAGGAAAAGTGCACGATTCTATGAGTCCCGCCTTGCCTTGCCTTCTGCCGCCTAGCTTTGCCTCACCTTGCCCGTTTCTAGTCGCTGGGATGGGCTGAGGTGTGGTGGTTTTCGCGCCCCTGCTGGGCACATGTATGAGCTATGAGCACCGAACGACCTATGTGCATGCCCGTCATGATGGATATGACCCCTTAGATGTTGAGGGTATTTGTTGTATAACTTCTAGCGCTTCATTGGCCCTTATTTACCTCAATGACTTATTATTGTTATCGGCGGCCTCACTTGTAATGCGGTCAGTTTGTGGAGCTCCCTTAACATTTTGACCAACCATCAAAAAGTCCCGTGTTTTATTTCGTCGAAAAGAAATCAAACGAGTTGCTTCAACGGGTCAAACGGCACCTAGATTGCCGACGTAAACCCGCAGAGTGCCGATCCCTAGTTCCTGGCGGAAGGTTGTGGCGCAGAATCCGGCTGCGGTCGAGTGCGAGGCATCCAACTCTGAGGCGGAAACATGCTCCAACCAATATCAATCGATACCAAAATCTCTGCCCGATCGCCACTACCGATAGCCGTGCCGCAACATTACTGGATACTAATCCTGTGCCGCAGCTGAGGTCAGCTAGTGCTCAGGTGATTTGATAGACGCGTCGCAGGTGGATCATTACGAGTGATTCTGGGGAGTCCTGGTGAGGGTGGTTGTCCGATTTCAGTCTTTGCTTGTGCCAGAGTTTCGTCGCCTTGACAAACAAATCTGCAACGAGTCACCACGGAAAGTTTCGGTTTCAAACCCCTCGTCTGATGTCTAGTGGGTGGTCCCTCTTTCCCGCCGATGAATGTCGAGGTTTACTATGTACGGAGAAACGTGGGATTCCATGTCATTGTTAGTATTTAGGATTCATACTAGTACGGTACTCGAGCGTTTTTGGGACGAAATATGCGACCTGTCTAAATTGACTGTATCGATTTCTAGATTGACGGAGTACATCGGTACATTGACCACGCAACTCCCATAATCGTGCACATCCAAAACACAACGCAAACCAACTACAACAAAACTAAAAAACAACCTACGCGACTCATAGTATCGCGATTATAATACAATTCTTGACACTGGAACGTCTAAAATCGCAACAATCACGATAAAATCATGGAGGTATGTTTGGGGTCTATGTATCTTGAGCGAGGCGAGGGGACTTTGACTTCGCCTGGCGCCAAAAGTGGTTAGGCGTGTTTGTGATCTGCAGGCCTCTTTCCTTGTTCGGCCAATGTACTCCGTCAATCTAGAAATCGATACAGTCAATTTAGACGCGTCGGAAATATGAGACTAGTGGGCGTAGGGTTTGCTTCAGAGCAGGGGGCATGAGTCGTGATGGGTTGAAAACATGCTCTCAGCCTGGAAGGGAGTTTTGCACGGCGCATTTAACGGCTCCCTGGGATGCTTACAAAGATGTAAAAAGGTCATTATGTATCCGTACGATGTAGTTCTGTCGCGCCAGTTTTAAAGGACCGTGGTTGGAAAGTGTCGCGTTTCTTGTTCGCTTTCCCCCACAAGATCGACACATTCAACGGTTTCTCTGAATGCTCATGAGAGAAAGGAAACGGGTTGAACGAGGGTTTCTTCGGGTTCAACCCCACATTGATAATGACCCCTGCTCCTGTGCCTGACTAGCCGTTGAGCCGGGGCGGCTTGTGGGGTTCTGCGAATGACCTGCGCTAGTGTTTTCGATTGAGCGACGACTCCACCCCTTTTATCTGCGCAATTGGCCAACCAGGACCGCGGAACACAGTGTCCTGGCCACTTATTGTGACGGAAACCACTTTCAAGAAATGGCAGAGAACACGTAATTTCTTTCTGAAAGCGCGCGTCTATTTCTGCACCCGGCATGGTAGACTTTATTTATTAGGGGGATGATAGGAGGGAAAAGACGGGAAAAGAGGACATGTGGAAGGAACCTCCGTTCGGGTGGAGCTTTCCGAGGACTTGTGGTGCACAGACATTTCCAACAAAGAATTTCGGTTTTGTTTCGGGGGCAACCCCGGACAACTTGAGACCACACACATGGAGTCTCGTCCCTCGAACCCCCTCGCCATCGCAGAAATATGGCGAATCATTGCGCTTCTTTCAACATCGCCTTAAGAGCCGCCGTTATTCATGGAGGCACCGCGGAGATGTACCCAATCCCTTCGACTGTGGCAACGCCAACTTTTGCGTCTTCCTCCACGAAATCTTGAGGAATTGTGAGGCCCCTTTAACTAGTGCCATCATCATCAGATGAGTTCCTCCGTCGGAACTCGGAACCCGCGCATGGTTTCGTCATCTTCAGGGCAGGGCGCTCGAACCAACTGTGGAAGTGCGGCTCAGACGCGGAAAACAACCTTGAACCTTCGAATGTGACGCTATCTTTGGTTCCTGAGTGGTCCGTTGCCCATTGAGCAAGCACATGTCCCCAGTGCTACGTTCATCCTTGTCGACCATCCTTCATTTCTGTCTTTTCCTCAACCAAGGTCGTCTGGGCGCTCGAAGGGGGGAGGGAAGTGGATTGTGTGGCCGACGCCGTCCCCAAGGACACCTGCAAGGGGCCACCCCGTATCACATCAACTCCGCGCGGGGCGTGGTGTGTGTCAACTCCGGCAACCTTTTTTCTTTTTTCTTTCTGTTTCCCCGGTGTTGTGTCTGCGACGCACATATCTCCCTTGCGCTTCGGTGGTTGTGGTCTGAGTGAGCGATCCGGTGGTTTTGCAAGGAGAGTTTCTCTAACCCGCCGACGGCCCGTCCTTTTCTAATCTTGACTCTCCGAGTTGTTCGTCTTGACGACACCAGAACCTTGCCCTCGTTCTTCTTCTTCCTATTATTTTTTCCTTCTCACCCAATTCCCGCTCGGACGACGACGCCACCCATCTTCTGGCGCCATCAGCATTTGTGACCATCCGCTCGACGGACATAGGATTCGAACGTGGCTAGCACCAACTCTAAACCATCGATTGCCGCTTGATGCTTGTCCATATACAAGAACCCCCCCTCGGCCCTCGGTTCTCCCGAACGGGGCGTGCATCCTCCTCTACGACGACACGGCCTAGCTCAGCGCATCGCAAGGGCGCTGCCTGATGTTCTCTTGATCACCAGCCTCCGACGCGGTTACTTCTGGGCTGTACTGGGACGTGCTGCTTGAACAGGCCCTAGTCTTCCGCCGTTCTGAAACGGGAACCGTCCGCGCACTTCTGATACCCCGTCTTTCTCGTAGGTGCATTTTCGCTTCAGCCCTCTCCCTCTCTTGGCTTTACCCCTTAGTCACGTACTACATGCAACCCATCGTGCCTATCACCCAGCCCCTCGGGCTCCCGTCGGCCCTCAGTGGCTGGTGAAAGCGCGAGGAAGGGAGCGTTCAGCAAAGAAATATCCTCAAAAAGATGGTTAAATCCATCTTTGGATTTCTTAAACACGTATCCCAGCTAGGCCGGAGATAGAGGCTTGACGGGCAGGCAGTGATTGGTGTTCAGGAAGGTTCACGCGAACTTGTTGAAACGCCTGCCATGGGCGTTGGCGTCACTCGGCGAGGCAGTTCAACACTTTTGCAACCCGGCTGTTTACCCAGTGGCTTGCTAGCTGCGGCCGTGGGGGAGGAGTAACCCTCCCGGGCTACCGCTGCATTGGTCGGCTGCTCCTGATCTAGCTATTTTGGCAAAAGGCCTTTCAGGAACCATGTTACACAGACCGGTTTCCAGGCCCTGTCCCCCTTTACACCCTACCTATCGACGCCGTTTCGTACCTGCAGCTGACCATCTTTTGACAGACACGAGCCATTCCTTTCTGTCTTCGCACAGTCGAAGGCCATTGGCCTGTCAACACACGTCATTCTCTTCTCTTTCTCTTTGCGCCTGCTTGTTTTTGACCCTACTCAGCTGGTGCTGTGTTACATGCTGGTCTTTTTTATTACCCTTAGTTGGCATAGAATTGTGCGTTCGTTCGTTGTTTGCCACTGGATACAGCACACACAACAACCCCGTTCCACGACCTTAGCTGGCCGTTGGGATCCACCGTTTGTCCGACCCTGTTGTTACGGTTTGAACGTCTGAAAAAGGGTACCGACATCACGCTCCCGATTGTTGAGCGGGTCCTAGACTCATCTGCGAGTTCCCTCCTGATACCGGAGCCTTCGGACGCGACCCCACGCCGCAGCAGCCTCAGCCATATGTGCCTCGAGCAGGTCCAAAGTGAGGGAGGATTTCCAATTCTTAGAATAGGGAAGAGAAGTATTCAAACGCATCGAATGTGTCGCGGCACAACCAGGTTTATCTAAATGAATTCTCGAGATGGGAGAGGTATGGACCGACCAGGATTAGGGTCTGTGGCGAGGGCAAGAGAGCGTGCGGCCGCAGGCCTCCCAAGAGAAGCCATTCCGCCAGGAGAACCTCAAATGGCCCGACCATCGGCTCCCCGTCAACAACCGGCCGGGTCAAGGACTGGGATACCGAGAGACGCACGCCCACATGCGCCCTTCCCGTTGCAAACAAGAGATGGACAAATTGGGGTTCCAATTTCGAAGCCGACACCAGCGCCACAATGGCCGTTGCCAGAGTCCATCATAACGCCCATTGAGTCCGATGGTGAGCCATTTCAATCTCCAGGGCGCGGGCCGCCGCCCCAGCGACCTCCACGACCAAGCCAGGTTCCTTCTATCTTGGACGCTTCCAGGGTACAGGACCATACACCGGTGTTCCCGTATCGGCCGCGGTCTGTGAGAGAGTCTACCGGAAACGAGTTACTCCCAGTTCCAGAAACACCATCCACCATGTCCCGACCTTCTACCCTATCATCGGTTGGGTCGATCCCAGATTTTCCGCTCCCGGCACAAGCATCCCTCACGCCATCACGAAGAAGCGTCAACCTTGGCCCGCCACCTTCTGCCCGACGAGGGGCTTCGTCATTCTACTCCAACGCCTCGTTCGTCTCTCCGATCCCCGAAGAGAGCCCACGATCTCGCTCTCACTTGTCATTTGCGTCGAGCGCTGCGATGCCAGATAACTGGGGCTCTCCGTCACCGGGGCCGAGCCCTGATTATCCAGATCCAATTTATGGCGAAGCGATTTCGGAGGAGCCGGGATACGGAGACGAGGATGCTGAGGAGAGCCGGCTGGTGAGGAACGCGAGCATAGGCAAGAGAGCGAAACCGACCCTAGTAACGCAGGCCGCTAGTCGGGGGATAGAGCCAGGGGACCGCGAGCAGCGGCCGGCGCCACAGCCTCTTCAAGGCCCGTTCAAAGATGGGACGGGCTACTTGGAGAATTCAAGCTCGTCTGGCACGATCCCAATAGCCGCAACGGTACCCATCGGGTTGGCCATGACCCCCGATACCTTGCTCAACGCCTATTCCTCAGCAAGCGCCGATGATCCGTCGCTTCCATCATCCCAGCGAGACACACCTTCGCCAAACTACAGTCACTTCTCGGCCATACGGCGGCCCCCGCGCCTAGACATGGAAGCAGTGCGCAAAGCCGAGGCTAGAGGAAGCCTGACGAGTCTGCCTGACCTCATTCGCCGCGCAACGAGACTGGCGGCAAGTCTGGAGAAAGGCCGCCGGCCGGCGAGTCGGATGAATGATTTCGACGGCCTTGACGGCCTCCCCGACTATGACTACGATGGGGAGAAGCACCAGTCGGGGCTCTCCGACATGCTTGCGGCGTTCCCCCCTCCCGCGCATCTAGCACCGGCCAACAGCAACGGCAACCGCCGCAGCTTCCGGGACAGCATTCGAGAACAGGTCCAATCGTGGCCTCTCCCCCTTAATCTTAATCGCACCCCCAATACCTCGCAGGAGGCTGTCCCGACAAGCAACGCACGATCCCTCGGAAAGGAGAAGAAACGCAGGTGTTGCGGCCTCCCCAAGTGGGCGCTCATCTTGCTGGCGGTTATCATTTTGATCGTGGTGGTGGCCGCGATAGTGATTCCTGTGCAGTTATTGGTGGTCCGCAAGCAAGACAACAACAAACAAGCGGAGACTCTCCAACAGTGCCAGCAACAGCTCAAGTGCGCAAACGGAGGAACCAACACTTTCAACCAAGGTGTTTGTACGTGCGACTGCCCGAGTGGTTTCACGGGGCCGGACTGCACAGCGAACGACAACGTGGGCTGCGCAGCCTCCCCGCTCACCAACTCAGACGGTAACAACGTCGTGGTCGGCGACGCTATCCCGCGTCTTATCGACCAAGCCCAGACCAACTTCTCCATCCCGCTGTCCACCTCCGACGTTCTCGCCAAACTGAGCCCTGAAAACCTCAGCTGCTCGGCCCAGAACGCGCTGGTCACCTTCGACGGCCGCGCTACCCGCGACGAGGATTCCACCACCGCCAACGCCAACGCCAACGCTCTAGCCGCCCAAAGTAATGATGACCACGACGACGACACTCCCTCGCCCGACGCCATCAACGACGCCGCTATCGTCGACGGCGTCCTCTACACCACCATCACCATCGTCCTAGCGCCCTCGACAACCTTCACCCTCGGCCGGCCACAAGCCACCAACGACAACGACGGCACCTCCTTCTCCACCACTTTCACCAACGGCTTCGCCACCACCCTCTCCGTCTCCCACGGCAACTCACAGAAATCAACAACAACAACAACTCGCCACCCCACCGCAACGAGCATGGCCACAACAACCATGACCGTCAGCGCCACAGGCACCAACATGGGCGGGATCGGTAACAACCCCCCCAACCCATCCGCTACACCATCCTCTGGCCTGGCCATCGACGAGCAAGTCCTCGATTTCGCGCGCGTGGCCGTGCTGTTTATCCTGCAGGAGGAGAGCCTGAATGAAGCGGAGACGGCGCAGATGGCGCTGCAGCGGGTGTTTAGCAGCGGGGTCGGGATTGGGGAGCAGGTGGCGAGGAATGTGACGGTGGGTGGGGGGCGGTCGGTGGATTTGGTGGAGTTTGTGATTGATTTGGGAGGGGAGAAGGGGAGGGTTGGTGGTCGAGGTGGGGATGGGAATGGGAATGGGAGTCCGGCGGCGGCGATGATGAGGGTGAGAGCTAGAAGCGAGAGTGAGATATCGGGAGGAAGGTTGGTGGGGACGAAAGGAGACAGTGGAGGACCCTGGATAAGGCGGAGGAGAAGAGGGTTGGGGAGGTGATGATGGCTTTGGCCGTGTCTGCTTCCCTACGAAAGGGGCAGTAGAAGAAAGGGGTTCGGGTTCATTTAATTTATCTTTGTTTGGGATTTGGGACAGGTCGGTGGTGAATTACCTATACCCTCATGGGACGGATGGTCGGTTGGATGGATGGATGGATGATTTTATGTGGAATGCACCGGCTGGTAGGCCTACAAGAGAAGGGAAACGGGAAAGGGAATGAGAAAGGGAACAGCGTCCCAGCATGGGCTGGCGGACTATTTACTCGCACGGGATCTGCGACTTATCTTCGTGCTATATACATTTTGTATGCCTTTTTTTCTTTGTTATTTGTTGTATATAAGACCAATTGAGTTCATACCACGAGGCGTAGTACGCTAGGAGATAAAGTTTACGTTTTGAGTTTCCTATTCCGCGTGCTAAGGAAAAATTTGTAACCCATTGCGATTACATGCACGTAGCATGCAGCCCTATGATCGGGAAGCTTAGCAGGAGGGGTGCTGATCGGCCCTCGGGTTGAAGTGTGAATATAATTAACTAAAGCCCATACTTCGCACACTATACTGGATGCTGCAACTGCGGTTCAGATGAAAAGATGCGCGGCGTCTCAAGCAGACGGTGTTGTTCAGACGACCATGCCGCTTGAGCTCGGTACACGATAGAACCGAGTGGACCTCGAATGTTGTCTCCATCCTGGGTCCGCGTGTGAGATCCACCACATTTCCGGACCCGTCGCAGTTTGGCATGGGGTTTCATGTGATTCCATTCAGACCCTGAAAAAAAGAAACGGTCACTACGTCATGCCTGACGATTGACTTCGTTGTCAGTTACCGTCATCGCCCAATTGGGAAGGAGGCCAGGCAGCTAAGCTCGGATTGGTACTGCCTAGGAGCCTGGCAAGGCCTGGTAACTGACTCCTTAGCACCGCGTCGTCAGCGCCGAAAAGGCAAGAGAATCAAGAGAGGATGGAGAGAGAAAAGAGAGAAGAAGGCGCGCGACACAAGAAACGACGGTCAGCGGATCCGGGCAATCCATCGATTGGTTCGGACTCGGCAGCCCGTGGTCGCTCCGAGACAAGGGCTCGAGGCCCGGACCAGCCCCCGGCCTTGGTGCCACGCTCCCATGGCGACCCCTCTTTTGGCGCGGGCGGGAATGACCTGAATGGGGCAGGGCGGCAAATGGGCTGGAGACTGGAGCCTTTGCGGCGTTTCCATTGAGGGATTCGAAGAGAGGAACCCTTTAGGCTGCTGGACTTGGGGGTTGGGGGATGGGGAGCGTGCGGGGAAGTCTGCAGCGGGATTTCTTTTTCGTTGTCCCTTTTTGACCGCTTCCCTTTTCGTTAGGTAGGTTGTTTCCGGAAAAGGGGGACTGGACGGAAGGGGAGTTTGGGGATCACACGGTTGGGTTGGACTTGTCTCGCTGCCCGGCCGGCGTTGGTGAAACCAGCGGGCGGTTTGGGGAACCGCCTGAGCACACCTGAGCAGGCCTTGTGGTCCGTTTGGCGCCAGCAGTGGCAGACACCGATCCCGTTACGGGAGGTGGGGAAAGAAACATCCAGGATTTTGTCGCCTCAGGCTGCGATTACGTAGTGGGTGGGCGCTTGTTCAAGAAAGCTGTCCCCTGTCGACCTTGGCGGGCCCCTGTTCGCTGACGCCACCGTCTCGCACCGGGACGTCCGGGACCCAACAAAGGCCATCATCCATCGGTAACTAACACACACAAAGTGACCAACTCGCCCCAACCAGATTCCACATTCCTTCTCTAACTTTCCAACCAACCCACGAACCATCGAGGAACAACTTTCATTTTCTCCTTATTTCCTTTCCGTTTATTTTGTCAAATCAAACCTCCTGCAAACTACATTATAGCCGCGAAATTTCATTTTCGGCGGATTGATTGAGTTCACCCCACACAATACGATACGATACCTACCACACACTCTGTCCACATCGTCATGTTATTAAAGCCCCTCACATTTGCGGCGGGCCTTTCCGCCCTCCCAGCCGCCCGCGCTTTCCTTATCCCCCCGGAAGTCAGCAATGCCGACATTCAGATTGCCAACACTATCCCGGATGTCGGCTCGCAGGTTGCCGAGACCCAGGTCGTTGATGTCGAATGCCCCGGATGCCCTATCCTCCTCACCAGCCGTCTTGGCATGAGCAGGCAGATCAAGATCGACCGGCCGAGCCATCTAGAGTTGGCCTTCTCTATCGACCATCAGCCCGGCCAAGATCGCCTTCTCCTCAACGGCTTCGAGTTGTACCCCGTCACCGATGTGCTTCACACAGCGCTGACCGCGCCACAAGTGGTTGAGCGTGGGCAGGAAGGTGGGGAGGAACCGAAGTTGGAGGGCGTCAAGAAGCACCGGAGGATCACGCCTCAACCTCAAAAACTAGGGTTTGCCATCCGTACATCACCGCCCCAGAAGGACGCCGAAGGGCAATTCGAGTTGGTAGAAGTAGACATGCAGATTATCCAAGTCGGCCCCGCTTTCATCGACGACATCCCCAGCATCAAGGTCAAATTGATCAAGGACCACGAGGGACGGCTGCTCATGTCGCAGATCGACAAGACCGAAGCCAACGAGTTTGCCAAGGCCATCGGGAGCAGCAGGAAGGAGTTTGCTTCCGCTATCTCTAGGTGGCTCGCTCTCGCCCGTGAGAAGGTCAAGGGTTTCAAGGGCCTCAAGGGTTTTGGCCACTGCCACAAGACTGCCGCCAAGCCTGCTCACTTGGTCGAGGCCCCTCACGCCCATGCTACTCACGATGCCAACTGGCGTGCCAACTATGAGCAACACCGCTGGAGCAAGTTGTTCAAACACATGGCCTCCCACATCCTGCTTCCTGTTCTCATCGGTATCGTGGCCGGTGTCAGTGCTAGCTTGTAAGTTGTTCAAACATCCCTCATATTATTCTCACCGCAGTGGCTAACCATAATAACCCCTCAGGATTGGCATGGTTGTCGGAACCGTCGTCGTTTCCGTCTGGCGCTTTTTCTTCCGCCGCAACAGCAGCACCCACGGTCGCCGCCGCCGCCACTCTTTGCGCAAGGCCGCTCGCCAGGAGGCCGCCTATTCTGATGAGAAGGCTGGCTTGATGAACTACCAGGACGAGCCCCCCGCTTACCAGCAGTCGGAGGAGGAGACGTTGATCGAGACGGCGAAGATCTAAACTCAGGGAAGAAGCGGAGGATGGCAAAAGGAAACCAGCAATCGTTGTGGGCTGGTTCGCAAAACGGGGGTTTGGTGTACGACCAGGCGATGAAAACGAAGCCAACTGCGGCGGTGGATTTTCCTTGTTTGTTTCCTTTGGGTTGGCGGATGGGGTTATCGCTGCGGGCGTTGCAGGGTTTGGCTTGGCTTTTTCTGGTTTATCAGCGACAATTGGGAAGCTTTGGTTGGGGATCTGGGAACATTGGCGACTGGGCAGGCCTGATCCATCACGCTCCTTTTATTCAGGAACCCCCTATATTGGGGCATGAGTTATGTTTCGGTTTGAAAGACCGGTTTCCTATTATTTCCTTTTTTTTCCTCAAGCTCAAAATACCCACATCGTGTACGGACACGCACATTCCTTTGACGTTGGAGACGTCGAGCAAATGGAGGGACCACTGTGCTGGTACCTCAGGCCATGGTTCATGGAATCAGGCTCGTTTTTTTAAGGAGCATAAGCGGAAAATGAAGACTGTTTACCTTACTCTGGTAAATTTCGAGGCTGTGAAATTGGACAAGAGGCTCACTTTATAACTTAGTGGAACTACTTTTACAGCTTAGCAGAATTATCGATCATCCGCTTTACCAAATCGCCAGAGATTGAGAGCACAATCCGTGGATGCCATAATCAGGAATCATTACCTGAAGTAAAACAAGACGTTTAAAGAGGTCTCCTAAGCCATCAACGTATTTGATAAACGACACGCCATCAAAACTTATAACATATAGCTCCCCGCCATATTCTTACCAAATATCGGGCCCCGACCTCGTTCCGCTGTCATATATACTATGGAGGGGCGGATGATCGTCCCCTTCCGAAGATCGGCGTTGCGGACGAATCCGTCGTCCACGCCACACAGGCGGGAAGCAGTCCCTTTGGGAGGATCCGAAGGGTTGCAGATCCATAAAGGGCTGCCTCCCGTTAACCAACAAATGCAGGTCAAGAACATGGGAAACCAAGAAAAGTTGGAATCGGAAAGACGGGAGGGATGGATGCGGGGCTCCGTCCTTCCTTTGCAGATTGGAAGTGGAATTTGTTGGTGGATAGCGGGAGGAACCGCTGTGAGTTCAGGAATGGCGGGTCGCCCAATGGGCCGCAGGGTGCATGCTTCTTGCCCCACCCTGGATTGAGCAGGCGCCGCGCCGCGCGCTTTGGGCTTTTCCTTTCCCGCCAAGCGCTCCCCGCCTTTAAAACCGGCAGAAAAAAAGTTCCGGGATTGTTTTGGACTTTTGGAGGTTTGGATTGTTGGACGAAGAATTGACTTTTTACGACACCCAATTCCCGTTTCTTTTTACATTTCTCCTTTTCTTAATTCTTCTACTTTATTACAACGTGAGCTGCATTGGCCATGGGCAAATCATCTAGGAAAAGAGAGCGCACTGAGGAGGATGGCGCCGACAGCCACGACGCCAAGCCGGTGGTCAAGAAGAGTAAACTCGACAGCGCCGGCAAGGCAGAGATCACCAAGAAGAGCGCCAAGGTGAAGGAGGTGAAGGTTGAGGAACCTGCGGCCGCTGAAGAGGCATCTAAGCCTAAGAAGGAGAAGAGAGAGAAGAAGGACAAGAAGGAGAAGAAGGAAAAGAAGGAGAAGAAGGAAAAGAAGGAGAAGAAGGAAAAGAAGGAAAAGAAGGAAAAGACGGAGAAGAAGGAAAAGAAGGAGAAGAAGAAGAAGTCCAAGAGTGAAGATCTCGAAGCCTCTCCCAACTCCGACAAGCCTGCCGCTATTGCGCCTGGGGGGCCCAAACCGGCAACGGAAGACGCCGTCAGCGGTGTCAACGGTGCGAATACCAGCCACAAAAAGAGCGACAAAGACAAGAAGAAGAAGAAGAAGACCAGCAAATCCACCGAGCCAGAGCCCGCCGCCGAAGCCCCTACCACAGCACCCCAAGAAGCAACAGCTGATAACGAAGAAGACAACAACGAAGCCAACGGCACCAACGGCAAGGCCAACCGCTTCATCTGCTTCGTCGGCAACCTCCCCTTCACCGCAACCGCCGACACCGTGCGCGCCCACTTCGCCACCTTGCAACCGATCTCGGTGCGCCTGCTGACCCAGCGTGACGACCCGTCCAAATCGCGCGGTATCGCCTTTGTTGAGTTCGGCCGGTACGACCACATGAAGACATGCCTGGAGAAGTTCCACCACACTGAGTTTGTTGACGGTCGGACTGGCCAACCGAGGCGGATTAATGTTGAGTTGACGTATGTCTCCCATTCCTTCTTACTTACCGCGTTACTGACGTTTTCTTTCCCCACTCCAGTGCCGGTGGCGGCGGCAAAACCTCCGCGCGACAGGACAAGATCAAGCAAAAGAATGCCAAGCTCAATGAGGAGCGAGCGAACCGCATGGCGCGTGAAGAGGAAGCCAAGCAGGAGAAGGCGGCGGCGGCCGGGTCGGGCATGACACAGGAGCAGCGGGACCAGGACGCGATACACCCGAGCCGGAGGGGCCGCGTACCATTTGGAAGAAATTAAGGGACGGTATAAAATCAGGCGTTGGGGTTCGAGGTCGGGGGGGATGGCCTCTTGTAATGTGATGTTCGTGCTCGGTGGTACGCTGTGTGTTGTGTGGAGATGCATAGAATCCGAGATACCCAACAAAGGTTCAGCAGCGGCGGGAAGGAAGATGGAATTTGTTGCGTCTTCCCTATCTTTTCGCGCGTCACATTGTGCGAGTGATGAACAGAACGACAACGTTCAGTAATCAAAAGGTCCATGGTTCGCATTCTCAACTCGCAAGTCATCAATTCCGGTGCTAGATTCAATCAATATCTTTATTCCTCGTGCCGTCAAATATAGAGTCTCGACCCGAGTTACCTCCAGCGAAAAAAAACAACAAGCCAAGGGGGGAACTGGGAAATACGCAGACTGGAAACATATTGGCTTGAGCGGACGATGCAAAAAGGAAGCCCAATTTGTGCAAAGGGCAAAGACATTAAAAACTCAGAACATATTTAAAAATATCGCCACCGCGAGGAACAGCAGCAAACCTATCGGAAAGGCAAGGGACTATCAAACCAGCATTTCAAATAAATCCCATGGTCCGCTCAGAAATCACCATACGAACGTGTAAAGACATGAAATTTGCCAGTGATTAGGGGGTTAGAATCCCACGCACGTGTCCTTTGCCCAAAACACGAAAGCTCCCTCCTTGTTTTGTTGTTCGCAACTTTGGGGCCATCTGTCAACTTCGTGATCATCCCCGCAGAGACGAATAGCGCCAAGTGCCGATCCAAAACTCGGGGGGTGGGTGTCGTCGTTGGGGCGGAGATAGCGTGTCCTCTGTCTGGGTATAGGTGGCGGTGTACATTATGGGGTCGCATCTCGTCGTGGATTGAATGAAATCGAGCGGCGCTGGCTATTTACAGGATCAGGCACCTGGGGCCCTTCTTCGGGGGCTTCGAATCCGTCCCTTTGTTGGGGTTGAGCACAGCCCTAAAGGAAGCTAACGTCAGCGACAACTCCCATGTGGTGGCCTTAGGGCCATTGATCATTGCTTCTACTTACCGGATCGCATGGTCAAACACCGACTTGAGATTCAGCTGGGTGAGGGCCGAGCACTCGACGTATCGGTAGGCACCGATCTCGCCGGCGCACTTGGAGCCCATCTCGTACGTGACCGGGGCCATGCGGTTGACCGCTAGCTTATCGATGGTCTCCTTGTCCTCCCGCTTATCGAGCTTGGTGCCGACCAGGATGATGGGAATGCCGGGCGCATGATGGTTGATTTCGGGGAACCACTGTGTTTGTTGTGTGCGCGTGTGCACGACGGTTAGCACTGATCACAAGCAAGCCGCCTTTCTACTCGGTCGAGTTCTGGTCCCACGAACCTTGGTTGCCACGTTGTCAAACGATGGGGGGGCGATCAGAGAGAAGCAAATCAGGAAGACGTCGGTTTGGGGGTACGACAGAGGTCGCAGTCTATCGTAGTCCTCTTGTCCTGCGGTATCCCACAGCCCCAAGCTAATTGGGTTCCCATCGACTTGGACGCTCGCCGAGTAGTTGTCGAACCTAGAACAAACAGGTCAGGAATGTCTGGGACGGAACTGAAGAAGGCGAGTGAAAATGCACATACACTGTCGGGATGTATTCGCCGGGAAATGCATTTGTTGTGTAGGAGATGAGCAAGCACGTCTGGAGTGCAGTGAACCGGTCAGCATTCGAGGGGTGTTTGAAGAAGGACGGATGGGTGCACATGTCCGTACCTTGCCGACAGCACCGTCACCTGTGACAACACACTATTGAAAGAAAGTAGTAGTTAATATCGACTTCCGGATCTTTCCTTTTGGACTCGGCGGCTCCGCACCCGCCCAGCGCACACGCGGGGATGGGACTCCGCCGCGACCAGTTATCTTGCGGTGGGCATCGACAAACCTTGATTGACTGAGTCGCAGCCATGGTAATGTTTGTGATGAAGGTACCAGAGTAGACAATGAAAAGATGGGCGCGCGCTTTGGAAAAGAAAAGAGCTCTGCAATCGAACAGCGATGGACTTGGTGATATCGGTCAACGATGAGAGGTTGGGGGGAGAGCCGGGTTGCAGGGTTGCGGGAAGCAGGAGGAGAAGCGCGGAAGAATTGTGCTGCGCTGTTGGCCCACCGCCTTTGCTGCTTCGGCTCGGTTGCGAGGATGATGGCTCAAGGATGGATGGGTATGATTTGATGTCCTAAGAGGGTGGCGGGATGCCGAAAGCACGGACGCACAAAGCGAGAGTGGTGTAAAATCAGAAGAAAGAATCAACTTTGGATTGTCACTTGTTGGTCGCGTGGAAAGGTTGGAATCCTGTTGCAGAGATGCAAAGGACGGGAAGCAGGCGAGTTTGGGTGAAGTGCAGGTCGAAGTGGGAAGCGGGAAACGGGGCAGCGGTCCCGGCGCAGGTTCCAGGACCGAGGACGGACGGCATCAGGCGAACGAAACGCAGAGCCAGTGTCGAGCACCTCAGTTCGGGGCGGGACGGACGGTGAGTCGTCGGGACGAAAGCAGCCACTCAACACTGTGTCGCAGGCCTTCCATGTTGCGGGCAAGGCGGCGTGGAAACAGCCTCAGGGGGCGCCAGTGGCGTGCCTTCTGCACAAAACAGCGGTTTAAACACAGTGTGGGGCACGTAACCCCCTACCTGAGTGGAGCGCCGCCCGCTTCATGGAAGCAACCCCCAGCCAGTCCTTCGCACGGCGCACCCTTTGTCTTGGCGACGCCATGTCCCATTTTGGCGGCCCGGCCGGGGGGCTTTGGCTCTCCAGGGCTGTGAGGGGCCAGCCTCCGACACATTCAACGTCAGGCGGGCCTAAAGGGAATACTCGAAACGGCTCGGGAAGGAAGGAAAACGGACGGACCCGCCGAATTACAGGCCTTTCGAACCTCCCAATCCGACGTCTTACCCCAGCGCTGGCTAAGCGCTGCTCCGTGATGTGAGGGACGCTCGGGCAGTGAAGAGAAAGCCAGGACCAAGGGCAAGCAAGTGCCTGAATTATCCATGCTTCGAAACACGCAGTGCTGCTCTGTGGGCGGGTCGGGCACGCTCCCGACAGCTTGTTTGAGAAGGACTGATGCGGTTGAAGCCGAGGCTAAAAGCCAAGGGTTTGAAGATCTCTCAGGAAGGAAGGAATTTGAAATTGCGGCTTGGGGGCCGAGACGGAATCATTGTGGTGTTGGCGGGCATCACTCTCTGCGAGTTGATTAACGTTGGTGGGAGGCTGACTCGCCAACCGCCACTTAGGTATTTAGAGTGGTAGGTACACTATGTGCGAGCGTGATGAGAATAACTAGCTAAGACATGCCGGGTTTCCGATAACACGGGCCCCCCTTGGTCGGGGGGCCGTTTCCGTTACTCGAGGCTCTGGTTGTGCGCCGGAAGGACGGCAACGAAACAAGGCCAACGATGGCACTTTTGCGTCTCCTAGTTTTTAGCGCATCAAGATATATCTCTTGAGCGGACTGGAAACCGTTCCTCCAATTCGTGGTAACGGGGTCCGCCAACCAGAAGCCCGAAACAGCAGACAACGATTCCTTCGTATCAAGCTGGTCGGTTAAGCGCTAAGAGGCCCATTCAACGTGAGACTGGAACAATTCCGCCCGTCGCTGTAGCCTATAACAAGACTGGGGACGTTTGGTTGGATGCCGTCGCGGTGGACAAGCTCGAAAAGCCACTGGTTACGAGAGCCAGGCTGAGGACACGAATTGCCCTGATTTGTCTCAATTAACTCCGCGTATGACAACTGCTGGCGAGCAGCGAATGGAATTCGTTCATAGGTAGTTTGGAGGCAAAACTCGACCAACAAATTTGAGGCGACCCTTGAGGAGAAAGAGATTGTCTGGTTGGAAGACCCGGGTTTGGTTTTTAACGTTGTTCAAGGCGTGTTAACGTCATCTCAGAGAAGACTCCCACTCAGGTCCTTCAGTCCCTCACCATGGTTCTTGCGGACAGGATGAAGAGAAGAGTAAGCCAGCCCCGGCGATTGAGTCGGTTTGCTGCCCAATATGCAGCCTTGAATATCGTAGAAGAACAGAGTGCAACGCTGCAGCTGGTAATATCTGACCTCGGTCGACTGCGAGAGAACACAAGCTCAACTTTGTTCGTGTTTCTTCTTGGATAGCAGACCCGACACAGAAGTTTCGGATGGTGGGGTGAAAAGTGACCTGTGGGCTCGGTGGGGCAACTGCACGACAAGGGTTATCTGCGGTGTAACAGCCCCACTCACATCCGAATCTGGAAATCAAGTATACAATGACATCCATCTGACCGCGAACTTTGAGCGCGTCATTCAAACCGATCAAAACTGACGAGCGACCGAAATATGAGCCCCGAGACGGCAGCATTCTAAGCCGGAAAACAATTCCCTGCTTCCGGCGAATACGGACGCATAGAATTGAGCCCACGCCCCCATCAACCAGAAACCCCCCAACATGGCTCGCGATCGCCAGCAACCAGACGCGACGCCAACGCAGCGGGCCGCCAGCGAACAGCCACTCGCCTCAACTGGCCGACGGTCCGTTTTCAGAACCCCAGGGAGCCAAGCGCGCGGCCTCCCACGACCCCAAGGTCTCTCAGCATCAGGTAGGAAATTCGCGCCACCGACGGCCACACCACATGCGCGCGCCGCCTTTCGCACCATTGATTCACGCCGGGCCGCCATCTTCACGCCGCATCGCGCCCGGCGCAAGAGCCTGCGCGAGGTGCGGGACTCGCCGCGGAATTTTTTGCTCTCGCTGGGACGTGTGTTGGCGCGGGATACCGAGGTGATTACGACGTCCTCGTCCTCATCACCTGGATCCGATGGGAGGAGAACGGGGGCAGATGGCGGGCTTGGGAACGACTCGACGCTGGGTACCATAAGCCTGGAGGGCGGCGACGAAGATGACGAAGAGGAGCTTCCGAAACGTCCACGGCTCTCGCTCCCTATTGGGGAAGAGGACGAAGATGAGGATAGCGACGATCTCCATCCGCATCGCTCGGTGGTGTTTGATGACGATAATAATTTTACGCTTCAATCCATCGAGATGCCGCGGAGGGCATATAGCGAGCAGCCCGGGGGGAGGTTTTCGATGGGAAGCACCAGGATGAGCGATTACTTCAACACCAACGACATGCTCCATAGCGAAGAGATAGGTGTGGATTCGGGGTTCTTCCCCCCTACGGCTGTTTTGGATGGGGATAACTTTACTGTTGGGCTTGAGGAGCTTCCATCTCCGGAAAGGTTTGCGCTTCTGAAGCTGCTAATGGTGGAGGAGATGCTAACTTGAATCTTAGACTCGATTCAGATATTGACCGTCGGGATCTCGGGCGAGACAGCGATTTCGGCATCGAAATACCAGTTGGGGAGATTAACGAGAGCACGTTCATGATCGCTCCTCAAGTTGAAGACTCACCCGACCGACCAGCACTGGAAGAGGGAGAACCTATGTTTGAAGATTATGCCCCGCTGATCGACCAGCGGAGCGATGACTTTGACGAAGACGACTTGGGAGAGATACCGCCTTTCGATAATGAGCCTGTTGAAGGCCACAGTGTTACTCAACATGGAGGGATAGAAGACGAGACTATGGCTACAATGAGGACGGAGATGCGCGGCTCAACAAAGAAGACGATAAAGGTGTCAAAATATGGTATCGAATACCCGTCTCTGCCCCCCGCGGTGGTCAAGAGGCTGGCGCAAAACTTTGCAAAGGGCAGTGGAGCTAAGGGCAAAATTGGGCCGGATGCTATGAAAGTCATCATGCAGGCTTCAGATTGGTTCTTTGAACAACTGGGCGAGGATCTCCAGGCCTACGCGAGCCATGCTGGTCGCAAAACCATCGATGAGAGTGACGTGCTCACGCTTATGAAGAGGTATGATACAGTCTATCACTGGGTATCTCGAATATGGTTACATATGGCTAACACCGGGCCTTTTGTTAGACAACGTCAGGTCAACCCGAATACTACACCATTCGCCCTTGCACAGCGTCATCTCCCAAGGGAACTGTTGCAGGAACTCCGCATGCCGCCTCCAATTATACCCAAAAAGCGTCGGAAGGTTAAGGGCGGAGGAGGTGACGATGTAACCTGAAGCTCGGGGGGATAGTCGACATCGTTACCATTTTGTGTTATGGCGAACCTTTCGGGTGATATCAGACGGCGGCTTCCTGACCACCATGTAGAACATTATTGACGTTGCCACCGCAAGGCCATACCTACACGAATTAGCTTCATGGCACCGAGTTACGGTAGGGGGTTTACGGTGGCCGGAATCAGCAGTCGGTGTGTCGGGGGGAGGGGATCGAAAGCCTACCAGGTGAAGATGTACTGCGCATGGTTGTTGCGTAGATTTACCTCGGCCGGCCGCCCAATCGGGATTCCGCGCTCCTGGTACTCCAAGAATTGGAAGTAATCAGGGTCTAGGATCGGACATGTTAGTTAGTATCACTATCCGGACCAAAACGCCGGCCATCGCAAGGGCAAAAACCCACCCATTGTCTGTTCCACCCAAACCGCCTGACTGCCCGTCAAAGCCGCCATCTGCTTGACATCCGGAAAGTAAAACTCTCCCTTATCCGGTCGGTTATCTGGCGTAAACATATTCTTCTTCCACGGCTCTCTTAGCAGACCCTCCACCGTGACTTCCCCCGTGGGCAGACCCATTGGCCGCGAGCGTTGTGAAGCGTGCTTCTTCGACACCCAACCGCGGTTAACCAGCACCGTAGCGCCCTTGTCCCCCTCCCGCTCAAGCGGCGTCACCACCATGTAGCCCTGCTCGCCGTCACGCATGCGCGGGCCGACAAGCATCTCCTGGTCGTGCCTGAACTTGCCCGTCACATACACTCGGCGGAAGTCAAACTCGGCGATGGCGTCTGGGTCGACTCGTGGTGGGAGTGGGAGGGGCGGCCGGACGAGCCGGTCCTCGCATTTGGCGATCAGGTCGGTCTTCCATTCGAGCCGCTTCACTTGCCAGGTGCCGAGGATGAATGCGGTGACTGGGATAATAGCTATGGAGGGGAATCAGCGTGCTGCTGCCGGGAGAGGAGACTGGAAAGGCCCGGGAATGGGCAGGTAGTGGAAAAGCCGCGTACCGAGAATAATAAGACCGGGGCCATGTTTGCGACCTGTTCTGACGAGTTCGGGTGGGTTGTCGAGAATGGAGTGGAAGCCGGGCTGTTCCGCTGGTTGTATCGAGCGTCGCGGGGTATTTGAGAAGCGTTGTCGTTGGAGAGACGTTTTCGTAAGGCTGTGAGGTGGCCGCGTGGGGAATCTTGTGCCAATTGGCCGTGTCTCGAGCTGTAATGACCGAAGGACACACCCGGATACTCTCCCGGCCGCCATGGTGAACAGTGTTGTTGCGTCGGGTTCTTCGCTTTGCCAAAACTCGTGATGGATGCCGGGGGGAGCTCGGCTGCCTTTTCGAGATGTTTGGCCAGGGGATAGGGGAGCTCGGGCCGTAAAAAGACAGGGGTTAGATCACTAAAACGGCCGCTAACGCAGCGGAAGGCCGCGGCGGCTCGCAGCCGGCTGACGTCGCTTGACCAGCGCTGAGGTTCAGCTCATTAACTTCTTGACCACCCACCCAGGTATGAACTTTGGCCAACCTTCATCAGGACCTGAATTTTACTTTAAATACTTCTGCTTTTCTCATTCAAGTGCAGCTTGATGATTTTTGCCCTTGAATTGGTTGCCTTTCGACCAAGAACATAAAGGTCTTGCCGACGATTTGTTGTTTCCTTACTCATCAACGCACCACGAGCGACCACGGAAAGGCTACGGAGCTAGGGACCTACTCAGGTAGCGGGAAGCTCGGGATTGTGATAAACTGGATTCTTGGTGGTTGAGGTCTTGAATATGGTTTTCTTTCAAGGAACCCTACAAGAGGGTATTGCTGCTGCTTTGCAGCAAGACTGGTCGGTTGTGTGCTTCGTGACAGGTATGATCTGCCGACGAATGAGATTTGTGACACGCTCACGATGAATAACGAAACAGATGGCGAGACCGAGGGCCAGCAATGGGAGAACGACTTTTTTGAAGAAGAAGGGGTATGTTGATTTGGATGCGTTATCCTTGGGAGCTGCTGAACTAATTCCGTCCCCTTTGACAGGTCAAGACACTGCTTCAGACCCGCGCTGTGAGTCTACGACTTGAAGCGGGTTCTCAAGAAGAGCAGTTCCTTGCCCAGCTCTACCCGTTGCCCAAGAAACCCACTGTTGTTATCATCAGGTAAAGACCTCCTGGGAGTAAAGAAAGACACAATCGCTGATGAGTTGTAGGAATGGTCAACTCAAGGAGTATATTGCTGCTGGTGCGACTAAAGACGACTTTGTACGGAGGATCACAGCTTCTCTTGCAACAACAACGCGCCCGGCGAATGAATCTATCACAACCTCAGCGGGATCCGCCCAGCCACAGGCTGAGGCCACACCGGTGCCGCAACCTGGCCAGATAAGTCATTCTGAGGGGCCGTCAGTTGGTGGCTCCGGTCCGACGATACCGCCCCCTTCGACTGGCTCCCTTGCAGATGGGCGAGCGGAGGAAATTACTCAGCGGGAGAAAAAAGACGGTGAGGCCAACAGCAAGCCCACAGAAGAAACTACGTCAAAAAAGTCGGAGGAGCAGCAAAGACACGTCGAGGTACTCAAAAAGAAGCAGCGTGAAGCACGTGAAGAGCGGGAGAGAGTCCTCAAGGCCATTGAGGACGACAAAGTCGCACGAAAGGTCGAACAGGCCGAACAGGCTGCCGCACGACGGTCATCACTGGTTCCTGAAACCTCGAGCCAGACTTCTAGTGCACCAACCACTCAAAAGGCTAAAGCCAGCGAGACCTGCGCTCTTCAAGTTCGACTCTTCGACGGTTCCACCATCCGCAACCGCTTCCCTAGCAGCGAGACTCTCAAGGATGTCCGGAAATGGATTATTGAGACACGTGAGGACGTTGATGACGGTTTCACGTTCAAAGTTCTCTTGACGCCACTGCCGAGCAAGACGATTGCGACCACTGACGAGGACAAGACCCTCCTAGCTTTAAAGCTCACACCCTCGGCAACCCTAATCCTATACCGCGTGCGCACTACATTTACTGTTAGCTCTCCTTTCACGCCCGCAACAACCTCCGCCGCCGGCGAGCCACAGGGCAATGTTTTCCAGCGGTTGATCTCTTTGATCTTGGCTGCCGTCACAGGCCCCTTCAGCACGCTCTTCGCCTTTTTCTCATCCCTGTTCAGCACATCCGGGCCACCGCCATCGGCTTCGGAGCCGACGAGTGCTTCCCAAGCATCCGGCTCGCAGAGTCGGCCCACTTCTGATGCAGCGAGGCGCCGAGGGGGCCGGGTAGCTGGAGTGGACCAAACAGAAAGGCGGCGAGATGACCAGCAGTTTTACAACGGGAATTCGGTAAGTACACTTCGACCTTTCTGCTAGGAGGCAACGGAAGGCTAACCATTCACAAGACAAACTTTGAACCTAGGTCGGATGATGGGGAGTGATAGGACACCTTGCTTTGTAACGACGGAGTCTCCTAATTATGTAACGATAATGCGGCGAAAGAGGGAAATTTTATTTCAGAGGCTCTATTTGTACAATGGGTATGGTGAGCATGGGCTTCAAATGATCTTTTCCCTTCCGGCCTGGCTAGCGCTAGACTTGTCATCAGGCATAAACTACAATTGACTCCTTAAAGTCGCCCTCCTCCGCCCATCTCGTGGCTTCCCATATCGAAAGACCTCAGTACTGGCGCGCCGCGGCCTGGCAAGCTTTCTGTAACAAGAAGTCAGCAAATGTCGTTCCATGCTGCCAACGCTCCCTGAGTTGCATGAGTCAAGGGGACTAACCATCTGCTCGAGGTACCATCCGCAGATCTGCATGTTGCCACTTTGCTCATCCATGCAACGCATGAACTGTTCGGTCGCGCCGGAGCAGTTGTCGTTGGTCTGCTGCTGGAGAGGTGCGGATTGCGCCTGGGTCGCTTGGGTCGGCTCAGCAGCGGTGCTGCCGCCACCGAAGATCCCGCCGAGGGAGTTGCCGACCATGTGGCCGATGGAAGAACCGATCGCGACACCACTGTGAATAGTCCGTTAGTTCAAGGCTCTTTCGGCCCAGTACGACTCTCCCTTTCCAAAGTGAAACCCATCTTCTTCCCCCTCTTTTCTTTTCCTAATCCCTAACACCGTTCCTCCTTTCCGGAATCGCGGGAAAACCTACGCAGCGGTGCTGGCCATCTGGCCCATGAGGCCGGGGCCCTGGGAAGCGGTGGCAGCTGGTGGAGCAGCCGAAGGGGCTCCCGAGGGAGGGGCGGCATAGGTTGTCGCGGGACGGGTTTGCTGCTGCTTCATCGGGGTAGGAGCCGCGCGAGCGGGGAGGGTAGGCCGGCTCGGCGCCGAGCGACCGGAGGACCTGGACTGGCGAGGCATTGTATGATTTTGTGAGGGGTGACTGAAGTTGGTTGTGTCGAAAGGTGGTCTTGAGAATGGTGTTTCGGGGAACAGGTGGAGGCCGAGATGTATTTTGTCGGGGGCGTCGGGGGTCGGGAATGGTTAAATGCCGCTTTCTAATTGGCCACGTGCCTGCATGCAAACCAATGGAGATGGGCCCTCGGGCCGCGTGATACATCAGGGTTAGGGTTTTTGAAGGTGAGGCTGGCTCAGGTCGGCTAAACCTCAAGACACCCGGCTTGACAGTTCAATTCACGGTAGAAATGGACCATAAGGCATAGATATGAGACATTGTCGTAGTCTTGAAATTAAATGGGCAAAGGAGTGCAGATATATGAGCTGAGTCACCTCGTGCTTCGCGTGATATACTAGCAACATCTTTTGATCCTGGCCTCCCTGACGGGGAGGGCGTTCGGTATTGTTTTGCTCAAACCTCCGCCCAAGCGGTTCGCCATAGTTACCCCCGAAGTAACCTGGCAAGAGCCAGTGAGTGTCTTCGCCCGTAGCCCATTCCTTTTGTATCCTAGGGCTTCCCCATGGGCGGCCGCTCTCTCCGAGACGGGACTTGGAGGTGTCACTTTACAAACCACTGTGTTAGTAGCTCTCTCAACATGGAGGCCAACGCCACGAGTGGCGTTCCTCCGATGGGACGCTTCATTTCTTCTTTCGATTGCCCTTATGCTTCGGCTGCTTTGAGGGTCTCTCCCCAGCGGTACCGGTGCTGGCTTCTGGCGCTAATTGCGCCGCAATACGCTTTTTCTCGGCCGCCTTAGCTTCTGCCTTCTCTCGTTCTTTCGCAATCAGCTCCGTCAACTTGGCTTTTATGTCTTTGTTGTCACCCTGCCATGTTGTCAGTTTGAGACTACAACCTCATTGGGATTGGGCCGATACTTACAAGGTCCGATTTGAGAAACCGGGCAGCTGCCTCGGTGTTGAGTGAGTTCTCACGCTCTGCAGGTGGGTTTTCAAGTTTCTCAATCTTATCCATATACTGTTTTACACGAGATAGCTCGGTGAAAACTGGATGGTTCTTTGCGTCGACTCCGCTGAGACGCAGTGCCGCTAAGTTCGGTATTAGTCGTTACGAAGATGGCCGAAGGGAGAAGAAGGGTGATATTCACAGAAGAGAAGTGACTCCAGGGTATAGGCAACTAGAACGTTCAATTTGGCTTTGTCAAGGAGTGGGAGTTTCGATGAAATGTCATCGATATCGCCAAGAAGTGGTGCTAAGGCTTCTTCTGCCGCCTTCAGCTGCTCTTCGAGCTGATCCAATTGCGGCGTCACGTCGGTGACATCCATAGTGGGCAACCAGGAAGTGTCTGAGCAGAAGATGTAGGAAAGAGATCTGAATTCGATACGCCAAGGGCCTCTGCGTCGATGCTAGCCGTCAGAGAGAGGTTGAACTGTTGAATATTGGTCGCCGTTTGCTCATGAAATGGAAGCCTACAAGAAAGAACCTTGAGGATTTGGCACTCACAAGCCCAGCTCTCTGGAGCAGGCCTGTGGGTCTTGCGACAACGTCTCTGCAGTGGGTGGATCCTCGGCTTCAGTGGGTTCCTGCGATCCAAGAACCAATCAACCAACAGTTAATTTTTTTCCCGTCCTCGGGAATTCGAACTGCAGGTGAGAAAGAAATTTGAGCTTGCAATTCTGCAGCGCCGACTTCCTCCCCCCCCAGACGCCGTCTCGAGACGGGTCAACCGCCTCGTTCGGCTTGAAACGATCGGCTAAACGGCGTATGGCGACAGCATAACGCCCGCGGTCCCTTGACGTAATCGAAGTGCCCCTCACGTCTTCTTCCCGAGGTGGTCGTCCGACGAGCCCCGCCAATGCGACACCGGACGCCGTGATATCTCGAGAGCTACTGGCAAGGCTCTTAGCCTAGTTGCGACGCCGACTCGCTGTGCGATGTCCTCCCAGGCCACACCCTGAACACCGGCAACCTGTATCTCCTCCTGGGCAACCGCCCGCTGTCGCGGGCGCTCGCGCAAATACCACATACCCGCCCTACATGGTTCCTCAATAACAGTATCGCGGGCCGGGGGGCCAACCGGTTGGCCTTGAACCGAGGCTATGGGACGTCCAACCAGGCATACTTGGATGCCGATTCTCTGCTCGACGGTTATCTAAACCAAGATCATATAAACCACGATATCTCACACGACCATGACGCTCGGCTTCGAAAAGACCACGTCGATCTTCCCCTACGCCTCATCGGTCGTGCCGGCCCGTTCGCTGTGCGTGATCTCGCAAAGCCGGCAACAAAACTACACAACAAGCGCCAAAAGCCTCGCCCACTCGATGAGGGTTTTGTCACGCCAGAAGAACGGCAGATGGTACATCAGTTAAATCAAGCGGCCGAGAGGGAGCGGGCGGCCCAGAAGCAACGAGCCCGGATGAGTCAAGCAGACGGAGAGGACTGGTCAACGGGCCTCGAACGGACACCCAACTCAAACCAAGGGAGAAACCAGTTTAATGAGACAGGAGGATCACATCAGGCGGCCCAGGGGCACCAGACAGCTGCGCTAGACCATGCGGGTGAGGGAGGCGAGCCGGGTCGGGCAGACCACGACATGGACCGGATCCAATCTAAGCTCGCATTGTGGGACGCCGACGAACAAAAAGTCCACGCAGCAACAAAATGGCCGACACCGGCGGAATCCTTTCAGCCTTCGGATCGTATTTATGTCATGGGACTGGATCTGGCTGGGCGATATATTGCCCATACGCTCGCGGGGTGCCACACTATCCCTCCCGTTCGATTCATGCTACATACGCGTAGTCTGTACCGAGAGTGGGCAAATTCCCGTCGCCAAGTCACGATGTACCGAGGCAACGAGCGCATCGATCGTGGGCGGGTTATCCCGGAGTACTTATCCCTGGAGCAGATCGAGAACCAGAGTGGAAGCATTATCGAGAATCTAGTGGTCACTTTACCGCCGGCACATGTTGTGCGAGTCATTGGGCAGATCAAGCACCGACTTGATCATCGGTCGTCAATATGTTTGATAAACCAGGCGCTAGGAGTCGAAGAGGCGCTCATTGCAGCGCACTTTCCGGACGAGCTGCGGCGACCGGCATTCATCCAAGGCCACCTCACCACCAGCCTCACGCATACGGAAGATCGCTTCTCCATCCAAGAGGTCCGGCAGGGGCGCCTTTTCCTCTCACTCTTTACGCCACATAACCCGGAACCGGGCGAACGCTTTCGCGTAAAGCGGCATCCCCCTCCAGAGCGGACGATTAGACACACGCACCTCCTCCGGCTTCTCACCGCAATGCCCGGGCTTCACGCGACGGGCCACTCCTTCCCAGAATTCCTCCAGAAAAAGCTCCCAACCGTCATCTTCCGAACGGTTGCCGACCCCCTCGCAGCCCTCTTCAACTGCCGGTACGAACACCTGCGCCAGAGCCGGTACGCGAGGTGGTTAATGGATCAGCTGATCGGGGAGCTGGCACGCATTGTATCCCTCCTACCCGAGTGCAGGGAGTCGCCCAGATTCCGCCAGATCGATACTGTCGCTTGGCTACGGAAAGAGATGGACCGCAGGCTGATGCTGAAGAGATCCGCGGATAGCAAGATGCGAGCGCAATTTGCTTGGGGTTGGGCCACGGACATTGAATTCTTGTCCGGCTATTTCATCAACCGGGGCAGGGAGCTCCACGCCGACGTCTCAACGCTAGAGTCGGTCATGGCCGCGGCCAAAGCGAAACAAGCACTCCTTGCCCAGGAGTTGGCTGGGGACATACCGTTTGAGGAAGGGGCCTCGACGGATGTTGCGCAGTACCAACAGTGAGACAAACCGGTCGGGAGTCCCGAGCATTGAGTACTTGCAATGAGGTGCAATTTTGAGTGGCTCGTGAAGGTTGAGGAACATCTCATTTTTGTATGGGTAATGTACATACCTACTTGAAAGATGTGTAAGCCAATACTTGGAATGGGCATAGGGATGAGTATATGATTCTAGACGGCGTCCAGAGTCTTGTATGATAGCGCAAGTAGATATTGGAAATTGGGGAGGTTAAACAAAAGAATAATGACTACATTGTGCGGTAGGGACACAAAAAAATGACGGCTAATGGTTAAGGCGAAAATGCCATCGTCAGTAGTGGCCCAGATGCAGGCAGAAGGTCTGAACATACTGTACAGGACAGTGCCCTGTAAGGAGCGGCTGCGGGCAGTCGTCATCCCCCACCGGCATTTCTTTAGAGGGGAACCCCGCGGTGAGCAAACAAACCGCGACTTTCCAAGACCTGATAATTCCCCACATTCCCGATTCCCGGACAGCCCCCGAAGCTTCACACGGAAACCAAAAGAAAAAATGGCCGACGCGGATTTGGAGCAGGTGCGCGCAGGCTCTCCCGTCTTTTTGTGTGTTTATTTACTACAACAGCTGACCGCTTCCGCTCGCCTTCCCACAGATTCGAAAGGCTCGTCTCGAGCAGCTCAAGGCCTCCCAAGGCGGGGCCAAAAGCTCGTCAGCCAGCGGCGGTAACAGCCAGGAGCAGGCGCAACAACGGCAGTGAGTTATCCCAAGCCAGTCTTTGCGACACGTACGATTCGCTAACCTCTTTCGAAAAAGGGAACAAGAAGGTACCCTCCCATTCCCCATCCAAACCCGTTCCTAACCCGCCAACCCCACGAGCTTCCCACACCGTCGCTACCTTCCGATACTAACACATCCTCCTCTTCCTCCCCGGTCCAGCCGAGGCGCGCAAATCAGTACTCAACCAGATTCTCGAGCCCGAGGCGGCCGACCGGCTGGGGCGTATCCGACTGGTCAAGGAACAGAGAGCGACAGACATCGAGAACCGGCTGATCACGTTGGCTCAGACGGGGCAGTTACGGCAGAAGGTGACGGAGACCCAGCTCAAGGAGCTGTTGAATGCCATGGCGGATAATAAGGAGGAGGAGAAGATTGTGGTGACGAGGCGGAAGGTGTGGGAGGATGATGATGATGATTTGTTGGATTTGTAGGGCTAGGGGAGGGGGGGCTGTTGTTAAGTTAGTTCTGGCGCGCTCGGTATGGACTTTTTTTTCAAGGATGGAGGGGCGGTTTCCTATCGTTGCTTTGATGCGGTAATTCATTACCACGGGTGATTGATATTGCTACATGCAATACAGCCAAAGCTGCGGATCAGTTGTTACATTCTAGGCTCTTCCCTTCCGAGATATCAACAATTATTACACGGCCGTTCCAGCACTTTGCCCGGCCGCCTCCTGTTCCTTCTGTCTCCTCCGCTCCTCCCTCTCCTTCTTCCGAATATTCCTCAAATCCGGCGGCGGCTCGACCCCCAATTCCCGCCTCAACTCCCCCACATCCCTCTCCAACTGCTCCTCCCAATATACATTAATCACCTCCTGCGCCCGCAGCCCATTCCTCAGCGCCCAGGGCAGATACGTCTCCCTGAACCGCCCACGTTCACTCCTCTTCAGCGTCGCAGCCGCAAACACGCTAAACCCCGTCATCGGCAGCAGCGTATTCGCAAACTCAAACGCCTTCAACGCCACCTCCCCCTCCCGCACAACCGGCAACCCAGTCAGCGCATGATAGAAATCGTGACATTCCCGGTATCGCTGCATGACGTAGGCACACTCGGGATCGTCGATGTAGCGCACGTGTGCGCGTGTATCCGGGGAGACCCCTTCGCGGTCGAGCCAGGCTACGTAGGTGCCACCGACGGTGGTCGGGGGTAGGGAGCGGAGGTGGGGGAGGTTGAGGGAGGAGGAGGTGATGCGCGGTCGGTCGCGGAGAATGCGTCGGCCGGTGGGGGAGGCGAGCATGGCGTCGCGGAGACGGTAGATGAAATAGGGGGTTGCGGTGGCTTCGGCGAAGGCGGCGATGAGGTCTGGGAAAGGGGGGTTTGGTTAGTTGAACTGGGAGAGCGAGACATGGAAAAGTGTAGGTGGGCTAGGTCGGTCACGTCTTACCTCCTCGTCGTGGATCGCGGAGGGACATCACTCCGGAACCGATGGCTAAAGCGGCCTTTTCTATCCTGGTAAGGGGGACATGGCCGGGGTAGTTTGGTGGTGGGCGGCTGAGACTTGAGAGGGAGAAAGGTCGAGAGTTGGTTGTGTTTGAGACGTCAAGCGTTGCTGTTGCTGCTGCTGCTAATGTTGTGGGTCGCCAGAGGGTATTGTTGTTGCGGGCTACAAGAGCCGTGGTGCGTCTAAGGGTCACCTCCATGGCCAATTGAATCCGGCACTCCAAGATCGCATCCTTTGTGTCGGGCCGGGTTCCGGTCCGGGCGAAGTCGTTGGGTGACCCGGCAGTGGTTCACTTAATCGGAGCTCGGAGTTCTGTTTGGGTGAGAGTTCGGCCGGCCGGCAAGAACCACAGATCGGGAGAAAAGTGGTAACCCTAACCCTGACCAATTGTGTGATAATGTGTGACTCCTTTTTCACTATCATGCGGGAAAGAATTACATCCTCGCACGTCGACGACATCCCCGTCGATAAAGCGGTCCTATGACTCAAGAACTTGAGCAATGAATAATAACGGGAAAGAGTGAATGCTACTACACGCAATGATGCGATTTAGGGAATAGAAAGTGTTTCCAACAGCGACGGGGTTTGATCTTTGTTTCTTTCCACCCCCACCGCGACTCACGAGCCCGTTGTCGTTCATTCGCTTCACAACTCCGGGCTGCGAGACTTGGAGAACTAAATTCCCGTGGCGTATTAGCCCATAATTTATCAAACAAAGCTTCAAACCGAGACCCATTTTCAAACTCCTCCTCGCATCTCCAAAATGGATTCAGACAAGGTCATCTACGAGAAGCTCATTGAGTGGGCGGAGACCAAGGGCGTGAAGCTCAATGGGGTCATGCCTTGGGCTTTGGATGGCCGCGGTATAGGAGTCGTGGCCGTCAAGAACATCAAGGTATGAAATCCTATCGAGTATTCCCCTATTGGGCTTACTTGGTCGGGTATGTTCGTGTACTGAATCTCTTTTTACTAGGAGGGAGACCAGATTCTCCTGGTTCCCAACTCCGCGCTTCGCTCTCTCGACACTGCCAGGCCAGAGATCAAGCAGAACATCCCCAAGGACGCCAGTGTGCAGGCGATTTTGGCCCTCGAGTTGGCCCTCGACAAGCCCAACACCGGCTATGATGCCTGGGTTGCTGTGACTCCGTCGCGGGAGTCGATCATGACTCTTCTCCCGATGGTCTGGGACCATCGACTTCACCAATATCTCCCAAAGCCGGCGCTAGCACTGCTTCGTAAACAACAGGCCAAATTTAACCGCGACTGGGCTGCTGTTCAGCAGATGCCGGCCTTCGCGGGTGAAGAGGCAACCATCACGCGGTCCGAATTCATGTATTACTGGTTGCTGATCAACACTCGCACCTTTTACCATGAGACTCCGCAGACCGCCCTGCTCCCATCAGGTGATAAGATGGTTTTACAGCCTGTTGTAAGTCACTCTCGCTTCCCTAAAACCCCACACACCCCCTTGTGGCGATGTTTCTGCAAGATGTTTCTGAAAAACGATAAATTCCTCTGACCTCGAGTCCAGGCCGATCTCTTCAACCACGGCTCAAAAGGCTGCGACGTCAAGTTCACATCCGCAGGCTGCACCATCACAGCCGATCGCGCCTACGAAGTCGGCGACGAGATCCAAATCTGTTACGGCAGGCACCACAACGACTTCCTCCTTGTTGAGTACGGCTTCATCCTCGGCGGCGTCGAGACCGACGACGACACGGAGGAAACCGACGAGGACAACCATGAGAACAACATCGACCCACAGAGCTACGAAGCCCTCGCCAAGGCGAAAGCCAAAGCCAACAAGATCAACACCTGGGATGAAGCATGCATCGACGACGCCATCCTGCCCTCCCTCAACCGCGAACAGCGCTCCATCCTCGAAGAGCGCGATTTCCTAGGCAACTATGTCCTTGACGCCAACGAGGTCTGCTACCGCACACAGGTTGCGCTGCGTCTGCTGTGCCTCTCGTCCTACGAGGAGTGGAACCGGCTTGTCACCGACGGCGAGGACGGCGGCGAGGCGTTGCAAAAGGAGGTTGATGGCCGGTTGGTGGATATGCTGGAGAGGTATGAGCTGGTGGTGGAGCGCAAGATTCGCGAGGTGGAGGCGCTGGAGGAGGTCGGTCAGGCTTGCCAGCGTGAGATTCTGGTTACGCGCTGGCGCCAGATTTTGAAGCTTGTGGAGGACACCATTGATCGCCTTTACGTCTGATTGAGGAAGGGGGTTAACTAGGAGGAAACATGGGATATGGAGGCGATTTTGCGAGATGATCTCGTACTATGGTGGTTGAGATCCGTGATGATTTTCGACGAAGGTTGATTTTGACACCGCCGAGTTTTCGGAACTAGGTCTTGACGACGTTGGTTTGACAACGTTGGTTTCACGACATTGGTTTCACCGCGTTGGTTTTACACACCTTCATGCTGGTCAGTTAGCTCCGCGACGACGACGCGGGACTTACACACCAGCGGTGTGACCACGATATGGTTTTGACTTCGACAACGCCTGCTTCACAACGATAAGTTTTAGGCTTTCCCCGATCAGAGGATGGACCTTCGCCAAGAAAGATAACAACAAACGGGCAAAACGAGACCATTTGATCTCAACCGTCAGATATAACATAGCTAGCTAGCTGGCCCCTTAGCGGGGCGCAATGGAAAACTTTGCTTGAAATGATTGATTCCAATACCATCCATGAAATGAACTCCCAGGCAGATCTGGCATCACTGCCGTTGCTTTGGTGAAGCCCGCCAAACTACCTGGTAGCTCGCTCCTAAACTCCATGACGCGATAGTCAAATCCTATGACAACCTGGTATCTCCGACACAAACCCCTCCATCTTGAAACGGAGAAACTGAAACTGATATCACCAAGGCCCCTTGTAGGCACCATCTCAAGGCCATCACGTACATACACCCTACAGGTTCATAATACACAAGCACATTCCAAACACCCATTCCACATACATATCATCACACAGCGCCGCGCAACCATAAAAATGCGGAAACCAAAAACCAAAAACACCACGTGAAACAAAAGAGAACCCTTGAACTAATTCGGAAATTTAAAAGATCAACGTATGTGTGATTCATTTTTGTTATGATGGAACCTGATGAACTTCTGTGGAGGATCCGCCCTTCTCATTTAGAAAACCTGTCCGTACCTGTCCCAACGCCAGTTCGATCGTCAAGTCGACGAGATAGAAGGAAAGAAAAAAGGGAAAAGAAAGCTGAAAGGAGATTGGGGGTTGGATCAGATGAGCCGTCTTTAGCGGTAATCCTGGCGGTGAAGCTCCTAGTTTTTCTGAGACCTGTTTATACTCATGTTGTGGAACTTGAATGAGGAAGGAAGGTGACCGCTTTGCCCTTTCAACCCAACCCGTCCGTCCACGACTTCGTGGCTCGCCCGACTTTTCGGACGGCAACTACGAGTAAAACCAAAATAGGAACTCAAGAAGACTTGGGAGCTTCGATGGCGGTAGAGTAGCGTCCTCCCTACTTGAAGCGAACGACGTGGGCAGAGTTCTACTCGCCGCGCGCACGTTTCGCGCCGTGGGGGTTCTGCCATTCGTTGGACTGGCCACCGCCACCTCCTCCACCGCCGCCACCGCCGCCGAAGAAGGCCGCGTTGAAGCCGGGTTGCATACCTTGGAAGCCTATTGGGTGGGAGGATGTCGAAGGTTAGATTCAAGGACAAAACAAACAGTTGGGAAGGAAAGAGCGTGCGCGAATCGCGGTTGTCAAACTTACCGGGCATACCACCAGCCATGGGACCGCCCATCATGCCCATACCGCCCATAGGTCCTCCCATACCTCCCATGGGCATTCCGCCGCCCATAGGCATACCACCCATCATGTTCATACCGCCCCCGCGGCCACCGCGCATGCCACCTCCGCCGCGCATACCCCCACCCATCATACCACCGCGGTTGAAGCCACCGCCGAAACCACCGCCACCCATGGGGTTATTGAAACCGCCCATGTTGTTCGCGTTGAACGAGTTCATGTTAGTGTTGGGGAAGTTACGGTTGAAGCCGCCCTGGTTCATGCCACCTCCGCGAGGGTTATTGTAGCCCCCACGGCCACCACGGAAACCACTGAAGTTGTTGTTGTTGTTGTTAAAGTTGCTGCTGCGGTCGTTGTACGAAGTTGGGGCCGGGCGGTTGGGGGCATCCTTGGAAGCCCGGTTCGGAGCATCCTTGGGTAAGGTGCGGAATGGGTTGTGCGATGGGGCCGAGTAGATGACGGTGTGTCTCTTCTGACCCGGCTGGCTGTTCTCATTGTTCAGAGCATCGATTTTGTGCTTCGTGGCGGTAGCGGCCTGCTGGGAGACGAATTCGACATACGCTTGGCTGTTGTTCATGTGGTTAGACTGGGCGGGCTAAACACACATATGCGTCCGACGAGAGGAAGCTTACCCTTTGCTCTTTCCGTTGATCTTGTGCTCGCTGAAAGTGATGTCCTTGAGCTCTCCCTCGCAACCGGCTTGGCGGATCCAGCCACGGATGTCATCGTCGGTGTTCCACCAATTAAGTTCGGAAACCATGAGAGCAGTGGTAGCGCCAGGATCAACTGGGCGCTCGTCGGAGCCTTCCTTGCGTTTGACACCCTGCTGCGGGCGTGGAGCAGGGCTCTGAGACTGGGTTTGACCAGCGCCGGCATCATCCATGTGGTCCTTGGGTTCCTCTTGGTAATCGTCCTCGGGGTTACCATGCTCGCCATTGGCCTCGTGGGTCTCATCGCCCTCGTAGCCGTGATCGTCGTGGCCATGGCCCTGGTCATTGTGGTCGCCATGGTCGCCGTGGTCGTTGTCGCCGCCTTCGTTGGCGTCATCGCCATAGACGTCAATCTCGAACTCCTCTTCAGCCATGATGAGATGCTTTCCTAGTGGAGACTTGTCCGTCGAAAGCTGCGAAGAAGGGCGGTTGGAAACCTGCTGTTTGGTGATAATTCAAGCTTGAATTGAGCGCCTGGCTATGGATTAGAAATACAGGAACATCGTGAAGGTAGAATCCCATTCCGCAACCGAGTAAAAGGCCCCCTGCCTCTGCCCTTGACCCGGCTGCGCGCTGGTGTGAAAACTCGCTCGATGCAGGCGACCGACCAACCGTCTCATCGATAGCATCGCGAGAAAAGCGACAAAAGCAAACAAAAGCAAGAACACCAGATGAAACGAAACTTGAAATCAAATGAGAAGCGGAAGCAAACGAGGCAAGGAAAGAACAAACGAAGGTAAAAAGCACATCATACGTACAGTCCAATCCCAGGACACAACAATCACCACCGAGATTGAGGAGTTGTCCGCTTGTAAGAGAGAAAGAGTCCCAAGACGCCGCTCTGTGCTGACAGTCTTTGTACAGGAGTCAGGCGCCGTGTCTTCGGTCCTTAATATTTCTTCCCCTTGCCCGCACTCCCAAATATCTTGCTGTCCTTCAAGACAAGTACAGGCAGGTGAGTAGCGTAGGCTCTCACGCTGTTTGCGTTGGACTTCTTGTGACTTCTTTTCACTCCACTCGTGCGCCCAACCCGATTGCGAGACCTTGGGCGGGGCTCTGTGGCGCTGTGCCTTTCTTCCCTCCTTCTAGAACAACGGGAGTCCCGGAAAAACCTGTGGTTAGTGTTCGACCGGATGGCGGGGTTCGAAATGCTCAGGCGGCCAGTCACAGATTGATGGCTCGATTCCGGGGTCTCGTAATCGTTATGTCGAGTGGTTTTCGGGTATGTACCGGATCGTCGGGACGAAATCGGAAAAGGAAATTCAAAATCTGGTCACCAACCAGAAAGAGGGCGGTTCAGACGATGACGCGACGAGAACAGCGACCCGACGAAATGGAGGTCGCGTTTGGAGCTGATGATTGAAGAAAGTTAGGAAAAGAGCAGGTCGCACAAGGGAAGTGGTCGAAGCTTCGCGTTCCGTCGCATTTCAATCGCAGCGGCAAGGCTGATGCAGTGGACCGTTGCCAGGGTCTCTTATCTTATCAGGTATCCTTCGTGTTACAGAATCGAGTGATGGAGCTCGAACTAGGGTTAGGGTTCACTATGAACATTCCACTGCTCTATGGAATCCAAATTCTCACAACTTGCCCGTTGAAACCAATGAATAACTTACAGTTCCCACTTGAATATAGCTACTTAACATCCTTAAAATACTGCTACTCTAACGCCGAACGTTATCCTGAGAGAACGATTGGACACCAGTTTCAAATCCACCTACTGTGCCCCCTTCTCCCCCACATCTCATACACTATTGATCCCAAAACTTTAAGGGTGCCATGGCTCCAGCTTCTCATTCACAGATACACCCATAACCGGATCGCCCTCATCAGAATCACCCTCGTTGAACGAGTGAAGCGACGCAGTCCCCACCTCATAGGACGACCCGCCCCAGGATGAAGCTGTCCAGTTTTAGCGTTAGTTCACGAAAGAAGAGGAGAGGATCAGAGAGAGAAGAAACAGAAAAGGTGGGAAGAACACATACCAACTAACATAGGCGCATTCGGATGCCAGCCCACATCCCGGACCATCGACTCCCACCCGTTCCCCCGACGGTGTGCCGCATACCTCCTACCCATCGGCCGGAACCCCTGCATCTTCGTGGCGGAGCGAACATCAATCTTGGCAGCAAGAGTAGCATCCAGGTTCCAGACGTAGACAAACCCGTCGTGGCTACCGGAGCATACATATCGGGAGTCGGTGCTACCTGGTGGGGAGAAATGGCAACGCAGCAGCGTACGCTGGACCTTGTGGCCGCGGAAGGTCACGAGCGAGTTGTCGTGCGGGTGGCGGAACCACTGGTAGTCTTCGTACTCTTGCCAGCGGTAGTCGTACTCGTACTCGCGGGTCCGTGTGGCGGCGGTTGCGTCGACGGCTTCGAATTGTGCGGTCGACATGGCCTTGCGCAAGTCCCAGAGTTTCATGCTCTGGTCTTTGCCGTTGCTCAGGACGTACCGCCCATCACCCTTGCTGTCGATGTAGGTAAGTCCTTCAGTGTGGCCGACAAATGCGCCGGCCTCTCGCCCGTCGCCTAAGCTGCGCGTGTCCCAGACTTTGATTGTGCAATCATCGGAGCCGGAGTACAGGATGTGGGGGGATGATTTGTCGGCAAAGCAGACCGCGTTGACGTCGTCGGTATGGCCTTCAACGTGGTACAGCGCCTTGCGCCGCTCAATGTCGTACATCACGATCGAGCGGACGTTGGTCCCGGCTAGAATATGGCGTCCGTCGCCTGAGAAGCGAACAGAGAAGATGGCGAAGCCGCCAAACATGTATTCGTTGTTGCGGAGATGACCTCCATCAGCGAGGTTAAGAGAGTACGGGTCACCCGTGTCGTTCGGGTCCGTGGCAGCGATGCCGACGTGTGGTTGGAGGGACGAGAAGGCGAGCCACTTGTTGTCTGGGCTAAGGTCCGCGTCGGTCATGGTCCACTGCCCGAAGGGATAATGGATTGTTTTGTAGTGCTTCCAGTTGTATGGACTTGATGTGTCGTAAAGGCGAACCTTGAAGTCCTAAGGGTGTGTTAGTGTGTTCCCTCAGCCCCCTATCAGGCCGTTACAGAGGCGTACTTACCTTTACGCATGCATAAAAGAAGTTGCCGTCAGCCGAAAACTGTCCGCAGCACACAGGATCGTCGTATCTAATAACCATCTCGGGTTTGGTCGATGGGAGCATGGACTATTGCGGTCACTTAGCCTTGATAAAGTCTTAGTAACATCAAGGGGGATAACCAGTTCATACCTGAGCCATGAGGCCTTGGTTCCCGTTCCCTCCAGACGAGCCCGTGAGCCCTAGCTCGCGGTCTAAAATTCGACGAGCTAGAGCTTTGCGAGCGGGAATCCTGGGATCGTTGGCACCAAAAGCGCCGGAGTCCATCAGTTTCCTGCCTTCTTCACTAGGCACCTTGGGAAAATCGGGGGCAGCGCTACCCCCAGATTCCCAAAGGCTTCGTTGGCCGGTCGGGTCGTCGTCGTCGTCTCCTAGTATCCCCGGGCCGATGTACTGGTTTCGAAGAAGGGCCAAAAACTCTCGTTGGGAGAGGAACGGACGCCATGTTCGCCGGGCTAGGGAATAGTCAGTGACACAGTCAGTTGCCTAAAAATGCCACTCGGCTTGCACCCATGAAGGAGCTCCAGAGTGTCAGGGAAGACTCACCACCTTCCGTGGAACCATCACCCGCTTCTTGAATCAACACTTCAAACTGGATCTCGTGGCCTTGCACGTAGGTCCGTTAGTGACAGATCCGGGGACGAAAAGTCTTGGTTCAAACTTACCTGCACCCTCACCTTCATCGTCGTCGTCATCATCCTCATCTTCATCTTCGTCCTCGTCTTCATCTTCATCTTCGTCCTCCTCGGCGTTGCCCACTACATAATCCTCATCATCATCCTCATCATCATCATTATCGTCATGCTCTTGCTCCTCTACAGCATCTGACCACGCCTCCCTGCCATGCTCAAGTAGCTCATCCCTATGATCCGAATATTCCTCACTCATTGTGGCAACCTGACTGTCAACTTTCAAGTGCGAGCCCAAGAAAAATCAGCCAGGAAACCTGTCGCGTGCGATATCGTCGGGATTTATGCGGACCGTTTACAATGACGTTTTCGAGAATGGTGGGGATAGCTAGGAGGTGAGGGATGACAAAAGTGAATAATGGTGCTCATGCCAAGGTCGGTAGAGTTAATAGGTGAATTCTAGTATTATATCGCTGTAAAATTTTTGGAAGTATTCGTAGAGCATGAGTATTAAGGTAAGAAAGCTATCGTTCTTTGTCTGCTCACTTCACCCCGACCCCGCGGTATGCTTGAGCTAATCGGAAGGCCTGGGACTTGACAGCAATGTCAGTGGCGGCGGGGTTGCGACTCTCCCGATTGAGCGGAGTTTAGGCCCGGATTTAGTTTTGCTACAAAGACGATGACAAACCAGCACGATTACACAACCCTAACCCCTTTTACATAGTACACGGGAATAAATAAGGCTCCAGGTACTAAACGAGAGACGGAAATTCCAAACAATTGAGGACTTATCATGGCCCCTTTCCTAACATGGAAATCCAAATTCAAAAGGTGTGAGTATTCGACTTGAACTTTACGAATGTTGAAACTAACTAATGCCTGGCGCGCACAATTGAGGTTTCTTTACGTCATGGCCTTCAGGTTTTCACAACACACGGAAACAAGGAGTTCTCAATGCCAGACACGGAGAGCCATACGGTTGAAATAAGCATTGATCAACCACATGCTGGCCTTGAATCTGATCGAGCATTGCTGGCCTCGGCAGCGGCGCCGGCTGTCCGTCTCAACAATATCGGGCTTGGCGCCAAGGGGCCTGCCGGGTCGGAGCCGAGCCGGATCAACGGGGGATGTCGGAACTCAGCCTTGGAGGAACTTTTGGACATTGGGCAGTGGGCAATGGCCACTATGGTCTACACTCCTATGTACTAGGGCCGGCTGTAGTTACTGATGGACAGATCTTGACAACTTTTCACCACGATATCCCCGAGGCCAAGGCCAGATCCCCTTGTCCAAGTATGTCACGGAGAAAGCAGCCGGGCTTGCTTGGCCTCTCACAGCGGCACACATCTGGGGCAGAGCAGGGGTCGGGACAGTCCTGGTGGGGCAAGTTTCGGCATACCGCGGCAAAAGAACCCCCGCTGGTGCGGTCGAAGCTTCGGTCACGGGCTTTCATGAGAGACAACATTCATCCCGCAAATAAAACCCCCCTTTTTTTTCTCGATTTTTTTCACGAGCCTCCAGTGGAAACTACACCAATTGACCAGCAGAATAAGAGTTGCATACACTTCCGGGGCAACCATGTCTGCTGCGATTAACCGCGGACTGCGTCAGGCAACGAGACACCTTCAACGTTCGTGCCCAGCCTCGGCTTTGCGCCCACTTGGAGCGGCCGCGGCTTTCAAGAACACCACTGCTGCCCCCCTCTCTGTTGCTGCCACACACGCGCGTACCAGCAACTTTTCCACCATGGCCGCTCTCCAGTCCGCCAGCGCCGCGACGCCCTCGCCCTCCACCGGCAAGGGCTACGATCCTGAGATTCTAGATATCGCGAGCTATGTGCACAACCAGAAAATCGACTCGGATCTTGCAGTTAGTGGGGTTTTTTTCTGGGGTCCCCTTCGACCCCTCTACCCCTCTAGCCTGACCTATCTACGCCCCGCGATTTGGCTTTTGAGCTGACAACCACGTCCTAACTAGTTCGACACGGCGCGATGGGTGTTTCTCGACACCATTGGCTGCGGCCTCGAGGCCCTGCGGTTCAAGGAGTGCACCAAGCTCCTGGGACCCATCGTCCCCGGTACTACGGTCCCCTCAGGCACCAAGGTGCCCGGCACCGACTTCCAACTCGACCCGGTCAACGGAGCGTTCAACATCGGCACCATGATCCGGTGGCTCGACTACAACGACTGCTGGCTGGCCGCTGAATGGGGCCACCCCAGCGACAACCTGGGCGCCATCCTCGCTGTCGCCGACTGGGCCACGCGGACGAACAAGGCCGGCGGCCCGCACAAGGTCGCCAACGGCAAACTCTTCACCATCCGTGACGTGCTCGAGGGCATGATCAAGGCCCACGAAATCCAGGGCTGCCTCGCCCTGCTCAACTCCTATAACAAGGTTGGCCTGGACCACGTCGTCCTCGTCAAGGTTGCCAGCACTGCCGTCGTCAGCAAGATGCTGGGTCTTTCCGAGAAGCAGACCGCCGACGCCATCACCCAAGCCTGGGTTGACGGCCAGAGCCTGCGGACCTACCGCCACACCCCCAACACCATGTCCCGCAAGTCGTGGGCCGCCGGCGACGCTTGCCAGCGCGCTGTGAACCTGGCCCTCAAGGTGCTCAAGGGCGAGTCGGGCATCCCCACTGTGCTGTCCGCTCCCACTTGGGGCTTCTACGACGTCCTGTTCAAGGGCAAGAAGTTCGAGTTCCAGCGCGGCTACGGCAGCTACGTCATGGAGAACGTGCTCTTCAAGGTCTCGTATCCTGGTGCGTATTCCCCCGTTAACCCCCGCCAGGCGGCTATGAACGCCAGATGAGACGAGACAACGTATCACTAACCAATGGATTAGCCGAATTCCACTCTCAAACCGCCGTCGAGGCGTCGGAAAAGATCTACCACCAGCTCAAGGAGATGGGCAAATCGGCCGCCGACATCAAGGCCGTCACTTGCCGCACGCACGAGGCCTGCGTCCGCATCATCGACAAGCAGTTCAAGCCCATGGACAACTTTGCCGACCGCGACCACTGCATCCAGTACATGTGCTCCGTCATGCTCACCTTCGGCCGCCTGACCGCCGGCGACTACCCCGACGGCTCCGAGGCCGCGACCTCCGAGCTGGTCGAATCGCTCCGCAAGAAGATCAAGTGCGTCGAGGACCCGCAGTTCACCGCCGACTACCACGACCCGGCGCTGCGCACCATCAGCAACGGCCTGACCGTCGAGCTCAACGACGGCACTGTTCTCCCCGAGGTTGTCATCGAGGCGCCCCTCGGCCACCGCCTGCGCCGCGAGGAGGCCAAGCCCCACATTCTCGCCAAGTTCAAGCGTCACCTCGAGCCGCACTACTCGGCCGACAAGGTCCAGAAGCTTGTCGAACTCGGCCAGGACCCGGCCAAGCTCGAGGCGCTGAGCGTTGATGAGTATGTCGACCTGTACGTTTCGAAGGACAGCAAGTTCCTCAAGCAATAAAAGGCGTCCAAGGTGAAGGCTATGAATATAATGTGTAGATGAAATAGAAAAAATATTCTGTTACGTTGGAATTACATGTCCTGGTTGGCATCTACACGTACTTAACGTTACCTTGGCCTGTCTTACTTACACCGAACACCTCGCCGGCTAAAGCCGCAAATCACCGGCTTCACAGCCCCCCCTCCTTCCCAAATCGCAAATCCCTCCTCCCAAGGGATAAGATATCCCGTGCGACAGGCCGTGTTGAGCCTCCAATATTTTGAGGTTAAACAATTAATGACCGAACATGCGGGGAACCCAACCCCCTCCTTACCAACCTTGGCTGGTTCCATTCCACGGCACTTGTTAATTAACAGTCCATTTCTCGTATGTCAAATATCGCATCATTCCGAATCATCATCACCAAAACCAGCAGGCCGAGGGAGGATCTGAATTGGAGACCACATGGTCAGTGTGGAAGGATGGCTGCGGATTATCATCTCCTGGAGTGGGTTATTTTGGAGCGGTTTATCCTTTTGTATCCTTTTGGTACGGAGTGACGGAGCACTGTCCGTGTCCACACACCCGGCGTTGGATCCGATTCCATGTCTACACATCACGTCATGATGTTCGATGCCCAAAGGTGGTAAGTTGTAACGCTCGTAACGTTAGCGATTGCGCCGGCAAGGAAATACCACGGCCTCGCACAGATTGCTCTCGAGTCTCCTCCGACGAAGGGAGAGAAGTAACAACCATTGTGGTCTCGCACCCCCCCTCCATATGCTGCTTGAATTAAGGTCAAGCTGATCTGAGACAAGCTAAGGCACAACAAGCCCAAGTTAGATCTCTGTTTCAATCGATCACCAGATCATCAAAAGCGAATTAGGATCAAGGGAAGCAGTTTCAAAAGGAGACGCAGAGGAAGAAAACAAAGGAGAAAAGCTGAAAATGCGTGCATGTTCCAACCTTTGCAGTCTCGGTCCGCAGTCACACGTTTTGGGGTAGCGCCCTGCAACGCCCCCAACGGCTCCGACGCCCACACAGACACTTCCATACCCCTCCTCATCCGCCCGCGAATCTGGATCTCTCGATCCATCGATCCTTGTCACGATGGTGTCACCCTCACAACCACGCTTTTTTTTTGGTTCGGTGTGGGTGGCGATGCCCCGCAGTACTACATTGTTACTTATCTGTACACTACACTAGGTATGCTTGGATAAGTGATGAGTGAGTCCGTGAGCTGGAGGCCCGTCAATTGGTCCCGGCGACATGACCGAGAACCTGAGGAGAGCCCGGGCATTCCGTGATGCGATCGTTTTGCGATTGGCGCTTTTCGATCTCGCATTGTCTGAGAGTATGAAGAGAGAAGGATGCGGCGGCTCACACTAAGGAGTTTTCTTACTCAGTTGGAGAGAAAAAGCACGCGGCTGCTTCTTCGGGCCCGACCTCGAGCCGGTGAATGTTGGAGGGTTGTGGTTGTGGATATTGTGGATATTGTGGAAGAGGTCCCGGCCGTTTCAATTCGACAATTGGGTGATAAGTGAGTTGGGTTGGACCGCGCATTGCATGACCGGCCGTTGAACGAGCGCGTGGCTCCGACATGTTGGGCGAGGGGTAACTAATGTCTCGGGGGGTCGACGGAGATGAAATGGCCGATCTGGTTGGTGATGGCGTTGGTTGTTTGCTTGAGACTGCACTGGGAAAGGGTTGGATCTAATCTTTTTTTCCAACAAGTGTTGCTGGGGAAAGAGAAGGTATGACGCGATACGCGATGATAACAGTACAACGCTGGCAGCAAGGACGGCACAGCATGCTCCCGAACGCACAGACGGGAGGGGAGCAAAAACAAGGCTAAACTCCCTGTTCCTCCCCTCCTCCCCACTGAAGTTAACGTTGATCTCGCCATCTTTGCACTCCTCCCTCGACATCGTGCACAGTACCGTAACAGTACAGTAACCTGATCTCCAGACGCTACTAGGGTCTAGAATCAAGACGGTTGAACTCCGCCATGGCACTTGCAGGAGGAGCTTACATTAGCTCCCCAGCTATGACAGGCATCGGACGCATCTCATCGTCAGCGACGACACATGGTTCTTCCTTGCGACGTGGGGCGGGAAGACCAATGGTTGCGTCCGATCCCATCGAACAAGTTCATTCTGAGCCATCTCGTCCAATGGGTTTCCTCTCCGTCCGATCCCTTGTTGGGTGTTGGAATCACTGGCTCACCGGGACTGGGAGGCAGATTTTCTCGGGTTTCTCATGAGGTCGACCGAGTCGATCGTTGTCATTCAAGTTTGAATTGTTGGCGGATGGCTCGGCTCTTATCTATGTACTCCTCCTCCCTTGTGAGGAGGTCTGGTCGACAATATCCATTCCATTCCACCGTGAGCTATCTTAGATAGATACACACAGACGTCCTCGGGTGCTGGCCCATTTAGTTGACACCTCCTCGCACCTTCACCCCTCTCTTTCCACTCTTCCAATCCCGATTGACTTTTGTATATAAGCCCCCGGCACATTACTTGCTCCGTGTTGGCCACTCATCGACCACACTGGAACCCAACGGGTACCAGTCCCGAGCAACCTAATACCCCACCACCATCTTAACCATATCCTCCACCTTGGACTATATCCTCCATCGTATCAAGATGGATGTTTGCTATTGTTCAAATTTTTATGTACGTCTAATTACCTCTGTGGGTATTCGTTTTCAGCAGCTAACCGCTTGATTCTTGTCCCATGCAGTCCGCCATCAGATGCACCAACACTGTGGGCAAGTTCGGTGAACGATGTAGACTGTGTACCGTAAGTTGAAACACCAACTCGTCACCCTCCCCAACCCCGTTAGACACCTGCAAAGATAGAGAACCCAATACCAACCGCCCCCCAGATCATGAACAGCGGTACCTCCCTCACGCCAGGCCGTCTCCCCGAGGACTGTCTCTGGCTCGCCTCCCGGCCCCCTCAAAATCCAGAGCCCCCGAGAGACGAGCGAGACAACGACGACCACCCGGCTTCGGAAAAGAGCGGCAGTACTTCCCGTCGACGGTCGTGGTATCTAGAGAGTTTGCTCAGGACGTCATCATCTTCGTCGTCGTTGTCTAAGAGGGTATCATCGGAAATAGGCGCGTGGTGGAGTGGGAGAGGTGGGACGCCGTAGGGTGGTGTGTGTAAAAATGGTGTTATGTGTGTGTGTTGGTGAAGCGGCGTTTGGAGTTGGTTGGTTCTTTTTAACGGCTTGGGGAAGCATAAAATGGTTGCACGGTACTAGAGCAATGGTCACTGAATAGGGGCGTTGTGGGGTTCCGGGCATAGTGAGTTTAAGGAGTATGCTTACACTAGTTGTGTGTTCTATAAAAATATCTTTAAGTATAATGGAGTTCGTACATGTGTGCCCTTCGTCTGCTGAAAATAACACTTCTACTAACGCCACTAGTCATACCGTTTGTTCCACCGTGATACCCCTCCCAATGCATACTGATTTCCCATCCGTAAACCATCATATTCGTAGCTCGAAACACTCGCCCCAAAGGAATCCAATACTGTCCACATCATCAATCTGGCATCACGTACCCACACTTCACTGCCCCTATTGTTCCAGAAAGAACATGCTACACTTAACGGTGCCTCCTTACCACAACCGACGTTGGTAATACCCCCTCTCCTGACCCTGAGAAAGCTTCATAATCTCCTCCTTGATCCGCCGCCGCCGCTCAGCTCGACTCATCGGTTTCTGCTCCTCCGCGTCGTCTTGCAGTTTCCCATCGTTCCCGTCCTGCTTTTCGACACTGTCCTGTTTGTTGAGGGGTCCCACCAATTTAGCCTGGCTCTCGGCCTTCCCGCCATTCCCGGAAGTGGTCGTCTTGGTGGGTTGTTTGTCCTCTGCCGGCGGGGACTTGACGACCTTTTCGGGTACCGGGTCCGCCTTAGAGGGTGATGTTTGCTTGACCTGGATAACGGTTTGATCGTTTGACTTGCTGTTGCTATCGCTCTTCCCGTCGTCGAGGATGATGACTGTCCCGTCTGGTAACTCTGTTGTCGACTGCTTAAACCGATCAGGGAGGAATATCTTGGGTGATGGGCGTGGCGCTGGTTTGATGGCCTGCCGTAGATCTCTTAGGGTGCGTTGCTGGAGTGCATAGCCGCTGAGGAAGAGGGCGGCGGTGCATAAGAAGACTTGAGGGGACGAAGCGTCAGTTTTGGGATTGTTTTTAGGGGGTGACACAGCAGAGCGATTGAAGGGCAAACATTGTAAATCAAAGTTAAACAACGGAAAACTGCATACTAATTCCGGATGAGACGGCTATGGATACTTGCCCCGAGGTGAGCAGCATTCTTCTTCCTTTGTGCGCGGGGCTCGCTCGGGTTCGAAAATATTGATCAACTGACTGAATAGTCGTGAAATGGCCGTCGCCCTTGTTATGAATATTTGCAAAGTGATATGTTTAAACAAGGCGAGGACTACCAGTGCTCAACTCAGCGACATCAGCGTCATGAAACCGGGTGGTGGAACCCCCCACTTCTCAGCCCCCCGCGATCCAAATAAAGAACATCGGTTGGAGGGGCAACAATCGGTTATCGGCCGATCTCAACGGCCAAGAGCAGCGCCCCACTTTATTTCAACCGTTCAATTCCAGCAACCTTCCAAAGCTCCAAACACGCGACAATCCGACGACAAACCTACCTCCTCGATCTACCTCACCATCACCTCAACATCACCGAACAACCCATCTCCTCTCTCGAGCAATAGGCCCACAATGAGCAAACCCACCTTCCACCGCGCCGATGAGCGCCGCTTCCTCGACGAGCGCGGCAGCTCCGGCCCTCTCGCACCCAACGGGCTCAACCCAGCGACCATCATGGAAAAAGCCGTACGCGAGCGCATCGTCGACAGCTATTTCTACAAGGAACAATGCTTCGGCGTCAACGAGGCCGACATTGTGGACCGCGTGGTCGAGCACGTGGATTTCATCGGCGGCGTATCGGGGATAGCGCAAAAGCCTACGCCGTTTTTGTGTTTGGCTTTCAAGTTGTTGCAGCTGGCGCCGGGTGATGATGTGTTGGCGGAGTATTTGCAGTTTGGTGGGGAAAAGTTCAAGTACCTCCGTGCGTTGGCGGTGTTTTATGTGCGGTTGACGCGGACGGATAAGGCTGTGTTTGAGACGTTGGAACCGTTTTTGGAGGATCGCAGGAAGCTGCGGCGGAAGGGGAGGGACGGGACGACGTTGACGTTTATGGATGTGTTTGTTGACGACTTGTTGACGAAGGACCGCGTGTGCGCAACAAGTTTGTGGAAGATGCGGAAGCGGGATATCTTGGAGGATTTGGAGCTGCTGGAACCGAGGGTTAGCCCGCTTGGGGCGCTGGAGGATCTGCTGGAAGAGGAGGATGAGATAATACAGGATGGGGAGGGAGGTGAGGCAAATGGGGACGGGCATGAGGAGGATAGTGGGTCCGTCAGATCAAGATCGAGGTCTAGATCAAGATCAGGGTCGAGGTCAGACTCGAGATCCCCACGGCGGCGGCGGACGTCGACGCCTAGGTCCGAGTCACCGAGGCGGCGCTCAGATCATGATAGGATGGATATTGACCGACCAGATCGATCTGAGGGAGAAGCGAGCCCGTGAAGCCGAGGCCAAGCAGAGGGTTTTAGACTGAGATCGGAGCCGCGAATTCTTGCCAACATGGATTGATCGCGGTTCAAGACTCCAAGGAGAAAGGCCGCCATACCGACCGGCATGGAAAGTAATGCGAAGGGCTCCGTGTCGCTACCGGTGGGACGCCTGTTCTACTTCAGTCGGAGTGAGCCGGCTACGTCGGCCCAGACCGCTGCTGTCTAGAGGCCGAACAGCAGCCCATGCGCTACATCTGTGACTGGAGACTCGAACCCCAACAAAGAACCATAACGAGGCGCTGGCTGGTATCACTGGCGAAGATCTGGCGCCGGCTGGAATGAGTGGTAATGTCTCCGACTGTCATGGTCGTCGAGACGACGGAGGGTCGCGTCTAGAACTTGTTCCGGACAGCTCGCTGATATAACGCGACATAATACATAAACTATGTACATACATCTGTTTACCTTCCTGTTAACCATGCAAGACGGTGCTAGCTGACCTGAAGCGCTTTCAGGACGGCATCAGAAACCGCGAGCAACCGGGCGTCATCCCAATACTGCCCGATCAGTTGCAAACCCGCTGCCCTCGGTCCTGGGGTCGGAACATCCTCCGAGCCTAATGATACTGACATCGGTATGCTAATGGCTGGCAGACCTGCCAAGCTCGCAGGGACTGTAAACACATCATTCATATAAGCATCCACAGGTGTCTGGCTCATGACATCGGCGAGCCTGGGTGCCAGCGTCGGGGCAGTCGGACATAATAAAAAGTCCACCTCCTCAGGTCCCCACTTGTCCTCCATAGCGATGCTCTCGTCCAGCTCGGTGAGGTCAAATGTCTCCCGTTCATGCAACGGATTATCCAATGCAAAAACTCGATTAAAGTCCCGTCGCACCAGCCGGCGCACCCGCTGCGCCCGGATGAAATAGTTGTCCATGGCCTCAGAGCTCAACGTGTACGAGCCGAGCAAGATGCGCCGCTTGACTTCGTCCCCGAACCCCTTGCCGCGGCTCGCTGCGTAGAGGACCCCGCCAGCAGCATCGCTTGCGGCATCGGTATCCCGCTGTCCGTACCGGATCCCGTCGTATTTGGCGAGGTTAGACGACGCCTCGGCAGGCGCAATGACATAGTACGCTGCGAGTGCCTGCTTGGTCGTAGGCAGCGACACAGGTACTACCAGGGCGCCGTAGCGGTCCTGTAGTATCCGTGCCGCACCAGCCCACGCATCGCGTATCCCCGGCTCTAGCTCAGCAATGTTGTACTCCAGCGGCAGGCCAAACTTGAGCCCCTTTAGCACCTCCCCATGGTCCCGCTGCTTGCTGGCGTCTCCCGACCCGTATCCTACCCGCTGTTTCGCACACCGTGTCCTCGCAGCAACCGACAGACTTGTCGGATCTTGCGGGTCATGCTCCTGCCATAGCCCAGCTAACCATTTCTTTCCCCCCTCCCCATCATTATCACCAACAATGATCTCCCGAATCCTCTCCACCCCACTTCGTGTCCCTGTCCCTCCCCCTGTCCCTCCCCCTGTCCCGGTCCCTGTGGCTGTCCCCGTGGCCGCAGCCAAAAACCCAACAGTATCCAGCGAATTCGCATACGGAACCACCCCAAACCGCGACACCATCCCATACGACGGCTTAAACCCAACCACCCCACAATACGCAGCTGGCAGGCGCACCGACCCACCCGTGTCAGTCCCCAGCGCCAGATCAACCTCCCCCGCGGCAACGGCAGCGGCGCTCCCGCCCGAACTGCCACCGGCGGAGTATGGTACTGCTGTCTCCCCCGTCTTCCCCGTCTCCCCGTCCCGGGAATTTGCGTTATACAACGACGACGACGATGATGATGGTGGTGGGGATGGAGGTGGTGGTAGTGACTGTGAGACGGGCCCTGCGGCGGAGTGTGTGCTGTGGCTGCCCATGCCGAACTCGTCGAGGTTTGTTTTGCCGATAAGGCGGGCGCCGCGAGCGCGGAGTTGGGTGATGATGGTTGCTTCGAAGGGGGAGTGGTAGGTTGCGAGGAAGGAGGAGGCGCATGTTGTTGGTTGGGAGGTTGCTGCGATGTTGTCCTTTACCGCGAGGGTGAAGGTGGACGGGGGAGAAGGAAGGTGGGCGGTTGGTGGTGGTGGTGATGGGTGTGGGGGGTCATGTTTGGTGTTGGGTACTAGAAGAACTCTGTTAGTTGTCGAGGTTCGCAAGTGGGCAAAAGGAGGGGGGGATAAGTTACTTTGGGAGATGAAGTGATTCAACAGACGGCGCTGCTGGCGAGTGCAGCAGCACACATGGCGCAGGTGACGGCCATTAGGCCGACGCTGGATTAACATGTGGTTTTGGTACTAGCTAAATGTTGAGGTGGAGGATTATAAAATCACGTCTATGTAGGCACATATTGTGTTTTAGGACGTTCGCCGCGGAACTGAAGCTCAAGATTCGAAAGTCAATTAATGCGATAAGGGTTAGGGTTACTACAGATCCACGTGCCATCCTTGTCATCCCACCTTAAACCACCCTTCCATGCCTTCCTCCATCTCATCCATCTGTATTAACCACAGTAGTGTACGAAGGTAGTATTGTAAATCGGCTCTTGTGCTTGGGAGAATTTGGAATTTGGAATTCATGGATTGATTAGTCTATTGCGGAGCCTGTGGAGGACGTGAATGCAAATACAAATCGATCCCTGACCGTTGCCAAGCCCGAAAGCAGGCTGCTGACTGAGCAACGGTTTGTACTGTGCACGAGTAACTGTGTAGCAATTCGCAGCCTGGTATGATGTCATTTCCGGGTCTGGAGTGGCCCAAAGCCCCGAATTCCGTTCCGTGAGCTCGCCGCGTATATCGATACGCCCAAAGCTCGATGTCCTTGCAGCCCAGCCGAGGCAGGATGATAATATTCGCGCCGACTTCATGATGCCGAGGCCGACACCAACTAATGTAGCGCAGTTCTGGCTAAATCGCAGTTTTGTAAGCCCATGCATGGTTTTTTTGTATCTGAGCAATTTGGAATTGTTGGAATTGCACGCCGTCGCAGGGCTCTAGGCCGCAAAGTATAAAATACAGCTAGGGTCCCGGCGATCAGGCCAACCGCTCCTTGTCTGCCGTAGCTAATCCATACATCATCATCTCAATCAGAACTCAAGCCGCCCACTTCAAATTAATCACTTCTTCAACTCTCTGGCACATAAAACACGGACTTTCGCAACCTCATCCACCTCGAACTCCACACCAAGTCCCCCGCTGCGCCGTAAAGTATTCACAACACGCAACGCCATCTCAGGAGCCATCCTCCTTACAGCAACCGCCACTGCACTCGCCTATTCCACTCAAACCATGTCGTCCAAACTCATTCCCTCAAAACCCGATGATGTGATGGTGATTCGCGACATCACCCCAAATGTCGTGACTTTCTCCGTCCCCTTCCTCCGCCATGGACAGTTCCCCATCGGCGGTCGTGGCACGGCTGGTGAGTTATCCCTTCTCTCATTTTTCCCTCTCAAGCACGACAATATGAAAATTCTAACACCCTTTCAGTCCGTCTCACCTCAGGCGGTCTCGCCATCTTCTCCCCCGTAGCCCTCACTCCCTCCGCCCAAGCCAAAATCACCTCCCTAGGCGGCGACGTGCGCTACCTCATCGCAACCGACTTCGAGCACCACATCTTCCTCTCTGAATGGGCCGCCGCCTACCCCAACGCCAAACTCGTCGGACCCGAGGGGCTCCCCGAAAAACGCGCCAAGGTGCACAACGACCCCAAGATCGGCCACGAGCCGTTTGCGGTCGTCATCACAAGGGACCAGAGCAGCAGCGCCCCCGAGGCTACGCGCAAACCTATCCACATCGGCGAGGATTTTGACGCTGATTTTGAGGTGGAGTACCTCCCCACGCACCCGAACAAGGAACTAGTCTTCTTCTACCGCCCGGACCGCGTACTGGTGCAGGCGGATCTAATGTTCAACCTGCCGGCGGTGGAGCAGTACTCGCGGGTTCCGGAGGCGGAGAAGCCGCGGATGGGGGTGCTGCAGCGGTTTTTCAACAGTTTCCAGAATACGGAGGGGGAGGCGCTGGGGATGAAGCGGTTTTTGTGGCATGTGGTGAGTCGCGGGGATAGGGAAGGGTTTGAGAAGAGTGTGAAGAGGATTGCGGGGTGGGATTTTGAGACGGTGGTGCCGTGTCATGGGGAGACGATTGTGGGGGGTGGGAAGGGGGTGTTTGAGAAGGTGTTTTCGTGGCATTTGGTGGGGAAGGGGGCGAGTAAGTGAGGGGGTACGTTAGGTAAGGGGGCATTTTTATTCGAGTTGTGTATATTCCGGCGTTGGGGATGATTATGGTTGTGTAAATTTGTTTGTAAATCCCTTAGGCAAGAACCAGCGAGGGCGTGATGGCGTGTGCATGAGTCTCATGCATGCATGGCCTTGAACATAAGAATGATATGGTTAATATCCAACGTGCCAACTGACATTTACATTGATCCCGCTGAAAATGGCGGGAAAAACTACCACGCAATGCCGAATGCTACAAAATACAACACCTAACACCACTACCCACCCCAACTTTGCTAAACTTAGGTAACAACAGATCCCTTTTGTAAACCCAAACCACGAACCCCCCAACCCCTCCATAAATACATCGAATAAATTCTCACTCAACAAACCGCCTCCGCCAGGTAAAAAAATCATCATGCAACCTCTGTGCCAACCACTCCTTCACAGGATCCATAGCCAACCTATAATCCACCAACACGGGCGACCAAGCAGGGTAGGGAAGCGGTTTCCCACTGGTAATATCCAACACATACGCAAACCGCCAATCATTATCGCCCAGCCACACGCGCCGCTCGACCTCCACGGCGACGTAGGTAATCAAGGTAAAGCCTGTGAAGAGGAGGAGGGCGGCGTTGAGAAGGGCGGAGGGCGGCGGGATGGCGGGGAGGTTGAGGTGCGGTGGTTCGGGGGGTGGTGGTAGTGAAGTTTGCTCCGAGGTATTGAACCGGTAACGCTGGCGGAGAATCTGGAGGCGTACGCGGGTGAAGATGTGGATGACGAGGCGGTAGATGTAGTTAGAGACGGCGTCGATGGCGGAGCAGACGAACAAGATCGTGTTACCGACGCGCTCGGGTTCGGTGAGGAACAGGAAGATAACCCAGGTCACAAAGGTCAGAATGTGGCAGAGGGTGGCCCAGAGTGCTCCCGGCGATGGGAAGACGCCGTGGCCGTGATGTCCCTGGCAGAGCTGTCCCTGAGGCTGCGGTGGTGCGGTAAGCTGGCCGGCCACGTTAGGGGCATTTAATGGACCGGCCGCATTGGCGGTGGTGGTCTGGGCGCAGCAGCCGTCGGTAATGGTCGAGTAGTAGACACTGGGGAAAAAGTGGCGGAGGAGAAGGCAGAAGCAGGCAGAGTCGTTGTGTTCCGACCCTCTCGGTGATCGGATTTTGAGGAGAGCCAGGATTAGCATACGCTCGGCAAGCCTCAACCCATCTTCCATTGATTTGTCGAGGGCAGCTTGCGCCTTGGCTCTGCCTTCCTTGAGCCGGTCGCGGCGTGTTTGGATGTTCTGGTAGTCTCGCCGGATGAGATATTCGTGTCTCTGGAGCTTGTCGCGGAACGCCTTGTCCACTTCTTCTAGCTCGTCCGTCTTTTTCATGTACCCTCGGTCCTTGAGTCGGTCGTACGTCTCCAGCCGCTCCAGGAGATCCTTGGCCCGGTCGCCGAGCTTGGGCAGATATCGATCTAAATCGGCCAGCAGGCGCCCTTGATGCTGAAGTTTGTGCCGTAACATCCGCCTGTGCTTGAGCTGGGCAGGGGGGACTATCAGTTCCGAGATCCGAGTAACCAGCTTCGCCACCACGTCGAAATCAAGTTCGGCCGTCTCCGTTTCATGCTTGTAAAAACCAATGGTTTGCTCCGGTCCACTTCCCCCACCGTGACCGAGAAACTCGCCAACAGCCTGAAAGATTTTGGATTGCTTGAAGTTCGACAGTGATGCAGGACGCTGTGTTGGGTCAATTTTAAGTCTATTCCACATCTGGAGCTTCGTATCGGCAAATGACTCGGCGTCTTCGATCCTCTTGCGAATGTCCTCTAGCAGCTTTTTCTCCCATTTAGGCGGTTCGCTAACGTACTCGTCTAGTCGAAGAAGAGAGTCGAACTCTTTCTTGTACCGCGCCACAGTTCCGTAGAACATCGTAATGTCATTTTCGATGCCCCTCGCCATCTGGTTCCTGAGGTCCCTCCTAAACTGCGACAGCTGGTCTCCGGTGGGTGTGTAGGGTACCTCTTTGTCGAGATGCTGCTGCAACAGATAGAGGTTTCTCAACCACATGCGGACGGCTTGGTCTAACGGCCGATCACCCAGCGGGGCTTCCATCTGGTAGATATTGGCTAGGATGGACTTGAGGGTGTCGATTTCTACCTGGTGGGCACCGAAAACCGTCTCGTCATATGCTTCCACGGGAAACTGCTCAGCGACTACTTCGGATGTGAGGTTATCGATGCCGTAGCCATTGCCCCCAAAAGGAGAGTCGCTAGCCGCCTCGATTCGTAATACCTGGCTCCCAGCTTGCTCTTCAATCTCCCGGAAGGTGTTTTGGTTCTCCTGGACGGTCTCTCGGAGGGAGCGAAGTTGGTCGTTGATCAGCGACTGGTTTTCTTCCATGTCATTGTGCTTCTCCGCCCAGGACTCGGCCAGCATGCCGATGTTTTGGATTTCTTCCAGCAGCTGTTCCCCGTCTTCGATGCGGAGCTCCTTGGTCTCGGCCATTTCCATGACCACTTTGTCAGCAAGGTTGTTGATGATCGCTTTGATGGCTTCCATGGCCGTCCTGGTGAACACAATGTTGGCTAGCTGGGCCTCTTCTATCTCTTCTATGGTCGTTCTGGGTATCACAGGAGAGAAGCCAGCGGCTGATGCTGGTGCTGGTGCCGATGCTGGCGCTGCTGCTGGCGATGAAGCGGCGCTGGCGGGTTTCTCGCGCCCAGCCCCAGCGCCGGCTGCCTTTTCCCGCAAGTCCTTGATACACTTCTCAGCCTCCTGCACCTTGATCTGGCAGTCTAGCTCAATGCAGGCCGCTTCCGCCGTTTTATCAGCAACCGTTTTCTTGAGTTCGTGCACCTGCTCCTTCAGACCCTGTTCGTTCTTCTTGAGGGCCCGCAGCTTCTCCTTGAGTATGTCGCACTTGTCCCGATACGCGGCGAGTTCGCTCCTCTGGCGTTCAGCCTCGGATGACTGCCGTTGCGGAACGGGTGGTACCTCACCTTGGTCGGCTAGGCGCACGGCAAGCTCGTTTTGCTCCTCCTCCAGGCGGCGGGTATGAGCGCGTTCGACCTCGAGTGCCTTTTCGACGTTCCGGTTCTCTGCCTTGAGCCCATCCCTCTCGGCCGTCAGTGCTACCATCTTAATTTCTAGCTCTGCCACCTTGGCTTCGAATATCGTCTCTCCCACTGCCATTCCAGGACTGCTTTCTTGTGACTTTTGACGGGTCTGGTAATCGTCGAGTTCTCTTTCGAGGATGCTGCACCTCTCTTGCGCCTTGCGGTAGCGGGAGTCCGCGAGGTCACGCTGAACACGAAATTCATCAATCTTACGCCGAATAGCATGGGCCCTGGCCTTGTGGTCGACGTGATCGTCGTCTTCGGCATACGGGTCCTCGTCGGGATCGCCGGCTAGTTCTTCCCATTCCGCGAGCACTTCCTCCAGATTCTTGATGTCATCCTCTCGCGTTTTGATGTCGTTTCTGTATTCCGATTTGAGCTTGGCCTCGGCCTTGGTTTTCTCCTCGACCTCGTCCTGTAGCGCCACGATAGACTGTTGCTGCTGTTCATCCCATTGCTGGAGATGTACCACATCACGCCTGAGTGACTGGTTTTCGATACCAAGCTCCCGTACCGCTCTTTCAGAGTCAATGAAGCGATTCTTGATGTCGTGGAGCTTGTTGTACGCGGCGGCAAGGGCGGTTAGGGCATCCCTTCTACCGTTCATCCCAACGTCATAGCACTGGAGGAAGCGATTCCAAGCAACAGCGAGGACTGTTCCTTGGGCATCTATGGCGTCCTGTAGTTCCGCTCTCGAACCGATCCTTTCGAACAACCCATCGCGGGGTGTCTCGGTCATCCCGGTTATGAACTTTCCAATCCTAGCCGCCGCCGCTGCCAGCGACTCTCCAAAGTCCTCAACATTGATATCGGCGGGAATGGGGTCTAAGTAATCTGCATCCTCCTTATAGATGTCTAGAGACGCTCTGAGCTTTCGACGAGGCCGAAACCGAGGCTGTGGGGCGGCTCCAGTCCCGGTTATATCTGAGGACTCGGCTGGTCCCGAGTCGGGCGCACTGGAGCTGAAGAAGCTGCGAATACTGCGGCCTCCTGGACGCCGGCCCGGCCCGGGGCGGTTCTCACTCTCGCCAGGCATGGTTTGCTCTCAGCCCGGTGACACGATGCTGGCCTGTCGGTTTTCTGTGATTGTGATGTGGCAGAACGATGATGTAAAATGCCCATGTAGCTCGGGAGGCGGGGGTCAGAATTTGGTACAGGTGTTGATTGACAGCGACATTGATATCCATCCAATTATGCCGAGTGGGATCGAGTCTGTTTCTTTTGTCTCTTCTCCTCAAAGAGCGATTTTGAAGCGATTGAGGGTCCAAGACCATTAAGAACAATGAAACAAGGGTCATATATACTCTGGGGAAATAGGAGTCGCTTTTGTCAACAAGTCGACAAAGCGTTCAGTACTGGCGTGCCGTTTTCGGCGTCGCCTAGGAGGTCCGACAAAGAAATATTAGCTCAAGACCGCAACCGCCACGAGAGTCTCGAAATAGAACTCGAAATAATATAGCAATGCAAACTGCACCGGCGGAAAATCCATTGTAGATGGCATTATGATGCTAATCGGGGGGATCAGATACGGCGGAGGTAAAACACAGACATGGCATGCACTAGCTGTACCAGCCCCGAGCACCCGGCCCTGGCTGAGCATCCTCTTCCCTGTTCGGAATCATAGGTTCTTTGATGTCGAAAACCTCAATGATATCCCGCCAGGTCGCCATATCGATAGACATGATAGCCTGATGTCTCATGGCGGCCTTGGGGCGGCTCGGTTCCGCCGACGAGTTTTGTAAAACCGGTTCTGTTGTTGTGTGAGCACATCGAACTGGAACAACACCCCCGTGTTTGCTATAGTAACAGACTGGAGTAACATACCTATCGTTGGAAGTCCATCCTCATCAAACTCGAGTTTTATACTCCCCTCCCGAATCAAAAAGCTGACGTAAAACATGTTCTCGACCGTCTGCCCAAATGAATCTGGGTTGACAACAAATCGCAAGAGACCGATACCTCCGTTCTCATGTAGCGCGTATTGTTCCATCAACGACCGCTCGACCTCAGCCTCCTCTTCTGGCGGGACCCCACTCAATTCTTCTTCCAACTTGTCCTGCCCTTCCTGCTGCGCCGCCTGCAGCCGCACATAGATTTTCCTGCAGATGGAGGGGAGATCATTTTTATCCGATCTCCTCAAGTCTTCCGCCCTTAGCTCTTCCGGCCGAACCTCCCGCAGGTTGTTAACCTTGAACGGCGCCGACCGTTTCGCAATTTTGCGGGCCTTCTTCTCGATAGATAAGGGGCCTAAAAGAAACCCAGGGAGCGCAGGCCGGCGGACGGCGGGTATACATGCGAACCGCCCGAGGTGAGCCCAGTTCAACATGTCGCCATCATCCCCCACCTCTCCCTCATCATCACTCCCCAGAGCGCCACGGTCCGGTTGGCGCCTCCTCCTCTGTGTGCTCGAGAGCTCCACCGCCCTGTCATCGTCGATCCCACGCCCCTGCAACATGTAGGTGATGCATTTCGAGACAAGCTCATCCACGTCCACTCCATTCGTCACGTTTCCCGAAGTCAGTCGCTGGACCCGCCGGGCGGAAAGGTCGGCCGCGATCACCAAGCCCCGCGCATCGATGGCCGCCTCGGCCGTCTGCTTGACGTTTTTGATGAGCCGGTCCGACTCATTGAGATATTGTAATAGGGCTTTGGGATCGGACTGCATGAATTCGTCGGGGTTCTCATGCATCTGTTTTTGGAGGTCGCGCATGGACTTTTGGATTCGGCGACGTTGTTGCATCGACTGCTGCGGGTCGTATTCTTCGACATCGCTCTGGTCATCGTCTTCTGGTGATGGTTCTCTTGTCCTGCGCCGGCTGGTCGATGGCTCGCCCCCAACGTCTGAGGTCCGCTTCCTCGATGAAGACCCTGATCCACCGCCGGCTTCGCTCGCACCGCGAACCGCAAGACTGCGGTTGTTCTCCATTTTGTGTTGGCGCTTCTCTTTATTCTTTCCGGTTCAGTGGGGTGGAGGGGTCGGACTCGCGATGCGGTTGAGGAGTAGTGGGCGGGTGTCGTTTAAACCCGGGGCGCGGGAAAAAAAACAATCGAGTATTTCGAAGTGGCCTTTGTCGAATAGCTGGCGAGGTGGTTCGGAATCTGGTTTGGTCGGGACACGGCACAACTTAGAAATACTAGGCGTCGCGAAAAGCTGTCGCGTTACGAATAATTAGTGGATTGGAGACGCGACCTCCCTCTGCAGCGAAATTGAGTGCTGTGGGTCCGCCCCGCGGCCCCCGCACAGGACGCACACAGCGGCGGTAAAGTGAGGCCGAGAGCGCTGGAAGCAGCCCAACGGGCAATTGGTTGGTGACACAGACGAGGCAACACACCGTACCGTAACACCGTACCGCGCTATAAATACAGTGACATTTGATCACATCAACACAGCTGTCTGAGCGTGACCTCCAGCTCACAAGTGCGTGCCTGCACTTCGGATCTCATAGTCACCCCGTCTCTCACCATCAACTAGAGTTTCCCTCCTTGACTCTCCATCTCCCCTTTCCCGCAAGATCGTCACTCGAAGTTGGTTTCCACCATGGAGGCCTTTACATTTGCGAGCTCGGATACGCTCGACTATCCCGTGAGCATCCGCATGTACGATCCCCACTCTACCTTTCCTAACCATGCTGCCCTTGTCGGTTTCGCGATGGAAATCGCGAGCTGGGTAATGTTACGTTGCTAAACTGGAACTCTACGTTCAGCATCAACCTCGAGGGTGCCGAGGCGCCTGTGCCCTTTTCTACGTTGATCGAACACCCAGAGCTCCGGCATATCGGATCTAACCAAAGGTATGGAGTTCCGTAGACGATAAGTAGTATCCGTCGCTCATATGTGTACCCTTTCTAGCGCCCACTCGGATCTCTACGTCACGGTTCAATTATGGGCCGGGTCTAAACCCTTGACCGTCCCAGTTCAGACATCCTACAAGGCTTTCCGGGCAGAGAGGAGGTGGAACGAGTGGCTGACGCTTCCCATCACCTATTCAACGTTACCCCAAAATGCGCGCTTTGCCATCACCGCCTGGGATCTGTCGCCGACAGGAAGCAAAGACGCACAGGGACACGCAGTTCCATACGGAGGAACCACACTCCCGCTATTCGACCAAGACAACCAGCTCCACAAGGGCCGCCAAAAATGTCATCTCTACCGGCGCCGGCAGGCTGACGGAAATGATGACTCCCGAACACCCGCCTTTCTTCCCAAAAAGAAGATGAAAAGGGGCGAGCCCGAGGAGAAGGAGGTCGACGAGTTGGATCGGATGGAGAAGTTGTTCAAGAAGCACGAGATGGGTGAGATTCAGCGCGTTGACTGGCTTGACCAGCTTGTCTTTCGGGGGTTTGAGAAGCGCGGCCTCCAGTCCGCCCGGTCGAATATGAGGCCAGCCAAGCCACAGGACGCAGCGCAGAGCGAAGGACAGAAAGATGATGGGGAACCTGCTGCTCTACCAGGTCCATCCAACATCGTCCTGAACGTCGAGCTCCCAAGGTTTGATTTCCCCATCGTTTTTGCCGACCACGAGTATCCCCCTCCGCCCGTATCATCCTATCTGCACCCTTCTTCTTCTCAGTCCAACATCGTCCTCAAGCCACCACCAGAGGTCCAACTCGGCCCGGGAATCAACGCGACCGCCGACGACGACGAGGGCTACGGCGGCCGTTTGATACGGGTGTACGATCCCGAGGTTGCGGCTAAGGACAACCCAGCAGAGAGCAAGCACCGCCGCCTTGTCCGTGGACAGCACCGCAATGGGATCTTGGACAAAGATTTGAAGCCCAACGCCAAGGTCCGGGACGAGTTGAATTTGATAATGGCATATTCACCCACCCACACGCTATCGCCCGAGGAGAAGGATCTGATATGGAAGTTCCGGCACCATCTCACGCGGAACAAGAAAGCGCTCACTAAGTTTGCCAAGTCGGTTAACTGGCAGGATCAGTCCGAGTCGCGACAGGCGGCGCAGATTTTGGGCAAGTGGACGGATATCGATGTTGACGACGCCCTGGAGCTCCTCGGCCCGACGTTCGATAACTCGGCCGTGCGGGCGTTTGCTGTGGACCGCCTGCGCAAGGCCGACGACCAAGAATTGCTGTTGTACCTGCTTCAGCTCGTACAGGCGCTCAAGTACGAACACATCTCCCCGCAACCGGGCCAAGAAGTGACGCAAGACTCTTCGTTGGCCCGGTTTCTGATCTCGAGAGCTGCCAACAGCTTTACACTTGGGAACTACTTTTGGTGGTACGTAATGGTTGAGTGCGATGACAAGTCGCAGGACCAGGGGGCGGATAACCAAGCTATCTATGGCAAGGTTGCCTATGATTTCATGACGGAGCTAGTCAAAGAACCAGGCGGCCAGGAAACACGGGAGACGCTCAAGAGACAGGCGGAGTGGATCGCCATCCTGTCTAAGATATCCGGCGAGATCAAGGAATCGAACGAATCCATCGCCAAACGAACGGAACGTGTCAAGCAGTTCCTCGGCGACCCCAAGAATGAGCTCACCAACATCGACCCACCATTACCGCTGCCACTCGACCCCTCGGTCGAAATCATCGGCGTGGCCCCGGAGGAAACGGTCGTCTTCAAGTCCTCGCTCCACCCCATCAAAGTCTCGTTCAAGACCACCTCGGGCCGGAAGTACCCCATTCTCTTCAAAACAGGCGATGACCTCCGTCAGGACCAGCTCGTGATCCAAATCATCACCCTCATGGACGACCTCTTGCAAAAAGAAAACCTCGACCTCAAACTCTCCCCCTACAAGATCCTCGCCACCAGCACCAGCGCAGGCCTCTCCCAGTTCGTCCACTCTATGACCTTTCAAGGCATCACCTCCAAGTACCGCAACAACCCAGCACTAGCCTACCTCAAACAGAACAACCCCGACAGCCACGGCCCCATGGGCCTCCGCAAAGAAACACTCGACACCTTCATCAAGTCCTGCGCCGGCTACTGCGTCATCACCTACATCCTCGGCGTGGGCGACCGGCACCTGGACAACCTCCTCCTCGCGCCGGACGGGCACTTTTTCCACGCCGATTTCGGCTACATCCTCGGCCGCGACCCGAAACCCTTCGCACCGGCGATGAAGCTGTCCAAGGAAATGGTCGATTGCATGGGCGGGTCAGGCTCGGAGCATTACCGGCAGTTTCGGCAGTACTGTTTTCTGGCGTACAGCGCGCTGCGGAAGAACTGTAATCTGATTCTGAACTTGTTCACGCTTATGGCGAATGCGAATATCCCGGATATTAAGCTGGAGCCGGATAAGGCTGCGCTGAAGGTTAAGGAGCGGTTTCATCTTGAGATGAATGAGGAGGATGCTATTCGGCATTTGGAGAGGATCATGGATGATAACTTGAATGCGTTGGTGCCGGTGGTTATTGATAAGTTGCATGAGTTGGTACAGGCGTTCCGGGCTTGAGTATTTTCCTTCCAGCCAAGGGAAGTTAGGGTATGAGGGTCAAGGTTATGAGATGTTATTCTTTTGGATTTAATCATTTCTTCACTTATGTGGGCATTCCTTAGATGGTGGTACACAATAGACGACCATGCCGTCACATGGCTATCTTACTCGAGCTGCTGCCGATCCCTCATATCTTCGCCGTTTCTTCCTTTTCTTCTTTGCGCAGATACCATCTAATCGTCGTACACTATCCTACACCCAGCATACATTGCAGACTCCTTCACTCATCAAACACAAAAACACACTTCTTACCCCTGAACGGCGTCATCGCCTCGCCCACCGCATCCCTCAACGGCCCCTCCTCCGTATCCCCCCCCCATCTCACCCCCCGATACCCCCCAACCGTAAACTTCCCAACCTTCATCAACTCCACAATCTCCATCACCGTCCTATCCATCTCCTCCGGATTCTCCCTCGCCCACGGCGCCAACCAAAACCCCTGCACCCTCAGCCGATTAAAAATCGCCCGCCCCGTCGGCAACCGTATATACCCTGACCCCATCCCACCATACTTGACCAAACACGCCTTGTCCCCCAGACAATCCATCATTCGCATAACGCTGGGCCCGCCAATCCCGTCCAGCGCGAGGCGTACCGGGTCTGCGCCGTCCCGCGTCCATTCTCTGATGCGAGAGCCGCCGCCGGTGCTGCTCCTGCTTTTTGTGTCGAGGAACTCGTCGTAGGTCAGGACGTGTGTCCCACCAAGATCGAGGAGTTCCTGCCGGAGGGTTTCGGTGGCCTCGGGTGTGTCCCGCGGTCGGAAGAGGTTGATGCTGCGTAGGCCCATATACCGGCCGAGTTGGATTGCTGCGCGGCCGACTGCGCTGTTGGCGCCATTTTGGATGAACCATGGGCCGTCTTGACGCTGTTTAACCTCAACCCCGCCGTCCTTGCTTCTACCTCCTCCTCCGGGCCCCTCTTGCCGTCCCTGCACACTCCCCAAATCAATATAATCCCTCAACATCCGATACGCACTACACGGATTCACCCCTACACACGCCAACTCCACCGGACTCAACCTCCTCCCTTCCCTCCCCGTAGCAGCACCACCGCGAACAACCCTCAAAACCTCTCCCTCAACCCCCTCAACAAGCACATGCGTCCTAAACGTCCCAAACCCCTTCGCCCCCTCCCTCCAGGGCGCAGGAACAACCCAATCCCCCACTTCCAACCCTTTCACCCCTTCGCCGAGTTTCAGCACTTCGAAACATCCCTCTCCTCCGGGTACAGCTGCCGGTGTTGGTACCGACAGTAAACCCCCCTCGTCGTCTTCTCCCGCCGTACCGTTGCGGAGAGTGCTACCGAGGACACTCCGTGAAAAGGAAGGACGTATACCATACGTTCCCTGGATGGTGTTCACATCTGATGGATGGATGGGCGCGGCTAGGGTGCGGAGAATGGCGGCGTGTGGGGGGAGGGCGGTGCTGCTGCTGCTGCTGGTTGCGGTGTTGGGGATGGTGAAGCGGTGGAGGGAGAGGACGTCGGAGGGGTTGCCTGGGGTGGTGTAGATGAGGGCGCTGGCTTGGACTCCGGATGGCCCTGATGAGGGGGCGGTAGCAGAAGGTGGTTCGTGTGGTGGGGCGGTGGTTGTTGATGAGGCGGCTCTGGTGGGGGGGTTATTGAGACTTGCTGGTGATAGACGTTGGATTCCGATGATGGGGCGGCTGGCGTGGTGGGAGAGAGGAAGAAGGTTGCAACGAGCGGCGGGACCCGGACGGAGGGCCATCCGCGAGGAGGGAATGAAGGCTGCCATGCCTAGGGCAGAGAAACAATATACGCTCTTCGCCCTTGTCGGGCTTCAGTCTTGATGTTTGCGACCTAGAAGTGGTTTGAATGTTGGTGGGTCTGAGCAACTGGGGCGAGGGGCGAAGATATTCGAAGCAAGTAAGACGAAACGACAGATTGGCCGCCTGTCTGTTATTTACTCCGGTAGTCGTTTCGATAAAATGCATACACTAGATGGTATTACATCAGTTTTCCCTTTTAGAGAAACTGGGATAGCTGAAAATGAGTTGACATGGAGACATGGTAGCCCCGTCGAGGAAGCAGAGAGCTTTAGCCAATCAGACCAATGCTTTAAAGTTTCCCAAAGAGGCATGGAGCTCTGCCTGGCTACCTGCTTATTGAGCTTGTGGTGAACTGCTCGACTCGTAGCCTGGCATTAAGAGCATGATAGTAGCTTACCTTATGTTTGACCCTGCGTAATTGGACCCCTAAAACCGACCCTTCGCATCCTTCTTGACTTAAACCGGCATGGTAACCATTAAGTTAATGGAATATAAGGTTACACTATTGCGTTACGACGAGGTCAAAGCGCGTCCATCCACGGGACCATCTTGCGATGAACCCTTCTCCTCTCTCTTTTCACGACCTTTTGCACATATTTTCCGAGGTCCTTAGCGATGATAAATAGCTCAAGATTTTATGGGATTGGGCTGGCCACCCGGGGCCATTCAAATAATAAGTGCTGAATCAATAGAGAACCAGAGGCATACGCAGAGATGGATCTGGTTCATCATAAACTATGCGCAACAATACGCCAACAATGGCCGCCTTTTAGAACCTTTTCCCAGCTTAGGTACTTAAAAGATAATCACCCACTTCAACGGGGAAGATTATCCTGGATGTCCAAGCGCGGAGAAAAAAAGAAAAAAAAAGAAAAACAAACAAAGCAAAAAAACAAAAAACCTCCATCAGCCCGTGTTTTGGTGCAGTGTACATGGTAGTAGAAAGGGTGCATCAATCCTGCGGTAAAACCCACAGCAAGTGCTGAATTAAGGAGTGAAAAGGAAACAAACATAGAATCGGCCATTGGTGCTGGCTAACGTGAAGCTTGGGGGCATAACAACATCCTAGGTGCCACAACGACTGCGTAACATAAGAAGGAATAAGCAGTGGTGGAAAATATTGTCGTACAATGAGCGTTCCTCGTGAAAAGTACGTGAAAACAAAAAGAAAACGAGGGGGGTATCTTGCGTCTGCAACTTCACAACAACTCTCTCCACGCCCATCCATCCATGATGCCGTCGGGTTGAGTCGTCTTGATCATCGTATTCGTATGGCCAACTCCCACCAACGACTTGGGGATGGGCTCAACGGTAGCGCCCGGCAAAAGGCATCCGTCCATCCTATTTGATGTCCTTGAATAGATCACCCTCAAAACTGGTGGGGTTTTGGATCCCCAGTTTGGTGTTCAGCTCGGTGAGCTCCGGAATCATCGGCGGCGGCGGACCCGTTGATTGACTTTCTTGTGTAACTGGCGGCGAAAGAGGCGCTGCTACAACTTTGTTCTGGGCGGGTTCGCTGCCTCGCAACCGGCCAAACCAGCCACTCGATCGCCTCGCTTTCTTCGCGTCGGTCATGATGGAACCACTACGGCTTGGTGGCCGACTATTTTGAGCGGGCTCATTGCCATTCGCGTATGCGGCGTTCAAGAGGTTCCGGCTGAACAGCCGACGGATGCTCCCAGGTCGAGTGGAAAGGGTTGGGGAAGCAGGATTATCTTCGGCACGTCGCTTGATGCCTGCCGTAGAAATTGGCGATGGTTTGCCGCTGGCCGTGTCTTTCCCTTCTAACTTCTTTTGTGCCGCCTTTCTCGGCGTGTCTGGTGGAGTTGGGCCTGCGCCCTCTTCCTGTATCGGGGACGGCAGCGGTGGGGGGATGTCGGTGCCGTCGGTCAGAGAACCGAACTTGAAGTCGAGGGCGGGAAGCTCAAATCGGCCCTTTGAAGTTGTCGCGGGAGCAACGGCGAGATCGGTTTGTGGCGACATTGTTCTGTGCTAGCCAGACTTGGGCGGACAGTTGGACGAGGGTAGGCCGGCGAAGGTGCTTCGGTGGGTGGGTGGTTAGGAGGAGGGGGCGGTTGAGGTACGGCACGGGTGGAGGCGGGACCCTGATCGATGCGCAAACAAGGGAACGGCGATGCCAACGGCTGCCGAGAATCGAGGGGAGGGGAGAAACGAGAGATCCGTCCGAGCGTCGTGCGGATAAACCGGCATTCGCCTGTCAGCCAGGATTGCGGTCCTTGATTGCTCTTGTCGGCCCAACAAGCACACGACTTGAAGTTAAAATAGAAAAGAGACAGAACGTCGGGGCAAACAGGTTGGTTTGCAGCTCTGCTGGACGTTGGATGATGGCGTCTTTCTGCGCCGGGTGGCTGGTGCCGAGGTGGGAGCAATACGGTGATCAACAAGACAGGGAACCCGGGTCAATGGGTCTGCAAGTAAGCGAGAATGACGAAGACAAGACTTTAGAGAAGGTCTTCTCAAACGAAGGTGGGCGATGTGGACAAAGAGGGTTTCCAGCGTGATTCGGGGAGCGAATGGTGAGAAATTGGATCCTCAATGGCACTGTGTGTGATGAAAAAGGGAAAACAAAGGGCGAGGGAACTCCAAATCACGGCTTCGCCATGAAGTTTGGCAGTGGCACGAGTGGCTCAGTGGATTCCCCTGAGCAGGAAAGGCAAGGCGGCGTGGGCGGGTCGGCCCTTGCTTGGAAAAGGCAAGACCCTTGTCCTCCCAACTTTCCTCAGTTCCCCGCGAGCTGTGGGGTGGACGCGCTGCTGCTGGAGGTTGCATCTCAAACAAGCCCATATTTCTTTTCTTCCTGCCGGTCTTGCTTTTTATCCTGCTTTGAAATCCGGAAACCGGCTCTGAATGTTGCACAGTTACACTACGTTCTTCACGGCCAACTTCACCGAGAAACAACTGGAAGGTAATTTCATGCCCTGGCACCTCGAATCTTGACGTGTGTCTCACCTTGTGAGCTTGTCATTAACAAGACGTGGGCCTAAAACCCGCCTAGTTCAAATGGGGTGGGTTGACGGAAGGGGACGCTGCACGATCTGATCTGCATGCATTCAACTACCGGATCGCTGCAGCCAAAACGGCCTGCATTGGCGTCGTCAAATCGGCCCTGTGTTAAAACTTACATAGTAAGGCTCCAACAGGAACATGGAGCTGGGCAGTCAGCTTCCTGAGAAATGGGGCGGACGACAACATACGTTACACAAGTTTGCAAGCTAAGTGTTATCGTATGAGCCCCATCGTTGTCTCCGTTCATAACCCAACTAAAACTCGTTCACTTAAATTGTCCTCTTCTGTAAAGGCTCTAAATACGGAATCGCCGCCTACCCTGCCGGCCACCGCAAAAATCGGCAAGTACCGTGACACAAGGCCAAAATCCATGCTTTAAATGATCCCTTGGTATTTCGTTCTAGGCGTTCGATATTCATCTTCTACGCCGTTCATCCCGATCTCACGTGCTACCCACGTGTTACCACCAATACTCGTGACGCCATAGACGCCTCCAATCGCCGGTCCATTCCCCCAAAACTTCTCCCTCCTCATAACCATCCTTTGTATCTTCGGGCCAGGTTGACAGCCTCGGGATTCCTAGTCGAAGGGTGCTTCTTCCAAACCCGGTCTGCGAATAAATCAAGCATATCTTGCACGTTCGATGCCATCTTCCGGTCTCGCCATCTTTATCTTTCCTCGATCGGCACAGAGTTTATTTCGGAACGGCATACTGCTGCGTCCAATCCCTTGCGGTGGCGATGGCGGCCTGTTCATCCTCTTTCCAGCTCTTGGCAACGTCGGCGGCCAACGGATCGTCCGGGTTTGGGGCACCCAAAAGTGCTTGAATGGAGAGTAGGATGGTTCGGATCTGTAGGGCGGGAGACCAGTTGTCTGAGGGCCAGTTAGCTCGTGCCCGCGTTGACTATGGCATATCATGGTGTTTTAACCCACTCTTCAGAACATCGAGGCAGATGCGGCCGAGTTTGTCGACGTTGGGGTGGAAGATCTTGGTCAAGAAGCGGATCTTGGGAGGTGCCATGGGATAGTCATCGGGAAGAAACAGCTCGAGCTTGAAGACGCCACCTGCAGCGTGTTGTAAGTGCGTTAGTATCTCGGAGAGAAGAGCCAGCCCGTCGCATGCATAGGGCAGGGGCTGAGAGGAACCAATAAAAGCGTGCGGCGCACCTTCGTACGGAGATGAAGAGGGCCCATGAATCTCAACATCAAAGTATCGGAGATTCTCTTCGTGGGGAATAGCGCTGATCCCGGGGACTCTGTGGTTGGGAAAGTTAGACAGAGGGCGGTTTTATCCAGCGATAGTGGGTGCGCGGGGCTCCCTTACGGCTCGGCCATTAGCCTTTCAGTCTCCTTGATGATTCTCTTTGGTAGAGCCATGGCGTATGCCTCTTTCGGACCGAAAATCGGGCACCGCGCTCCAGATGATCGTTTCCAGCGTGAGCCGGGAAAAGGAAGTTATCGCGTTGTGCTTCGACCAGGCAGCGGGGTGGCAGGGCGCTGGCGCTGGAGGAGGGGTTGATAGACGTTCGCAATGGGGCAACAAGCGCTCACACAAAAAGAAACGGTTGACAGGCTTCGGGGTGTTAAATCGGCCGGTGGAAGATGTCGTCAACCTTGGTATCGGCAGCGATAGAGCCGAAACAGTCCAGGAGGCAGGTCGTGCGTCGCAAAGCCGTTGAGAGCGTTATGAGGTGACCCAGCAAACGGCAATCGCTCACTCATCAAGCCAAAGAAGTGAAGTGGGCTAGTGGGCTGTTGCCCAACAAGGTCAAAGAAGGGACGCTCGGACCACAACGCCCCCACCCGGGCCCCAGTGGTCCTTCAATCACGGAGCTTTCGCGCTAACCACTTTTGAATTTGACCCATTGCCGGCTGAGAGATTGGCTCACCTTCAAGCGACAGCTCATGGCAGCAGACGATGAAAGCAACAAACGCAACCGACATAATCTCGCGCCAACGACAACGCCATTGCATTGTCCATTCATTGCTACCATTCAGCTACACGAGGGCCCAACGAGATTGCGGATGGGGGGCTCAGCTTCAGTCCCTAATTCGACTTGCCCTTGATGAAATGATATGAACCACAAGCAGACAATCGAATTCCATGGTCTCGCGGTCTCACCCACCATGCTTCACACGTCTACATCACTCGCTTAAACCATGACGCTGTCCTTCGTCCGGCTCTCCGAACCCCCCACGAAGGAGTCGATGAAATCATCCCCTGAAAGTGACAGCTTCGAACGTATTGGCTGGCGCGTTGATGGCCTGGTCGGATCCGCAACTATCTCGCCCTCGGGCCGAGATGTTGCCCTAGCATCGTGAGCAATCCCCCTGAATCAAGCCCTTCTTTTCGTTTGTCTACGTCTCCTTTTTTGTTCCGTACTCGTGTTGTCCGTTCGATCTAACCCGCGCCTAGTCCCGAAGGCCTTGCCATCATTGACTTGGACACCCCTTTTAATCCACCGCGAAGGCTGAGCAGCCACGGGCTTCCCTGGCTGGTGGTTGATGTGCAATGGTCCCCCTTTGCTGCGCGTGATTACTGGGTGGCTTCCACGGCAAACCACCGCTGTCTGGTATGGAACCTGAACAAGCGGGATGACTCGGCCACCGGGGCAATCGAGCATTCACTCGAAGCCCACAGCCGAGCCATTACGGACGTCAACTTCTCGGCCCACCACCCGGATTCTCTTGCAACCTGTGCCGTGGATGGTTATGTGTACTGCTGGGACCTCCGGAGACCGAGGCAGCCCGTGTTGGCTTTCTGTGACTGGTTTGCCGGCGCGACCCAAGTTAAGTACAACCGCCAGGATCCGTTCGTTCTCGCATCGGCCCACGACCGCTGGTTACACATTTGGGATATCAGGCGATCGTCCGATCCACTCAAAACCATCGATGCCCATACTTCCAAGATCTACGGCATCGATTGGAACCGTACCAATCCCACAGCCCTTGTGACCTGCTCACTGGATAAAAGCATCAAATTCTGGGATTACGGAAAGGATGATGAAGCGCCGCAAAGAGTCATCCGCACCGACTTTCCGGTCTGGCGAGCCCGGCACACCCCCTTTGGCCATGGGTTGTTAGCCATGCCCCAGACCGAGCCAGGGACCTTGTTTCTCTACGACCAACACCTTGGTCCCGAAGCCCCCGTAGATGGCCCGGTTGACCCTGTGTTTGTCTTTCCAGGACATGGCGCCCACAAGACGAAGGAGTTCCTCTGGAGAAGCCGAGGCGGCGTGACCGCTGAGGGTATCGACAACCGCGAGTTTCAGCTGGTTTCGTGGGGCGAGGACAACCACTTGCGCCTGAACAATGTTGACCACCAGGTTCTCAAATCCGTCGGCCATGCCCCCGGGACCAAGCTGATGAAGAACCTGGTTCTCACCCGAAGGGGCGCCACGTACAAAACATTCCGCACCGTCGACGATTTTGTCCCCCGCGACCGGAGTCGTCCAACTATGAGTGACCGCCCCGGCAGCGGTGGTCAAGGCCGTCAGAGTGCTTTGAGCAGCGGCTTGAGCTCGGGTCTTCGCCGTGTTGGGCCGTCTTGGCGTCCCACGTCGATGAAAGCGAAGACGAACAAACTCAAACCGGTGGATAAAACACAGCTCCAAATCGGTTGGATGAAAGGAATCACCATGTCTAAGAGAAAGTCTGGTTCCGACCCGTCCGGCCGTGGCGAAGGCGGGGACTCGAACTTGTTCAGCCCGGGCTATGATGGCGGTTGGGGCGAACCGGAAACCGTCCACGACGAGCTGATCCGCATCAGCAACCAGCTCCCCAACATCAAGTGGGAAAATATTGATATTGACTCGCTTCTTCTCAATGCGTCGCTCAAGGGGCCCTGGGGAGCCAAAAACGAGTCCATCTTTATCAAAGTTCGGGTCGACATTCCCAAGAGCTATCCAAAGAGTAAGGCTCCGAGGTTTGCCGTCGAGAAGTCTTCCTTCATGCCAGACGAAACCCACCAAAAGCTCGAGCGTGAGCTCCATGAGCTTGCCGACCGCTTGTTGCAACGGAAGCAGAACTCGCTCTACACGGCATTTACATATCTTCTTGGCGAGACCGATTTGGAAGCGAGCATTGCCTACTTTGATAACGTCCGAGATTTAGAGGACGACGAGGCTTTGGCCGATGAAAGCTCCAGCGAGGAAGACGAGAATGACATCCCCGGCGGTGGCTCGACATCCATGTCCCAGGAGCTCAGCGCTAGTACCGAGTTGGACCCTTCAGCAACACTACTCTCCACGCAGCGCCAGGCCGTTACCCCTCTGCCTATGTTTTGCGGCGCCAAGTTTTCGAACGATGGGCGGCTCGTGTGCTTCTTCCCGTCCAAGGATGGAAAATCCAAGGCCTTGTTCTCTGTGCCCCATCCGGACCCCTACAAAGAACGGCCAAAGGGGGAGCCTACATTCGCCGGGTTTGGCCGTTTATCGCATGACTCGCCACCGCCTAAGCGGCGGTTCCATGACGAGACATCCGCAACGGATGACCAATCCGGCGAGTCGGACGACACGGACTCTACTACTTCCACGGACTCGGAGCCGACAACAGTCCATAAACTCAACCTGTGGTACCAGCCGGGACGCCGTTTCCGAAAGACGTGGAGCACTAATGAATCCATCCGCTCGAGCGGCGGCGGAACCGGCGCTGGAACGGGCACTGGCACGGGGACCAGTCGAAAGAGGCCCGGCAAACCGAAAAATGTAATCTCCATCCACAACTTGCAGAACGAGCTTCCGTCAAAGAAGCAGCTTGCTCAAGAGTACGCCATCTTTGGAGACGGCGCAGATGTTTGCAATCACAATGCCGAAGTGGCCGCCAAGTACGGATACCAGGACCTCGTCCACGTGTGGAAATATGCTGCGCTGCTTCTTCGGCGGGATATCCCCCTCGAGCTCCATGACCTGCACGAGAGTGGGCAGTCCGTGCTTGTCATCGCAAGGGATGCCATTGCCCGGGCGGAGGAGGAACACTTGGAGAACTCTACCGTCTTGGGGTCCCACCTGTCCGGACGTGTCAAATGGGGTCACCACCCGCTGGCGGGGGAGCTCATCCGCGAGCTCTTTGACTACTTTGAGAAGATTGCCGACGTCCAGATGTTGGCCATGTTGGCGTGCATCTTTGGGGATTACTCGATCGAGGATGAAATGGCCATCGCAGCCTCACACCTCCCTCAACCCAAGACGCCGCTCCCGATGAAGGCACCTTCGTTCTCACTCGAGTATTTCCCCACCGACCCCACGCTTTGGGGTTTGGGCGGCTACAAGAGCCAGCCCAGTTCTGCCATAACAACCCCCCGAACGGCCAACACGCCAGCGATGTACTCAGACCCACCAAGCTCCGAAGACATCTCGGGCTCCCTCGAACCCAAGTCGTACTCATGCGGCGAAACGCCCCCTAACCCCGCCCGTGAGCATCTGCGGGAAGTCGGGCACACGCAGAGCCTGTCGACGTCTCCGAACAACAAGTTCTTCCACCGTTCCAATTCCACGGTTGCAGCGGCGATTGCCGCTAGCCTGCCGAGAGCACTTGCTGGTATCGTCTCCGGATCACCCCCTGATACGATCCGAAAACGGCTGAGCCCAGCCGAGACTATGCTCAACAACCTTACTCCGAATGCAATCGGCTGGCCTGGCTCAACCCCTGGTCCGGACACCCCCGGGACGTCGCGGACATCGTTCTCCGACGACGAGTATTACAAAGATGACGGGTTATCCCTGGTTCCTATCGCTGTGTCCTGTGTCGCAGAGAACCAAGGTCTCTTCGACGATGATGGGTGGATGTCAACCCCCCTGATCGATCGCGACCGCTTCCATATCTACTCCAACTACCGCTACGCCTACGCCGAGATGCTCCAGATGTGGGGGCAGCCCCTCTCACGCCTCGAGATCATGAAGTTCGACGTCCTCAAGGAAGACAAGCGTCCCCCGAGCCCACCACCCAGCGTGCCGCCCGGCAGCTCCTACACAGAAGACACCGCACCCAACAACACACCCTTCTACACCACCGGCGCTCCCTCTCCAACCTCTCCCTTCGCCGACCGCCGCGGTCTCTACCGCGGCCTTCTCGACTCAGGCCGGGGCGTCGACATCACCGGGTTCTGCCGCGTGCACCCAGGCACCCCGCTCGAGCCAGCCGAGTACCTCCGCCCGACCGCACCCTCCTCACCATCCATCACACCCGGACCAACCACTCACGGACCCGCCACACGCACAGCGAACGGCGCCGTCGGCGTCTGCCATCGCTGCTCTGCAGAGCGCGAGCACGCCGATCTTGTCCCGCAAACAGAACTAGACTGCGTCTACTGCTGGGAACCCATCGTCGGGCTGTACGCGGCGTGCTTGTCCTGCGGGTGCGTGACGCACAACGCATGCTTGGCTGAGTGGCATGCCCTAGGCGGAGCCGAGTGCCCTGTTGGGCACGAGTGCTGCTGTGTCGAGCAGGCGAGCAGTGAATCGCTTGGGAGCTGGGGTGGGTTGCGGGCTGCAGCCGCGGTGTTGGCTGCGGGCGATAACGATGACGACGACGACTACAGGGGTGGGGGTAAGAAGAAGAACGACCGGGACAGGAAACGGCGGGATTGGGAGAGGGGAGGAGGAGGAGGGGGTAACGGCGGTGGTGGGTATGATAATGGAGACAACGACGACGGCCACGCTGCGCGCTTCAACGGAATGATGCCTCGGTCATCGCGCTCACGGCGTAAGTCAGCGCCAGCCGACACCGCCAAGTTCCAGCACCTCTTGCGTCGCATGGGAGGGGACTCTCAACCCAACTCCAGCTTTGACTCCGATCCCCCCTCTCACTCTCACATCCACACTCACACCCGTACCAACAACCCCCCAACAACCCACCCTCGCACCTCCCAACAACTCTCCACAATGGACCTCACCAGCCCAACCGGCCCTGCACCCCCAACGACATCAACAACACCAGCCGCACCAACAGAAACCTACCGATCACCTATAGGCATGGGCAGCCTCAGAACCAGCCGTACCTTCACAGCCGGCACCGGATCCTCCCCGCGCCGACGCGGTCAGGACGACAGTGAGATTGACCGGTCGGACCGAGACGGTGTAGCCGTGTCATCGTCGGGGTTGTCGGGGGGGAGGGTTACGCCGGGGAGTACAGTGGTTGGTGGAGGTGCAGGTCTAGGAGGGGCGGCGTCTAGGATGGAGGGTGGTGGTGAGCGTGGTGGGACAAGAGGAGGAAGAGGGGCAGGAGGGGATGGTGCAAGAGCAGGTACTGGTGCCGGTGCCGGTGCCGGTGCCGGTGTCGTTTCTAGTGCCAATGCCAATGCTACCGCCGGCGCGGACCCAAGAACCAGCATGGTAACAAAAGCAGGCGGGTTACTAGCCGGCGTAAAACCGCCAGTGAGAGGTGAAGAACCAGTGTCAGCGGCACAACTGAGTCTGGGGAAGAGGTTGAAGAAACAGCTGGAAGAATCTGGGCGGCCGGGGGTGCGGAGGCAGAATTCGGGGGGGTTGGCGATGTGGAAGAGTGCTAATACGGGGGGTTGATATTGTATCGTCTGGCGGTTCTGTGGGAATATGGGAGCTGGATGGTGCCTGAGAGAGACGTGGAAGTGTGTGAGCTGGATGGGGCCAGGGGGCGGTTGTGTTGATAATGATTGCGTGGCGAATATTGGAGTAATGGTTGTTTTACTGTGGTACCTACCGTAGTAGTGTCTATTTAATTTGGTGTTTGGTTTGCATTTAATACAGAACATCAATGTCCTCTCAAAATGGGTGGGTGTTTTCGCTCCACTTATGATTCTACATTCTTACTACACTACACGTACATTCCTACAATCTTGACTCTCCAAGCCGAGAAAATCCATCCCTTTTTATGATCATCTTAGCCTCCTCGTCCCAATTCCACAAACAGCACAGGGCCTTGCCCCCCCACAATAGGGCGGATAGGTTCAAAATGTTACGAGAAAAAAAGAACTCACGCCCAATTCTTCCCAAAAAAGTCCAACACCGTCCTATACCCCCTCGTATACTCCTCCTTGACCCTCTCATCCTTCAAATCCGCCCTCGCCGCCATCCACCCATGGATCTGATCCCCAAACGTCTCAACATGTTTCGCCCCCGCATTGGTCAGTGCCGCCTCAAACGCCTGCACCTTATCCGCCGGCTCCTCCTTGGACGCCAACAGCACCAGTGGAACCTTGATCCCGGGGGCCTCGGACGGGTCGACCATGGCTGGGTGGCAGGAGGCTGCGATGGAGAAGGGGTTGGTTGCGGCGGAGGTGGTGAGGCTGACGACTTTGCCGCCCCAGCAGAACTATGTTTAACAAGATTAGTATCAACAAAGGGGATGTAGAAGGGGATAGGGGAACTTACGCCGAGAACGCCCCAGGACTTGATCTCGGGGTGTTTGGCCTTGAGAGAGTCGACATAACCCGGCAAGGCCTGAGCCACACTCGGAGGCGAGTGCTTTCCAAAGAACGCGCCCAGGTTCTTTTGCTTCTCTTCGGTGTTGGGCGGGTACCTAAGTGAGCGAGCTGTTAGCTTTCGACCAGTGGAAAAGAGGGAATTGATACCCAGCGGCCTAGGTAGGGTAAACCCACCACTCAATGGGGCACGGCTCGCCCTTGAACCAGTCCGGGATAAAGACCTGGTACTTTGTGTCGGAGCTCGTGGCGAGGATATCGACGCCCTGGACGGTTTGGTCAAAGTAGCCGAAGATGTCGTAGATGATCACGATGCCCTTGGAGGCGTCAGAGGGGCCGGTGGTGTCTGGGAGTAAAGGCGGGAGGTTGTTAGTTTACCGGGAAGAGCCTGTGTCTGCAATGGGTCGGGATTATAACGCACAGGTCTTCAAGTCGCCGTATTCTTTATAAGTCCCCTTGGCCTGGTAACCGGTCGAGACGACGGGGGGAATGTTGCAGCAGGCGGCATTGTGGCCGTGGCTCGCGGGCATCGTCGACATTTTGGCGGTAGGGTGGTGCGAAGTAGTAGTTTGTGTTACGTTGGTGTGTGTTGAGAGTCTTGGGGAATTCCCGGCGTCTGGGTTTTGTGCTGGTGATAGGGGAGGAAGGCGAAAGCTAGACAGATGGCGAATGTAAGTGCCGGGCCGCGAGACAGCGATGCTCGCAGGTGCGGGGTAGATGGGCCTAGCGATTCGGAGCTGATTCAGCACGGGCATACCTTTTTAACTCAGCAATTTGTTGTTAAGTCTTGCTCTACGTGTAAACTCAAAAACATGAAGAGATCCCGTTATTTAAACACAATAAATGATAATTAAACCGTCTTCGTTTTCGGCAAAGGGTGCCTCAACCTACGTCTTCGATTGTCTTCAAGCTGCGAATTGCATCTCGATGCGGGGTAGCTCCGGGGAGCTCTGATGTCACCAACGGCTCGGCCCAGCGTTCCCGAGCGTGCCGAGAACAGCCCCGCCAATAGGTGGTTGGTTGACGGTGCACGGCCCCACCTTCGCATTCGGTCCCACCGTGTTACCAGTTTTGGTGCGATCTCGCATGGCTCGAAAAGTGCAAGTGTCGCGAACTTTCGTAAGATTATGTGGGTGTTTCGAATTTCGAGCAAAACACAAGCACCTTGCCTAGCTTGCTAGGTCAAATTTGCGTATTATTCATACTTCTCCCTGTTCCATCCACCCGGACTATCATCAATCCAACGAGAAAAAAAACATCGGCTTTTCAAATCGCTACCGAAACCTGGCCCGAAAACAGCATTGTTCCAAGGAAATTGCCCAACACACCCCCAACCGACCCATTGCAATACTCATCACTAAATCCTCTCCAACCACAAACTCACGACTGTAACTCAAACGCCTGTTTCCAAAGATATCATCCTTCTCGCACCAAAACACTAGTTTACGCCCCAATTGCGTATCCCGATCTCTTCATATCGGCCACCGTCTTTGTCACCACGTCGACCTCAGCCGCAAAGCGCAGCGTGCTCGGCACTTCAGACAACGGAATCCACTTGGCATCCAGCTTCTCCCACTCTTCTTGTGTGCCCGAGTCTCTCGAGTCGGTGCAGTCGGCCGTTGCGGCGAAGTAGTAGACAATCTTGAGCGCTTCCGTCTCGGACTGCGGGTCTGGGTAGAAGCACGCGCCGACAAACTCGTTGCTCGGGTGGCCCTCGGTGATGTTCGGTGGCTTCTGGGATGTGTCCGAATCCTGTGTTTTGGCCGGCGTCGCCCGCGTAGCTACATCCAGCCGCAGCGGGGTGACGTGCAGGCCCGTCTCTTCGTATGTTTCCCGTAACGCGGCCACCAGCATGCTCTCGTCGAGGTTTCGGCGGCCCTTGGGAAGTTGGTAGAGTTTCAGCCGGTTGTTCCAGATGACCAGGACCATGGCCCGACATGGATCGATCGTCACGGTTCCACACGACATGCCGAGAGCACTGGCGGGGCGGAAGTCCATGCTCTTGTCAACCTCGTCGAGCCAGAGCCGGAGCTCGGAGTCGTCTGAGCCGGGCTTGGGTTGTTGTCGAACCATGTTGTATAATAGTAACCGATATGCTGCTGCGTATGAGCAGTGGGGAAATGGCAGCGGGCGGCTGCGAGAGCAAAACAACAACGGCTCGTTCGGCTAGGCTATCTCAGGATCGGTAGCTGTTTCACGCTCTGAGACTGTGGTGCTTTACTGATTTTCAATATTGTCACAGACAGTTTGCGGTGTGCGTAAGTTATGGGTTTGAAAGTCTTGCCCTTTCCTCCTGGGGCTTGTGCAGTTTATCTACCTCCTGCAAATATGTATGGCCGTTGAAAGCGCGACCCGTGGCTGCCTCCATAGGTTCTTTCCGTCCCAAAACGCAGACAGCTAACCGGCCACCTCATGCGGTCGGGCGGCAAGAGCGAATGGCTGTTCCGTGACTCGTTCCTTTCCCATGTGGCTCGAGTCGTACCTCGTGCTGCGACGAGCGATAGACCGGTGAGGATGCACGACCGGGAAGGCCATGTTCGCAGCGCCCACAGCGCGCTTCGCATGCAAGCGGACAGGCCCGCCTGGAAACTCGCGAATCACAGCCACTGGCAGGGCCCAGCCATCGGGCGTATCGACGCTAAGCAGGCAAAGGCAGGGCGACCCAGGCACACACGCCCCCGGCTCCCCAGTGATCCGGGGCCCCAACCGTGCCGCAACACCCCCCCTGGGCGCTGCTCCTCGGAAGGCTGCCCGATCCCTGGCTGTCGCCCGCATGAATTCATGGTTGTCCTGACCGGATTGGCAACCGTCGGTCAGCTTTCCGCATCAACGGATCCCTCCGGGGTGTAGGGTCCTGTCTACACTATTCTTCATCCGAATTACAGTACATCCCTCCTTCGCCAGGGACAACGAAACAAATCACACCCAAAGTGCCGGTGAGCAGAAACCCGGCTGCTTTCACACCCGACTTTTTGAGAACTTGGGGTACCAATCACGAATCGCCATCACATCACATCCTCTTCCCCCTCGTCAGCCAATTCGGTTTCTAACTAATGGGCAAGGGGGGAATGGAAAACGCGATGGATTGAATTGCCGAGTTGAGACGAGCCATGACGCCGTTCGCGTGACACCCCAGCTCGACCGGTGAGCTCCCAAAGTTCCCCTTGGAACCACACCGGCAACCGGTACATTACTATGTAGTGTAGTAATCCGATCTGGAAAAAGACTACAACCCACACTCTTGACGCAGCGGCGAGAAAGAAAAGATCAGGTCATTTGGCCGGCAAGCCGGGCGCGCCTCGTCACCGCCGTTGTCCGCTTTTGGTAGCGGGGTTTTGCCAAGTCATGGTCCAAGGTGACGGGAAAAGCCACGCGTGGGCCCGGGAATGACGAGAAACGTTTATCAACGTGGCACACTCGCATGCTAACTCGTCTTCCAGAAAGTCGACGAGTAATCAAAGGCGAAAAGCCTAGCCGATCACCTCGTAGACTCGTTCCAGAAGTGCTCGAGACGACGTTAGGGTCGAAAGAAGGGGGGTGGGGAACGTTTTATCCCAGCTGTCAACTTTCCTGCTCCGGGACCCTCATCGAGATGTCTTGCAGCTTAACGACCCTTGCTGCATGCACCGCCGTCCTACCCACCTCCAAAACTCCCCACGATAACCGGAGCAGTGGGCTCAAGAAGTGGACATCAACGGGGTAAAATGGGAAAAGAAGAATAAAACCTGACTGGGGCATGTTTCTTCGATGGGGACAAGATCGCGGTTGAGTGGAGCTGCTGCAGTCTCATCAGGGGGGGTCAGCGAGCAAGTGAGCGGCTCGCAAGCGGGAGTGGGCGTGGGCGGCTCGGGGGGATGAGGAGCTGCATATTCCGGTCCAGGCAAGCCACAACTCCATGCAGGACGGACAAGCCGTGTTTCGTACACCGTTCAAGTGTGCCTTACCGTGGCGATTTTGAGATATTGATTCTTCAGCGGTCGATAACCTGGTACATGTACATGTACTGTACACCGCTGACCGAGTCCGGTAGGACAAGGACGTTCTTTTATCGCTCTGTTAAACAAGCCGATCTAGCATTTTCCTCTGTTGTAGCTATATCAGTTGGTTCTGAGCTGGGGGAACCGTTGCCGCCGGATACAACGTTCCCCTTGCAGGATGCTACTCGCTCCGGTGGATCCGCCTCATGGTTCCGTAACCCCAGGATCGAGCTTACTTCGACATCCTGTACTGCGGCTCGAGTGCGGATACACTCTTGTGGAGAAGGAATTCTAGTAGACACCCAGGTGGTTGATTGGGGTTGGAGAGTTCTCCAACAAATGTCTAGGCGTGACCGAAGTGTAGAAAACACAAAGACATCTTTATATTATCTAGGCACTCTAAGTCTCCTTCTCCAAGCCGTAAACGCTCTCGTGTGGTTGGCCACTAATTTCTCTAACCGAAGCGAGGGGCATCGGGCCCCAAGATATCGTGACCACACAGCTTTGTCTCCGTCTAGACTTTCCGTTGACGTACAGCAGATTTTGATATTTCCCAATTTTTTTCGTCCTTTGGGGTGCATTTCTACCATTCCCATCACTTACCCCATAACCCCACCCGACCTCCTATAAACCTCAACAACCCGCTCAGCGATAGGACCAAGTCCCCAACCCCAAATTTACGACATAGTAAAACACGTATGATTCTCCCCAATGCGGGAACCCGCCCAGCCGCTCTTGCATCTCGGCTTCCCCCCCAAAAGCCGGGAACCAGTTTCTTTGCTTGCACACACGGCCGCGGCATCATTTCCCGCCCGGTAATGCGGCCCGCACACGTTTCCCCTCGCTTATTTTCTCGGCTCGGTTTTCTTTTAAGCATGAATAGCCTGCTCAAGGGCCGCCTCATCCTCTGCCTCCCCCGCACACATGACACATGACGCATGACATTGACTATGGATTTGGTTCTCTGACTCGGGGTTGGGAGTTGGGAGTGGTGGGGGATGGTTGGATATAGTCGAGGGTAAGAAAGCAGTAGGTTATAGTTTCTAGAAAATGAATCATCCGCTGCATGCATGATGAGGTGAGAGTGGGAGGAATTGAGAAAAACTTGGAAGCTTACCGGATATAGGTGCAAAATTTAAAGCCAAGGGGGACGGGGACGGGACGATGGGGTGGTTTGGGGGAACCCAAACTCTTCACCATGTTGAAGATTAGGTCCGTCCCTCGCGCGGTAAGTAAATGCTACAAGCGGGACGGAATCGGAGCTTAGGCGGTAGCCAAGCAGGTATGAAGAAATTTGGGCGGGGCCATGAAGAGCAAGATTCGTCGGTACCATCTAGCAAGTGAGGTGCCCACACCGACGTTACACTGCTTCTGCGGAAGTATATAAGATGAAGCAACCTATATTTCGTAGCTATCACCCCACAAGATAGAGTGTTTTTTGGTACTCCAACCACGCGCCTCCGCCTGGCGGAAGAGCGTGGGGGTCATGACGGATGTGTCTTCCGCCTTTTGATCATGAAGTACAATATCTCGATTAGCTTTCACGTACATGTTCCGGGGGGGACATGCATATCTGAAATGCCGCATGCAAGGCGAGGGTGAATTCTCGAGGAACACAGATCGGTAAAATGTGTGGATACCATAAAGAAAAAAGCGGTGTAGCTCTGCATGGCGCTCGCATCTGCGACAAGTTCAACAGTGAGGTTGGTACGCAACTGTTGCACTCATTAGATCAAAGTTTGGGAACAGCTGCCAGTATACCGAGTTACAAAAGTCAGCGGTCTATGCGATGACGGAGGCCGCTTAAGCTTCTATTTACGATCTGGCGAATAGCTATCTTTACCACCTGGATATGCGCACCATGCCGCCCCCCGTCTCGGGTTCCGAAATATTGTTTGCGGTCCCGGAGAACCCGCGCCGATCGGTCCCACTTCTCCGGCCCGAAGTGGATCCATCGGAACCGGAGCCGGGTACTCAACTCCGGGCTAATCCTGCCACCGCTCGTACTTGATTGAGTACTGACAGAAGCGTCTTCTTTACTGCTTCCTCCAGTGGGCTCTATGAGCGGTAACAATTATTTCAAATTAGATGCAGTTTGGCTCCCTCGCTCTGGAAAGAAAGAAACAGAGCCAACTTCAGAATTAGATGTTGTCGAGACGGCCTGTGAGGTTTTACCAAAATGGGAATGCCGGATGTTCAGTGGCCTTCAAGAGGGGGAAATCCGTGCTTAAAAAACAAGAAAGAACAGCTTGCCACTCCAAAATCAAAGCTATATCATTTGTATCATATATTTTCTTCTATATCAGTCACTACCCACCCCTCTCGGTCTACCCCAAGTGGGCATACTCCTTGTTAAACGCCCGCCCAATAACCATCCGGCGAACCTCCGACGTACCAGCCCCAATCTCATAAAGCTTCGCATCCCGCATGATGCGTGACGCAGGCATCTCCTCTACATAGCCCATCCCACCCAGAATCTGGATCGCATCTAGCGCGCACTCCGTAGCCCGTTCCGCAGCATACAAAATCGCCCCGGCGCAGTCCTGCGTCCGAATAACCCCCTGCTCGTCGACGGCGCGCGCCGTCGCATATGTATACGCGCGTGACGCCTGCAGCTTGGTGTACATGTCGGCCATGCGGCCCTGGACGAGCTGGAACTGCGCGACGGGCGTGCCGAACTGCTTGCGCGTGTGCGCATAGGGGAGCGCGACATCTAGCGCGGCCTGCATCAGGCCCAGCGGGCCGGCGGAGAGCACCAGGCGCTCGAGGTCGAGCCCTTCCATTAGCACGCGCGCACCGCCGTTGAGCTTGCCGAGGATGTTTTCCTCGGGGACGAAGACGTTTTCGAATACCAGCTCGCCGGTGTTGCTGCCGCGCATGCCCATTTTGTCGAGCTTGCGCAGGCAGGCGAAGCCCTTGGAGGAGGTGTCGACTAGGAAGGCCGTGATGCCCTTGGAGCCGCCGCCGGGGATGGTCTTGGCGTAGACCACGACGAGGTCGGCGTCGGGGCCGTTGGTGATCCACATTTTAGAGCCGTTGAGCAGGTAGCCGCCGTCAACGGGGGTAGCGCGGGTGCGCATGCTGACGACGTCGCTACCGGATCCGGACTCAGACATGGCGAGCGCGCCGACCTGGGTGCCGGCGATGAGACCGGGGAGGTACTTTTGTTTTTGGGCTGGCGAGCCGTTGAGCTGCAGTTGGTTGACGCATAGTTGAGAGTGCGCAGCGTAGCTCAGCGCAATCGACCCGCTCGCCCGCGACAACTCCTCCATCACCACGCAATGCGCTTGGTACCCCATTGCCAACCCGCCGACATCCTCGTCGGCGGTAATGCCTAAGAACCCGGCCTCGCCCAGCTTCGCCCACATGTCGGCTGGGAAGTTGTTGTTCTTGTCCGTAGCGGCCGCGACCTCCTCGGTCAGCTCGCGGCGGGTGAATTCTTGCACGCGCTCGCGCAATTCGCTGAGGTCGGCGGGCGATGGGGGCTCGAAGCCCTTGGGGTGTTTGGACGAGGCATTGCGCCGTTGTTGGAGTGCGAATGTCAATTTGGGGGTTGGGGTTGTTGCTGCTGCTGCTGTCCTTGACGATGCTAGTAGCGAACAAGAGCCGAGGTTGAATTGGCGGGGAACGGCGTGTGTCCTGGCGCGCGAGAACGCTCGTGATATCGTGGGACCTGACATGTTGGCTGGATCGGATAGGGGTTGAACGGGAATGGGGGGAGAAAGAAAAAACACAAATTCAACACAGAGAAGCGAACAAAACGGGTACGCCTCGTCTTTCTTCCCTGGCGGCCAAGTTTAGTTGACTTTTCGTTTTGCCGTCCGCCGGACTTTAAGCCGATGATCAGAACAGGGCCAATCGGCCTTGTGACATCGCTGGGGGTTCGGCGCATGACAGCGGAGTCGGCTTGCGCCGGGTTACGGTTTACCTCGGGCCATTCTCACAGCCCCAGCAGTTACCCCGGGTTTTGGAGGGGCAGCAACAGCGAGCTTCCGGTCAGTTTCCTGGGGAATGAATATCTCCTGCACCTTTCACCTTAATCGACGGGCTTCAACCTCTTTGCATAACCTCAACCGTGGGATCGTGAGGATCTCGAAAGCCGCCAGAATGTCGCTCTCAACACCATCCAGAGAAATGCTTCTTCTCTCGCGCCAATTGGGTCGCCAATGCCTCCGCGCCCGTTCCTTCGGGGCCCGCACCCGCACACGGACAAGACCAAACACATACAACCAGTCCATCCCAAACATTACGTCGAGACGAACGGTGGCCACCTTCAATACGCCACACCAAGCCGGCGCCATATCCGTCATCAAGAGCAATGTCGACACGACTTCGGAAGAGTACAAGGAGAACGAGCGGCTCATGGGGGAGGCCATGGTCCGCTTAGACGAGCTGACCAAGAAGGTCCAACAGGGTGGTCCGGCCAAGGCGAGGGAGAAGCACTTGGCTCGCAAAAAGATGCTGCCCCGGGACCGAATCACCGCGCTGATTGACCCGGGGACTACATTTATGGAACTGGCGCCGCTAGCCGGCCACGAGCTGTATCCCGAGGCTGAAGTGCCCGCGGGTGGTGTCATTGCCGGTGTGGGCGTCGTTGAGGGCGTTACTTGCATGATTGTTGCCAACGACAGCACAGTCAAGGGCGGGACTTACTACCCCATCACGGTGAAGAAGCATCTGCGGGCGCAGGCCGTTGCGCAAGAAAACAAGCTACCGTGAGTCCCCTCCTGGAATTTGATGCTGGATACCTACCTACATTCGGTTTGTCTGCTACGCATGCTAACCGTCCCTCAGTTGTATTTACCTCGTCGATTCCGGCGGCGCAAACCTCCCGCACCAGGCCGACGTCTTCCCCGACCGTGAACACTTTGGGCGCATCTTTTTCAATCAGGCACGCATGTCGGCCGCGGGGATACCCCAAATTGCGGTCGTCATGGGGCCTTGTACGGCCGGCGGCGCCTATGTCCCGGCCATGAGCGACGAAAGCATCATCGTGCAGGAACAGGGCCACATCTTCCTCGCAGGGCCTCCGCTCGTCAAGGCAGCCACGGGAGAGGTGGTCAGCCCAGAAGACCTCGGCGGTGGCAAGATGCATTCGTCTGTGTCTGGCGTGACCGACTATCTCGCTGTGGACGATTCTCATGCCATCGTGCTCGCACGCCGCTCCGTCAGCAACCTCAACTGGCCGACCAAGTCCACGTCCGTAGCCCCCAACAGCTTTTCCGAGCCGCTCTACGACCCGTCTGAGCTTCTCGGCATCGCCTCGACCAATCTGCGCAAGCCGCTGCCCATTCACGAAGTCATTGCGCGCATCGTCGATGGCTCCGCCTTCTCCGAGTTCAAGCGCGACTACGGGACCACGCTCGTGACGGGCTTCGCCAACATCTACGGCCATCGTGTTGGTATCGTGGCCAACAACGGCATTCTCTTCAGCAGCTCATCCCTGAAAGGCGCTCACTTCATCGAGCTCTGTGCCCAACGCGGTATCCCACTCGTGTTCCTGCAAAACATCAGTGGTTTCATGGTCGGCAAGGACGCCGAGCGCGAAGGTATCGCCAAGAACGGCGCCAAGCTGGTCACCGCCGTCGCCTGCGCCGACGTGCCCAAGTTTACCGTCGTTGTTGGCGGCAGTTATGGTGCCGGCAACTACGGCATGTGCGGTCGCGCGTACTCGCCGCGCTTCCTGTGGATGTGGCCCAACGCCCGGATCGGTGTCATGGGTGGTGAGCAGTTGGCCAGTGTCATGGAGACGGTCGGGCAGAAGGTGGATACGGGGCTGAAGGAACGGATTGACCGGGAGAGCGATTGTGTCTTTTCATCGGCGCGGTTATGGGTGAGTGGCCTGATCGAATTTCCTCCCCCCTGACGTTTTGTTTTTTGCGTTGAATTTGGAACGGCTTGCTAACATATATCTGGTTAGGACGACGGTGTCATCCCCCCAGCACACACCCGGCAGTATCTGGGGTTGGGTCTCAATGCGGCAATGGGTGGCCGGAATGTGGTTCCGCCAGGACAGACCAAATTTGGAGTTTTCAGGATGTAAAACATGTTGAGCGGTTGCTAAATGCCATTTCATTCTTCGATGTTAATCGGCCGTGATGCAAAATTGGTCTTCCGTGTCAAAATTGTGGGGGTCGTGGCGGTGACGGGCCGGCGCGGGATGTGCTGCTTTGCTGTCGTGTTGAAATGACGATCTTGAAAACATCGTGGGATCGCATTTGGTCTTGTGACCTTCAATCCGTGGCGGTTTCGACAGTCCAGCTGGCGAGTGCCGTCCTGACCGCCCACAGAGACAAGACGCCGGACTCGACCCGAGCGGCCGAAGCAACGTGCCGCATGCAGTGCGCATGCAAATGTTGCATTAGAGGCGACAGCTTGACAGTCGAGACAGTCTCGGCTCTCCCAGGCCCTGGGCACGCTGTAACCTCACTGCATCCATTGGGCCATTCTGAACACCGGGTTGCCTCTCTGGTATGTTGACCTCTGTTCCCATGCCCGTGGTTGGGGTTCCTTAGAAGTTGTGCCTCACCCAGTGAACTATCGTGATCAGCCACCGTGTTCCAATTCTGCTCTGGTGAATGGATGGGAATTTTCGATTTCCCATTCTCACCCCACAAACGTGTCATGAATGTTGCTTCTGCCCCAGGAGGTCTATTTCCGATCCCGGTGCTGGATACCCTTCTCCGTGGCTCCCAGCACCCGTTTTGGGTAGGATGATCCATCAGTTCTGAAAGATGTCAGTTTTTGATGTCCTCGTGACTTCTTTGGCGGGGTGTGACGAGTCGTGGGCTGGGACAGTAACTGGGGCAGCGCTGGGCGAACACACCCAAATGGTTTCTTATCGTTCTATCCGCTAAGCCTGCCGTGGATTCTACCCACCAGCTTGACCAAAAACCCGGAGTCTGGCCGTGAAGAACCTGCAGATCCGCTCCTTCCCGGACCCAGACTGCCCCGATTTGCCCCACCTTGAGCTGGGCCTAGAATGCCGGGCTCAAAGACCGCGAGCACCGGGGCCAGGCCAGCAAAAGTTATAACTGTCTTCCCACGAGAAGTTCTTTTTCTCCCACCGATTTTGTTTCAAACAACGCAACCTAACTTTTCCACTCGCCATCCTCGAGTGTTGCGTTCAGATCAACCGCACTCATTTTTTCCCTTCATTCAACACCAACAACTCTGATCATTTACCCGTCTTGTTAACAAACCCCCGGCATCATCAAAGATCCCCGCAAGCGACCATGTCTCCAATCGCGCGGCTCGCCATCCGCACTGCGGGGCGCGCCCCGCCCCACCGCGCTTTCGGAATCGCGTCCGTCAATCTGATGAACCCCACCATGCCGAGCCGTTTCCGGGCCGTGTCCGCGTTCCACACGTTTCCGGCGCTTCTCCAGCAGAACGGTAACGGTAACGGAAATGGCGGCAAGAAGAACATTGCTCCCGGTGCTTTCGCCCGGACTGACGACTCTATCACTGTCGAGTACCCACCGGAGGAGCAGTTGCCTTCTTCTGAGCCGGTCGAGGGCACTGACCGTGCCGGCGCGCACATTTTCCCTACCCTCGCGACTTTCTCGCTGCAGGGCAAGGTCGGCGTTGTGACGGGCGGTGCCCGTGGTTTGGGCTTGGTCATGGGCCGTGAGTATATTCTGTTTCCTTTCTTTCCCGATCTTGCTCCGGTTTTTATTTGTTTTTTCCGGCTTTCTTTTATTCTGGTTTTCTTCTTCTTCCGGTTATCTTTTATTCCGGTTTTCTCGCTTGCCGGTTTTCTCGTTTGTCGGTTTTCTCGTTTGCCGGTTTTCTCGTTTGCCGGTTATCTTTTATTCCGACTTTCTTTTATTCTAGTTTTCTCGTTTTCCAGTTTTCTTTTATACCGGTTTTCTTTCTTCCCGTCTATCGTGACATTATGTGACAAACATTCGCTAACGAGTTTCCATAGAGGGAATGGTTATTAGCGGCGCCGATTTGGCGATTGTCGACCTCAACAGTATGTTACAATGCACCTTTTCAAATCCCGGTTCACTATCGCTAACAGCTTCTAAAGAGGAGGAGGCTGCCAAGCAGGCTCAGAACATTGTCGACACCTTCCGCAAGGACCACCCCGACAAGAAGTCAGTTTCTTTAACATCGACCATCAACCAAGCATCTAGTTGCTAACAATATCCCCACATCTAGGCCTCCCCGTGTGACCGCTCATTACGCCGATGTCTCGGACCCGGATAGTGTCGAGTCTTGCATCGCCGAAATCATTGCGGAGCACGGCAAGATCGACAACCTCGTGACTTCCGCCGGTTTCACGGAGAACTTCGAGGCTGTCGCTTATCCTATCGACCGCATGCGCAAGCTGTGGGGTGTCAACGTCGACGGCACCTACTTGTTCGCCACCACCATCGCTAGACATCTGGTAAGTTCCCTCAGAACTACATGGGATTATCCGCAATCGGCCGCCTGTCCTAACAATTCTGATTCTTAGATGGAGCGTAAGGCCAAGGGCAGCATGGTGTTTGTCGGCAGCATGAGCGGTGCTATCGTCAACGTTCCCCAGCCGCAGGCGTAAGTATTTACCTATCCCTTTCGGCACCACGGAACAAACATTGCCTTTGCTCTTGGTTTGTTAACACAAGTTTGCTCCACAGTCCCTACAACGCGGCCAAGGCCGCCGTGCGCCACCTGTGCGCCTCTCTCAGCGTCGAGTGGGCTGGCGCTGGTATTCGAGTGAACTGTGTTTCCCCGGGCTACATGCTCACCGCTCTGTAAGTTGAGACCAACCAGCCGCCCAACCCCCCTTGCCGAATTCACCGGCCCTTTGTGTATTACCACACCCACCGGTCACAAACTTGAGAGAAAAAAGTCCTAATCACTCAAACCCCTCAAACAGGACTCAGAAGATCCTAGACGACAAGCCGGATCTCAAGCGCCAGTGGACCTCGCTCATTCCGCAGGGTCGCATGGGCGCTCCGGAGGACCTCATGGGTCCCGTCACGTTCCTGCTGTCTGATGCCAGCAGCTATGTTACCGGCGCCGACCTCCGTGTTGACGGCGGCTACACCGTCACATAAGCGATCTCGTCAATCTCTTCCGTCTTTCTTTATTTCTTTCTTCTTTCTTTCTCCTTAGCGAGGAAATGGAGTTCCGAGAACAGGGGAAATAAAAAAACGGGTAAACGACACGGGATAGGGACGGACGGTTGGTTGGTCGGCAAGGCGTTTAGGATGGGAATTTGTTTGGTGCCTAGGTACCGCCATGTTAATGGCAGTTAATAACACATTTCACGGCCGGATCTAAGGAATGGGGACTTCGTTTCTCCATCCGGATATAGGGCAGAGAAATGAGAATACCGATTTGGCACTCGATTTGCATGTCCCCGTCGTGGCGAAGCATTCATCGCGGTGAAACATCGCAGTGAAGCGTGTAATACGTCCACCATCTCGTGATTTCTGAGCAACGCTCATATTCCTGCCATACTAACCCAATTCCCTCTAACCCCCACACAATACTCTTAGGAATAGCACACGGCGTACACACAAGCCCTCCCCCCACTGCTCTTAAATCTAATAAATAACTCACCAGCTCAGAGATCTGCATTCTCCCAACTCTGGTGCCACCCATCAAGGGCTCCCTACACGCAAGCGAAGGAATGAGCGCGCAAGCTACCCGTATTAAACAAGAAGGATGAAAGCTAAAAGAAGGCTGGGAAGTATCACTCCCGTAGCTCGCATCCGGGGTACTGCATCCGTATGTGCGTGCGCCCGCATCACATATCTGTTGTACATACAGTACAGCAACATCCGCACCCGCATCTGCATCCGTGTTTGCAGGAGAGCTCAGACCGGGTGTTTTTTTCCGTCACCCGGTCACTTTTTAACAACGGTTGTGTCGTAAGTAGGATCGAGCTCAGGATCGAGCTCGGGATCGGGTTCGAGATCGGGATGGTAACCTTAACATACATCCCGGGATAATACTTACTTTGTGTGGTGGGGGAGGGGCTAATGACAACGTTCGGTTGTTAGCGTCGAGGGGTTAAGGGATGGCGTGGGATGGGTATCATGAGATATCCAAATGCCGCGTAGGTGGGCAGGTCAGTTGGCAGATAAGGTGGGCAACGTTAGACGAACTCAAGCGATAAGATGGCATGTGGTTGTCGGGGTCCGCATTCCGATGTACGCGGTCTTTGTTTTCGCCCTAGGACGCCTCGGCCTAGCTGTAAAGCAATGATTCAGCCCGCAGCGGCCCGGCACATCGGATACGAATATGGCAAATAGGATTCGCTGCTTTTCCTGGGATGCGCCGCCAATCAAGTGACGTCTCGAATTCGGGTTTTACAAACCTCCAAGTGGTTGCTTTTGTTTTTACTCTGTTTTGGGTTGCTCGCTTGATATGGATCTCGGGACACGCCGTAGCGCCGATTTGACCTACCATTTTCTGTGAGACATACAGGCGCCGCACTGCAGGTTATTTTACCCCAGGCGAGCTTGAGGAATGGGGGTAAATTTAGCTCGCTAGCCGACAGCGCGGTGAGGCATCCCCAGACGTCTTGGTCCGTGAAGTGGTTTCACCGTGAAGTGACCTGTTACATAGTACAAGTCAGGCGGCGAGCCAACCTGGATGTCTTGATAAGTCGTCACATGGGGGATACATGGGCGGGTGACTAGTTGGGGCAGGATAACACGGATGATATGATAGCACATCATGTTGGGGTACGACGTACTTTGCAATTCCCTGGTACCGTAGAACATCCAGACGGAGTATTATCCACGGGAGACTCCAGATCCGGCGTCGGGGGGCAGGGACCGGGATTACGGAACAAGACGCACCGTCGTCTAGGACGAACTACCTGGACGTGTTACCCAAGGCGGCGTCTCGGCGGGCTCCGGTCATGATTCTTCCAAGGCTGGAGAGGTGGTTCGGACGGGGCGCAGGTCACGGCTCAACACAACGCTGGTACACTGCTCTTTACAGATCTAGTGGAGGTGAGTCGAACGTACTTGGGAAACGAGGAGTGTGTGTCTAGCTTCAGATTGTGCAATGCCCCCCTTACGGTTGGTCATCGCATCTCGGCAGGCTCGTGGCAGGCCAACGACTGGAGTGAAGACCAATCGCAGGAGCTGCCACGACTCTTCTGTCCTGTTGGCCCGCGAATCCCAAAAAGAGACTGGCCACTTCAAATCTCGACAACGGTTGGATGAGTATCAACTCTGCTTTGCCCTCTAACTACCCTTCCGGCCCACTTTCCCCAAGCTCCCGAGCTCCCCACGCGGGATGCGGCGGAGTGATGGGAAAGGCGTCGCCTCGGGCGGTGATCGCTAACTCCGCATCTGACTCGCTCGCGCGGTCCGCTTGTCGTTTATTTATTGGTGTAAATCTCTCGGCCCCTTGGCTGCTCCTGCGCGGGGAAACGCCCTGGATTGGAGTCTGGAAGGTCTTGTGGCCATGACCTCCCGTCGAGTTAGTGTGCGGGGCCTCGGCTTGGACCCTGGATTCGTGGGTGGACAACGAAATGCTAACAGTCATAACCGTCTGACTCCGGAAGTCCCGCGTTTTTTGCGACTGATGGCCGGAGTGGTCGTTGGCCGCCGAGAAATCCCCACGAGGCTTTTGTGGTCAGCAGAGGCCGTGGAACCGCAGTCTCTTCTGGGCTGATATCTGACGGTAAGAGGTCTTTGCTGTGCCGGTCCCGAGGGGCCTGAAATTACTCACCGCTGAGTAGGGCCAGTGTGAAATCCCTAACTAGCACGGCGAGCAAGCTCTTTTCGTTGACCGTCTTTTTTGTCTACTACCGCGACACTGGGAAGAAATCGGGCAGCATGGTTTCATCTGTTTTCCTCAGCCCAATGTGCAATCGGTAGTAAAAATTGGAGCGTGGGGGACCAGGTCCTCCTGTTACACCAGGACATGCCTCGGAGATGTTTGGCAGGGTATCAGGGCATCAGACACCCAAACAAAGATCTTTGTGTGAGCTTGGCAGAGGGCAATGTGGGACTTGACGAGGCGCCTGGGCACCTGAACTCGGAACGAGGGTTTTTTGCTTCCTTCTGCGGATCATTACTCGCAGCTGAGTCGCACGGGTGGGTAAACGGAGGCGACGCCGAAGAGAAAAAAGGAAACTTCAGGCCGGTGGTTGTTCCTTAAGAACTGACCGAACCATGGACGAAGGCGGGTGGCTGTGTGGTCGGCGGCGAAAAGGCTTGGCTCCGGTGCTACCTTGAATCCACGTGCCTCTCATCCCCGTCAGGTGATTGTCGCTCTTGTCTCGCCATGCGGAGATACAGCAGGTCCCGTGGTAACGGGACGGGAGGTCAAGGTTGACGAAAGAGGGAGAAACGAGGGGGAAGTTGGAGGACGGAAGGACGACATGGCAGTTTCGAATCGAATTTCCCAACACAACTGCTAAACTCGTGCAAGCAAGCCCAACGACGTCGGGGCCACAAGCGGGAGGCCAGTTTGTTCCTTCCGCCCCGTCCCATGTTGCGTGCAGCGCAGGGCTGGCGTCCTCTAGAGCACCTTCCTGATTCTGCAGCATTCCGTGGCACGACCGGAAGGCGTGGGTGGGGAGATTGGAAATTGAGAATGAGGTGGAAAAGAGCTGGAGAGAAGGGATGATTCCCAGAACGCCGGGTTCGGGAGAATGGAATTGTGGTGATGGGCGGTTTATCAATCGGTTGGGTCCGCCGCGTGACAGCACCTTGGCGATCCGAGACACCCCACAGACGACCACCGCCGCCCAGGATCCCCCCAACAACGCTAATTTGGAAAAGGGTTGCAACACCCCCGACCCCTGTATGGCCTGTCTTGTGCATGTCCATTGCGCATCGCCGGTCAGCAGGGGAGCTGGAAGGGGACGTTGACTTCGGGGTTTGGATCACCCCAGAGAGAGAGAGCCCGAACACAACACTTAGGCAGCGAGATCGTAAGCCATCGAGCAACAAGGCCCAAGTCTGTGTGGCCAGCCACTCGCTCCTTCTTTTTGATGGGCCTCCCTTTCCCAAACGCCGAGACGGACTCACCCTCTTTACTGTTCATTCCTTGAGAGCTGCGCTTTCCTTTTGTAGTGTGTTCCTCCCACATCGCAAACGTTCATGACTGTGGCTGAGGTCCGGTCCTCCTTGGTCTTCTTTCCCAAGGGCTCCCTGGGCATCTTGCCAACAGCACGCTCGACCAACTGCCCAACCCCCCTCCACCTCAACGGTCTTTTCGTCACCCAGGCCCAGAATCGTGGATCGGTTCCGGGGCCAACAGCGTAGTGGAGGGTTTGCTGGGCAAGCGGTGAGAAGTTCTCCACTACCGGACTCCCGTTGTGTTGGCCAAACAGCTTCGACTCTGACCGGTAACAACTTGGGTGTAAGTGTGTTCCGGAACACTCCATCTCCGTCCAGCCTACACAGTATCCCCCAGGGCCACAATTCCAGACAGACCCCGAATCGTCACGGTGGGCGTGGTTATTGGCACACCGTGGAGAAGAAGCAAATTCGCGTGGCGGGCACGAATCCAAAAGGGCCTGCTCCCTCAGGACACCAGCATCTCTGCTCAGGAGGAGCTGCCCTGGTCTCGATGACACTGCACACAAAAGCTCTCAGCCGCCTTGTCCCTTGCCCCGTTTGCCGATGCTGCGGCCTCCGTGACGTGGTCCGGTCTGTCGGAATCCCCCTCATCCCCTTCTCTCATCTCACTGAACCCTCCCGCCTTCTTCCCTTGTCCGCCTGAACAGTGGTGGGGCGTCCCAAGCCAACGGTTCCAGGGGCAAAGGGCTGACAAGCACCAAAGATTTGGCCCTCGATCAGATTACCCTCAGGTTTTAAGCCTTAGCCAGGTGGTTCTGAACTGTACACTATCCGCCGGCTCTTCTGTCCTCCTGCCAGACTGGTTGCTGGCACCGTGGAACAAGGAAACCTTACGCCATGATCCCCCAGCAGCTGCGAAGTGTTAATTCTCCGCCAGCAAGCCGCATTCTGACCGCCTAGCGCTTACCGCCGGGGAAAAATGGACTCGATGATGCCCCTGGGGTTCTTTGAGAACACCCAGGAAATCTACGCCGAAATCGCAAGCTACCCAGTGGTCCCGCCCGAGAAGCTCAAGCAATATTGGAACGGTATTAAGAACAGCCTGTGGCCCCAAGGTTAAGTGACGTAGTAAAGCTAACGGGGCTTGAATAGTCTACACCACCACCTTTCGGCGGCTTTTCGACCCGAGCGCGTTCCGGTTAGAGAACTTCTGGTGGCACGTTTGGGGCAGCGAAAAGTTGCGAAACCTCAGTGGACCTGAGCTCGCTAGGCTCTTCGAGGAATTTTCGACTGGCCCAACATTTGTACCGTTGCCTGCGCCCACAGGACGGCTCAAGCGCTCCAAGGTAGGATGAATGTATGCGCGGGGCGGCCGGTATACCAGTGCTGATTTGATGTACAGAAAACTGCTACTGAACGAGATGGACGCGAAACTGAGGCCCAAGGGCCGGCTCCTGGGCTGCCTGGTAGTCCCGGGCAGAGGTCTACTTCTTCGACCAGTAAGAAGGGGTTGACTCCCTCATCCTCGCGGCCTCCGCCGGCCCACCCTATTTTGAAGAAGTCTAGGGGTCCTTCTTCTTCTGGGCCGCGGCCGACCGCGCGATTCGCCTCACCCCCAACCTCCGGTGAAGAGGCCATCCAGGACCTCGAGACCGCGTCGACGAGCACCGCAGCTAGCGCCGTAGCAATAACTGCCCCTGCTATGCCCCCGCCACCCCTTCCCCCGTCGCGACAAGGCCGAGACGCTGCCCCCACTTCCTCGCCCGCGCCAAATGCTACTAGTTCAACTGGGGCGAGTCAAACAGACAATATTGCAGCACCAAACGGGGCCGGGACGGAAACGAGCACCCGCCAGCCGGCTTCATCTACCACAGGAGAGAAGGCGCCGGCGACAACGGGGAGGAAGTTTGTGGTGGCCACTGCGGCATCCAAGAGACGGCCCGTGGTAGTCCGAAGGACGAGTTCGCAGACTTCGGCAGCGCCTGAATCCGGACAGCGGAATGGACAAGCCGCGGCTTCAAAACGCTCGGGCTCCAAGCGTTCTACGCCAACCCCGTCACAACTACTTGGACAAGGCTCATCTTCGTCACAGACGAGTGACCATGGCCTGGGTGTGAAGGCCAACGGAAAGCGTCGAGCAAAGCCACCGGGGCCCAAACGAACAGTTTCCCAGGCCACTCCTCCCATGCAACCATCTAACCAGGCCGATGCGACCACTACGAACCAGCCAACACGGCCCGCGAGCCCCCCGCGAAGCTCAACTCAAGATGTCCGGGATCCTCCCACAGTCCGTCCGGCAGCGGACACAAACTCCCGGACTCGCGTTCCGCCGCCTTCGTCTTCAAAATCACCGGCTCCTCTTCCTGTCGCCGGGTTTGTGATTGACCAGTCTTTCGGACACGGCGCACCCATGATGGTGCGCTCTCGCTCCAATAACTCGGATGCCTCGCAACGGTTCCGGGAGCCCGGCGTGGCTCTCCTTCCCACACAAGCGACTAGCAGCGTTGCCATGGTCACTGCCACGGCCCGTGGGCAGTTTGACTCGGAGACGATGACGTCAGAGCCCGCCGTTCCCGAACCAAGGGATATACCGGACAAGGTCCGCTACGGTTCGCAGCCGTCGTCCTCCATTTTAGAAACCCAACTGAAGCCGACACCGCCGAATCCCACTCCACCAATTCCCTTTGGGCGGTCGAAAAGTGAACTTACGTTACTTCTTGCTCGTGGCCGGAAGGACGAAGACGCATAGACTGGGGGGAAGAGATTTCCTGATGATGAAGGGAGCTTTAAACCCAAGGCAAGGAGGTCACTTGGCCATATATACCTTCAATTGGGCGTATTCCCCGCGCCTGTCCGGTTCCCCGCGAACCAATAACGTTTTGACTTTGATACCATTATTATTCACCGCACTCGCATAGCATTCGGCGTCAGGGAGCATACATATGGCTTAGATGATATTATCTATGGGCCTGTGTGCGGATATAGCATAATTAAATTGGAGGGCTTCTGTAAACCGAGATACCGTCGCTGCTGAAATCCAGAGCTCTTAATGGCATATTCTGCTATCAGCGTACCCATATTTTACATGATAAGTCGAGTCTTGGACGAAGTCGGGTTGTGGTGTGCTAAAAATGAAACCTTAATCCGTGGTTCAGTACTCTGAACCCCACACATAGTTATTCACCAGCCTGTCTTGTTAGGTATGGTGGATCACAAATGCAAAGTTACTAATTGCTTGCCAATGGCTATCGTTTCGATGGGTGCTGAACCACAGCCTATGTTAACGGTGCATTATCAATATCCAACTGTGGGTTTGTCCCACCGAATACTCGTGGTAAGTATATAACTTAATCACCTTCCGCCCACTGAAATGTGAAAGGGAGCAGAGAAAAATTGGCCTCCAACATCGGGTATATCTATCCGCGCCGTGCTAAATCGATCGAGGCCCCAATCCACTTTGCCCGCTTTGAATCATCTTGCTCAAGTTGAAGTGTAAACCTCCCATGTCTATCTTTGTATCCTTAGCTCGCTCGCTCCCGCACCACGTTGGGAAAAGTAAAAGTGAAAGAAATAGCCTATCCTGTCCGCCCTTCCTCAATATCATTCCGTCCGTAACTTGTTCCCGTCATCCCCATTCCCCGGATTATTCATTACCCAACCCTAACCCTCACCCCAACGCAACCTAATCAGCCTGCCCGCCTTCTGACCTCGACTGAGTACCTCATTACGATTCAAAACTGACCAGCTCATCCCCCAGAACTCATCCATTCCCCAAGATTGGAAAGTACCTAGTCATGAATCCCCAAAATCTTCCTCAACCCCGAAAACCGCTTCTTCCTCGTCGTTGAGGATGCCCCCGCGGCCGATCCATCCACGCTAGCTACGTCAAACCCCATAGAGGATACCCGACGCTGCTGTTGCTGCTGCAGTAACGACTGCGCCGACGACTGCGGTTGTGGCGGTTGAGGTGACCGCAGTTGTGGCGATGGCGGGGAATATGACGGATGATCAAGGTCATGATGGTGGCGGTGGAAGTGACTCATGAATCCTCCGTTGCTAGCACCACCACCACCGCCGCTGAGAGTCCGGGTACCGAGATTTCTGGATGTGCTGGAGCGGCAGATTTGAGACGGGGCAAAAGGTAGGGAGGTAGTGGTGGTGGTGGTAGGAGTAGGTCCGCTGTCGTGACGAGCGAGGGAGATGATGGCGGGGGCGGTTCTGGATGCTGGGAGGGGGGAGAGGGTTTCGTGTTTTTCTTTTTCTTCGGCTTCTTTTTCGGCTTCTTGTTGTTGTTGTTGTTGCGCCGGTGGTGCTGATGTTGTTGATGCCGCGGGTCCCACGATAGAAGCCCGCTTAGTCTGACTGATACGTTTCTGCAGACGTAAACCCCTACCACTGGGCGAGCTCGGTGTTGTGACCTCTTGGCCCGCCTCATCCTCCTCGCCTTCCACTTCCGCTTCCACTTCCGCATCCCCCCCCCGACTCCGACTCCGAATCGCCTCAAGCTGGCCTACGGTACGCTCCAGCTTGGTATCCCGCCGTGCAGCGCTCTCGCTGATGTCGGCGCGGCCGATCTTGTTGCTACCGCTGTCCTTTTTACGGTGACGCAGGACGGAGAGAAGGCTGTTGCGGCGGGAGGTGCGGGCTTCGGGCGAAGTCTTGTTGTTCTTCGTCTTGGAGGCGGAAGGGGGTGTTGATGGGATCGGGCTGGCTAGTTGGCCTCGTCCAGAGCGGGTGCGGTGGAGAGTGGTGGTGTTGAGCGCTGCGGGTGACTGCGGGGAGTTCTTTGTGTTGGTCTTGGGGGAAGATGGCCCGGCGACGACACCTGCTGCTGGTTCATCGCTTTCTTCTTCTTCTTCTTCCAGTTCTTCCGAAAGCGCTGTGCTCGCAAGTGAAGTTTCCTTTCGCAGGTGATGCTGCTGCTGAACTGGCGCGCTCGGGACGGTTCCTCCGGATTTAGATTTCGGGAGCGAGGCAGCGGGGATAGGCACAACAACAGGCTCATCATCACTCGAGTCCTCAAACCGGCTCTGGAACCCCGATCCGGTACCGCCTCCTCCCCCTTCTTCATCACTGGAATCAGCAAGCCGGCTGGACAGGCGCGAATTAGTCCTCCGGCCACCCCCCGAAGCAGCAGTTTTCGACCCGCTCTTCTTGCCGAGACTGAAACTGGGCATGCGAATGCCGCCGGTGGAGTTCCGTTTCGCGGCGGATGTCTCGCGGAGCGTGGCCCGCATCTGGACACCCGAGGGGGGTGATGCCGAGCCGGTGGGGGAAAGTGCTCTGAGGGAGAACCGTTTGTTGGAAGAAAAGTGTTCGCCTTGTGGGACTGATGAGGAGGACATGGGCCGCATCGATTGGCGGAACCCGGCTCCTAAGCTTCCCTGTTTTGTAGGCCGAGTTCGGGTCCGTCGGAAGCTGCTCTCGCTGCCTGTCGACCCCCGTCGCCCCAGTGGAACGGGTTGCACACCGGCATCGAGTTGACTTGCCGAGTTTGTTCGAGGTCCAAAGTTCGTCGGCGCCATCGCTACTGAGGATGACCCCGGGCGCTGGACAGCCGCCTGGGAATCAGGCCTCTGCGGTTGATGGCTATTGCTGCTCGGACCGGAACCGTTCGCTCGCATCGACTTGCGCAGTCGAGATCCTGAAGACAAGCTGGCCGGGTCTTGCGGCTGTGATGTCGCCCCGCGCATTGTCGTCCGCATCCGCGGAAGCGCTAACTCGTCGTCTTCCCCAGCCCACCGCTCCCCAGGTATGATCATGTAGGTCCGATCCGGGCGGTGCACCGCTGTCTCCTGCTGACCCTGTTGTGCATTACGAACCGCCGCCTGCTGTTGCGCTACGCGAGCCGCTAACGCTTTACGCTCCGAGTTCCGCCGCTCTACCGTCTTTTTCTTCTTCTGCGGCTGCTGCTTCAGCTCTGGTTGCGCCTCGTCCTTGTCTGCATCGATGCCGGCCTCTTCCCTGGCTTCTTGAGCTAGCTGGGCCCGTTTCTCGGCCGTGAGACTTTTCCAGAACGCCTTGGCTTTCTCCCAGTCATCTTCAGGCGCCAGGGAAGGTTGGTCTTCAACGGCCGTCGTGGCGGAAGAGAGGTCAGGGAGAAGTTGGGGCACAACACCGGGCATTGTCTGTCGTCGTCGGGGCTCAGGACTTATTTGTTCCGCCGGGACGCCGGGACGCGGGCGCGGCGGGCTCTGTTGAACCGGACTGTCCACTGCGGCATCGAGGGACTGGAAACCATCCCCTTCTACGTCCGAAAGGTCTTCGTAGGCGTCGCTGAATACATCGTTGTCCGAATCACTGGACGTTTCCGCCGCGGCAGCTTGGGGCGCTTGGGCTACGGCAGGAGCCTCAACAGCCTGGACTGCTGGCGCGGCTTCCCTCGGTACGTTCGGGGTCAAGACAGTCGACTCATCCGACCCATCTTCAGGAAACCCGCCGGGAACGTCCACGAAGTACTCCTCACGGTCTTCAGTGTCCGCGTCGACTGGTGTCGGCTTTTGGACCGAGATCCCAGGGATTTGCAACTCTTGTGCTGTGGTATCGGCATGCTCATGCTCATGCAAATGCTCATGATCAGGAGATTGCGCCCCGGAGACAACCTGAACAGTCTCGCTCGCCCCTTGTGTTCTTGTTGCCCGTTCACGAACAGACTCCCCGCTCACCGCAGGCGGCGCCGGCGCCGAGTACGCTTCCGCAACCAGCGCAGGCAGCGACGTGTGCGACTGATCCCATTCCGAGCTCAGCAAGGAACTCGCATCAGAACTGTCGTCACTGATATACCCCGTGCCTTCCACACTCGTCACAATCGGAGGTAGCGGTTCCCTTTGTTGATTGTCATATGAGCTATTGTCGACCGGAAGGCCCGTTGTCGTCTGTTGAGCCCGCTCACTATGATGATGTACATTCTCAAGAACGCTGCCCCCCACAGCGTGACCACTGCTTGGCCCTCCTAGCGTGGGACTGGGCAGTAACGGTGACGTGGAGGGGTATTTGGACTCGCCCTTTGGCCGGACAAGGGGCCGCTCCGCCTCAGTGGGCGCGTTGTCCCTCGGTTTTCGGTCCCTGACGCTGCCGAAGCTTGGCAATGCCGGCCGCGGCTTCATGACCGTATCATCATCGAAGGCGGGGACGGCTTGGCTGTGGCCGAGATTGGCGAGCCAACTGTGGCGGTTTGATTGTAGAGGGTTGGTGGCCGTGGCTGGGGAAGTGGCACGTTGGTTCGTAGCGAGCGATACATCATTCCTAGGTTCCTCACTATTATTATCCTCAAAACTGACGCGGACGGACTTCTTGCGTGCCACAGCCGGTTCGTAGGTAACGCTCCCAGAAGCCTCAGACGTTGTGCCGGCCGGGGACACCCCGCGAGACGGGCTGGAATGTTTCAGGGCCGACTTCCGCGGGGAGATGGACCGAGGGGGCGGCGAGTGCTTAATCATTGGGTTGTCCAGCACAGGGCCGAAATGGGCTTGTCGAGCTGGACTGCTGGAGTGTGTTCTCTCGCGGGAAATGTCCGCGGCTCTTCCGTGCTCTGGGGCAGTTGTTGCTGTTCCTGGCCTGCCACTCCCTGGGACATCGACAGGGGCAACGTTGAGCCTCTGTGCAGGCTGTTGTGTCGTAGGAGTTGCCGAGGAGCGGGCCGAGGGACCGGCTGAACTTTGCGGTGGTGTTGCAGGCACGTGGGTGTTTGTGCTAGCCTCAGAGCTGTGGTTCCTCAAGCTCGCTACTGCCGCGGCCGAAGCGGCCGGAGCCAGTGCCGGGGTCGGTTTTCGGTCTTCAATATCCTCCGGTTCGGAGCCTTCCTGGATCACGGATGGCTGTCTCCTCACAACGGACTGGGAGGAACTTGACGGGCCCGGAACTAACAGGTGGGAACTAGGAGCAACGGCCCGGAGCGGTTCCACGGGCGCTCGAACGGGGTGGCTGTCAGCGTGTCTTCGCTCCGATTTTGGCGAAGCCCCAGCCAGACTAGTTGCGGCTGCAGTTTGTGCTTCAGTGTTGGAATTTGCGGTGGGTTTCGGTGTTGCTGGATTCGCCTGCCTCGCGACCGGTTGTGGTTGTGATTGTGGGCGGGTCTCGTTGGTTGCCGAGGGCGTGTACGAGCTCAAACTCTTTGTGCGGCCTAACGACCTGGCCGCCAGATGCGATCCCGCCCTCTGCGGTGCTCGCTTCTTCTTCGAACCGGTTGGCCGTTGCGACGCTTCAAGGACTTTCTGCTCCGTATTTTGTACGGCGAACAAATCGGCTTGCCGAACCATTCTCCTAGAATTCGGATCGTACACCAATGTCTGGTCGGGAGCGACGGAAATGGACTGGGCCCTCCTCGGCGATGCTAAAGCTTGTTGACTCGGTGGTTGTTTGACAGCTACTGTAGAAGAATGTCCTTCCCCAGGTAATGCACTCGTCGTGTGCCTCGTTCCATCGTTCCCTTGGTTCAGTTCCGCAACCGAGTGAAAATCCGCAGATCCACGCCTCGCCCGCGTCGGGTAAGAAAAGTTGATAGACGACGCCTGACTGCTCGGCCGTGCTTCCCCAACAACCTGGCCATCGTCCTCCCGCGGGATCACGGGCAATGGACTCGACGGGGGGCTCGCCATAGCGGGATCGGTCCTCCGCACGCTCCCGAGATCCCCCAACCTTGCCGCGCCAAACCATGACGGCGTTTCGCCCGACGCTAGCTTCTGCGATGCAAGGCGGATGGGGGCGCCGCCGCCGCCGATACTCGGGGCACTGTTGCTGAGTTTCCGATGCTGCTGTTGTGTATTACGTGGCGAGTTGCTGCTGGCTCGGCCCGCCGCCGTCGTTGTGGCCGTCGCGGTCACATTCTGCGGTATCGCCGGAACAGGCGGCATATTCTCCTCCTGGAGCAGCCCCCGGCTTTGCCCCTGCCCAGAACCACGGCTCCCCGGCCGATTAGGGCTCGGAGTTCGAAACGTCCGCTCCGTCATAGATCCATTACTGCCGCGCCTCTGTAACCCCCCCGCTCGATCGCGTCCTCCCTGCTCTGATGCCGTGCCCGTTGATGCGACCGAGGAGCTCCGGCGTACTGTTCGCTTGGTCTGCACGTCGGCGACTCGTGTCGGGGTCGTGGGTCGCGCGCGGAGCGCGGCGGCGGCCGCTGCCGCGGAGAGGGTTGGATTCGATTCATGCCGTTTGAAGACGGCTGCTGCGGCGGTCGCTGCATTGGGGTTTGCGGTTGCTGCGGTGAGTGGCTGTCCGGGGGAGAGCATCGTCAGATGTTAGCTTCACATGGCTAGGTAGCGTAACACGAGGAGCTTGGCTTTAAGATTGAGCGTAAGGCAGGCCTGGGAGAAGCGAGGGACCGCCGCTGCTGCCGATGGGCGCATCTTGAATGATGCGCTCGCCACTTCTTTATCGCGCCAAAAGTGAAGAATAGAGGTTGTGAAACCAGCGCAAGTGACACGGGAAAGGCGTACCGGGTTCGGCGGGCGATGCCGACGGGCGCCAAACATCCTTGGAGAGTGCTCGGCTGGCGCGGCCGTGGAGTCGCGGCTATCCGGTTGCGACGGTCATGGGTCTTCGGGATGGGGAAGATGCTTTTGCGGTCAGGGTAGGGCGCGATACCGTCTTAAAAATGATACAGAAAGTCCTCCAGCGCAAAGACGGGTTGTGGGCGAAGAAGTTGATGGATTGGAGGGCTTCAGCGTTTGCCCAGCTAAATGAACAAGCTGGAAGACCTGGAACTTGGAGAGCCTGGAACTGGATGACCCCCTGCTCTTTTGTCCGGCAGTCATCAAGGGGTTCGTCCTCCAAACAGGGTTGGAGTGGGGTCTTACACCGCGTTACCAGGCCTAGGCTGCGGATGCAGCGCTGCCAACGGCCAACTCCGGCTAGATGAATTGTATTTACGGTATAGTACACCGCGCTAAGTGTTCCTCGCAGATGTCTGAGCAAAGCACCCTGTCATCTCCATGCGACGTAAATTTGCGATTTGTGGATTCGCGCCCGCCGCGTGTTCGTCTCAAGGGGCTCTCCGTTTGGCCTCGACGAGCCTCTTTGGATGATCAATCCCTTTTAGATTGAGCTCTCAGCAGCGCCAGGAACCCGGTCGAAGCGATACACGTGTAGTGTAGTGTATCGTAGTGGGTAGTGTACATATTCTCCAAGTCTCGTTCAGCTCCGCCCGCTGGGGTTTCATGACGAGACGCGAGCCTGTTGAGATGACGCAACATCGTTCAAGTTGTGTCGGCTTCTTCCGACCTCGTGGGTCCGCCCATAGGTTTGCAGTTTAGCTCGTCTGAGTATGAAAACACAACAACGAAGAACAAGTTGGTTTGGGTACTTGATTTAACATTTCGCTCTACAGAGTTCTAATCTCTTATTGGCCACCCGAGTCGTGGATTGACCTCACTTCGAGGCAAGCCAATAATATCGGTACAACAAACAAATATGGGTAGCCCAAGTGACATACTTCCACCGTCCTCGCGCCCCCCTTGTTCCCGCTCACCGTCTGTGATCCGAGAGCTGAATTGATGGAGAACACACCTAGCGCTGAAAAGTAGGGAGCAGGCCATATTAGCGGACGCTTCTGCCTATCTCCCAGCTGTCGCTTTCGCTCTGATTTGAGAGCGCAGTAAGACCAAGTCTGACCCGCCCATCTTCCGAGTTCGCTTCCTGTCCCGTTCCCAACTCGAACGGGACTAACAATCCCCACGCACAATAACCCTACATCACCCACCAAGAGCTGAGTTTAAAAATATGGTTCTCGACCAACCCGCCACCCCATTGGCCCTGCTTTCCGGTTGCTCGCGAAACATGTAGCGATTAATAGATAACGGTAACGAGAGAAGTCGTGCGCAGCGCCTCGACACCGGAACCGGAAAGCAGGCTAGGCTTAGGTCCCACCTCCATCGTGGACGGCAGAACTGTCACCGGAATGACCAGGGATGGTATGCGCCTTGAAGCTCCCGCCCGGTCCTTCGATGGCCACCTCGTCCTCGCCATCGTAGTCTTCGTCTTCGTAATATTCGTCGTCGTAGTACTCGTCGTCGTCCTCCTGGGCCCCGTGGTCGTAATGGTCGTTGGGGGCGCCGCGACCATCCCCATGATGGTGTAGGTCTTGCGCAGCGGCGTTGTTTTTGGTCGGAAGTTTGCTATTCTTCTTTCCCTTATGCTTGCCCTTCTTCATCCTTTCCCACTGGGCTCTCCGCTGCTCCTCCACCTGTCTCTGCTTCCGCTCTTTGATCTCGTACGCCCGAACGAGCGCCTCGGGAGGGTGTCCAAAAATCCATTCGTATTCACAAAAATGGCAGACCCACATATCCTCGGGATTCGGCGGGTGGCGCTTGTTGTAGAGTTGAGTTTCCCGACGGCGTGCCCTGGCCGCAGCAAGGTACTCCTTTGTCGCACTTCGGCGGGTGGGCTTGGGAGGCGCGCTTGGGTGTTGACCTTGCGTGTTCATCCCGGCCCTTGCCGAAGCGTCCGCATTCGAAGTTGGTGGAAGCATCTGACCGGGGTGTCGGCTGTGTGCTGATTGGGGCGCGCGCGACCAGTTCTCCTTGTTGTGGTTCGCTGTAGCAGTCCCTTGGTAGTGGGGCATCGCCATATGTCGATCCGCGCCGGGCCAGGCCAACGACCCCGGGACTTGTGAGTCGCAGGTAAACGTGAAGAGAGTCGAGGCGGGATTGCGTTTGGCGGGCGGCGGCTGATGTAGGAGGCTGATGTTGTCTTGCCCTTCGGGTGGCGGCAGCTTTTCCGCCTTGGCGATAGCATTCGAGATGATCCCAGTGCTTTCACCTGCCCATACTGTTAACTGGCTATCCCCAAATATAGGCCGAAGCCCACAGGCTGCCAAGGCCACATCGACTGACCTGGACGTGATTTATCACTCCTCCCGGCCCAACTGTTAGTTGAGTCATAGAGGGGTCGCAAAGAGTTTTTGCCACTCCTCGGCCGCCCATAACGACCTCGGCCCGGGCCAGGAACGTTATGAACGCCTGAGCCAAGGCTTCCGGAGCCGTAATAAGGCGCGGACGCCGGGCTCAGGAGCTCGTCTTGCCCCTCCGCCGACTGAGCGTGGGTCGCGATCGGGCCCGGACCAGAGAGAGAGTCGCTGATGACGTGACCTCCGCCCGGTGCAGAGTCTCCAGCAGTCGGGATTTTCCTCTTCTTGTTATTAGTGTTCTCGAGGGAGTCATATCCGTCAGCCGAGGACGCCGCCGAGGGAGGCTGCATTGACTCGCCGTATCGCCCGTATTCCAACTTCGGGCGTGTTGCGAGACTAGAATGTTGTGGAGTAGCACGGTTCGTTATGCTTTGCCTCGTTCCGCCGCCCTCAACTTTACCGTGATGCCCAATCCCGTTGATATGCGGCTTGCGCTCATGACGCGAGCCCACCGCTGACCCAGATTCAGGGTATTCTTCCGGCAGCGGATACGGGTATGAAAATAACGATGTTGAGTTATGAGGAAGCGGAGGATATTTGATCGAGTCTGCAACCTCGGGGGTCAAGCGCTCTTTGAGTCGCCGTTTCGGTAAAGGTCGGATGGGGCGGTTGGGGAACAGAGACGACGCGGGTTCGGTTGTCATTGTGACGGCCTGGTCGTGTCCTATTTCGGTTGCTAAGGTACGACGTGTTAGTTTTTAAACACCCCCAGAAGAACGAAAGTCAGGGCAAGCCAGAATGGCAAGCATAACCGACGACCCCTAATGAATGGAGAAGCGAGTGCCACGCATCCTTCGGAGATACCCAAGTGTAGCAACCGTATTCTATCACCATGAAGAACAAAGCTACCGAGCTCTGGCGTAGGGCTTAGGAGAATGGGGACTTGTCGGATGAATCGAGGAGAGAGAAGGTGGGGGAGGGGTGCTGACATACCCATCGAGGCTTCATAGTCCCCAAATACTCAAGGCCGTTTGATTGCGTACTGCGGTCATTCACCAAACTTTCGGAACGTCTTGCAACTACACCACCAATGCGGCTGAGGATGTGTAATCTTCGATAGCCTCGAGGTAATTTTGATGTGTTGCAAACCAGATTAGATATCAAGGGGTCAACCCCAACCGGAGCCACGAGTCGAATCCCTATGCTTCCTCGTAGAAAGTGATGTTAGCTTCTACATCCAATCAGAAATTTGGAGTAAAAAAAGACGAGTTTGGGAGATCGCAAGCCAAATTCAAAGAAGTCCCGGCGGCGAGAACATCTGGCCGGACTCCGGGACGCTATTGGGGAAGAGGGGGAGGGGGGGTTCGGAACGACCAGCCGAGCCAGGATGAAGGGCCCGGAGCGACTTTAGGTCAGTCGGCGGAGAAGAACCCACCTCGTTTTTTTCACTTGGAATGAATGTTCACGCAGTTTGAGTCGGATTTGGCTGGAAAGCAAGGCTCAGGCTGGTGTGCGATATTTGTTGTTTGCACCGTCTAGCAATGCGGGCTTTGGGAGTCGATTGAGAGGGTGTCTTTTCGCAACGGTGTCTATGGTGGTGGAGGGAACATTTGGGTGCTGGGTGCACCAAAATGTAATTTACCTCAGCAATGCCCGGGGCTCGATAGACCCCTCGTTCAGCAGGGCAGGAGGGCAGTCCGCATGGCCCGGGCACTTGGCCCGAGATTATTCCGGATGCCCCTGGTGGGGGACAGGGGAATGGCCGCTCACTGTGCTTGCACCTGAGCCCCCTCCTGGAACAACTTCCGAGTCATCCTCAAGAAAAGACAACTCCTACCTCACTCACAACCCACATCTCAGCACCAAAAGGACGCAGGGCCTTCTCCTCGGTTGAAATTATCACCATAAGACACATATACCTTCGTACCTCCTCATTGATTCCCGACTATCCCATCAGCCAATGCTCAGCCGGTCACTCTCTCCCCACAATGCGACTGTGTGGATTGTTCTCACTGAGAGACCTGGGGCCTCCGTACGCTGTCTCCAGCTCGCACTGTATTTGGACGGCCTGCACAGAAGCTCATGGCTCCACAAGCCCCGCACGAGCCGTTCCCTAGCAAGCAGGGTGGCAGAGCAGCCTGCCAAAAATTGCTAGCCGCGAGCACGCTCCGGAAAAGAGCGTGTGTGTGTGGTGCTGGATCCAAGGCGCTTCCGCTTGTCACCCGGTCGGCTCTAAGGTTCCTCCTCCATCCCACCACCACCACCTTTCTCGTCCTCGGGATTTCAGACCAGTATCTGTTTTTGCAGCGGCTCTAGTCATGACCACGAATTTATTTCTGCCACCCTACGCTGAGGATTTCATCCAACCATCCGAAACTTGACCTCGCCGCGCCCGTTCCCGGGCAATCTACTCGACATTGTCGGTACCCTCCTTGGTCGGCTTTTCTCTCCGGTGTGGGCGCAACCTGATTCTCTCCGTCGCCTACATCTATTCTCAACCAGGTTGCGATTTCTACTGCGATTGACCCAAGAGCCGCGCTCTCTTTCGGCCCATTGCTTCAGAAGTGTTCGCTACCGCGACGAGTCGAGACGATCCACCCACCACCCATCAACTCCCGAGCTAACGGTCCTCGTCCTCTCCCCCTTAAAACGAGCCAACGCGCAAACCCAAGTGTTGCGGGATTCTCTTCAATTACCTACCTTTTGCGCAAAAGCAGTTTGTCGGGCCATTGGCGCGAGAGGGCTCTCCTTGAGCGCGATTCCACGCTCACCCACGCTAAGCCTGACAGTGTCTTACGAACTTCCCTACCCGAACTCGAACTACTCGATTTAATACCACACTAGCGTTCTGATTTCGGCGGTTCAAGCAGCATCCACCAATTTAGGACTGCCAGCCCATCGGTGGCCAAACGCAGCCGACAATTTGCTCCTTTGACGCGGGGCCTCAAGGCTGGACGGACGAAGACGCCATTCCGTCCCTCCTGTGATCATTTCACCGAACAACCAGGGGCCACGTTCTCCTTCCATACGCACTAGCCTTCACGCAATAAACGATGGCGGCTACGGACCCAAGACGATCGTCGAGGGCGCGAGCGACACAGTCGCAGTCACAAATTTCTTCGACAACTTCGAGCCTCTCAGGACGCCCCGAGCGGAGCTCACGATATTTTAACAAGGGTGGCTCGCCACAAAAGTCTACATCGACAGGGTCCCTTTCGTCGGAACCGCCAGAGGACACAATCACCGCAGCCGAGGACCCCTTCGGCAGTCGCCGCCGGACTCGTGGACAAGCCGAGGATCGAGAACGGGCTGGAGTTAAAACCGAGCCAGCCGACACAGCAAGTGCCGACGACGAAGGCGATGGCGATATTCAAGAAGAGGACGAGGCCGTACGCTGCGTATGCGGGAACGAAGAATACCAAGGCCCGCCGCCACCAGACGAAGACTCCAAGCATGGGTACAAACACGCATTTGGATTGGACTCATTTTTTTCAACCGACGTTACGGACGATACCGCTGGGCTGTTTGTGCAATGCGATGTCTGCAAAGTTTGGCAACACGGAGGCTGCGTCGGAATCATGACCGAAGAATCCAGCCCTGAAGAATATTTTTGTGAGCAGTGCCGCCAGGACTTGCATAAACTCTGGACGGCGAGTAATGGGTGAGTTTTCTGTCCCCACTGGATTGAACCCTTAATTACGACCAACCTGTGGCTGAATGCTCGGCTACGCGGATCGTGGGGGCGGTGCGTCGGCGATCTCGTCTCACACCATGCCTTGCTACCGAACCCTTCACAAAGGAGGCGCGAAATTATTTGGACAATCTAAAGAGGCTAATAAGATGGCTCGCAGAAGCGTTTATTCCCATTATTTACCCCTCAAGCGAAACGCTCGGGCGACCTCCCGAGCAGCATCCCTTAACAAGGAGACGGCCCGCTCGCCAACTAAAGAGAAAGAAACGCGTAACGGGAGAGCAACGTCAGCAAGCCAAGCCTCAAAACGTCGTTCCACACTCAATAGCAGAGAAGCCGGCTACGATGAAGCCGAAGCGCTAAGGAGGGCAATTGAAGCGAGCAAAGAGGAAGTGCATCTCGATCCGAACGAGACCGGCAACAGGCGTCCGAAAAGGGGCAGAAGCGACAGTCAAGAAGAGTATGGTACCCTATACGCTTTTCTACCAGTACCCACACTAACTGGTTCTCAGGAAACTCGAGGCTACAAAACGGCAAAAAACGAGTTCTCGATCGGTGTCGCCTTTGTCAGACAACGCCGAGGATTCTGACGAGGACGGGGTCGCTGCACGGAACGGAACGACAAAGCCCAAATCACGAACGGCAGGGGCTATACGCAGCCTGCGAGTCGAGAAATCGTCGGAAAAGAAGGAAAAGGAGCGGCAGCGAACCGAAACCGCCAACAAACGGAAGGACAGAGCTGAGCGTCGGCGAACCGATGGTATGTGATATTTCATGTCCTGCGCGACAGGTATGGTGCTGACGTGTTGATTCAAGCAGAAGACTCAGACCCCTCAGAAGAGGCGCCCCTGGCAACAAGGGCTGCGACAAGTAAACCCGCCCAACCCTCAGCGGCCGTGAATACCGACATCCCTTCGCCACCAGAACCCGCCGCTCTTCCATCCGTGGCTAACGAGCCAGCCCCGACTTCCAATTCTGCTCCAGATACACCACCGATGACTGCGGCCCAGGCCAAGGTCGATAAGAAACGATCGCACAAGAAAAAGGGCCGTAACCAATACACCCGCGATCGCGATGCCCAGGACGACGACTCTCCTGCCCGGTCACAGTCCCGCGAGATTCAAAAAGATGACCAGGCGGCCCCCGCCAGCGGAAAAGCAGGGGTTGGCGGAGAAAATTCCGGCAAGGCAAACCCCAAGGCAAAGGGCGGCATGAGCAACAAGGTCACCATGAACGACCTGAAGAGGAGGGCGACGGCGCTCCTGGATTTTATCTCGCGGACACAAGTAGAAATGGCAGGCGAGTCACCTCCCGGGGGCTCGAAGGGCGAGAACGGCGTCAACGGCGTTGCCCATCCTCCCAACGGCACTTCAGCATTGCAGGATCAAGACGACGGGTCGAGCGCCGGTCCAACTCTTGCAGTCGGGGACGTCGAGAGCTCATCTGCACAAAGCAGAGAGTTTAAGGAGCTCGACTGCGTGGAGATGATGGACAACTTGACCCGGCGGCTCGTCAAGTGGCAGCAGCAATATGCCGCCTGATTTTGCTTACCAGGTTGGAATTTTGCTTCGGGTTGCTCATTTACAGGGGTTGTGTACACACACCATGGGGCTATTTACGGGATACCCCCAGTCCCCGGATTTTATTGCCTTTCTTTGCATTCGAATGGGCGTTGTTGGTATTTTTTTAGGGCCGCATCAGGACGAGGCGTCATGGTTGGGCAGCACACTGTTACCACACATTGCACACACATACACACAGGCACGCACGAACACAGCTTACAGCACACGCACATATGCGCAACTCGAACACATAAAATATCCTTATGTTGCAACGGACTTTTGCTTTTGCTCCTTATTTCAAGGGAGAAAACAGAAAACGCATGGCTTGCTAGCAACATGTTCTGGAGATCTGGGAACCTGGGTCTGATTATTTTTTAATTTGTGGGAGGACGGTTTTCATTAAAGAAAAGAAGGCGACTGCACGCCCCCTTTTTTTACGCTAGGGGCAACGCTTTGAAGTGATTGGGGTACTGAGCAGGCAGAGGAGCCTACAAGGGATTGTTTTCGAGCGTGTATCTATACCTAGGTAGCTGGTTTGGGGCAGGTCTGAAACGATATTATTGAGATCTAACGGCCGTGATCATCGATGAACATATGTTCTATGTCATTCCTAGTGCCACTTCACTTTTATGTATGTTTAGTTTTGATCGTTGTCATTATCATTGGCTTGAACGCGATATACAGCAATCTACAGTCAACCATCACGGAACAAAATACTCCAGAAATAATACATGTTTGTACATTTCCCAACTCCCCGGCCATGTTGGTATCCCAAACCCTTTTCTGAACCCTACACTGTTGTTTCCACACCCGACACATCCCATGTCGTCCCCCCCGCTCTCTTCGCCGCATTGTACTCTTTCCTCGCCTCCTTCTCCCGCTTCCGCGCCTGGTTCATGCTCAACGGGTTCTCGCCCCGGGCCGCCACCATGGCAGCCTCCAACGCATCCGGCGTGACCTCGTCCAGAACCATGCGGCCGAACCCGCCCTTCCGCCACTTGTGCAAGACTGTCTGGGCCGTGGCGGACAGGTTGACGATGCCGCCCTTTTGCAAATGGCCCATGCGCATACCCGCGGTGTCGAGAAATTCGCTTATGTTGTTGGTCGGCGCCGACAGGTGCAGACGCCGAACGTAATCCGGTTGGTAGGGCTGGTAGCCGTTTTGGATGAGCGCTTTCGTCTCCCGTTTGTGGGTCTTCACGTCTTTGTAGTAGCCATGGTAGGATTCTGGGGGGAGCTCGAGGTTGAGCCGGAACAGCAGGTAGTCGACCACGGTCTCGGGGGGCACGATCCCGTCGCGAACGCACCCGACAAGCGCCAGCTTGATCATCCTCTCTGGATCCGGCACGTACGGCATGAACACCCCGGGGGTGTCGATCAGGAACACGCCCTCACCCACCCCGGCGGAGGGCAAAGAGTCCGGCGACGTTCTGGTGGACACCCGCTTCTCGGGCTCCACAACCCGCACCGGCGAGCTCATCTTGCGCGTGATGCCCGGGTCGACACCCGTGCGGGCGACTTTGGATGCGCCGCCGAGCGACCTCGCAACAGCGATCGCGCGCAGGCCGTTGAGTAGGGTGGATTTCCCGGCATTGGGCATCCCCACGACCATGGCGCGCAAACCGAGGAGGCTGTCGCGCTCGCAGGCGATGGTTTTGAGGGTTTCGAGAATCTCGGACTTGATATCGCGGTAGGACCGGCTGCCGGCGGCGTCGGTGGTGGTGAAGAAGACTTCGCGGGCATGGCCGGCCTGGAGATGGAAGTCGCGGAGGAGCTGTTTCGTTTCTTCCATGGATGGCGGGGCGAGGTCGCAGTGGGTGTAGACGATGATACGGGGCCGGTCGGAGTTGGAGGTGGTGGCCAGGGACTGTTCGAGCAGTGGGTTCCAGGAGCTGATGGGCACACGGAAGTCGCGGCACTCGATGATGAGTCCGATGGTGTTGAGGGCCTCGCGCATGCGGGCAAGCCCGGCATGGTGGTGGCCCAAGTAAAAGGATTTGGGCGTATCGGGGGAAAAGTCAAAGGTTTCGCGAGGCCGGAATGGATTGGGTTCGGGTGGTAAAACTCGCGGTGTTGGTATCCGCTTGTGCTGGGCCGTCCGTCGCCTGGATAAGGCTCCCTCGAGCTCTTTGATGTGGGGGAGACACCTCCATTGCGATAGGCCCATCCGCTCCGTCAAGCCCGTCACTGGTGCCCTCATCTCAGCGGATGTGAGAGCAAGGCGAGCGGATCAATGTGCTTATGAAAGTGTGGTTCGCCGTGGGGGCGACGGGCGCTGTTCACGTCTTCTGGGTTGAACGTTTTCTCTTGCCCCCTATCACGCCGTTATCATATCTTTGTAGGCCCACGCTATGCGAGGTGAAGTCGGTTCCATAAGTTGAATTTCCCGATTTGAGCTGTGTTGATGCGTGGTGAAATATTTAGATAGTGGAGTATGTCCAGATACGGAGACTGAAAACGGGACTTCATCCTGAATTTTCTGGGTCGATACAGGCATAGGCAGCGTTAGAGAGGTACCGTCGTCCGTTGACAGCGATATGCGTATATGCAAAATCACGCCTCGAATCTTACATACAACTGGTCTCTCATCAAAGGATGGTCGGTTTAACCTCGTTTCTCTTTCTATTTTTTCAACATGATTTAGGAAAGAGTTTTTCTGGTTTGGATTGGGTCCATCGCTCTGTGGCACGTTCTCACGGCTCATAGTTTCTCCCTCAACATGGGATGGACAGAGCACACCCCTGGGACGGCATGGAATATCACCAAAACATTATATATTAGTCGAAACGAAACCGATTCGGTCTCCCTTTCAATCTTTCGATCCAGGTATACACACCCTCACATCAACATCCCACTCCCTGCCCTGTTAAACGCCGAGAACCCATCAAACAGGCTTATAACTGGTACCTCAAGGTCACCCAAACCCTCCTTCAACCCACCGGCACTAGGTTAGTTATACAAATATCTGATCGGCGATTCAACTAGGTGCTCCCCTCCGGCTTATTCATTTCCACGGAGGGTGAGGAGGAGGGACCGAAGCCCTTCGTGCCCTGGTAACCAGGGTACCGCCCCCGGCAGCCTCCTGTTGCGCAGCTAGGACAGGCTCCGCAAACCTCACCGTTCGATTGGTAGCAGCACGGGGCCTAGTAACGGGATGATCTGTACCGGTAATTTTCGGTCAGCCACCGCTTATTTACTACTTACTGTGCTGACTCAACTGAACGTCAACAAGCCCAAAGGGTGGTATGGCGCAGTCAAGGAAAAAACACATACGGAAGCCAACATATTGCAATCAAAAACATAAATCATTGATATAATAACAACCAATCAAACTGGCTAAACACGCAAGCAAGCAGTTCGTCACGTACTGGCCCTATTCAAAATGTCAACCCCATCTGACGACGACTTGCCGGCCACCGCGCTTTGCCCCGTGGCTAAGAATTCATTGTCTTGGCTGCTTCTGGAACTCCCCCGCGGCCGAGAAATTCCAGGAGGCCCACCGGTTGGAGAAGGGATATGTGTCTCGTTTATTGCGGCGTGGGTGGGACCCCCAGCTTCGCTGCTCTCATCTTCGTGGACGCTTCCCCCGCCCACGGTGGTGCTGACATCGCTCTCTACTACATCACTCCCTCTCCGTTGTTGCTGCTGTTGTTGTTGTTGCAGCTGTTGCAGTTGCAGTTGCCGCGGTTGGTGCTGCATAGGCTTCCCATTTGTCGTGGCCATGAGTCCGCTAACGGTGTTCATCGCCATGTTCGAGGTTTGCCGCGCGAGCTTATACCGCGCATATTCCTCACGGGTGTGCTCGCCGCCAGTGAAGCTCTCAAGCGCGTCAAATACATGTGGGAAGACTTGCTCATGAACGTCGCGCGCCCAGAGGAAGTCGAGGTGCTCGTAGTGCGGAATTTCGGTGGCGACCGTTTGAGAGGGCAGTTCCCGGCGCATGACTTTGATGTCGACGAGCGAGTCGCTGCCGCCGTAAACCAGTACGATCGGCGTTTTGATATTGCGGGTCGGGTATTTGGCTACTTTGGTGTACCGACTGGCGGATGAGAGGAGCATAGGAGGGTGGACGTCATCGTCGTACATCTGGAAGGACTTGGTTCGGATGATTTGGAACCAGTGCACGACAGATTTGGTGCTGGTGAAGGAGTAAAGGTGTGGGTAGGCAGCCAGTTTCTGGGACGTGCTGATGTTTTCGGTGCGCCAGGCGAAGAGGAACGAGAGCCCCAAGTCGATGACCTTGGTAAAGAGCGGCGGGTAAATAATGGATTCCCACATGGTGGCTGAACTCAGGATAGAGCGGCGGCCGAAGAGCAGGTACAAAACCTGCGGGGAGGCCTTCACGAGAGCGTCGACCACACCGTTAGACAAACCCGCAGGGGACATGGCCGGGGCGAGTGCAATAAACACGTTGACCTGGTCGTTGAGTTTGGGATGGACGGCCAGGCTGGCAAACGCCTGGGCGGTACCTTGGGAAAATCCAATGTAAGAAAGCGACTGCTGGCCGGTCGTCTCGAGGATGTAGCTGATGCTGTCGGGGATGTCGTAGAAAGCAAATTCGTCAATCGAAAAGTTCCAGAACCTGAGCGAAGTAGGCGACGAGCGGATCGACTTTTTGGAGTATTTGTTGCCTCGGTTGTTCCCAAACTGCCACGGACTGTCAGTATCCCCTCGTTCCGTGTCTCGTGTGAACGGTTATCCAACCTACCCAGACATCAAAGCCCTTGTCAACTAAGACAAACGGGAGAGCGCGCTGCTCATCCGTCAGGCATACCCACACCTCACTGTTCATTAGCAAGCCATGGTGCAGGTATACCACTCGCTTCTTGATACTCTTTGGCCCGCGGTTCACCTTGGCGTCCTCCTCTCCTTTCCTATACGCCAACCGATGCAGTCCAAGAAGGTATCCATCCTTCGTTTGCACGACGTGCTCCTCAGCGGTGTACCCGAACGTTGCGCAAAGTTCGACGAAGTCGCACGAGTTCCGAATCGAGGTTGATATCGCTGCACGCCTTGAAGTCAGTATCTAGGTCCAACCCTCCGCAGTCGAGGGGCCTTCTACACTCGCGCCCGGGAGATAGACGGGAGTACACGCACATTTCCTTCTCCGCTCCGCTCTCTTTTGTGACGGACTGGTCAAACGGTTAAATAAGCGTCGCGATACCCGGTAGAACAACTCGAGCAGTGATGAAGCTATCCGATAAAATGTTAGAATTCTTGAAAGTACCCCCACCGTTGGCGGTGCTGCACGGCCGGGGTTGCTCACGTAAGGCAAGGGTCAAGATGCGGATGATGGCCTCGAGCCCGACAAGGAGGAACGACCCAACGAGGGCGACATATTCGGTGCTACCAGGTTACGGACTCGAGTTAGCAATGCGCCCATGAAATGTTGAAAACGGGCGCGGTTAGTGGTGCCTCACACGTTAAGGCGCCCAAGAAACGGAACAGGCATTTTGGCGGCTCCCGGGACGCTCTACCGCGTCATTGGCCCCGTGTTTCCGTGGGTGTTGATTTTCGTTCAATATTTTTATTTTATTTTATTTTAGAAACCAAAACTTATGCGGTCGACGGGCGGGATAGGGGTTCGGTCGCATTGTGCATGAGGACGATGTTTTCTGGAATGGCACAGATGTTTTAAAATGTCCCAAGCTGGCGGGCCGGGAGATATGCGGCTGTGGGACATTGCATCAGGGTGGTGAAACATCCGCTTGTGACATCACTCATCACATGAAAGTTTGTTGGATCTGCTGTGCCACGACCACGGGACCCACACCTTTTGATTTGACACTGGACTTCGACGAAGTGGCATCCATCATCAACAACACAAACAAACCGTCGGCGATAAATGGGGTGAAAATTTGGCCACATGCTGTTCGATTAAAATATGAGCGAGATTCCTGACGGTTCCTATGTTTTGTCTTGGCCGTCGGGATTCAGCGTTGTGGATGCGGTCTTCCTTTTGCTCGGTGTTTCTTCAAGGACGAGATGATCCACTTGAAGGTTACTTAATTCGGTTAGCGGTAAATTGGAAAAGCTCGGGCCGTTTTGCGCCACGTTCTTGCCAATTCGTTCCAGACCTTTGGTTTCCAGGTTGCTGATTTCGGATCGCGAACTCTCCGGCCAGTGCGGAGTGCAGCGTAACGCAGCAGCAGCAAGCTTGAGATCCAAGATGCCGAGCTCATGTAAAGATATCAGTACGCGACAACTTGCCGGCCATCCGCTCGGTTCAGTAGGGGGTTTCCAGCTAACACGACCTGTCTAGGAGCCGCATTGGCACAATGCCTCCAGGAATCCGAGTGCGTGATGGTCCACCGGAACTCCGCGGCAGAGTGCTTGCGTGAGCCGCACGTCAACACGCTCCCGCCCAAGTGCCAGCAGCTCAAGAAGGGCTTCGGGGAGTGCCGCCGGGGCATGATTGACATGCGCAAGCGGTTTCGCGGGAATCAGCCCGTCGCTTTCCGCCAACTCGAGCAGACCGAGAAGACGGGCGACGGATATCAGTTATACGCCGGCAAGTCCGCCTTTTCCGGCACCCGCGGCGAGACCGACGGCAACGAGAAGGAACCGCAAGACTGGCGGGAGGCGGAAAATGAGAAGTACCGGGCGGAAGCTGCGAAGGCTGCGGCGGAGAAATCGAAGAAGCCATGACACGAGCAACGATACTGGCAAGAGAAGCAACGAGTATAGAAATGCCCTCGACATCGGGCGTGTGCGAGGGGTTCTGAAACGTGTAGTGATATTGCGCCTCGTTATGGAAGGGCATGATGGGCCTGAGAAGCGGGTGTCAAAATTTCGCCTCCTTTTCCGTTTCTCTTCAGAAAGGTCGAAAAGCCAAGCTATCAGCGCGCATGGACACCCCGAGGGATCGGGTCCTTTGCAGGATCGAAACCTTTCCCACGAGGCTCAGGGAAAGGGCCCCAAGAGGGAGACAGGTAACAATTGTACCAAATCTTCAATAAACATCTGATATCCAATCCGCTGTTGTTGTTCGAAACCGTTGGAGAAACCGTTGGATGGCGCAGTGGTCCCTGCTTCTGCGCTAACCGGGGGGTGGATAATTATTTCTTTCGACCACCCACCGCTCACCGAGCGCATGATTTTCTTACAGTTCGACCCCAACAACTTACCCGAACGGACTCGATCTTTCATCAAGAGCTCTGCCGGAAATTGAAGTTCCCTTACGTCTTTCCCCGATGCATCACGTCTGGCTCAACCATCACACGCCATTGAACAAAACCAAGTACCAACCCACTAACACGACAACCACCGCTCAATTGAACCCGGTAGTTGCGCTATGATGTCAACTGTGCATCTCTACAGACCAGACGAACGGATTTTACCTTGGGGTTTGGCTTAGAGGGACCTTTGCGACCCTACGACTGGGTGTCTAAGCGAGGTACTTTGTGTGTACCTTAGTACTGTGCTTTAGCTCGAAGTCACTTATTGCCGAGACTTCGATACACATCATCGATGGCCCCGCCACAGCCTTTCTCACACCACCGTCCCCGGGTTCGGAGCCGGTCCTTCATATTTATCCTTCTCGGCGGCCTTACATTCCTTACATTCTGCCTCTTCGTATCCCATCTACCGGCCCTACAATACATCACTAGCCTGCCCCTATCGGGTTCCACGGCAGGCAATTGGACGACGTCGTCTTCAAACGCTGCCGCGTCTCCCGAAGATGATAACCAAGCAGCTCTCGCTGCCGCCCAACAATTGCTTGATCTGATTGAACAGGACATGGCAGAAAAAGTCAAAAACCTCAAGATGGAATACGGCACCAACAGCCACCCACCATTCAAGGACGACCCACCCATGCTCGTGGCCGACCTCCCACAAGAGCACATCCCGACCTATACGCCGGCATCGCCCAAAAAGGGCTCGGGCGGTCATCATGGTGGTGGTGGAAAAGGAGGTAAACACCCACCAGGAAAGAGGCTAGTCATTGTCGGCGATGTACACGGCCATCGCGCCGCGCTCCAAGCGCTCCTCCGCAAAATCGGGTTCGATTACAAACACGGTGATCATTTGGTCCTCGCTGGTGACATAACCACCAAAGGGCCAGACAGCAAAGGGGTGGTTAAACTAGCCATGCAACTCGGGGCGAGCGCGGTCCGAGGAAACCAAGACGACAGGGTGCTCGCAGCAGCGAGGGAACTGCATCGCTACGCTGAGGAAGAGAACAGGGGCAGCGGCGTTGGAAAAAAAGGGCGGCGAGAGGACGACGCCCACGCGGTTGCCCGTTCGCTGAGCCGGTCTCAGCTGGCTTGGCTTCGGTCGCTTCCTATCATCCTCCGTGTGGGGGAGCTTCCTGACGCGGCTTCGGCTCCGTGGAATGCTACACTGGTTGTTGTCCACGGTGGTCTCGTCCCGGGTATCAAGCTGGAAAGGCAGGACCCGTGGGCTGTTATGAATATGCGCAGCCTGGTATATCCCCGGAAGGGTGGCCGGAAAAAGAAGGCTAAGCACCACGGCCGAGGCGAACCAGGGGAGAGCCCCCAGGAGGAAGAGGAGGTTGTGCTCGGCCAAACCGTGGATCAGTTTGAAGATTTTACCTTATCTCCCGATGCCATCGCGGTTCCCATTGACACCCGCGACGGCGAACCATGGAGTCATGCTTGGTAAACACGACCCCTTTTTGCCCCTGAATACAGGTAATTATGTGCTAACACGGCCCAGGAACCAATACCAGAACCATCTCCCACCACACATCCCTCGCACTGTCGTCATCTACGGCCACGACGCCAGAGCCGGCTTACAGGTTAAACCCAAAGTCAGCCTCTCTACTCACTATCCGTCGTCCCCCTTCGGCGCAACTAGCAGCCGAGAGAAGAACGACGATCCAACCTCGGACGCCACCTCCAACGACAGTGACACTGACGCAGATGCCACCGACGATGATGCCATCAACCACCCGTCCCCGACCAACACAAACAAACCCAGCAAAAAGACCAAAAAACCTAACAATAAGAACCAACAAAAAAAGAAACGCAAAACCTCCGGCCTCCGCTACGCATTCGGCCTCGACTCAGGCTGCGGCCACGGCAAACAACTCACCGCGCTCGTCCTCGAAGCCACTCTCGACGAAAGCTCCACTACTTCCATGGGGGAGGAGGATTACCACAGTTATATCCCTAACAAACACAAACCCGTAGCTGGTCAGGGAATAATCAAACACACGATCGAGCAAGTCGATTGTATGACGGCGGCCGCGGAAGCGGAGGCAGAAGCGGAGGCCGGAGCGGAGGAGGAAGATGAGGACATGGCTGCGCCATCGGCCGAGCACGCCGAAAACGAGCCTGGGGAAGATGAGGAGGAGTAAGCATCTAATGTATGTACACAGTAAGGAGCCCGCTTAGCGAGTCGCTGTTGTTAGGTAGCCAGCCAGCCCCCGAGAAATTGGAACAAATCGACCTAAACTAAGCTAGGCTGAACGTGCTTGCTGCCCAAGACCGTTCCGTCGGATCCGTGGAGTTCCATGAGGGAGGGACATATTGTGTTTCGGGAAGCCAAGGGCTGTAGGATAACGCTGTGCGTATGATTGGACATGAGTACCGAGGTACCTACAAAGGTAGTTTTAGGAAAACGAAAGAGCGGCATGGAGAGCGTTCCTTTTCGGTTACCATTTCGGGATCTATTTCATCTAGTGTACGTGGATGGAGCCCATGAACATTGGGATTCCATCCTCTGGTGTTGAGAACGCTGAGCAAGCCTCTGCATGCATCGAGACTTGCCGCTGAGTCATGCCAGATGCACTTACATAGATGGAGATCAATGGACCACACCACACCACACCAGCCCAAAATCCTCGGTCAAGTAACTCCCTGACAGTGAAAACGAAGCAATAGTTGGTCAACTTGATTTGAATTTGTCCTGTATAGCATTTGCTTGCTTTGCATGCGCCGTAACCCAGCCCAGGCAATCCAGTGCAAACGATAAATCCATTTTGCTCTTCGCTTGCCGCGCCCCTCAATCTAGATAGAGCGCAATCGAAGAAAACGATTCATTACCCCAATTCGCCAAGAAATTCCTTCTCCCAAATCCCCGTCTCCTCACTAACACCCAAGGCACACTTACTGCAGCTTGGCCTTGATGATGTCCTTGAGGGTAACGGCATCGGCAGCGAACTTGCTGATACCCTCGCGCAGCTTCTCGACGGCCATCCGGTCCTCGTTGAAATCGAAGCGGAAGTTGGCCTCCTCGGCAATGTAGGTCTTCTTCGGGATGTCGAGCGCGCTGGCGCCGGAAGCGTCGAGCTTCTTGGGGACGGGCTCGCTGGAGTTGAGGAGATCCTCGAGAAGGTTAGGCTGTTTCACAGTTAGCCTCGGGCTTCAAAATTGCTGCACGGGGGCATGACGAGTAAAACTTACGGAGATGGTCAGGTAGTCGCAGCCAGCGAGCTCAGTGATCTCGCCAGTGTTGCGGAACGAAGCGCCCATGACAATGGTCTTGTAGCCGTACTTCTTGTAGTAGTTGAAGATGCTCTTGACGCTGGCAACACCCGGGTCCTCCTCCTTGGCGTACTCCTTCTTGTTGGCGGCCTTGAACCAATCGAGGATACGGCCGACGAAGGGGGAGATGAGGAAGGCACCGGCCTCAGCGGCAGCAATGGCCTGGACGAGGGAGAACATAAGGGTCAAGTTGCAGTTGATGCCGTGGTCGCGCTGCAGGATCTCGGCGGCCTTGATACCCTCCCATGTCGAGGCAATCTTGATCAGGACACGGTCCTTGCTGATACCGGCCTTCTCGTAGAGCTGTTGGGTACGGGTGGTTAGCAGACGTCCGAGATCACAATGTGCAGTCCAATGTACAGTCAAAAAGCACGACGTACCTCGATGATGTGGAGAGCCTTGTCGACGGACGCCTTCGTGCTGAAGGAGAAAGCGGCATCAACCTCAGTGGAAACCTTGCCGGGGATAATCTCAAGAATCTTGGTGCCGAACTGGACGAGGAGGTTGTCGAGGGCATCATCAACCTGTTGGTCGATCGAGCCACCCTTGGTCTTGGCCTGGGCGACGGCAGCGTCCAGAAGCGCGGCGTACTCGGGCTTCTTGGTAGCAGCGAGGATCAGGGAGGGGTTGGTGGTGGCATCCTGAGGCTTGTACTTGCCAATGGCTATAACAGGCGGTGAGCGAATGGTCGTTTTGTCGTAGGAGGCAGGAGAACAAAGCTACTCACAAGAAAAGTCACCTAGCACGGAGTCGTTAGCGAGGGGTTTTTCTAAGACAATCCGTAGGGCTCGATATTAACTTACCAGAGTCACTGACGACGACCTGTAGTCAAAGCAGCACAGTCAGTAAAATGCATTTCAGACTCAAAATAACCCTCAGTCGTGGGATCCAAATGCCCTCCTCGCAGGTGGCGCCCAAAAGGTCGAAGCAATTGCCCCCCAACGAGGGCCACCGCGATAGTGGGGTAAACTCGGAGACTCACCGTGCCAGTGGCCTTGAGTTGCTCGAGAGAGTTAGACATGATGGGCGGTGCGAATCGAAAACGGTACACTCGTAAAACGAAGCAATCAATTCGAAAATGAAGGAGAAAGTTTGCAAAACTTTTCAGTTGTTTGTCAGAAAGAAAGGATCAAGTTGTTGGGGACGACCTAAAACACATCTAGGCTTGGACGGATAATATCTCTCGCCTCCCATCGTGGGGCAGGCTCGTCATCTGCCCCTGCCGGACATCCCTTTGCCCCTCCTTGACGCCGCGCGCTTCGCTGCAAGTGCCCCGCCGCCAAGCAGGAGCGGGTCCCCCCAACCTCAACTCTCAAGGTTCCATTTTTTTTCTCTTCCACTGAGACCCGGACTGGAGCAGCGGTCCCCATGGATCAAGCACCAGTATTTTCCCGCTGTGTCACTCAGTAAGTGTAGAGATAGCGCCGTGGATTCGTCGGGAAGCGGTGGCGATGACTATGCCAGCGGACTGAAACAGCAAAGGCAAACTGTCTTTTCCGTTCTCGTCCGTGCCGTTTGCCATCCATGTCGCCTTATGTCCCTCGCCAGCAGCGATTTGTACAAGATTTGTTAGCTTCGAACATCAATTATGAAATCAAACTCTCCCATCCCCCACGCGGTCCGATACTTCTCCGATTCTCCGCCGATCCCGCTCAATCATCACCCGAGGCCCCCTCCCGCCTTTTCCCAGCCAGCCAGCCCAAGCATGATGAACCTTCCATCTCCGGGTTCCTCATCGCCTGGATCCTCTTACTCAGCCCGTTTGCCCCAACCCGCTTTCCACGGTTGTCACGGCGAGCGAAAAAGCGTGCCACAAATCCCACACCATGATTGGGCAATGCAGACAATGTACGGATACCACTTGAGGGGGCATTGGGCTGCGGGTTCGCGAGCACGGGGTCCACCGCTCTTCAAAATAGCCGGGAATCATGAGTGGTCCGCAGCCGTTGCGGCTCCTCCGCGGCGGCGGAAAAGCTGTACCAGTTTCACGATGCATGGGAGCTCACAGGCCAAGACCGCCAACGAGTGCTTTTATTTTGCCTAGGTATGCCCTCAAGAGAGATCATGCTCATAAGTATTAAGGTTTGATGGGAAAGTCAAGTCAAAATGTCAAATGCGCAGATATGCCAACCAGCCCATTTTATTTTATTTTGCCCACCTCCTTTCCCCCATCCCTAGTTGACGCCTCGGAATTTCAGTTCACTCTCATTCTATGTGAGCCCCTTTAGTCCTCCGTGATGTCGCCATACTCCCAAATTCCGCGCCGCCCATCCTTGGCCTGGCCCTCAGCCTCCCGCAAGTTCTTGAACACCGGCTCAAAGACCTTGCTGCGCTCCCACGCCTTGAGCTTACGCGCCACAAGCGCGTGTCCGTCCAGGACAATCTTGCGGTTGATTGACTCGGCGCCGGCCCCCTGGGGTCTCTGCTCGTACAGCGTCACGTAGCTCAGGCCCTCCTTGTTGTCAATGAAGTCAAAGCAAGCCACTAGTCGCTTGCCCTCGGTCAGGTCGTACAGGTAGTTGATGGCATCACGGAGATAGTCGGGCGACGCCGGGAGTTGGGCAAATGACAGCTGTGTGTCGATGGCCTGGGGCTTAAGCTTCTGGACGGTGAACTGCGCCTGCGAAAGGGGCCGGAGTTTTGACCACGGCTGGCTCTCCGAGTTGCCGTAGTCAATGTACACGACCTCGGCCACCTTGGCGGTACGGTCGTTGGACCGGATGCGCGCCCGGTACCACTCACCGTCTTCCGTGAACTGCGCAGCCACGTAGTCGCCGGCCTTGGGCGCATCCTTGAGGCCGGCGCTATTTGTCGGGTTCAGGTGGAATTGCCGGAACTGGTCCATCAGAGACTCGAGCGCATCGGTGCCCCTGCCAATCTCCTGCACCTTGATCCTGCCATTGGAGTCGATGTTGGTGATGATAACGTCACGGTAGTCCTCTGGCTTCTTCTCGATGGTAGTCGAGACGTCAGCGGCGGCTTCACCCGCGGCCGCCTGACCCTCCTCTTCGACATCCTGGGATGGGTCCCAGTCCTGCCACAGTCCCTTGCGGGCCCCTTTCGCGCGGTCTTGCGCAGCCAGCAGCTCAGGGGCATTCCCGGCCTTCTCGGCCGAGTACTTGTGAACAGAAGCGAGACCTTCTTCAACCAGGACCTTTGCAAAACTCTCCCGGCCTACGTAGAGATCGCCAATGAACCCGCCGACCTTGTCGATGTCGTGAACATCAATCTCACAGTCCCTTTGGTTGCACCGTTTGTTGGCAAGATCCAAAGCTTCTTGTCCAAAAGGTTCTCCTTTCTCCTGAGGCGTCCGGCCGGAACGGGGAGCGCGAATGCCAGCAAGCACCAGTGTGAGCTTAGCGCCCTCGCGGGGTACCAAGATGGTGAATCGAGACCCAGATTTGCAGAAGTCGACGATACCCGGGACCTTGCGTTGCCTGGCAAGAGTCGATAGTTGAATCTTGGCCTTTTGCACGCTTTCCGACACGTCCACGAACTGCCTGGTCTTGGGCGGCTTGCCGGACCAAATCCCCTTCTTCTCCTCCTTGGCAGTCTCCTGTGCGGCTAGCAGCTCGTCATAGTTAGATGCCCTATCGGTGTCGTCTTTGCGATGCCGGATGACTGTGGCATATCCCTCTTGGACGAGCTGCAAGCCAATGTTCTTGCCATTCTGCGTGATGGTAGCCACCTCACGAGCCTCAAAATCGTCACTCGCAGGCTTGGTGCCGTCGACCTGAACCCGGACATGCTTTCCAATGAGCTTTTTCCTCAAGAACTCCTTCGCTTCGTCCCTGAAAGGCGCCTCGGAAGCCTCGCCAGTGCGGGGACCGCGAACGCTGCTGATGCTGATCCTCTTCTCATCGCCAGCCTTGCTCCGAACGATGATGGTATCGGCACCGATGATCTTGGCGACCGTCGCTTCTTGCTCCTTGCTGTTAGTAGCCTTGCTGACGAATGCCTTGTGTAGGCGACGGCGAGCGGCTTGGGCCTCCTTTTCGGCCGCACGGAGAGCAGCCATATCGGCACCGAGCAGGGTCGAGTGGAAGTCGTTGCACCGAGCGAGACCCTCCTTCAGAAGAAACTCGGCGATATTTCCGCGCGGGTGGATGATGGCACCAACAAGTTGGCCCTGTGGGCTGGCGCCTACGATCTTGACTTGAATCTGGCGCTGGAGAAGCCGTTGCTCAACAAAGGCGCGCGCCTCGTTGCCGTACTCTTCGGCCGGCTGGGTCTGTCCGTTCGATTGGTTGACGCGCTCGGTCGAGGGAGTACGGACACCCGCCACAAGCGTCATGACCTGCCAGTGCTTTTTCTCCGTTAGAAGCAGACGGATAAGAAGCCGGTCACCGCTGATAATACGCTCCACGATGCCGTCCACAGTCTTGCCCTTCCACTCCTTCAAGAAGTCCGGGCCGCCCAAGTCATTTTGAACCTCAATGACGCCGCCCGTTCCAGCGTGCAAGCCTGCGCTTTCATCCTTCGCTTGTGTTTCGAGAGCTCGCAAGTTGTCGATCTTCGCAAGGACATCTTCCGACTCTTCCTTCCGGCCAGCATCCTCCCTGACCTTAACCCACCCGCCCTTGACAATCGCCTCGGGGAGTTGAGTACCATCCTGGAGCAGAGCGGTTCCGTATTCGCGGCCAGAGCTCGGGATAGTGTCTGCAGACCGGTCAGCACAACGCAAGGGAGGCAACGAGATATACTGAAAGAACCCCCCTCCCCCTAACCCACTTACAGGAAACGCTGAACTTGACTTGCTTCCCAACCACCAAGTTCCTCAAGAAGTCCCGGGATTGGAAAGCGTACGGCTCATCGCCATCCTTGCTTAGTCGTGGGGCGGAGACATAGGCGAGAGAGAGGGTTCGTTCGGCCGCGGGGTTGTTGGGGCTGGTGAGCACCAGGGTATCGCCGCTGAGAACCGACTTAACGTTGGCGAGGATAGACATAGCGACGGAAGGGTAGCAAAGAAGGTGAAAGGAAGCGGAGGGAAAAAAAGGTCGAAACTGAGCACGTTCTCTGGGGACTTTGCGTCAGCTAGGAGTCTACTACGTTGAGTAGTGGATTTGTGTCGGTGTGGAGGGGCACGAGCATGGAAATTCCGTGCTGACCCGTGGGTATGAGGATGGCTCGAGGATAGCAACGCAAGTGTGCTTGAGGCGGGGCTCTCATCAGCACCGTCTGTTGTTGTGCCTTGTTGCGTGTTGAATCGAAGTGCCCGCCATCAAGGTTCGAGGGAACCGGGCTGGTGTGGGACCTTCGACTTGGGCCGCAACAAGTGGAAAGCCATCTCGAGAGGTCGGCAAGAGTGGAAGCCGGAATAGGACTTTTGTCATGAGAAAGCAGACTGCGGACCTACCTTGATCGCACTATAACAGGGCGACAGGGGAAAGTGATCGAAGGAAGGAAACACGAACTTGGGGTCGGTCAGTTTCGTGGGGTTTAAGGGAGCTCTCCTCCCTCAGGCGAGCAATGGCCTTTTTGACAACTTTCCAGGCGAATTTGGATTGGTCTCGTACGGACTGTGGGGAACAGGCAAGCTGTCCCCGGAAATGGAACGTTCAGGGGCTTCCCCACCAACAACACCTCATCGAGACCGCCTGAAAGAACAGAACGTGCCCCACTCGGTTGAGGTGATGGTCGAACTCAATTGCGAAGTTGGGGCTAATAGCTTCGGCGCAGCTTCAAGTCAAATGGATGATCAAGGTTATATCTAAAGCTATCTCGTCACAGCATATCGACGGGAATCGTTCAACTTCTAGAAATCCGAGTCTCGTGATAGCCGGCGCCTAGGTTGCCTCGAGGACCCAGCAAGCATCGGCAGGTATCCGGTAGCTCGAGGGAAGCTGCAGGACAATTGGGTTTGTGCTACAGAACTCTCGAGTATGCATCTCTCGCCGAGTTCTCTTCTCGACTTGAGTTTTGCCAATTGGCTCACGTTTCCTCACACGAGTGGTTGCTTAGAAACATTGGTCCTGTACGGTATGGGCATATAACCCGGAGCAAGTCTCTGGGTCACACTGTGCATTGCATTGTATGTGTAGCTACCCCGCACTCTAAGGTCATCCACCCGTCTCCAATTCAGTGAAGCTTGCGTTGATGCTGGGTTGGTTCCAGGTTGGCTGGACGCATGATATTGGCGTTACGGTCGATGCTCTATTTTTCTACCTAGCTTTAGAGTGACTTTTAAAGACAGAGCAAAGTTTCATGCGAAATCGCAATGTGGCAACCGTTATCAAGCTCGAGTGGCTTCACCAATAACCCTGTGTTTGTTTCTTTTTTCTTTCCTCCCTACCTACTATAGGCGAAAGAATGTTTACTGCGAGATACCGATGACACCTAAGAAATTACGTTAGCCCTGGAATTTGAGTCTGAGAGAGAACAGTTTTATCATCTTACCGCAGGCGGGACGGGGGCCAGCGTTGCCGGTCTTGAGCGACTCCTCGTTGCCGCCCTTGCCGAGGTCGTCAGTGCCGGCGTGGACAACGACGGTACGCTAGAATAGAGGTCAGCATCTTGTTTTAGGGTTGACTATTCGAAGGTACGAGAATGGATGGGGATCGATCATACGCCAATAACACTCTCGGGGCCGATCAGCTTGATGAATTTGTCGCTCACGGAGCCCTTGGAGTTGCCCTGGGCATCAGTCTCGATGTTGCCGAGGTCACCGACGTGGCGGGTCTCATCAGTCGGGGCACCGTGGGTCTTGCCGTGAGGGTTGACTATGAACAAAGTGTCTTAGCATTGGTCTCTCCATTCTCTAATGAAGCCGGGGCGGAAGCTGTTCTAGGGTGCATACAGTGGGGGCCGGCCGAGGTGCAGCCGTTGGTGTTGTCACCGAAAGTGTGGATGTGCACACCACGCTTAGCGTTGGCATCGTGGCCGCTAATGTCCCAGGTGATGGTGGTAGGGGCGGACTCTTGCTCCTGCTCGAAAACGAGGGTGCCAGTGACCTTGGAGTCACCACGGACGACAGCGACTGGAAGTGAGCAAGTTAGCGATTGACCAAAAAATCGAGGTCCCCCCAAACACTCCCAGTCCATCCATGCACTCCGCCAGGGTATGATGGCTACCCTTGATCGGGCTGACACCCTCCATGCGGTGGTTAAGTGTCCGTCAAGGTGCGAGGTGAAACCTGATTGCCCTCTTGTTCCGCGTGGTCCTCCCTACCTGGGCGGCTCGGTGCGTCTGCGGCATCGCGGGGCATGCGTTGGACGGGTGGGACGGAGTGAAGAAAGCTTTTGAACGTACCAGCCTTGACCATTTTGAGAGATTGATTGTTGTATAGAAGGGTATAAACGAACTCGGTGGATTGGATATGGCAGATTGCTTTAGATAGAAGCGAGGTATTTGGGAAACACAGGAGGAAACTTGAAAAGCGTTGCTGATAAAGCTCCCTGAGCTCGGAAGCCGAGGGTGGCTCGCTGTTAGGAGGTGGGGCTATGGGAGGTTCACACGGAGCGCCGAGCTTCGACGACCCCGCACTCGCATTCGATGGGATGCCGTCATTTTCCCGTCTTTGACCGTGGATTTGAGGGACTGTGACAGGATGGGAAAACAATCTGATGGCATCGATGTCGAAACGGGTAGTGTCTCGCCACCTTCAAGACACGCAGGGGCTACTTGGCGGGACGGTTCAAAAAAACGGTAGCAAGATTCAATGAGGACCTAATCCCGGGGAAGCATATACACTACATATGTAGAAAGACGGGATACGGCCATTCGCGAGTCATTCGTCGACGTTTTCGTCGGCGTTCGTTCCCTCCGTAATTCAGGATATGCATCAATCAAATCCGGTCGGTTTCCGTAAAGACGATTTTGCTGTCATGCTCGATAGTCGGGTCATGAACTTGAAAATGGATTTTAAGGCCTCGAGAAACCAACGGCCGCAGCATCTCGGGAGGCCACAGCCATAAACGAGCCCCTGCATCTTGCCGGACTTCAAGGAGTTGGGGCCCTGCACAGGCTCACGACCGTCTCTTGCGATCGCAGCGAGCAACAAGAACGGTCCATTGGCAAATTTACTATTTGCGCGGTCAACTCCATAAGCAGGAAACCATCAATGCAAAAACTAGGATGACAGGTTGGACAGAAACCCCAAAGAACAATTTCGAGAAACTGTTGTTGTTTCATCCAATTTCAAGATGACGCCACACTGTGCATCCCGACGAACTGTGGGGCTTGGCACGCTTTGCCCCGTGTTGCTGGCCGAGCAAGGGGGTGGTTGTTTGGTTTGCTGTTGCGGAACCCCAGGCCGCCTTAGCAGTTGGCCGCGTGCGGCCACCAGGCTTTCCCTTTAGCCTCAAGCAAAGTGTGGCTTTGGCCGCCACTTCTCGTTGGGCTCTGTGATCGCCCACTCCATCTCTCGCTCATCTCCGTCTGAAGGATTGCAACAAACTGAACCCTTGAAAACCACACGACGGCATCATTTGCCTTAGGCCACGCCTTCGCGCCTCGAGTGTGCTTCTCCATTGAATACCAGAAATTAACGCGACGAAATTCTGAGCAAAAGAATAAAAATAAAAGTGCAAATCATCAAGGAAAGGCGACCTGTATCTGGCCTGGACAGGGTCTGAAACGGGCGCTGGTGAGGTTCCTTCTGCCCTCCACAGCACAGCAGCGCGCTCCACTCCTTCGCTCGACCCTGCAGAGTAACAGCACCTCGCACCTTTCTGCCCTCACTTCCACCCGAGTTTGGTCAGCTTCCGAAAACCACCGAGCCCATGTCCTGAATAATTTCGAGCGCACACGGCGTTTTGTCATCTAATCGGAATTTCGCATGAGGCGGGCGATTGATTTTTGAGCCATCTTGGCCGCACGCGACCCCGCTGGAGCGCTTTCACTGCGGCGACAACCCCGCGTGTGTGTCCACGGGTCCACAGGTCCACGGGTCGACGGGTCTACTTCGTACGGGTCCTGCTAATTAGGTTGTCGTCGACCTCACTGGACGCTTCTTTCTCCCACGACAGGGCAGGCCGGGTACATTTTGCCGCCCCTACTAGCCCACCATGTCATTCCGTAGCGACGACTCGCGCCGGTACGGCCATATACCGCCAGCACAATATCCCGTCGGCGCAGCTCCGCAAGCGCCCGCCGGATATCCAGCGCGACGGCCGAGCTTCAACAATGGCGACGACGCCACATACTTTGACCAACACGGGTCCCAGTCCCAACCGCTGTACACGGGCGCCTCAGGCCGGGCCGATGAGGAGCTGTTCATTACCAGTCCACCCCTCGACGCGCACTCGGCCGCGAACCGGGCCAGCTATGTTCCTCAAAACGCAGCCGCCGCAAGTTATCAACGGCAATACCAGGTACAACCACCACCGCCGCCCCCGTCGCATTCGACCTACAATCCTCAGTCGTTTGCCCGTTCGCAGTCAGCATCGCTCCCTTACCACCCTGCGCAAAATGTAAGGCACACGCCAGCGACAAGCCCGACCTATGCGACCCCGCCCACAAACTACACGCCCCAGGCGTACAACCCCGCTGCCTACGCAAGTACGAACGCCGTCGTGCCTCAGAGACATTCGACCGTCGCTGGCTACGCCAACTATGGCTATGGCAACTATAACACCCCTGCCGTGCCTCATGTATCTACAGCCTATGTCCCTCCACCACCATCCGGCTATGGCTCACAACCCACCTCGGCAACAACTCCGTCAACCTCGCAGCGGTACGAGCCGGCACTACATAGCCCTCAGTATGTGCCATCAGCCACGTCTCCGGCTGGTGCGCCGCTGTATGAGCCTACGTACCCCTCGGCCGGATACACTGCTCAGCAATATTCCGGGTCTTCCTATCCGAGCAACGACGCTACGGCTGGCCAAACATCTACACCCGCCTATCCCGTATCAAGCGCTCAAGTGCCGTATCCTGCGCAGACTCAGATGCCCGTTGGGCCGAACTACTCCCCCGACCCGAACTCATTTACGAACAGGATTTCTCGCTCGGGGTCCCAGCCGTCGCCGGCCCCGTCTCCTCCAGATCACTCGCAATCGTCCTCCCAACTCCAGAGGCACCCGACAAATGCGCCGCTCCCCAGCCGCCCCCTGGAGGACCTTCCAGAGGGATCGTCGGACTGGAGGACAAATGGTGGCGCCGAATCCGATTTCCAAGTCGCCCAAGAAAGCTTGATTCAAGACATTGTCTCGGATTTGGGCGTCTCCTCTCATAACCAACAACCGCATCATACCAATGGAACCACTGACAATGGTTTGGACACAGCCCAGCGGTACAATTCCACCTCTTCCCGGGCTACGTCAGAACCTGGCGTAAACCGGTACCCGTCCAATGGGTCTTCCGCGGTGGACAACACAGGGGCTTCGACCAATACCACCTACACATGGGACTCGGAGGAGAGTGACCCCGAGGGTGCGGCTGGGCTGATGGCGATGCAAGACGATATGGATGATAGGCGGTTTGGTGGAATCACTTTTCCCGCGTACATGGAGCCACTCGCAACCCCCCAACCACCACAGCAGCAAACACCATCTCAATCAGAGCCACCCCAGCAGCAGTCGCCACATGATCAGCCTCAGCAGGAACCCCCGTTGGCCTCTCCTCACCCCCCAGAATTGGGGCAACAGGGTGTCCCAGGAAACAGCGATTACGGCGGCATGGACCTCGGTCTGTACGGTGGTGGTTACGCCGGGAACTTGAATTACGGCAACGAAGTTGGCTCTCCCCCAAGTTCGTCGCATGCTCAAGATGCACCTCGCCCCTTGCCCACTCCTCAGGGTCAGGGTGCTGGGCTTCTCCCGTACCCGGATGTATCGGTCGACTACGGAGGTACTGGTGGTCTCCTTCCACCACAGCCTCATCGTCTCAGCTTCGACGAGGGCGATGAGCGTGTTTCCCTCCACTCGCGGCACAGTGGGAGTGATTCTCCGTCCAAGGAGGACTACCCGTATGACCAAATGTTTTGGCACCCTGGTCTTTCGAATCGCCCATTGCCCGCTATCCCACCTCAGACCCCAGACGAGACCTCGCATCTCTCCCCCCAACCATCGGTCCGGTCAAACCACCAAAACAACTACTCTACCAGTGGAGGCTCGGGGCTTCCGTACCCGCCTGACACCCCTGAAATGTACCAAGGACAAGTCGTCGATCAGCAGCATGTTGAGAAGTCAACATCCCACTCGAGTCATAGCAACACACCCGCTGTGCAAGCACCAGTCCGGTCGTCGCGAGCCGACACCTCGGAGAGCCGTAGACGGTCACAGCACATGTCCCATCCTCAATCGCAGGCTTATCAGCAGGGCACGAACGCTCCCTACGAAGGCTACGAGGGAGCAGCGCCGTCTTCGATGGCCGCGTACGACATGATCACATTGCCTACCGGCAGGAGAAAGAAGTTCGTTCCGTCAAAACTCACGGCTACGGACATCAAGCGCTGCAGGGAGCCATGGGCGCTGAGCGGCATCACGTTCTGGATCCGCGAGATGGCAGAGGGTGAACCGGATCTCAAGCGGAAGACGATTGAAGAAGGCGTGCTCAAGCTTTTCTGTGCCAAGGTGCCGACCATGAACGTAGCCGATGCGGAACTCCTGAGCGCAAAAGTAGTGGATTCCATGTTTGCTGCCGGCATCCTGCTGCCCGACGAAGAATGGGTCAAGTTTGGTGCCGGACAGCTCTCGGGCGTGCTCTGGCAGCTCACCGGATCCGGATGCTATGCGCCGAAGCTCCACGAGGACGAAGGCATTGCGCCCCGACTACACGACAATGGTATGCCTGTGAGATGTTACTCGCAATACTGTGGCAGGACTCTCAAGAAGGTGAACCTCGACAACATGATGTCTGAGGAGGATGTGGTCGTTCTCGACTGGGCAACATTCCACGGCGTGACCAAGGACGATATCAAGTCGAAGCACAAGAAGGAGGTCGAGCGACAGAACGTCCTGCACGAGATCGTCACTGGCGAGGAGGATTACATGGGCCAGCTGGACGTAATCCGGCTCCTGTACCGCGACTGGCTCCGAGTTTGGCAGCCACCGATCATCCCGTCGAACCGGATGGAGAAGTTCCTCGACGCGGCATTTGGGAAAGTCGATGCTGTGCAGCAGATCAACAAGGAGCATCTGCTCTCCCAACTCAAGTACCGTCAGCAGGAGCAGGGTCCCTGGATCGTGGGGTTCAGCGACCTGTTTAGAGAGTGGATCCGGAAAGCCCGGCCGATTTACATCGAATACTGCTCTGCGTTCCCGTATGCCTCGTATATCATCAGGCGAGAGGCGACCAAAAACATGCTGTTTGGCCAGTTCCTCAACGTCGTTCGGGACCACAAGCGCTCCAAGCGTTTGGAGTGGACCACGTTCGTCAAGGCGCCCATCACCAGGCTACAGCGGTACGGCCTGCTCCTCGAGACGGTGAAGAAGAACATGCCGGGGGAGAGCGAAGAGAAGACCAACCTCGAGAGGGCGCTAGATGAAATCAAGAAGGTGACGCACGAGTGCGATGAGAAGGTCGCCGAGATGACGAGAAAGGTTGAACTCTTGGAGCTGCAGACCATGCTCGTGTTGCGGGGTAAAAACGACAAGGGCGACCGTCCGCCTATTAACCTCAACCTTGACCACCTGGGACGAGAATTGCTGAAGCAAGGAGACCTTCAGAGGCAAGGGTCCAAGGGTGTCCGTTGGGTTGACACCCACGCTCTGCTTTTCGACCACTACTTCATCCTGTCCAAGGCCGGCACTTCCAAGGACGGCAAAAACGAAAAGAAATACGATGTGTCCAAAGAGGTACGATATATACACACCATCTCTTTTTCTCTTGGGCTGCCGCCGTGTTGTTGCTAACCCGATGTTTCAGCCGATTCCTATGCCACTGCTTTACCTTGAGAGCATGAATGACGATCCCGTTGCTAAGCAGAAGAGTTTGACGGCGCCCTTGACAAGGACGACAGCGGCCACTGGGTCTGGGACGCAACTCAACAAAGTGACGTCCAATGGCGACCGGCCGGGGCTTGAACATGCCGCGACGGGTTCCTCGATCTCGTCTCTCAGCACGGTCACCAGGCTGGCGTCCGCTGGTGCCGATGACGGGAAGATTATCTACCCCTTCAAGGTCAAACATCTTGGCCACGAGACGTACACACTCTATGCAGCTTCGGCCCAGGAACGCGCGTCCTGGTGCTCGGCGATCATCGAGGCCAAGACGAGGCATGCCCGGGCACTTCACGCTCAGAACGCCGAGCCGTTCCGTCTCCGTGTCATTTCCGATAGCGCGTTCGCATACGACTCAACGTCGTTGATGGGACGACAGCCCACTGTGTCGATCCGGGGCACGCCGCTCGACCGGGGCATTCGCGAGATGGAGCAGGTATTTGGCCCAGGGAGAGGCCCGCCGCCCATATCACGGGCGACCGTGAACTGCGCATGCGCCTTCACCTCGTTTGGCAAGTCGCTCATCGCCGTGGGAACCGACTACGGCGTCTACATCTCCGAGGCGTCGAACCCCCGGGGCTGGACCCGGTCGGTGCAAATCAGCAAAGTCACGCAGATCGCCGTGCTCGAGGAATTCTCGGTGTGCCTCCTAGTCGCAGATCGCTCGCTCATCTCGTACCCGCTCGACGTGATCGCGCCGGTGTCGAACTTCCCGTCACCCTCGCACGACAACCCCCGTCGGGCGCCGCAGCGTCTCGCCAAGGACGTGGCCTTCTTCGCTACTGCCCGTATGAAGGACAGGATGCTTTTGTTTTACAAGCGAAAGGAGGGCATGCACAACACCTTCAAGGTCCTCGAGCCCGTGTTCCAAAAGGCGACCGAGAAGCGGTCGCGCCTCTTCGGCGGCCGCCGCAGCGGCAACGGTGCCACCGAGTCATTCCGCGACTACGACGAGTTCTACATCCCAACCGACTGCTTCTCCCTCAACCTCTTCCAGTCCTACATCGCCGTCGCGACCTCCAAGGGTTTTGAGCTCCTGACCCTCGACAAAAAGGTTACCCAGTCCATCCCGCGCGACCTCAGCCAGCCAGCCATCAGCAGCATCGCCTCGCGCATCAAGGAACCCCACCCGCTCGGCATGTTCAAGCTTAACGACCAGGAATTCCTCCTCACCTACGGCGACTGTGCCGTCTATGTCGACAAACACGGCGAGGTCTCCCGCACCCTCATCATGGAGTACTCGGGCAAGCACAAAAAGGCCAAAGCCGCCACCATGTTTGGCCAGTACCTCCTGCTTTTCACGGACGACTATGTCGAGGTGCGCAACGCCGAAAACGGACGGCTGCGCCAGATCATTGCCGGTCGGGATGTACGCTGTTTGGATTACGGGTTCCGCGGACCTACGGGGACCGGGCCGGGCGGTGGTGGTGGTGCCGGGTTGGCTGGTGTGCAGCCGCCTGTGGGGACGGAACAGGACTCGAAGGCGTCGGTTAAGATTTGTATGAGCCATCCGGAGGTGCCGGGGGGGCAGATCGTGCTGGAGATGGTCCTTAATGATGGGCATGCGGAGTAGTCGGACAGGTTAGAGAGTGGAAGGTTCTAGGGGACTGTAACAATGGCAGTGATGATGTTGATGATGATGACGACGACAACGACGATCATGATCATGGGTGAGAATGAGCGAGCTCGAGAAACGAAGGAGCTGTGGGGTGTGGGGGGGATAACAGGGCCAAGGACGAAGCGGTAGACCAGCCAAGAGGATATGGAATTATTGTTTGGAAATATGGTGGGTTGGTGGGAACCGGCGAACGGGATCGGGGCGAGGTTAAGAATCAGGCTTTTGTGTGATTTTCTTTTTATCTATCCTATCCTTCTCCTCCTTCGTATTTTCGAGGCTCTGTTTATTCCACTGGATTGTTTTTCGACTTTGATTGATCGGGTCGATCAAGGGTGTATGTTTGCTTTGGCTTTTTAGGGTTTTTACTGCTTGAGGTTCTAGTAATACTGTGATTCCCCTGAGTTCTTGCTTCCACCCGGATTTCTAACGTTGATGTTGGGCGAGCTTTGTGATGCCATATACCCATTGCGTTCATACAAGTTCATGGACACTCGAGGGTACAACTCAATATTCCCGACAGGTGTTCTACCTCACTCCTAATGTTCCCTCTAAGATCAAGGTGAAGCAACCGGGGTTAAGTAGAATAACAAGAGAAAAGGGGGTAAAATGATTGAGCCTGTGATAAAAATGTCGGAGAAAAAAGTAAACAAAGTCAGAATGCGTCAGCCGCGAATCGAACGCGGGGCCCATCGATGGCAACGATGGATTTTACCACTAAACCACTGACGCTTCTTGAGTTAAGATGCTACCCGGGTTAGACCCGGAAAAGGTTTATCCAAGCGAGGTTTGTTCAGGGTGGGGGCTTTCTTGGGTGGTGGAGTGGAGGTGGGGATGTGGGATGGATGGCGGTCTGTTACATACTCGATGGTACACGTGTAGTTGTTTTCGATGGACTGATTATCGAGAAGTTGGGGATCCCGGCAGCCCGGGCAGTATGTCGGCAGTTATTGGTCAATCTCTAGTATAAAGTGAAGCTTCGAGGAGTTAGGGATTTCGCTGTGAGCCGGGCCGGAATTAAGACTAATTAGATCTAATCACCGCGCAAAGTGTCTTCACAAACCTCGCCAACTTAAATTGATTCTGGGGACGAGTAAGTTATACTTGGTGCCGTACGTTTCAAAACACGTACTCGGCCCGCAAAAGAACATGATACTTTCAACCCAAAATCCTCAGAACTTTGTGAGTCCTGTGACGTTGTGTGGCTGCCAGTGCTGTCTCGACAGACCAGTGTCCGGGAACTAACCCCATGGACCCTGAAATGGTAGCTGAACAGGCACTGCAATAGCCATGTAAGAGGCCTGTAGTTCTGGACAGAACAGTACAAGTCTTTCTTTAGAAACGTTGCGTCCAACCATACCACAAAGGCTAAGCGAGAGGTGCCAACGAGATAGATGTTGCCATCCCCAATCCTGTTAACCACAAGGGACCTCACTAGTCCGAGGCACCCCTGATCGCCGCCCGGGGTCTCGGATCCCAGAATCAAGACTTGAGTCCGAAGAGAGTTCAGTCTATCCTTTCTTGGGCTGGATTCAGGAGCGGTCGTAGTGAACTGTCCCCAAACTCCGAAGCTTATCGCCGAAATACTCAAGATCGAGTTTCGAGACTATTAAAGACATGAAATCAAATAGGCTTGAATAGCCCTCTGAAAATGGATTTCATTCTGAATCCTGTTCACAACCACTAAATCTTCTTTTAACTGATTCTTCACTGTATCCGCAATCCGCAGCCGCGAGTAGTCCTTCACAATGGTCAAAACGCTCCCCTTCGGCGACATTGAGGTCCCAGTCCCCGGCTTTGGGGCGATGGGTTTCAACCACGGTCTTGGGTTAAACCTCACCTTGGAAGAAGCAGAGCCTGTCCTGCTTAAGGCTCTGGAGCTCGGCTGCACGTTCTGGGACACGGCCGTGAGTTCAGACCCTTACTCGCATCAACCATCCATGATTTATGGTTCTTGCTGTGTGCTAACTTGAGTCTGTTGACAAGGTCATATACGGAGCCGGAGTTAACGAGAAACTCCTTGGAGACTTCATCCGCAAACACAATGTTCGCGACAAGGTCTTCAGTACGTTTTGTTCCAATATCATTAATATCATTCAACTCTTTCCCCGGGTTGTTTGTCTTCCTGAACGTATAAGGTTGTGGCTGACACCGGATTGATTTCCTTAGTTGCATCCAAGTGCGGCATCGTTTTACCCGACGCCGCTCCCGACATGAGCAAGCCGCGGCTGACCGTCACCAACAAGCCGGCCCATATCAAGGAGTACATCGAAGGCACTATTGAGCGCCTTGGCTTCGCCCCTGACCTGTACTATCTCCATCGCATTGACCCAGGTACGATATCAACAGCGGCCAAGTATTACCATGCGCAACTTTGTAACTAAGTCACTGACGCTCCCCACTCAGAAACTCCCCTCGAGGAATCGATCCCAGCCCTCGATGAGCTCCGAAAGGCGGGCAAGACTAAGTACATCGGACTGTCCGAATGCTCCGCCGCGACCCTACGCAAAGCACACTCAAGTAAGAGAAATCGTCTCACTACTCCCACAGTCCTCCCCCAACCCAACGTACCTTACTAATCGTAACTAATCATCGGTAAATAGTCGCGAAAATCGACGCCGTCCAAGCAGAATATTCCGCCTTCGAGACCCTGCACGAGACCGACGGCCTAATCGACACCGCCCGAGACCTTGGCGTGGCCTACGTAGCCTACGGCCCGCTAGGACACGGCTGGCTGGTGGACGACTTTGCGTACAAGAGTCCCGATGACTTTGCTCCCAATGACGGCCGCCGTAGCAGTGAGTTACCCCGTTCCCCTTCCCTTTTCTTAAGCCGGATCCGAAAAGAGGGTGGTTAGGGAGTATGCTCACAAGTTAATCCATAACCAGTCCCCAAATTCCAAGGCGAAAACTTCCACCTCAACCGCGCCATCGTCCACGAACTCCAACAACTCGCCGCCAAAAAGGGCTGCGCCACCACCCAGGTCGCACTCGCCTGGGTCGCCGCCCAGGGCATGATCGCCATCCCAGGCACGACCAAGGCGCACCGGCTAGAGGAGAACTGGGCTTCCCGCGAAGTGGAGTTGACGGAGGATGAGATGAAGGAGATAAGGCGGATTGTGGAGGAGGCGAAGCCGAGGGGGGAGAGGTATGGGGAGTCGTTGAGGAAGACGGTGGGGAATTGATGGCGTTTACATGTATTTTGTGTTGGCGAGTAAATTGAAAAAGCGTGAAGGGGGGTCGGTTGTTTTCGGAGTTGTTTCCTGGCTCTACTAAGGTGTATGCATTTTATTGGGTATGTAAGGTGATGTTTCGTACACTGCTCACACTTATATCTGCTCGGACACTTATCCCGGGCGGTCCGGAACGGCCCGAAGCGGCGGACTCGGGCCGCGTGTCGGAGTACCCCTTCGGTACGGACATGGTATCCGAGACGTAGTGTCAAGACATCAGCGAGTAAACTGTCAATAGGTGTTGGCGTTAAATTACATTCCGCATCTGCTGCAGATTCTTTGATCTGTAGTCCAATTCTTCAACAACAATGAGCTGTTAGACTAATACCCCACCACGAGATACCAGACCAAATCTTTTGTTTCCCAGAAAACAAGAGTAACTACCGTTGACAGACTCGACTTCACGAGGGCTAGTAATAACCCCCAAGTACTCATACACTCCGTCTGCGTTCGCTCATAAATGTCAATTCCACCACCTAAAAAGTCCAGTAATTACCAGCCTCCCAGACTCCTCAACAAAATATACAACAGAATAAAAGGACAAAAAGAAAAAAAAAGCGATCGTGTTCAAACCGCATGGGTATCGTATCATCTAGTGCGCTCCTCTCGCCTCGCCCCAACCAGCCGGCGGCAGCGGTGGTCCATTCGGATGGTCCCCCATCACTTCATGAACCCTATCAGGCAACGGCATCTCATGAAGTCCGTGAATCCTATCGGGCGCCTCCACCACCCAGTGACCTGTGTAAGGGTCCTTTGCTTCAGCATAATAGTCGTAATGATTCGGCTGCTGTGATGCCTCTGTGGCTTCCAGCTCACGGGCAGCCATCTTCTTCTGGTTCTTCCTCCACCGCCGCCAGAACACCACAGCCAGCCCGACAACCATCATCCCACCCACGCCCGCTCCCACACCAATACCTGCCACGGCCGCCATCGACAGACCCGCATCCTGTTGTTGTGTCGCTTCCGCCCCCGCCGACGCACTGCCCCCTCCCTGGCCAGAAGAAGAGCTACTCGTGCTAGTTGGGATGCTCCCGCTGGCGCTGGCGCTGGCACTACTACCACGAACCTGATCCGCCGTCAGAGCCGTCCAAACCCCCTTCCACGATTCCTCCCAGTCGTTTCCATTCGATGCCGCGAGTGTGACGTCCCCCGGCTGTATGTTAACAGCGTCGACGGCGCCACCCGAGGAGGGGATATTCGGCCCAGGCGCTTGGGCAAGAAAGATCTTCTTCTGCTCCCAGTTGGCGCCTAAGAAGGCGTCCTGTAAGAAGGCACGGCCTAAGACGGGCTGGCCTTTGGAGCCGGTGCCGGTGAAGCAGGGGAAGTATGGCACGGGTGTGTCGGTGAAGGGCGCGGAGAGGGTGAGGTTGAGGTGGCGGAAGGGGACGTTGATGGTGGTGCCGGCTTGGGTGGCGGCGGTTTGGGTGTTGCCTAGGAAGGTGAAGGTGAGGGCCGAGGCGGAGGAGACGATGTGGTGGTAGTGTGGAGAGGAGGTGTTCCAGAGATAGAGACCGAGAGGAGCATCGTAGGAGACAGGGAGGTGCTCGGCGATGGCGTCGCAGGTGGATTGCGGGAGGGATAGGTACGGGGTGCAGGGGTCGATGAGAACGGAGAGGCCGGCGGAGGTGCTGATGGATGAATTGCCCTGCGCGAGGAGGCCGGTGATTTTGCTACTGCTACTGCTACTACCGCTTGAACTGGAAGAGGACGAGGAAGAGGAAGCGGTAAAGGGGGAGGCGCCGTCGAAGACGCGGATGCCGATGTCGAGGAGGGTGACGGAGGACCAGAGATCGCCGTTGAATGTGACCACGTCGCCGAGCACACGGTTGCGGTCGTAGCCTCCGTAGAGAAGCGATCCGGGCATGGTCGCGGTCGGGCCCGCGGACCCGATATGCAGGCCGAAGGAGCTGGACGCGGTCTGGCCTTGGTCCTTGAGGTACCACGGAATCATCGTGGCGTTGACGCTTCTTCCGCCTATACCACCAGTAAATGTTTGATACCGGTCGGCAGCTCCCAGGCTGAGACAGCCTGTGAAGATCGGGTACTGCGCTCCGCCCGGGTACTCGTACATCTGGGACTCGTCTTCGATGAGGGCGAGCGAGTGGTCGTCGATGGCGCCGACATTCTTGAACTGCAAGTCGATCGAATCCAGGTGCATCGGCGCGGTCCCGACCGCCTTAACCCCCTCGCTCAGCTCCTGGACATCCGGCTGCCATGCTATGCTTAAGGTGGTCCCGGAGCCCTTGTTAGCAGACACACGGTTCGTGTCATACGAGCCCGACGCGCAGTGGGGGACCGCGCTGTCGACCGAGCAGTAGTCGGTGGTCGTGACGAATGTGCTCCACAGGCGGCCGGGAAACAGCGCGATGTTGGACTGGCCGCCCAGCGACACCTCAACGGCGTTCCATGGCCCGTCTGGGCCGATCGCCTTGGAGGTCCAGACGGCTTGCTGTGGCTCAACAGCAAGGGTGCGGGAAAACAAGAGACAGGAGGAGAGAAGCGCGGCAATGCTGGAGCCGGACATTTTCATCGTATCATGACTGCTGGGAGCTGGGTCGTGCCGTCGATGGCGAGGGAGAAGAAAAGTAGAGAGGAAAATGAGAAGAAACAGAAAACAGGAAACAGCCCAAGGCTCGTCCGGGCCGTCTCACGCATTCTACACTAGGCCCAGGGACTAATTGTATGGTATCATTGAGGTTGGATCGTCCAGCTGGGCTGGGCTGCCCTGGACACCATCTCACTCCCGTCGGCACGACCAGGCTTCGACCCGTGAAGGCTTCATCTCCCCGACAGGGGGGTCTTGGACGGCGCAGCGCATTGTGAGCGTGGGGAGACCCGTGTGATCGCGGCCGGTTAAAACAGCTAGCCGCGCTCGAGCCGCACTAACACTCGTTAGCTTTGTGTTGCAATTCTCATCACCTTGTTCTAAACCCCTGCCTGATGTTGCTGCGAGCGTATCGTGAGTCGGCGGGAGAACGCCTGTGGGTAATTAGCATCGGCGGTCCTTGGCGCCTCCCGAACGCTGATGGGCTTGAGGAGCGATGGAGCTAGCGCGTCTTGACACACCGTGCACCCAATCTCGGGTCGCCAGGCCCGCCAGGGAAGCAGGCACCCAGTTAACGACATGGTTCCTGCCTTAGCTCCAGCTGACGGGCTTGCCTGGACCTGACTTCTCCCACACAATTTTTGTGGCAATCTCTGGATGAATGCAACCTCGGGGCCGAGACAGAAAGCCGTCTACCGGCGTGGCGCACATGGGGGCTGTCGAACAGGCGCGCGGCCCCCACTGTGAGTTAGCCGCCACATCCCCCTGCATTTAGTGTAGGACACTCACTCCACTAGCATCTGTGCTGGCCTGAACATGAGCGAAGCCAGCAGCGCTTGTTGGCTGCTGTTAGCAAGCGCCCACGCGCTTGACAACCGGCGAACGGAGCCGGAGGAGCCGGGCTGGTCGCCAATTCCGTCTTACACAACAATAACTTCCCGTCACACCTCTCTCTGCCTGCTCTGCCCTCATGCCGCAGCTGCAGCCTTCGAGTGCAAGGGGCACGACGAGCGGCTGGTTGCTTGGGTGCATTATATGTATATCTGCCTATTAGCACGAGGCAGAACGAGCCGACGGAGTTGTTGTAGCAGATAACTACCCCGTACCAGCTCATGCTAAAACTTGATCCAACTGTCCCCTCTTGATCCCAGGGTAACGTCATGACTCGACGGATAGAATATGGTCGGGAATACGCCTCACACACTGCTCCAGGAAACCCAGGTGTTCCGATCAGAAACAGCTCAACCCGGGGGTCCAGTGGAATGTACAACCCTAACCCTGCATGACTATCGCCCAAGTATATGGCGAAAACTTCTTTTGTTTAGAAAGGACCTCTTGGGACGGGTTTTCGCCGCAACTAGGAAGAATATCGTCTCAAGAAAAGTTACATTCACTTACACGCATGGTGTATCATCGCTCAGTGTAATATTTTTGCCGTCGCACTTGAATTGAGGTGATGCCGTTGTGTTTTAAGTGCCTGCTCGACCTCCAAACTCGAGGTTTGGCCGGGTGGTTAGGGTCGCTGGACCGGGCGTGCATTGGCACTTACAACCCTAACCCTGTATGGGTATCTTTCTCCCACTTCTGTCACTGCAACATGCCCAGACATCCCCAAACAACACAGTCCAAGATCCAGCCCATTACGTTATTCAAAAGCTAAGAACTGCAGCCTGGGTATACGTTACAGAATATCCATCGCCCGCTTTGAGATTCCGACGCAGAAACAACACAGTCATCTCCCTTTTCCTGTCAAGCTCCTCTCCCCGAATAGGTCTATCCTCCGGTGCATCAATCGTCGCGTCATGAATTGGATATCAGTCATATACCACAATCAACAGAGGGCCTCGTCCCCCTATGAACGGAAACAGCCCGCCCCTTCCTCATATATCAGCTTTTCGGAATCTGCCCTCAATAATGAATATCCACCCTCTCCACCCTCTTCACATCATCTGGCATGCGCACAATACACAACTGCACACAAAACTCCCCCCACTCCCCCTTCGTCGCCTCGCGCACCGCATCCTGCAGATCACGCCCATACGTCTCGCGGTACGCCCGCCGCACGAGCGCCATGTGCTGCGCGTCCCAGTGGTACCGCACCAGACGCGAGATAAGCAGCTCGCGGCGTAGGTCGTCGCGCCGCGAGGCTGTGAGCGCGTGGTGTAGGAGCATGGCGTCGCGGACGGGTTTGTTGATGACGCCGTTGAGGATGTGCGCAAGGACTTCGCCCTGGATAGAGACTGTTAGTTAGTAACTGTTCTGCTGTTGCACACTCGTGTGATACGATACACGAGTAAAAGGGGGGTGGGGGGAAAACGTACGACTAGGTTCCCGCTCTTCTTCAACGCATCCTTGGCAAAGTTGGCACCCTTATACTTCTCCTTGTACTCGCGCAGAACCTCCCGCAAGTGCGCATCGCTGCGCTGAGTGATGATAGAAATCATCAAGCTCTCACCGCCCTTCTCACTGCCCACAGCATGGTGCAGCTCGCGGACATCGTCGTCCACCAGTCGAAAGTCAATACGCAGCGGGCGGCCCTGGGCGTCCACCTCCTCCATGCGCTGCTCATCCAGCACCATGAGCACCGCCTTCTTGAACTTGTCCTCCTTCAGCTCCGTGCGCATGCACTTGGTCAGGCTATTGGCATACTTCTTGTCGCTGAACCCTTCCTTGATGAGGCGGATCTCATCGTTCGTCCGCCCCATCAACGACTCGATCAGCAGCTCACGCCGCGTCTTGTCGCCATGGTACCAGAAGTTGGCCCAGTACGCCTCCGACTCCCACCGCCCCAGTGCCGTCGCGTAGCACGCCTTCATCAAGTTGCCGTCCTCGTCCTTGAGCCGCGCCCGAATGTGCTTGGCGATATTGACCCCCTTGCGTTCCGACCCCGTCTTGACCAACCGCTTGTACTCCACCCGCAGCTCCATCACCTGTTCGTGCGTGAGCCCGGGGAGGATCTCGACCAGCGGTTCCGTGTCGGGCGCCCGCCGCTCGCCCTTGAGGGCCTTCGCTAGGCGCGCCGCGTCATCGGCCGGGTCGGCAAACCGCGCCCGGCGAGCCCGACGCTTGTCGCCCGACCGGTCGTCGTCGTATTCGAGCGGCGAGAGAGCGTCGAGGATTTGTGGGTTGCTGCCGCTGTTGGTGGGGAAGAGCAAGGGCGAAGGCATGGGGGACATGGACTGGTAGGTCCCGTGGTAGGCTTCGAGCAGCGGGGATGCTGGAGCGGCCGAGACGGACTGAGCGCCGGCGTAGTGCGGGTTCGGGTTCTGGACCGTCAGGGTCGACATGCTCAGCGTGGGGGGCTGAGGCGACCGGCTGCGCTTCATGGCCGACTTGAGGGGTTCCCCAGGGCCGGGGCTGGGCTCACGGCCCGGACGGGAACTTGGCCCCTGGATGTCCAGATGGGACGCGCTGTACCGCGGCTCTTCCGGGGAGGGTTTGGAGCCGTCCCACGGCCTTTGCTGAGAATACCCGTAGCTGTCTGGACGAGGCGATGACGAGGTGCCATACGTATCCAGCGTGGTGCTAGAGGCCGTCACGTAAGTGCTTCCGTGGGGAGGAGCGGGCAGCGCGGCATAACTGTCCCGATGCGGCGACGAAGAGGAGTGGGGTTTGGACTTGGAAGAGGGACCGGGCAGACTTCCGTATGCCAAGTCATTCTCCAGCTTCTCCTTCTTCCTACGGCGCTCGCGCTCCCTGTCCGAATCTCGATCCTTGCTGCCAAAGGAATCGCGTGAGTGTCGGGGCGAAGATAGGGCTGGCTCGACCGGTCTGATGTTGCTGGAATACTTTTGAGGGAGGTAGAGGTCGGGTCGGGCGGCCCGAGCTGCTGCGGTCTCGCGGTCGGAGTCGCTGCGGTGGCGCCCACCTTCCGCATCCGACTCGCCGTCTCGGTGGTGTCGGCGCTCGGAGTCATAAACATACTGTACATCACGCCGCGCCGCAGCATAAGGGTCGTCGCTCCGGCTGGCGGTCGGCTGCCCCCGCGAAGATGGATAATAGTCCGCGTCCACGACATCTCCAGACGGCCAAGCCGGCAAGCGCTCGTAATCGTACGCCGCGGAGGAAGGGTTTCGGTAAGCGTCAGTCGAGCTTGGATACGGGACATCGGTTATTTGAGACGAGCGCACCCGACTCCGGTCGCGTTCGTCATCTCCTCTCCGGCGCCCCGGGGAACGGGAGCGCGTGCGCCGGCTGCTATCATCAACTTGCAATGACATCTTGAGAGTAATGTAGCCGCTCAAGCAAACTTAAGCGCGGGGGAATGGGCAGGTCCAAAATACACAGCAAAGCCGCGCTTTTGCTCTTCGCCCGACCGCTTGATAATCCGATCGGGGGCGAAAATTTGAAATAAATCGAGAAAGCGTCGCTCAAACCTATTTGGGGGCCACGGGTCAGGATTCCTTTTCCACAAAGATCGAAAGGGAGGGGGCGGGGGACCGCTTACAGCCACACGCAAAAAAACACACGCGCAAAGGCGGGGAAACCTGGACAGCCGCCAAAAAAGAGCCGCCGATGGGATGCAAATATGGAATGCTGGTAAGCGCGATACTGTTTCAATCGAGGCCGTCCGTGGTCCTTCTCGAGTCTCTACTTCTCTCCCTCTTTTCCAAATGCTTTGGGAGACAGGCTACTATGTACTTGTAGGAAGGCTGAAAGCTTGAAGCAAGGTTGAAGCGAGAACAAATGAAAGCTCGCCTCTCGCGGCGTATGATTGGGGCTTGGACAAGCTGCTGCAGCTGCTGCATGACGCTGCTGTCCCCATGAAACGCCAGTTGTTGGTGGACCCAAACTTGCTGCTGCCTATCAAAAGACTAGACCGTGCTGGGGCATTCGCGCCGCCTGCATGCCGCTGCGGTCTGCTGCTCTGGGGGGCGGCTCGGCGGGTGGTCGAGAAGCGTGAGAAGGGCGACGGGAACGGGGCAACGGCCTTGGCCGCGAGGCGGGGTGCGTGCCGTCGGCATCGGCCTGTCCGGAGAGAACGCCGGAAAGATAACTATGCTACGTCAATGTTAAGAACATTGGCCGAGCCCGTGGCGCGCCTCACGCTCATCAGCCACGATCCGTTACACCCGTGACCCGAGTAAATAAACTTCTTTCTGGAGATGGTTGTCATCGCCAACGTTAAGTTAAAGCCGAGGCCAACAGGGCTGGATTCCCTATCTTGGCGCTAGTAGGCGCCCCTCTAGCGTGCTTACCGCCTCCGCGACGGCCACTAACCACTGCAGAACCCCATGTTCCGCCGTTTGTGGGGCCGAGATGCCTGCCCCGTTGCAAATCTTCAACCGCTCCTCAACCTTTCCCCGGCTAGGTACTCTAGCGGCAACAAGCTTAGGGCGGACGGTGTCACCATTCCCAGGCACGCTCTGGCCCACAAGGTCGAGAAGTAATGTCGGTCGTTGCCCGCGTCTAACCTGATTTCCAACACTTCTGCCACTCGGTCGAACTTGTCATGAGGCTTCGAGTGCTCGGTCAACAACTGGCGACAGCCTCTCAGCCTGATTGGGATCACGGGCGTAACCTCGGGCACCGGGCCCATCGGGCCCGAAGCTGCTGATCAAAAAGTATGGGTTTCCATTGGATAAGTTGATCTGATCAAGCCCATGAAAACCTACACGTACTAGAACCCGTATCCAATTGCTGCTAGAGACCCGTCGGTGCGACGCAACTTGCGAGGCTACAACTCGTCTGCCGCACCCTTCGAGATCGATTGGCCACCTCTTTTGGGGCTCACTTTCGAATGGACATCCAGAGTGACCACGTATTTCTGCATGCGGTGAGTGAACCAGGCCCTGACCTTGACCAATGAAGTTCATATCATCCAGGAATCGACTCCAGCAGCCTTCAGAATCGGGAAAGGGACCTTCGGTTGCGCATAACCAAATTAATATTCTTGTTAGACATGGAATAGGGAATGAGTTCTGCGTCATGTCGGTTCAATGTCGTGTTTCTTTCTGCCCCCCCTTGAGCCCTTTCATACACCGCGCTTCTCATCCATCATGCCAAGCTCGTCGCCCGCGTCCGCCCGAATCGAGATACTAGCAGGTGGGGGTTGCGAGGTTTCTTCCAGCTTAATTGCTCTTTCCCTACGATTTTGAATCAAAACCTGATCAGTCTCTCGATACGCCAACATGTGACGGGAAGGAAAGGGGCCGAAGCTGCGGGCAACTCACCTCCGTAGTATAGTTCCAAACGCCTCTATCCCCACAACCACCAGCATGAAGGCCCCGGCTAGGTAGACGATAAGCATGTCGTTCCGTTCGTGTGAGCGGTGACCTCCGTGGCACGGCAATCCGGGCTGGTGCGGCCCAACGACATCAACATCAAGAAGTTCGAGTATGTCATCGTCCTCGTGATGCCCAGGATAATACAAGCGTAATGCGCGCATCTCCGGGCTTTCCTGCCTATCTTTCTTTGGCGTCCTGTGTTTTGAGAGAGAGGGAAGAAGGCCGATGGGAGAGAGTCTTGGCTGCGATCGTGGAGAGTGCTCATCACCAACTGGATGTTGTTTATCGCCGCGCCCGATGGGTAGCCATGCCGTTGGTGTCACTGGATCTTTGGGATCCCTCCCCGAGGTGTCAACCGCATGCGCCGGGTAAAACTCCGCTATTGGGGCGCACATCGCCAAATGCGCGGCGCAGAGCGCGAGGAAAACGGCGGTCGCCTTCATCGCGCCGAAGGTTCGTTGGTGGGTACGGTAACCTATGAGTAGGTACGTATCTCCACAAAGATACCGCGGTTGCAGATCGATTTAGAGCGGCGGAACCGTTGTGGCTAGTCTTCAATACAAGAAGAGAGAGGGCAGGTAGAAAAGTTAAACACAAGAAGAGCGTGAAGAGGCAAAATGGCGGACAATGACACTCGACACTAGATGGCAGGAGTAGCCGTGAAAAGCCGGGGCGCAAGCGGATATTTGCACCGTCACGACTTGCTTCAGGTCAGGGACCCGTGCGAGGCTGAGTGGTGCGAATTAGGCCTAGTTCTGGTGACCTGTAACGGAAATCGAGTGGACGCGTAACACCTGGAACTTAAATTTGAGGAAAGGGGGAGAATTGGGGATTCCGCCACGAAGCAAAGAAAGGGTCAGGCTCTCAGCGGTTGGGTGAAAACCACGATATGTTTGTGCGGAGGGCGGGATCACCTGCCTTCCTGGGGGCAAGTATTGCACTTGTGCCTAGCTTGGCCATCTTGGCCATCTTGACTTTTGTGTGCCCTTCCTTTGCGGCCCCGATCCTTCCTTCGGGATGTGGTTCATGTTCACCAAAGAGATACCAGGTCTTGTCCAGAACGCCAGAGAAGGCGCAGTTACTCAATCCCCACTCTACCCACCTTCCCTAAACGGCGAACTTCGGCAGTGACTCCCTCGTGTTCTGGCCATGGAGACGACTTCGAACAGCTCTCGACCCCGTGCTTTGAAGTGTCAGATGGACTGAGGTACGGGCGCTGACTTTGTGTAACTCTGATCCCCGCGACCGCCTGCCAAATGCCCAGCAAGCGTCGCACTTCCATTCCTGTCGAGGGACACGAAGCATGACCTCAGACGTGGTTGTTCTTCGTCCACTTACGATCTGCCGTCACACAACAGTCCCCACTCATCCCATGTCATAGGTCAACTGGACGCCTCGCCTGGGGTGACCTCGCTCGATCATCGCAGTCTCGAAACGAGACAACACGAAGGTTGGCCTGCAGCGTGCGAATCCCCCCTGTCGTAGGCCGATCGTGATGGGGAATGGGGTGAGAAAAATAAGGGATGGCCGAGGAACGATGAGCTGGAATAAATCCCTCGACCGGTGGAATGGATGGTATCATTGAGGCTGAGCATGTGCTCCAGCTTCAGGTTGAAGATGGGAAGATGAAGCAACGGGTGTCCCCGTCTCAAATGTGGTCCGGTCTGGACTTCCAGACTCTTAACCCTGAAAACACCCACTTCGCTGCAGGGGACCTCACGCCAGACGGCAGTGGTTGGCAGGCCGAGGCAATCGCGAAGCAGGGGGCTGCTCGTCTGGAACAGCGCTAAGAAAGGCTTGGCCCAAGCTCTGGCAGGGCATCAAAGCTTGGTTTTTTCTCTTCTCGTTTGCCCCGGGCATTCTCCGAAACGCACCTCAGGTCAGGGGCCGTCGTCGCAGACCCGACCGGCTGTTTCCGCGCCCACCCGTCCCAGCGTGTGCGCCATCTCGACGCAGACCTCGTACACATTGCCTACATGCGTACATGGAGAAGCACCCGGACTGATCCATGGCCCCTCCCTCGGGTCTCCATCAATCGGCCATCCCCTCCGATTTCGAGACGCCGTTCCCGCCGCTGGTCCGATCGTCGACCGTGCCCGCGGGTCTCAAGTCGCACCGCGCCGACCCGTCGCACCTGGCCCCCGAAGACGCCTACACCCCATACTCGCCGCCGCGCCGGTCCGGTACCTTCGACAGCACCGGAACCGCTTCGGGGACCGAATCGCGTGCCGGACGCGCTCGACACAAGGATGCTAGTCGCAGTCGGAGTCGGAGGCGCAAACGCTTCCAGAAATTGCTTTGGGTAAAGCAGTCGTGTGAGCATTTTCTCTCTGTCGACTTCCCGTATCTTCTCGTGCCCTTCACGGCCCCGTGTCAGGAGTGCAATCAGTGCTAAACTCTTCCCCACACCACAGATCCTGACAACTACACCGATCAGGCCACCTTTCTCGAAAACCTCCAGCGCAACCCCCGCGTCCGCCCTTACGATTTCTGGCCACTGGTTGCCGATTCGACCGTCATCGTACAACATGTGTGCTCGGTCATCATCTTTGTCGTATGCTTTGTGGGCATCTTCCAAGAGCGTGTCAGCCCCGTATCGGTGGTTGGGTGGAGCAGTTTCGCGACCTTTCTCGGTTGGCTACTATGGGATTGGTGGGTCACAAACGAGGCACCGGGCGGGTGGGAGGATGACGATGTCAGGGCACGCATGATACGGGATGGACGAGCGTACAGGGAATACCGTCCTCCACGACGGCAGGACTCTTCGGGGCTTGGCAGTCCGATGCTCAACGCTAGTACCGTGAGCATTTCGAGTGTGTCAAATTTCCCTTCCGCCGCAAGCTCTACGACAAACCTCCTCCAAGACCACTCCGTGCCCCTCCAGCGGCCGCTTCATCCACCGGGCACCAACACAAGCGGCGGGCTCCTTGCACCGACTCAGGTCCACTCCCGCTCTGCCAGCTCTATCAACACCATCGCAACCCAGGCCAGCGGTGCTGCCAGCCCTACAACCACCGCAGGAACCGCTGCCAACCTCATAGCCGCCGGGACGACGGCTTTCGGAGGTCCTGGCACCACAGGGTTCTCCCCAGCTACTCGCAACCGGCTCAGCACCATCAAGTCAGCCGTCCTGATCTACTTCACGCTCCTCGGCCTCTCCCCCATCCTCAAATCACTCACCCGCTCCACCTCGTCCGACTCCATCTGGGCTATGTCCTTCTGGCTACTAGCCATCAACGTTTTCTTTTTCGACTACTCCGGCAGCAGCTGGTCCGGTGGTCTCGGAGGAGCCGCTAGCGGCGGCGGCGGCGGCGGTGGTCCAGGTAGTGGTGCAGGTGACAGAGACGGAGATGGGGCCGGGAATGGAAATGGGGACGGAGCTGGGGGCGGTGTCGCCATCGGCGCAGGGGCACATGGCAAGCAGATGCCCGTGGCGTCCATGTCAACCAACGCCGCCCTGATGGCATCCACCGTGTTAGCCAGCCGACTGCCCTCCACTGGGCAGGTTTTTAGCTTGACGCTGTTCAGCATCGAGGTGTTTGGTCTCTTCCCCGTTTTCCGGCAGTATGCGAGGCACAGAAGCTGGCGGTATCATGTTGTGCTGACCGTGCTGCTGGTCCTCGGGGCTGGAGCCGGCGTGGGGATGATATTGGGGGATGAGAGGGGGTGGCCGTGGAAAAAGGGGCTGTTGGGGATGGTGGTTGGGTGTTTGATTGCTGCGCTAGCGATGGGCGGGTGCAGTTGGTGGCTCATTGGGTTGCAAAAGTACAAAAACGAGATATATGGCCCGTGGGATCCAGCAAGGCCGATTATTATTAGTCGAAGGCATTGGGATGATGATTAGGGGGCGGTAGATTTTGACATTAAAAGTTATTTTTCTACACTCAGAAAGGTCCAAAACTGGCTTTGGAGTGAAAGCCGTACTTGCACAACGATGAGTAAGGCGCCAAAAGCAGTCATCGACTGTACGGGGTGTTGCTCAACAGCGTTCGAACCACGTCCACCTAGGGGTTAAATGGTATTCCGTGTTCAGTTGTCGCTTGCTAAGGGACACTCAACACTGCTATTTATCATGCGGTCGACTCTAGGGCACCACCTGCCTGTCTACAGGGGCACATCGGCTCACTTTTCCCATGCGGAGTCAATGATAGATACGGCACCTAAGTAGGTACCGTCCATGTTGAATTAAGGCGACGGCTCGGCCGCCCTCGGCTTGCGCGCCTCCGAAGGGGCTGGACAGAACAAATACATTTCGAAGCTGTGCATGAGCTGTAAATACTCTATTGTATCCGTGGAATGCTTCACTGCCTCCCAACGCCTTACGAATGGCACATGTACCACAGTATCATGGAAAGCTCCATGCCGGTGACATTTGCCTCCCGCTTAGTCTTTCTCACAGTACGAAAGATTCACGTACCCGCTTACATCTTACCGCGATACCAAATCATTTGCACTACCTCAACAAGCACTATAACTGGACTCTAGAGATGTTCTCGAAGCGGAGGCTTCTAGCTCAACCCGAACGAAGGAACGGATTTTGAGTAACAGGGTATCTCAAAGTCTCGGGGAGGCGACGAGCAAGCGTTCAACGGTTTTTCGAGAACCCGGATCGCCCAAATTTGAACCCCGCCAGTTTTTGTGTCTCGGTTTTCGGTCTCCGAGCGGGCCACTTACACTTCGTCGTACAACATAACGTTAGACATATGTATGTCTCAGAGCAAAAGATCAAGGGCCGTTTGCTTTCCTTTCGGCTTGCGTTGTCGTCGACATCATCTATGTTTCAGCCCTCGGTTGTTATCTACATGTCGGGGCGTATTTGTGAAAGCCATCTCGGTGAATGAATACCAGTAAGAACTCCGGACTCAAAACCTCGACTCTACTATGTAGTGTCGCCACGGAGATATTCGGTCCTGTGCTATTCAAGCACCCCGGGGCGGAGCCGACTTACCGACCAGCCAACCTGCTGTCGTCTCGGTTCACAGAGGCGCCAGCGCGCGCGACCGTTTTGCGCAGCCAAGATGTCTTCCCTTAGTTACCTCTCACCTCAACCTCGGGCACCGGGCTTTACCAAGGAAATTAGTTAACACCGAGAGAGAACGGCACAAAGCCCAAAGCCCTTGTCCGCTCGGGCGTCAGCCTTGCCAGCCTTGCCCTTTTCTCTCTCTTTTGCCTTGTCAACCAGGCAATGACCGACCAGCCATGGGGAGGCCGCGTTCTCCTATTCGTCGTCCTACTCGGTCCTGAGGACCCTGCATGGCTGGCTGACCGAAAGACTCACTCGGTGTTGAGAAATGCGACTACCCCGCAGTTGTAATATGATCCCTAGGACGAGAACGAGGGTGAGGTTTGTCACGGTTGTAGGCTTCGTGGTTGAGGGGTCGGGGGTACATTTCGAGCGGACGGACCATGAACCAACGCTGTGGACTGTACGGAACTGTAGGACTCGGTTGCTCCGCGACTTGGGCATCGCAGAAGGTAGTGGGCGGGCGAAGTTGTGATCGGGGTCGACTTGTGAGCGGGGTTAGGAGGTTGATGTTGGGCACAGGAGTCTTGGGATAATGAAGGCGTTCGGTCAATTTAAGACCGCACTCTGAAGGCTTAACAGCAGTCGCCGACCTGGCTCGCCTGTCCGAGTTGAGATGGTGATAATTGGTTGCTCGCCCGGTACTGCTCCAATGGGCTCTTGCAGCCCCGCGATATTCCCGGTGTGGTTGAAGCCGGTCGGCAACCCAAGCTCCGTTGTCCGTCCGTTTTTGTTTCTTAGCGGGGATCCTCCCAATTGGGCAAAGTCACTCGAAGTACCTTTTTTGACGACCATCAATTCCACAGGCCGTTCTGGTTCGCATCATCGTTTTCCCAATTCGGCAGAACTAAGTATCAAAGACTGCTCCCGTCATCACCATCAGCAGGCCATGAAATGCAACCTAAAAAGAGGTGAGGCCTGAAGATTCCATGCATATCTACCTCAAATTCCAATCATCAAATCTAACTTTATCTACCATTCGGCCATTCATAGCGAGCTGATGACTGAGAGCGAGGAAGATGGATGTTGTGAGCTCCATGTCTGGATCCGTCGTGCATCGGAACGTTTAGCGAGAAGAGGAATCACGATTCCTTTTTCTAAACATTCCCGAACGTCACCCTCTTTTCCTTTCCCGAGTAGCGACGGCTTAACCGTCCCCCCTATGCCATCACACCCCACGATCAATTCGGTGTCATCAGACCGAGCCGACCTTCTCGCTCTCTCGCTTTCGGTTTGCTCTGGACTCAACGGTGCGGTGGATGTTGAACGGAGAACCGGGGTGGAGTGGATTCTCCGTCCCGTTCTCGTCGCCAAGCACTGGTCTCGTTCACAACGCCCAGAAACATGAACATCGCAGGCCAAGGGTCTTGGCGATCTTGGCCACGTTTCTTGGCCCCGCCGCTTGCCCGTGGATCGCTCAGCAACTTTGAAGTTGTGGAGTTGTCGTTCTTAAACTGTTTTTGACCTCTTCCTTGGGGACCAGTGAATTTTTTACCTTGATGTTTCGGTTTTTCTTTTCCAACCACGAGTTTGCATGAAGGCCCGACCCATTACGGGTCCTATTTCTTTCTTTCTTTTCCTCCTTGCAAATTGTATGTAAGCTCTTGTCAGCTCAAAACGCACACAGGGATCGGCCATGTCAGAACGTTGCTTTGGTTCTGCGTCGGCGTTATCACCAATTGTTCATCAGGGTTCGGCGATATCCCCGGGTTGATGTGCTGCGTTTGACTGGTCCAATCCTGGCCCGGCACCGCAATTGTCTCCAGGGGAATTGACTCTTTCTTTTCAGAACGGGACTCGGCCGATGATTCATCGCAAAGAACGGGGTTAACATACCGGACTTAGCCCGGACTCCGTCGGTGGCTCTCCGGCTGCGAAAGGTTCTCAGTTGTTGCTGTGCTCTCGTCCCTTTGATCTTCGTGCCTTTTTATTTTATTCAAAGACGGGGCTTTGCCCTGCCCCGACCGTGGTTCCGCATCGCGGGGATTCCAACTCCGTCATGTCATTAACCCGCTAACCCCTCCACATTACGAAGTATCGAATGGCGCCTCTTCGGGCTCGAGTCTGTACGACGTCGTGTGGCCAAGGATAGCTGCTGGGCGCCCAGACGCCCAGAACTGATGAGCATGAATCATGGCCGCAGCAAAAATTCCCTCCTGCGGTGAGCAAAAATGCAAAGAGTGGAGAATGAAAGGGCGCGATGTCTTTGTTTCGATTTGTGAACCCATTGGTACACTACCGCTGTAAAATACAATGATCGTGATCCCCGGGCGGAATGCTCCTGATGAACGGCCCGGAGGTAGGAGTTCTGGGGACTAGGGCCGAGTATAACGTGAGGTTCGCGCGAAGACCGCATGGAAATCCCACGGAGGTTTCAACGGCGCGGGACTCGGAGCGTTCTGTACCCCGACGGGTCGAGGTCGGCTGGATCTCGCGACACGGAATTCGTCCGACGCAGCGGTCCGACAGCTGTTCCGAACTTGTGTCTTTGTCCCCCAGCTGGCTAGGAGGCTTCTCATTGGCGAATCCCTGGGCAACCACCGAACAGAGGTGTCCTGTGTCGGGCGAAGAAACGACTCCGTTTCACCGCGGAGCGTGGCTTCGCTCTTGGTCCCCGACCCGACTTGCCATCAAACTGCATTCTCCATCCCTCTTCTCCCTTTGCCGGCGAGCCATTGGCGGCAAAGGCTTTTGTATTCTAATGCCGCCAAGGTAAGATCCAAGACGGGGCCAAGTCCGCGCAAGAGCGTCGGCGTGCGGAGGAGTTGTTACTCTCCGTTCCGCGTATTGGGCGTATTGGGGTGGTCCCGAAATTACTCGTAGTGGCTTTGCCTCAGCGCAATGACGACGACTTCTTGATTAGCTGCATTAAGTTACCCAAAGGAGATTAAACCTCGCTGCGTTGTGCTTGGGGCATGAAGCTGATGTCTTGGGTGATCTTGGAATCCGCTCCATGCATTTCGTCTCCAGATTCCACATCAAAAAACTACGACCAAGACGGAAAAAAGATGGCAGAAAGTCTCAATCGGTAACTAATCGCAAAGCTTTCTGATTATTCATGTCGGCATGAACAATTCCACATGATGACAAACCAACCCCAGTCCAGCCCAAAACCCAGAGCCAAGCCTAATTGCACTCTCCATCATGGAAAGTCTCCATCCCCCAATTGCGATGAAATCCGCTCCGACAAGGCTCGCCGCCAGCGAGGACGGGCCAGTCAGCGTTTACCATTCGCTCAACTGTCGATTGCGGGCGAAGGATCAGGAACAGAATGCACCGCCCGTCCGTTGACACCACACCCACAAACGGGATCGAAAATGGAAAGAGAGAAGGGAGGGGGGAAGGGAGGGGGGAAATGCACCAGCAACCCATTTGATTGGCTAAATGAGGTTCGCTTGTTTTCTCATCCATCTCATCCTATTATCCCAACTCCGTGGTTTCGGGCACTTTTCGGCAAGTTCAGACAGAACAGCAAACCACCCATGGTGGCTGCGGGGAAAGGGGCGCCCACGCGCACGCACAAGCGGAACTGCGTTCTACGGAGTACAGTACACTAGTTTAAGGCCCCCAACATTGAATTTACGAAAATTGGGCTGGATGAGTGTTGTGGACGGGGCTGAACCTGAAAATGGAATCAAACTTCTCCCCCTCTAACCATCTTGGTCTTCCACCATTGCACCTCTTAGCTAAGGTAGCCCGGGCGCTCTTTGGTGCTGAGAAGGCAAATAAGGTCTTGTGAATTTGAACTGAATCAGCCCCCTTGCGGGAGTTAGGCAAGTTTACTGGTGGTCGTGCGTTTGCAGGCTCGAAGTGCTTGCCGGAAGGGTTTAGTCTCCGGGAGGGTGGTTGGTGGGACGCGTCCCGAACGAGGCTCATCCATGATACATGCTCTAAAAGGGAAAGCGACACGAACGAGAGAGAGCGGTAGACAAACTCCGCGGAAGGGAAACAAAGGCAGATGATGAGAGAGGAATTTTCCATTTCTGGATCGTGATTTCATCTTGGCTCAATTACAGATGTGTGTGTATCCTCTTCCATATTCTGAACCTTCGTGCCCACGAAGAAAAATGATACAGCGCGCCGGTGTCTAATATACAAGTCCGTTTCGCGTGCGCCTCCCAAGACATGGCTAATTGAAGAACAACTCGTCCATGGTGTAGAAGAGATTCTGACCCGCCCATTTCGCCTCCTCTTTCCCCGAAACGCCCGTGTCATGTGTGCCCGAATACATCCCAAGGTGTTCATGCTCATCTCAAAATTCATTGTAAACGCCGTCCCCCAAACTCCGAAACCATGAAAGAAACCACACAAGCCCCATCCAATGCCTCCTCCCCTCCCCTCCCGGCTGATTACATATTTGATGTGGCAAACAGCGGCCGTGGTTGATCTTCCTCAAACGCAGAAAAAATGACCGGATCAGCCAGGCCAACCATGGCATCGGAATTTCGAAACGAAGAGAAGCCCGTCGGTTTCGTCACGTAGTTCGTTCCCATAACCCCCGAAGTCATAACGTCGGGGTTCATGAACCCCTGGTTGGCCATCCACAGCTGTTCCGCCGTAAAGTCCATCGATGCCGACGCCGGTCGGCTCAGCCACGAGAAGTTACCGTGGTTAGTTGGCATCGTCGGCGAGTGATGACTCGGAGCGAACCCGTCCGACGCGGTCGCAGATGGTGGGGGGAGATCAAAGTCCGGGTAGCCGAGGCTGGCGGGTGACAAGCTAAGGGCGCTGGCGGCGCCGCCAAAGGCGGCCCTTCGGTAATCGGGCTCGTGGTGATCGAGATCCGAGTGTTCGACGTCGGAGGCCGCGGTTGAGCTGGCCCGGTCGGTCTGGTGGTAGACGCCGTTAGATTCCGCCTCGTGCTGTCCACTGCTGCTCTGCGAGGCGCTCCCCGATGCTGTCGTTGCTACCGCCTGTTCCTGTAATTGCCGAGCCAGCGCCGCCATCCCCGCCTCGTCCTCCGGGAAAACCGTGTGTGGAGGGAGGTCCAAATCGCTATTCGGTCGAAGGCAGCCGAGTCGTGCGGCGACGTTGTGGATGATCGGTTGTCCGCGGTCGTTCAGTTCCGGTTCCCCCAGGTCCCATGGCTCTCCGTTCCGTACCATCGAGTACAGCTTCTGGACCGTGGCGATAAGGACAAATTGGGTGTTCTCGAGCACTTCGGCGTATCCTGGAGGCAGTTGCTTGTACTCGGTCTTTTTCCTCGTTCCCGCAGTGCATATTAACCCGTCATCTTTACACCTCTTGCAAGGGAATTCTCCGTCGCACTACATGATCATGTCAGTAACTTAAAAGGTGGGGCATCCCGCTGACAAAACCAAGGAGCAAGCCTACCTTTGTCTTCTTCATGCGACACCTCTCACAGGCCTTCCATACTCGCTTATGCCTCCCGTCACCTGGTTGCGAGTGGCTTTCTCGTGATGGCGACGAGGGGTGACTGTGGTGTGGGTTGGTCCGCTTCAAGTTACGGTGGACTGTCTTTACAGATTTGGGGACGGCATGGGACCGCTTCGGCCCATGGGGCCTAGGGTGCTGTTCCTCGTTGGGCGGGGTTGGTATGCTATCCATCTTTCACGAGGGATGTGTGAATGGGGCTAAGGAGAGAAGTACGACTCTTGTTCACAATGTCTGTGTCTGAGCCGGGACAGAAGCATGAAGTGTAAGTGACCCCAAGACCCGCGTCTCAAGGGGGGGATCAGGCGCATATGTAGAAAGATGGTCTCAGACGGGACAAGGGTCGTCGGGGCATTCTGTTTTTCTTCTAAGGAGGATCCAAGAAAGCCCGGGGGGGGGGGGGGTTCGCCAATTAATAATAGCCAGGAGGGGGAGTTGATGGGATGCGCAAGGGACCAGGGTTTGCAATTACATACACTACATACGGCGTACGAGTAAGGAAGAAGGCAGACGGAACATTTGGCGAGGGTACTTCTGCAGAAGAGGTCTTGTGCCTACCTTCGGCCTTGCAAATGCACCGCCGTGGGATTAGTTAACTTGAATGGCTCAGTCCCCATGCTTGGTGGCATCAGCATTCGGCTTGATGGTTATGTCCGAGAGCGCGCCCATGGCCCACGGGTTGCTTTCCAAGTCCGCCGTTGCGTTCGCCCGTCTGAAAAAGGTGGGACCAAGAATCCGCCCCCATCCCTTCGCGGTACGCGGGTCGTCTCGCCCAGCCGACTGGACGGTCTCCTGGCAGGGATTGTTCTCGAACCTTTCCGTTGCGGAGACCATCTGTCCGTCATCCAAGAGAAATTGACGTTTCAATGACTTGAAGGTCACCGAGAACCGGGCGAAACTCGCTTTTCTTTCGGAACGTTTGTCGATCGGTAGAAACGCTGGAGAGCGAGTCCCTATCAATACACGACAATGGCCTTGACCAGCCTGTGCGGGCAGAACGGGGTTATCAAAAGATGAGTGATTGTGCGCAAAAACGGCGGGATGGATGAGGGATGAGACTTGACAGGGTCAAGAATGGTTAGAGAAAACGGTACAGCGGGGTAGATGTACTTGGCGGTACATCAGAACAACGTCGGCCTTTTCTTAAGAGGCCAAATGCCGACTCACGCACTGAGTAAGCTGGGGAGCTTCAGCGGTGCTGCTGACTGCACAGCAAGCTGTAAATGGCTGTCGAGTGCGGAGGAGGAAACACTTTGAAGGCCTGTTCCGCAAAGGGAGCGTAGAGTTCCGCGATTTTTCTTGCCCGTGGTTCGCTCGCGGAGAGGGCAGATTCAGAAGTCGTGTCCCGTCCAAGTTGGGAGCAGAATGGGTTTTTTGTGGATTCGTCCTTTGAGCGGCCGGTACCCGTAACTTACGGGATCATCTCCCGCCCGGCGAGGAGCGGACGCCTTCCATGTGAGAACCTTCGAAAAGAGGGCGCCAGTGTTTATCGGATTCTGGAAGTAGAGGTCACCGAACTCCGACTGACTTCGAGAGAATGGGGAGCCAAATTGATACGCGAAGACCCACATATTCATGCATGGACAGATGGGAAATAGGTCCGTGCGTAGCTTCCTGCTTGAACATGCAAAATTACATAACCATCCGTAATGAACGTTCATTGTCCTCGAGCAAGGCTGGCAAGTCTGCGATCAGTTTCGCATCTGATTTGCCGAGTCAGTTCGTCGAATGGTCATAGCTAACGTCATCCCTTATTTTGAAACCTGTATTCCGTTCGTGGCAACAACTAGGAACTCACCTCGGGCTCCTCCTCGTCGGCGTGCCCGTAAAAGCTCATCGTTCCACTCAGTCCCATTGTCGGCCTCGATTCCCGAAACCGAGGTGGATTTCCGTCAATTTTCCATGCCAGCAACGGGCCGAGGCTCTCCCATCGCGATATATCGCTCGTTTCCTTTCATGCTACTCGCAAAGAAATAAAGAAGAGCCACGGGCTGGGATGCATGGCCAAGTGGTGGTAATAGCTACGCGTGATATGACGAATGCTAGACGTTCATCGTACATACATACCACAGGACCCTTCAACAGTGCTGCGCGATTTAAGACTGTTGGGGTGCTTGCAGGTCTCAGGAGGGTCGCGTGATCAAAGCCCCCAAACCGTCGCTCCATTCACAGATCGAGGCTCTATCACCATCCCTTCCCTCGGGTCAGGACGGTGTCGGCTGAGACATTTCCATGGTTAACGTTATTCTCCGACCCAGAGCCGAAACATGTCCGTTGAAGTGGGTTCCCTTGGGCCGGTTCTTTGACCCGAAAAAAAAAAGCTAGAATTTTTTTCTCTTTTTTTTCTCGAACTTCTCATGCCGAGGAGCGAGGCTCGGCGGGAGGGTGGGGCCACTCTGTGGAAGTCGAAAACGTTTACGTCCGTGATGATGGGATAGCCCTGGATGGAGCGCGGCAAATCGACAACCGAGTGGGTTCCGCGCGCTCGGCCAGCGAGCTTCTAGAAGGGCGAGGCGCGAGTAAGTGTACATGGATGAGGATTTCCTTTCCCGAATGCCGGGTTAACCGTTAAACTAATATCTAGGCCTGCTCCGAAAGCATCTAGGTTCAAAAATGGGACTTCGTCCGGAGAGAAGGAAAAGGGCACAGGGCCTAGATTAGCTCAAGCTGAGAGGTCTCTAGTCCCTGGCACGGGCCGTCCGTCCCCAAGCTCGTGCGTGAGACCCCTAAAAGCTCCGTCAAGTACATACACCGCATGTCACACGGTTCATAGGGGTCCAATCTGCCGTGGCAATTGACGATTATCTTTCTTCATACCATACCAGCTCTGAGACTTAGTTCGTCCAGTGCAAAGTTTCAGTTCAACGCGCCCCTCAACTCAACTCACCCACCACGACGCGAAACACACAAGCTAGGTAGGTAGTCACAATTTTTCACCATAACCATCGTAAAATAAACGGTCCAACAATTGGAATTCGGCTCTCGGTCGGGGGGGTATTAACTATTATGTACATACAGCCAACCATCCCCAGCTGTAGGACCTAACGTACACATACACCGATGACACTTCCTCGACCCACGGTGTCACACCATAACCCGCCCTCATCCTAGTCGTATATATCCCAGCCTTCTCCAAATCTGTCTGAACGAAACATGTGTAGCAAACACTAGTGTGGTGCGCCGAAGATATCGGCGCTGAGCAAAAAATCGCAAAAACAGAACAAAACAAAACTCGAGAGCCGTCCTTCCCACGGGGTTGTTGATGACCGAAATGAAACCAAAAAATGAAATGTCAACAGAGCTTTTGTTGTATGCGTGTGTTGTTGTGTATGTGTAATTCGTACAGGGGTCTTCTTTCGTAAAGGAGCGTGAGAATTAGATGTAGATGCCGGTCCCTGTCTTCCTCATGGTAAGAGAAGGACCGTAAGAAAAGAAAAAATGCTGAGCATGCTAAGCAAGCCAACACCGCCGTGATTGTTCTGATTAGAGAACAACAACGGCCGCCACAGCAGCAACCACCAGCCCAAAGCTAGCACCCACGCGACCAACACCAGCCGTCGGGATCGGGACAGAACCGGTAGTAGTACCACTCGGGAAGTAACCACCAGTGCCCGTGGCGCTAGCCGCGGTAGTAGCCGCAGAGCCAGTCGCCCCAGGCCCATCAGTAGGGGCGCCAGTAACCGGGCCAACACCAACCTCGTCCGAGGTGCCGGTGGTGAAACCGACCTGGGGCACGGTAACACTGGTGTTGACAGTGACAGTGGTGCTGGACGAAGGGATCTCCTGCCCGTTGTCATCCGTGCACGGCACGACGGTGGTCACGTCGACGACAATGGTCGTGTACACGGGCGCGACGGTCGGCGCGGCGGTCACGGTGATGTAGGTGGTGACGGTAGCGTCAGTGGCGATACCCGGGTTGGACCCGATCCACTTGCCGCAGATGCCCTGGAAGTAGGCGACGGCCTCGGCGATGATCTCGTCGGTCTCGCCGTGGGCGTACAGGCAGTTGAAGACGGTCTTGACGAAGGTTGCGTCCGGGCAGTAGCAGGCGGCGTCGGTGTTGTCCTTGCAGCCGACGGTGAACATGAAGGTGTTCAGGCAGGAGGGGACGACGCCCGGGCAGGGGAGGGTTTCGACGGGGGAGAGGGCAGTGGTGGTGGCACCGGCAGAACTGCCGGGACCGCCGGGACTGCCAGGGCCACGCACGGTGGTGGACGTGGTAGGAGGGACCTCGGCACCGGACGACGAGCTGCTGGCAGCTTCGCTGGAGCCGGGCTTCTTCTCCGTGGTGGTGGTCTTGCTCGGAGGCTTCTCGACGCTGGTGGTGCTCTCAATGGTGGTCCGGGTCTCAGTGACCGGGCAGATGGTGGTCGAGACGGCGATGGTGACAACGGTAGTGACCACCGAGTCGCCCGGACAGTCGGGGACCTCGGGTGCGCACGAAGTGACGGTAGCGGTGCTGGTCGTGAACACGGTGGAAGTGCTGTCGTAGCTGGTGATGATGGTCCTGGTCACGGGGGGAGGAACAACCACGGCGCTGGTGTCGCTGGTCTGCTGCTCGGGGGAGGAGGTCGATGTCGATGACTCCCCTGCCGGAGGGGGGCTGGCGGTCGTCGTCTCTTCAGCAGGAGGCGGGGTAGTAGTGGTCGTCCCCTCGGCAGGAGGGGTTTTGGTGGTGGTTGTCTCTTCGACAGGTGGGGGGCTGGTGGTTGTGGTCTCCTTCACCTCGGTGGTCGTCGTGGCCTCGACCGGAGGAGGGGAGATGGTGGTGGAAGCCTCGGCGGTGGTGGTCTTGGGCGGTTTGGTGCTGGACGCGGTGCTGCAGTCGAACGAGATGGTGGGAACCTGGATGCTGCAGCTCGGCTTCGGCTTGTCCGGCTGGTGGGGGAAAACCACCGTGACGTTCTTAGCACCACCGCACTGGTTGTTCACGACCGTAGTACCCGAGCTCTTGCAGGCGCTGCGGTGCTTGCAAGTCGATCCGTCCGGCATGTCGTAGTGGAACTCCAAGTCGCAGTCGAACTCGGGCTTGACGTGGATCGAGCTCAGCGAAAACCGGTCGATCGAAGGGCCACAGCCAAACGAGGGGGAGTTGTGCTTCTCAGACGAGCATGTGCCTCCGATGACCTTCTGGCCGGTACGCGGGGCAAAGCGGCCACGGCCGCCACCACCACCACCATTCTGGCAAGACCAGCCTTGGAAGTTGAAGTCGCCATAGTCGAAGAAGTCGCCGATGTCCAAGTCGTCCCAGTTGAACCCGGGCCGTTGCTTGTCGGTACACTTGTTGTCCGTGTTACCAGGGCAAGTGAAAGGGGGGGCGTGTCTGAACTAAAGGTGACAATGTGTGTTAGTCAGGTTCGCCATCACAACGGATGGGGTTGATCATGGCTTACAGTTGCCGACACGCCGGCCGCGAAGGCCAGAATAGGAATAAAAGATTTCATCTTGAGATATTGCTGATATTGTCGGTGCTTTTGATCAACGTATGTTTAAGAAACGATGGACGGGTTGGTTCTGCCACTGGCAAGAAGAAATCGGAGAAATCGGATTAAGTGGCTTTGTCAACGAAGGTATGAACCACGAAGTACCAAGAAATAGGAAAACGAGGCAAAGAAGCGAATGACTCTGCCTCTTGCTTGATTATCGGCACGCCGAAGGAAAAGGGGAGAGAAAATAAAAGGAAACCTGATGATACACAGACGAGGAGAGAGAGGGAGATGGAAGAGCGGGAAGGGAGGTTTGTGGCCTCTGATATAAACAAAACCGACCGCGAGCTGGGCCTGGCAGCCATGTTCTCTTCCTCCCCATTGCCATCCGCGCAACGGGGGGGGTGTGGTCAAATCGAGAACCACGACCAGGGAAGAGGCCCAGGGGGGGTGCCGCCGATGGAGCTCAGAAGATGTGTTGACTTCTCGCCGTGAGCAGGCACAAGCTTTCGAGGCGGTTGCTCCCCGGGGCCGCCCATGCAAGCAGCCAGGAATCGAACAGCCTCCCTCTCTCCCTCCAGAACGGCAAAGCTCCAGCTCATGGGGTGGGCATTGTTTCGAAATGGACACCCGGCAGGGATGTGGTGGTTGTTGAGATCCCTTTTTGCAAGTGACGTGCCCCGTCCCTTTCCTGCACGAGTTCCCTCTTTTCGCGCCACTACCACAGTACCGCCGGGCGAGAGACAAGAAAGCACTCAGGACGCCTCCGCCGTCGACGTTGTGCCCAAACTGGAGCTTCCTTCTGATGGCGCGCGGCTCTGGCCAGCGGCAGCAGGCCTGGGCGCACATGGTTGGTTGGTTGACAAAACCCCGTTTTCCCCTGGTTAGGGTAGCATCGACAGGGGTTTCGATGGGCCGGGGTCTTGTCCGAGATCTGGCCCAGGGGCCGGCTCGAGCCCGAAGCTTTCTTTCTCCTCCTGGCCAGCAACATATGGCCAATCGGTTATGGGTTTGGCGCCGAGTCCGAAGGCCTACCTGAATCAACGACAGAGTACGCCTATACGATAACACTTAGGGCGCCTTGGAGCAACGTTGACTTTCTCTACTCATAAATAAACAAACGGAGAAATCTCTTTCTTCGTTGCTAAAGAGATCCCCTCTAGGCACAGACCATAAGAGCCTTTGCTGTGGTGACCAGTCCCAACGTTCTGGACTGATAGCTAACCCTTGGGACGATCGAATGGTGTCGCGATGAAACGGGGGGCTTGCTGAGCCACGACGGCGACGCTACTGCAGGAACGGAGCACTCGCCGGTGCACTGGCAACTTACTATGACCACCATTATTGCATATATGTATGGTACAGAGTAACCCAAGCGTAGCCGGATGCCCCCGAAAGTGAGCGCCGTTGAAAAAATGTCCAGGATGTCGGTTCCTGGTTCAATATTCAATGTTTGTATCCCTGTTCGCTAGCGCTTCCCCGCAAACGAGAGGAGAGGAAGCGATTCCCAAACCGTCGAGAATGCGCGGGCCGAGCTGCTTAATCCGGGCGCACTAGCCATACACAGTTCTTGCCAAGTTCCAGGGGGTTTGAGACTCCTGAGGACGAGAACGGGTGTGGCGGCTGCTTTGTCAGAATCACAACTCCTAGTTCTGCCGGCTCTTGTCGATTATGGGTTGTCGGGATTTGTTGAAATTACAAGGGGAAAAAGAGTGATAGAAACAAGTCTCAGCTGATATGGAAATAGCGCTTCCCTTCTGCAGCGAGCCGCCCAAGTTTCGGGGCAGGCCAGTGGTGAGCGGCCACCTGAGCGCTCGATTCCAGCGCCATGTTTCAAAACGACTTGCCTTTTGTTCGCTCGGGCGCCAGATGGTGTTTCAGGTGCGTGGACGCCCGCAACGCCGAAAGAGCCGAGTAGTCTTGGCGCTGGTTGTTCCTGCCTCACCAATCAGAAAGCTGCACGCATGGAAGACTCTTTCCTCTTTCGGTGCAACCGTGCAAGACAGAGTCTTCTTGAACTAGAACTCAAAAGGCCGAGAACGTAACAAGTGGGAGTCGGGAGGGAATAGACTGAATGAAAGCCGCGCTGGTTTGCCGGGTCTATTCTACCTCAGGTACCAACTCTTCAAGTAACCCGGTATTGGCACATCGGAGGTAGGACAGAACCTGGAGCGAAGTCCGTTTTCGTGTCCAAACTCGAGATTCCGGACTCGCGGACTCACAGCATGTCTTTAGGTTTGGAATTAGGATGAGAACCGCTTTCCACGGCCTGGTTGCCTCACCATGTTACTTCTCTTATCGAGAAACCACCATCAATTGGTATTTGTTCAGAGCAGTCGTCTCGACTCTCATGGGCTCGAAGAAACAGCCCGAACGGCCCACATGGTGCCAATTTTAGCTTATCCGGAGAATTTGGGCCTGGAAGCGGGCGAATCACCGCTCAGTTTCGCTGACACAACTGGTCAACAGCGCGCTTGTTTTCCTACAGCCGCCGCCTACTGCCACCCGCCCATGCCCGTTGCGCAATGTTTCTCGACCTCAGCTGCGATGGTCAACAATCTGTCAGCAATTCACCGCAGGAGCCATGCAGTTGTGTTGAAACATCTTCAACTGGGCACACGCGCAGTTTATTTTTGGTCTGCACCATGGGAAAATCCGATGAGAGACCGTGATGCGCGCCAGCCCAGAGTTGCAGTTTGTTTTCTTCCCGGGTTCGCCCTTCTGGGAAGAGCACCGCCTATTGCCTGCATATAGCACCAGGGTCCGGGAGTACCGGCACCGGCATAGGCACAGGCACGGACACACGCCCGAAGAATGGACACAGAGCCTAGACCCGACACCGGCCGGGCGAGCTTCGCTTGGCGGCAATGCAACGCCCAGAATGGTCAAAGTCAGGGGAAAGAAGAAAACCTTCGTCGACGCAAGGGTTGCATTAAACCGTCCGTCCCCGTTCGAAAGGGGACCGTGTCTACGTTTTTGTCCACTCTATCCACTTGCCTTTGTTTCGAAGTCGCTACCTTCCACTGCGTTGCGCTCGTATTTGGCGATGCTTTGACGAGGAGACACAGCCACAGGAAACCATCGGGAGCTTGTCCCGACTTCGTACCACGTCCATAATCTCCCCCTTTTCCTTCATCTTCTATTCGTTGAGCACATTCTGGTCCAATATTTTCTTTATGCTAAACCCTTACCCCTGACCACTTCTTGAGCGTCGTTGACAAGATATTCTCGCACTTTATCGGCTCTACCTTCCAAGGGGGTGGTTCCACTGACCGATATGCCAGTCTGCGTACAAGGAAGTCACTTCAGACAGCAACAAGGCGAATATGCACCCGAGTAGGATTTAACCCGCTACAGAGTAGGTACGCCTACCTTCTGCTCGGGTGCAATTACAAATCTATACCCTGTAGTAAGCCTCAAACTGTGCCAACATCAAGCGCAACCAGGCAGCTCAACCACGTTCAGCATTTCGCAACCAAAACTCCATCTCGGAAAGAAATACCGTTACTCTCGGGGTCTTCGGACAGGTCGGTTGCGTCGGGGACATCAGACTGAGCTCTTTTGACGGGGGTTGAGAGCCCAATACACCATTCCCGGGCGGCGCGGTGCGGCAAGGATGAATTAACGTTCTCTCGGTTCCAACGAAAACTGCGATGCGCTCTACACCACACCCGCAAGGCAGTGAAACTTGTTGGCCACGATCCATCAGCTGCTACGTAAAGAGAGTGTAAAAATGAAGTTTTGCTGGCTGCCGATACCATGCCTCTTCTTAGGCACACCCGCCTCAACAATCATCATTAGACGTGAAGATCTTGTTCAACCTGGGATGTCATTAGCACCCAAGTGCCACGCACTCGCGTCGACAGCAACATTTTTACATAGTCGCAAAGTCGTGCTGAATTCGTAATGTATTTCATCAGGGAGACTCCATGAGGCCTTTTTATTTCATCTGATGATAGTTAGCTACCTAGCCAACAACCCACCAAAACATTCCATTCCTTACCACGATCCACGCCACAGCTCCAATATTACCCTCCCGTGAGGCACAGCACCAACGCTCCCCACCCCCCTAAAGTTTACAAACCCCTCAGGTTGAACAACCCCGCGCCGCCCCTCCAGAAGGGTTCTCCCGTAATCCCCAGGGAGGCGATACACAGCCGGCCGGGCGGTCGAGCGGTCCGGATTTTCGGCCCCACACACCCCCGGGGGACCCACAAAGGCCCGGTCGATCGGTCGGTCGGTCGGCCGTTGACCTGAGGACCCTTTTGTTTTGTTTTGTTGATTTTGTGTGTTGTTTTCTGCCTGTCAGTTGCCGGTTGCCGCTTACGAAAGATGAGACAAGACAACCAAAAACGTGCGGTTTGTTTCAATTATCTTTGGTGTGTACGGCCTGTGTTTCGTCGATCTCTCGGGGTTTGTCATCATTTGGATTTGGTTTAGTTTACAAGGAGGCAGTTTCGTGTTGAACTAACACTGTTGATTTCTTTTTCTACAAGGTGTTAAAACAAGGTTGTTGGGTCTCAAATTAAGACACTAAGAGGTATCCAGGTTTGAACTATGCGTATTATCTTGTGTGAGCTGCGATTCCGTCGTTCTCTTTCTCGGGAGGGGAGGTTTTGCGTGTTGTCGGACCGGAACTCAGTTGTCTTCATACTTCCAGGCAACGGCAGTGAAGGTAGCGTAATTAGCAGTACCGCTTTCCCCTGCGACTCTATTTCTTAAGAATGAACACGTCTAGGTGTCAGCCAAGGTAGAGGGCAACGAGGTATGTCGTGATGAGTATATGTCAACGTTAACATTACGCGGGGGCTCATAAATCTCTCCAAGCAAGTGCTCTTGTAGAACGGCTGCTTCGAGAGCCAGGGAAATAACAAGAACGTACATCTCAGTACCCATCGGGGGAATAAGATCACATTGATACGCTGCTTTCATACATTATTTGACTCCTTCCTACCGCAACTTTCACTCCCTCCCTATTCACCACTCTGTAACCGCCTAATCCTCTCCTCGGCCGCTCTCGCCCGACGCTCTCTCTCCAACCTCGCCTTCTGTTCCGGCGTCAAACCTCTCGCTTCCTCAGACCTCCTCTCCTCCGCCGTTTTCGGTGGCCCACCACCCAACAAATTCCCTCCACCTTTCCGCCTCCTGCTAGCCCCGTCCACCTGAGGCCCTTCAACTTTAAGCCTCTCCTCCTCTGCTTTCCTCCTTTCCTCCTCTTCTTTCGCTAACGCCTGTTTCTCCCTCTCCGCGCGTCGCTCCGCTTCCTCCTTTTTGAGCGCCGCAGGTACTCGGGTAGCCTCCCAATCCCAGCTTGATTCACCCAACTCGGACCGGGCGACACGGAAAGCGTCGCGAGTAGCACGGTCGCCGGCGAGGTCGAAAGGTGTCTTGCCCTCTGCGTTGAGGATGGTAGGATCGGCTTTGGCGCGTGTGAGAAGGCCTGTAATAAGCGGCGCGGCGTTCTGGGATGCTGCGAAGTGAAGGGCAGTTGGAGCATGGTGATTCTGTTGGGAGTCGCTGGGTTGAAAGACGAAAGTGGGCGGTAGGTTATTGGTTGTCAGATAGGAGAGTAGGGCAGGAAGCTTAGAGCGGCGAATGATGGATTGTATTTGGGTTGTGTGGAAGATAGCGGCTTCCTCCTCTTCAGTGAGCTTTGGTGGTTGGGGCTTGGGATCGGGCTTTGCTTTCGGCGTTTTTACGGCCCCGTCATCGGGCGCTGGTGCTGCTTCCGGATGGATTTCCTTCACTTTAAGTCGTGTGAGTTCGATATATGAGCGCATCAACTCGTTTTGCGTGGGTCTTCGTGTGGTAAAGGGAAAGTTCCTGATCCTAGGGTCGTTGGAGCGCAGGACCTGGTCCTCATACGGCCCATACAGAGTCCGTCGGTTCATCACCCCGGAAGCCCGAATAAACAGCAAATCGGAGGTGTCAATGAGGGCTTTCCAATCTTGTAACAGCTCGCGGACATCGTCCACCAGCGCTTGCTCGTTGTATCGGCGCAGCGACGCACCGGCTGAATGTGCGGCGCCCTTACTCCCGTCGTTCGCGGACTGCGAGCCGCCCTGCTTGCGTCGAGTGGTGTATCGATGAAAGGTCTTGTGCGCCAAAACCACCGCCTCCCTATTCAAAGGCACAGCGGAACTGTGTTTACTCTTCTTGGGAGCCAGACAAACCACCATAGCGGCAAAGTGACCGCCCCCTATCATGCAGAGGAAGATATGCCTGCTGTTGTAGGCTGGAGGCATGGTGTTGCCATCTTTGGCAGCCTTAGGCATGGCTATTGGCGGGAGTTGTCGTTGCCGGATAGCGTCGAGGATCTCGTCTTCTTTTTCTAGCTCCTTCGCTGTAAACACCGCCCGATAAATTCCAAAGTATGTGCGGTCCGGAAGCTTCGGTGACGCGAACCAGAGCAAAGGTGGTTTCGCCGTTCCCCTTTTCTTCGTCTTCGATTCACCGTTTTCCGCCTCGCCGTCCAGATCACGCTTGTCGACTAAGGACGCTTGTTTCTTAAGCAGCGCCGAAAGAGTCGTCTCCTTTCGTGCAGGCTCGCCCTCCTCGTCTTCGTTATCCGATGCATCGGAACCCGATATACTGACGTCATTCTCCTCCACAAGCTTCTCAAACTCTGGTTCCGAGACCGGCTTGAGTCCGTTGAGCTTTTGTTTGAGGTTGTAGTAGTGGAGGTCGGTTTTTAGATGTTCCTTTTGTTCCTGAACGGTAACGAACGACATGCTACAAAGGGAGCATGTTTGCGACCCAAGGGTATCGTCCGTGCTCGAGGAGCTTGCCGCCTGTGTTTCTGGGCCTGGTCCATCGATTGGCGCATCATCGGCGACGAACCCCGCGTCGGTCTTGAGGGAGAGTGAATTGAGCACTTCTGGCGGCAGGTCAAAAAGGTAGAGTGGTCGCCGGGGTAGCCCGTCCTGTGTCTTGTCCATGGTGGCTTATTGCCCGTTTGTTTCAAGGTGTGGTGTTGTGTTGGTGAGCAAACGAGTGCGCAGGAAACATGTCTCGTGAATGTTAGAGCGATAGAGGGGCACTCTCTTATCAGGTGGAGGTTAGAGGCCGGCCGAGACGAGTCATCGGCGGCAAGTGTGCATGACCCTAACCCTGAATATGGCTCAATAAGAAGTCTTACAAATCTTCAACATCTTGTCTCTTAGCTCTATTTATTTCTATCTCTCCCTCTTCAAAAATTTTGAAAGTTACCGGTATCAGCTTTCAACCCTAGAGCGTGTGCAACTCACTCCTCTCCCCCCAGTCATTTTTGCGCATCCGTTCGGGGACTGTCCCCCGACGTGCAATTCTGTTCAACCCCGCATTGTTTAGTGAAGGACTACCTGCAGGGCCATGTTTAGCCTTGTTCTTTAGAACAAGTGTTAGTGAACCTCCCCTTGGGGTCCGATATTCCCAGTCCAACAGCACTAGGTTTTGCGTCATCATTATGCTGATTATCCTCATCAGTTGACTGGGGTGTCGGCGGAAGATCCGTTGGCACGGGTGTCCCCCGGTAGGAACGAGTTTGAAGCACGGCGCCACCTTTGTTCTTGGGATGCACATCGAGAAGTCTGAACCGTAGGTTCAAAGGTCACGCCCGCCGGGCGCTTCGTACGAGCGGGGCTATTTTGATAGATGATAATCCGCTCCGTCCGCCTGATGAAGAGCCGAAACCAGCAACACATATTGGACGCAAGTGAGACGCCTTCTCCAAGAAGCTTGCTGTTAAAAAAGTGCGGAACAAAAAAACTGAATTATGGGAGTGTTCGGGAGCATGAGGCATTGATATGTGCTACTTGACGAGGGACAATGGAACCGCATGAATGGCAGCCTCTCAAAGCAGAAAAGAGCATGACCCAGCTCCTTACTGTCAAACAAAAGAAGGAGAAACAGATCAAAATAAGGAGTTGGCTTCCAACCAGGGGAGAGGTAAAGGGTTAGGGTTAAACTCGTATGGGAGCTTGACTCATTGGTTTATCGAGATCTGCTGACACATCACCACCTCAACCAAGCATGTGGTAATCATGGGTCAGCCAATTGTCGCTGCCGGATGCTGCTTTCTCATCACTGAGAAAGCGGACTTGAGGTTACAGGCGTGTTCTAGCCTTCAAAGATGGACAAAATTATAGATTTGGCATGCTCATCAAAGTATTATGTCCCAAAACTGTTACCGTCAATCGCGATTTGCTTCCATTGCGTGTTCTTTTGCGATATAAAAAGTGCAAAATCTCCTGCCTTGTCGGACAACCCTGATTTCAACAAACAACGACACAAGCTCAAGGTGTAAAGCGTCTAATTGTCTACCTGCTTAACACAAGGCTTCAATCCCCGCCAAACAAGCAGATCTCCTATGAACGCAATCAAAACTGCCATGTCCAACTCTCTTCGTCATGCCAAGATTACTCCCCACCGGTCCGCTGCTCGCGGACACGCAGATCACGGCTGGCTGAACACTTACCACTCCTTCAGCTTCTCGAGTTGGTACAATTCCAAGTTCACCCAGTTCGGCTCGCTCCGGGTGCTCAACGAGGATCGGGTGAAGGGCAACTCAGGCTTCCCCGAACATCCGCACAGCGACTTCGAGATCTTCAGCTACATCCTCTCCGGCGAGCTCACGCACACCGACTCGACACACAAAGAGAGCGACACCACCGAGTCGGAACTGTACCGCAAGATCACGCGGGGCGACATCCAATTCACGACAGCCGGCACGGGGGTCACCCACGCGGAGTACAACTACGCCCAGGACCCTGTTCACTTCCTGCAAATTTGGGCTATCCCCTGGAAGCGCGGGCTTACACCACGGTACGCTTCTGGCCGGTACAGCGATGAGGACAAACGAAAGGGTTTCGTCAACCTCCTGAGCCCGCTCAAGGCCGGAGTCGACGCGACGGCGGCGGAAGAAAAAGCTGGGGAGCCAACTATACCCGGCACAATACCCATCCACGCCGACTTCGTGATGGGCGCGGGCCTGATCGAGCCCAGCGGCAAGTTCGAATGGACTGTCGGCGCGCAGGCAACCGAGGCGACCAAGAGGAAGGTCTACGTACACCTTCCCATGACGAAGGGCGGTAAAGCGAAGATTAGGCTAGATGGGCGGGAAGATGATGTATTGGTAGAAGGGGACGGCGCGTTTGTTGAAGGCGTCAATGCGGGTGATAAACTGATTGTGGAGAGCGTGGGCGACGCAGAGGCGGAAGTTGTGGTTCTCGATACAGCATAAAATCGGAAGGGAGCTTGCTAGGGAAAGGAGTTAAAAATCCTGTTCAAGAATAGAATTAAAAAGGATTGACATTGAAAGCCACCTCCGATGCTCTATTGAGTGTGACAATTGCTGGAACGGCGGTGCGCTGAAAGGTTCCAGACACCATCGCGACCAACCTAGAAAACCCTCCTCGCCTCGGCCCACATGGGCCGATGGAAACGAAGGAATGAAGGAGCTCCTGCAAAAGAGGATAAGATGCCAAAAATTCCCTGCCGGGCCGAAGCCCAACAAGAGCGGTCAGGTTGTAGTTTTCAACTAGCAAAAACGTGATCTCGGACGAATCCTCACTGATACACGTAAAACCCCTGCACTTGGATGGAGAAGAAAAAGATAACAGGAGGAAGTTTGGGAGAAACGACAAAAATTTATACCTGGGCGCAGATGGTCTGTGCACGTCTGCAATCTGCCAGCCCCACTTGCCCTCTGCCTCATTGAGGACGGGAGGGAACTCTCACGAGGCACCATTTTTGCCCACCCCCTTCTTATTGTGCGGAGTATCGACGGCCTTGCCTCCTTGCATTAGGTATCGAAAACATATGTTCAATACCAGATTTCCGCCTACCATTGTGAAGCTTTGCAACCCCTCCAAGAAATAACGATCCCAGGCTGCCTAGGCTGCCGATGGCTACTGCCCTGGCCAAGTAGCTTCTCTGGCGAGCCGTTGACCGAGAACCAGTGACTTGCCCCCAATCGCCGTATTGCAAGATATCTTGAACTAGGATTTGTTAATTTTTCTCCTCGAATGCTCGATGATCCCGCACGCGCCGCTCGGCGGTAGTCCCCGTCGGTGATGTCATGATGTCCTATTCTCATTCACATGTCCTCCAATACCGCCCCCGCGCGGAATGGCGGAAACGTAATTTCTCTAATAACGTGGTTGGGACATCTACCATTGGGAATTTGTTGAGTTTGCCTGGACGAGCTAGTCTATCTCAGCTTAATAATTTACTTCGGAAGAGTGGTTTGATCGTGTTCTAAACTCCCAGGTGCCTGCCATGTCTCTCTCACGGCATGTAAGTCACCTCCCGGTCCCCACCTCCCAAGTCAATATTTAAACGACACTCACCAACAAACCCCTCAGGTCAATCCCGAAGACATAATCCGTCACCTTCGAGACTCAAGCGTATCTCCTGAACAGAAGGACAGCTCCCGGGGTCAAACCACCCACCTGACGCCTTTCTCCACGCCGTACGCCAGCCAGCGCGATATCCCCAAGTACCAGATCCCGCACGATGGCGCGCCGGGCGACACGGTGTACGAGATGCTCAAAGACGAGCTGGACCTGGACGGCCGGCCGAACCTCAACCTAGCCAGCTTTGTCGACACGTTCCTCGAGGACAATGCGCAGCGTCTCATGGCCGAAAATATGAGCAAGAACCTAGCCGACAACGACGAGTACCCTGCTTTGTTATCTATCTCGGATCGGTGTGTATCCATTCTCGCGAATCTATGGGGTGCGGGGACGGTAGTCCAGACAGACAGCGACGGTGGCAGTGGCAGCGGAGGGGGTAAAAAGGAGAAAGCCATCGGCTCACCGACGGTGGGCTCCTCCGAGGCCATCCACCTCGGCGGTTTGGCCATGAAGCGGCGCTGGCAGGAGCGGCGTCGAGCGGCAGGCAAGGATACCCTCCGACCCAACATCATCATGGGATCTAATGCCCAGGTGGCGCTGCTTAAGTTTGCGAGGTACTTCGAGGTAGAGCCACGGGTGCTGCCGGTTTCGAAGAAAAGCAATTACTGCTTGGACCCCAAGCTGGTGAAGGAGAACGTGGATGAGAATACCATCGGAGTGTTTGTAATTCTGGGTAGTACGTACACCGGACACTATGAGCCGGTGGCGGAGATCAGTGAGTTGCTGGATGAATATCAGGACAAGACGGGCGTGGATATCCCAATCCATGTTGATGCTGCGAGCGGAGGGTTCGTCGCGCCTTTTACGCACGCCGGTGCGGGACCAGGGAAGTGGTACGGCAGCTCACATCCCACACCTCACCTGTCCTTCCCCCCGTTTTGCTAACATGATTCAAATGGTAGGAATTTTGGACTTCGCCGAGTCACATCGATCAACGCCTCGGGCCACAAATACGGCCTCGTAACACCCGGCGTTGGATGGATCGTCTGGCGCGATGAATCCCACCTTCCCAAGGACCTCATCTTCGAGCTCCATTATCTCGGCGGCACGGAACAGTCCTACACGCTCAACTTCTCCCGTCCCGGTGCGCAGGTGGTCGTGCAGTACTACAACTTGATCCACCTCGGTTTCACAGGTTACCGGGAGATTATGGAAAACTGCCTAGCCAACGCCCGCATCTTCTCGCAAAGCATCGAAGCAACAGGGTGGTACACCTGTCTCAGCGATATCCACCGCCCCGTAAATCCATTCTCCGGCAGTCATGATGTGGGTTCCTCCGCAACGTACACCCCGGGCCTACCCGTCATCGCCTTCCGCTTCAGCGACGCGTTCCAACAAACGTACCCGCACATCCAACAAGAGACCGTGTCCCTACTTCTCCGCGCGCGTCAGTGGATTGTGCCCAACTACGCCCTTCCGCCGGACGAATCGGAGACCGAGATCCTGCGCGTGGTCGTGCGCGTCAGTATGAGCTTTGACCTGCTAGATCGTCTGGTGACGGACCTCGTGGAAGTCACGGAGACGTTGATGGAGAGGGACCAGGTGGATTTATCCGTGCTGCAGTCATCAACGTGGGCAAGGAGGGGCCAAGGGTCCGCCGGGAAGGGCGAGGAGGGTGGTCGCGAAGAAGGAGGGGAAAAGGGAGAGAAGGCGGCGGAAGGGGGTTTGCATCGGGCTGTGTGTTAATTAAGGGAGGTTGGGAAAAGTTCTGTCTCGAAACGGTTGGAGCTGTTGAATGTGAAATACAACTCGAATAAAAAGCTACCCAAGAGGATATCATAACCAAAAAGTCTCGTCGGTAAGTAGACACAGGCAGGTAGGCACAGAAATAGGTCAATATCACAGCTTCGCCCCCTTCGCCCTTCTCGCCTCCCTCTCTTTATCCCGCAGCAGCCGCCGCAGGATCTTGCCACTGGGGCTCTTGGGCACGGTATCGATAAACTCGATCCCCCCCTTGAGCCACTTGTAGTGAGCCTTGTGGTCCTGGACATGCTTGTTGATCTCAGCCACGATCTCGTCACGCTTCCGCGACGCCATCGAGTCTGGAATTACGACAAAGGCCTTCGGAGCTTCGCCGTCGCGTTCATCGGGAACGGAGATGACGGCGCAGTCGTCGACGGCTGGGTGGGTGAGAAGATGCGCTTCGAGCTCGGCGGGAGCGACTTGGTGGCCCTGGGGGGGGAGGTTAATAACTATGCTTAAACCTGTGCACGGAGAAGGAAAGGTTGGCAGGTGGGCGGATGGGCGGGTGGGCGTACCTTGACCTTGATCAACTCTTTCAGTCGATCGACAATGGTGATATGCTCATAACCCTTTTCTGACTTGGTCACGATGACCTCGTCGCCAGTACGCAACCAGCGACCGTCCTCATCCCAAATGAAAGCTTCCGCAGTGGCCTTTTCGTTGTTCAGATACCCTAGCGTAACGGCTGGCGACTGCACCAGCAGCTCGCCTGGCTTGTTGTATTCGGTGATTTCCTTTCCGTCCGGGTCGACAACCTTAGCTCGCACGCCAGGTACGAGAGAGCCGGATGTGCCTTGGCAGATGTCATGTTCGCTCGTTGTGCAGATGACAGTGGCGGACTCGGTCATCCCTATGGTGGGGGTATTAGCAGAGTTTCATTAGGTACTTAGGTAGTCAAAAGAAGGCGAGGAGTGAAGGATAAAGTTGTACCGTAACCCTGGGCGATGTGCCACTTGGGGTAGAGGCGGCTCAGCTCCTGCGCGGTCTCCCCCCCAAGAGGCGCTGCACCGGTAAATATCAACCTGACACTGCTCAGGTCATACTTCTTGAGCTCGTCCTTGCTGCTCAACATGCGGACCACGATTGGGGGAACCTGCTTCATTTAGTACCGGTTCATGGGCTAGCCAGAATCGATATCGTAAAGCTCTTACAATGAGTACATGGTTGATTTTGAACCGCTCGATGGCCCGGAGATAGTCTGTGAGATCAAACTTGGGCAAGACAATGACTTCGTCGCCACGCCACGTCGCGGAGTGGGCTACCACTAGCAAGCCATAAATATGGCTAAAGGGTAGCAGGCCTAGTGCTACTTGGGTCTCAACCCCAAACTTCCTTCGGCCAACGTCCTCATGAATGCAATATTGTATCGTGTTGGCGATGGCGTTTCGATGCGAGATCATGACGGCTTTCTGTCTTATTGTTAGTCGGCTATCAGGGACAATGGCCCGGTGCATGTAAGGGGTCTCAGAAACGCTGGCAGACTCACTGGAAGTCCTGAGGTACCACTGGAATAGCAGAGGAATGCCACCTGGCGTGCCCCTTGGCCGGTCGTCCATTTCAACGGTTCTAGGGCTGGGGTGGAACGACCCATCGCGATCAGGTCCTCAATGTTCCTGAACGGAGCCTTCTGGGACGCTCCAGGCAGATCCATGAGGAAAATCTTGTCCTCGGGTAATCCCACTGCCTTGGCAGCTTTCAGCGCGGTCTCGAGCACCGGCACACAGGTGAAGAGGGCTTTCGCCCCAGAGGACCGCAGCTGGTGCTCCAGCTCCTCCGCTGAATAGGCGACATTGGCGGGCGTGGCAATGCCAGACAATCGGTGCACGGCATGCAATACCGAAAGATAATCGACCTATGTAATGGTGTTAGAACAAAGGTCTTTGCCCACCTAATCGGGTGGTCGGGTGGTACTGACTGTGTTGAATGAGAAGACCGCGACCACCTTGTCCCAGGGGGAATCTGTGTTTGGCCTCCATCCGGTGATTTTAGCTAAAGCTTGGGCGATAAGGTCGGAGCGCTGGAACGCCTCCTCCACGGTGTACGTCCTTCCAGTAAGACCGCAGGTGAAGGGATTCCGGCTCTTGGAGATGGGACGGCGACCAGAGAGTTCATTTCTCATGAAATCACCAATCGTGACCGAGTCGGGCGGGTCTGATCAAAAATCAATTAGCATACAGCATCTACCACCAGACTCCGTAATATCATTAAACTTACCAAAGGGAAGCTTCGGGGCCCATGGTGGCGGGTAAAACACCATCTTGCCGGTGTTCTGTCCTCCTTCGCGCGCGGACGTGTGCACGCGTCAAGTTGCTCGTTGGTACTGACTTCAGTCTTGCAAGTGCACAAAAGCTCGAGCCCCAAGTTCGAGGGAGGCGATCGGGTATTTTTCTATCTTTGTATTGCTGAGAAAAATAGCAGAAACCCCCTGTAAGGAGCAGCCGTTGGGATCAGAAGGGAGGAGGGTGGTTGTCACCTCGGCCAACTAAATCGGATATGATCTCGGGTCATTCATTACCCGGTTTGGCGACAAGTTTCGATTCCAAGGCCTCCCTTCCTCACCTCAGCCCTGTGGTACCAAGCAAAAAAACACCGAACAACCCGAGCCTTGCGGACTGCTGAGTGCATATTCTGCGAGCTTGCCCACCAACTTCCCATTGCGAAGAGTCCAGCACCCTCCCTTGCGGACGCTCCCAACACCACCACAACCACCTCGCTTTCACCGCCCACAAGCCCTGACTTGGCGTCTGTCGGGAACCCCTGCCAATTGCAGCGCCCCTTGGAGAACAGCTCGGCAACTTCCCCGCATTTCCCCAACTCCTCGGCACAAAGAATGTGGGGAATAAATGCTGGTGATGGGTTGAAGATGGGTTACACCTATCAGAGAACTTGTGCTTCCTCTCCCACTGGAACATTCAAGCGCAGCAGCCGGCCAAATGATTGCATTAGAAAACTCTGCAGTCAACTTTGAACGTTTTCATATCTGAGATTGTTGGATTTGTTTATTAGGATATATTATGTACTCAACACCAAACACCAGTGGCGTTGGCGATGAGCCCCTTGCAAGACTAATCGGGTAAGTGGCGCACCATTTCGGACAAGGTTGTCTGGCCCACGTCTCTCTGACTAGCCCCTGAGAATTGTAAACAACAGCCACTGTCGACAAATTCACCATATTTCCCTGCCTTTACTTACGGCTGTGCAGTCACGACACAGACGTTCACAATCATGTCTCGCTATTTAATCGCAGCAAAAATGATTTTCCCATCAGATCACTACATAATCCCCTACACAGAAGCTGAGCTGCTTCAGTTGCGACGTCGCATACCCTTGAGTCAGGTGTTGATTGCATCCAGTAACTGAGTAATATTTCAATGTTGTTTGTCTTTGGGCCGAACGGTGACAAGGGATACGCCTAGTTATACCATCAACGACAGTTACTCCGCTCACTATTCACCATGGATCAATTATGACCTCGTTGAATCTGACTCACGAAAATCAACCCCCTTCACGGCCCCCTTATGCGCCTAGGTGCCTGCGACGAGCTTGTCAAACCAACCAATTACACCATAGGCAACTTGCGATGTTAGTAAGGGTTTGACTAACTTGTCGCGCTTGATACATTCTGAGTCTGAATCTGCCGTGCACCTAGAGGTGCATTGCAACATTGGTAGCAGAGTTCTGACATATAGCTTGGATCGTTCCGGTCATGATATCCTCCCAATTCAACGGTTCACTCACTGCCTTAGATTCCCGTCAGCACCATGAGGTGTAAACATAGTGGCCCGTGCATTCAAGTACAGTCCTCCTCGGCCATCGCTCCTTCCAAGACGGAAGCCATCACCAGTCGGTGGAGGAAAGAACAATGCTTCGTCCATTCAAAAATTTCTTTGCCCACGCGGTTGGCCTGTTCCCTTACTCTTTTTCTTCTTCCAACCCTCATACACTCCTTCGTTCAATCACCACAATCTCCCCCTTCATCACCTAACACTCCCTTTTCCCCCCAACTCCCCCCTTTCTTCACCCAACTCGAGCCAGACTGGTAAATTATTCTCGAGGTTCAGCGTATCAGTTACTGAATTCTACATTTTTAATTATATCCGACTGCGGTCCCTTGAAAAGGACATCGGACGACGGCCCTTCCTACCCCGCCCTTCTTCCATTTCCCTTCTTCTCCGTCCCCCACGATTCTCTTCAATCACTTTGTCTTTCGCAACCTAGATCCACCGCCATATCTTCCACACGAGTCTTCGCCACGTTACACTCTCACTGTGACCGTTTCGAGTCAACGGTTGACGGGCGCACGTGTTATACTATAAGCTCTCACGCTGTAAGTCACCTTTGGTCCGCCCCTTTGACTCAGCATCCTCGAAGTCTTTCAAAGACGCAGCTTTCGAGCCTATGATGACTTCAATGTCTCTACAACACAATCATCGCCGGGGCAGACCCGTTATAGGGCGTGTTTCCAACATGCCTTGGGCCCCTTGGGCACTCCTTTCATTGTCGACTAAAAGCAAGATAAGCTAACTCCCCTAGATAGATTTCAAGCTCACACTATTGGGGGTTCAAAGTCAACCGCCCACCGTCAAGTCCAGCATCAGCACGGGCATTATACCTGTACCCGTTCCCAGCAAAGTCACCCGGCTAGTCTCCGCTCCCGGCAAGATAGTGAGTCCAACCTTGAGGTCGCGCGATTCAGGCTCTCCTGGGTGGGGGACATTCCCGAGTTTTCATCACAGTATTTGTTACACGGTATCGGGTCCTACAAGGCCTTGAGATAGGTGTCCCAAGGCAACCCACTTCTTTATCTCATGTCTTCGACAAGAACGCTATCAGAGTTCGGATGGCCGGTCAACAAGAGACATATCACCTCGGTTTGCGAACTCTCCACGCAGGCGGTTTTCGAGTCTGTGGACTGATATGTTAACAACCTTGTGCGGTTCACCTTCCAAGCCCATCTCACCTTCCTATATTCGCCCCTGTTAACCAACAGATGCCTTTCCACTTATAATTTCCTTCTAAGTCCCCTTGATACTTTTTCATTGTTCACAGATATTGGAAACTTTCTTCGCCTCCCAACCACAGCAAGCACTAGCCTTCATTTCTTAGTATTTCCCCCATGTCTTAGCATTCTAAATTCCTAGTCTGCCCTTGCACGTCATACCTCCTTGTCATACTTTTATGTTCTCAAGAGGGTGGAGGACCCTACTCGCTACCTTGAATCGGGTTTCCTATTTCCACGCCGGAACGTATCTGAAGTTTCAGTGCCTATATTACTCCCTTCACACGATGGCTTTGGTGTATCTCAGGCTTCTGTTATTCCTGACGTTGACAGTCTGTGGTATTTAGCCGTATCAATCTTAGCAAGCTGAGAACCCGGCTCAAGGCGAACACTGGAAGCACGATATACCAGATTCTTTTCTCCTGCCACCTTCACCAGCTATCGTCTACATATCCAAGGTACGTAAAACCCCCTAGTTGACTCAGAGAAGTGTAATCGTTATGATTACATGATGAATTGGCTTGCAGGCGCGTTCGTTCTGTCACCTTTAGGCCTTCTGAATACCAAGGGCCGCTGTTTGTACAATCTAAGCGCTCAGGACTACGAACTTATATCCCCTTGTACTCCTGGCTGGCCTTACTCCGAACGTCCCTTATCATCAGCTGTAACTTCATCACTATTTCTCAGTTGTTTCACTCTCCTCTTCACGATATATCGACTCATTGTTTCTGGTGTGCTAATTAGTGGACAGCAAGTATCACTAGGTGCATTCACGTCTACTTTGTTTGAAAACATGGATCCTACCACAAACGAAGCAGTTGTCTCAGAGGCATCTGCTCCGGCCACCGGAAGAGGCCCCAGAAGACCTGCGTTCCAAAACTCACTGGAAAAGACCAAGAGGTTCTATGAAGATCTCGAAACTGATCCTTCCAAGACGCCCAAAAGGCAACGTACCCAACCCCGGCCCGCTACCAAGGTCGGATCCATTCGCAAGAAAACATCCCGTAAGCGCAACGCAGGCCTTAACGGCACTCCTAGGACCCCACTCGCAATTGAGGACACGGGGTCCCTCTCAGTAGATCTATCCCTTCCCATGACCCCTTCCACTACCTCCACAGAGGGTTCGGATGACCACGAGGCGACACAGACGGGTACGTCTTCAGCCGAACATGGCCACGAGGTGGTCCAGATAGATACACCCTCAACCGGACACGACGACGAAGTGACACGGCCGGGTACGTCCTCAGCCGAACATGACCACGAGGTGGCCCAGACAGATACGCCCTTGCCCGAACATGACGATGGAACGGCCCAGACGGATATTCCCTCAGCGGACGAGGCGCTGGACAAGTGTATCAAGTCCACTCGCGTTAAGGCCTCCAACACTGGTGACGGCTCTGTCGAGAGGAGCGGCCTGCCTTCAATAGGCCAGCCTCTTATCTGGGCCGAAAAACGCGGCGGTTTGTGCGAAGCGTTGGATTATTATAAGTCCTACAAAAGCGGCCTTTACACCAGAAAGGCCGTAGGCGCTCTGGGGTTTTTGATGGACTCGGAAGTTGAGCCACGGGATGTGTTTGGTACACAGGTCATCATCTCTTCAATGTAAGGCTGGCATCCATAGCGTCCACATTTCCTTATTCCAGCCTAAATAATCTTGTGTTTGTTACTAACTGCAAGACTTTACAGGGGCGGTGGCCGTCGTAAAAGTCCTAACGGGGAAGGAATGATTCGGGATCAGGACGCCTCGGACGACAAAGGCGGCATTAATGCCATCAGAAAGACTCACCAGGAGAAGGGCTTGGTTGCAGTAATTGCCGGTAAGCTTGCCCATGTCTCACGTCCAAACCTCCCAGGGAAAAGCACAAGTCCGTTACTGACTCTTCAAAGGCGAGAGTCATTCTTTATACCCTTGCAAGCCTCCGCACGCTTACTGTGTGCTCGCGTACTTCCACATCACCGATGTGTGGAAGGAAAAGCAGGTTACAAAATCCGGCAAGATCGTTGCAGTCTGGCGCATTCGTTTCGAGAAGGCCGATCTGGATGAACCATCCTGGTGGCGCCCCATGCAGGATGGCGTCGCAGAGCCCGAGGCGTATGATTTGCTCACAAAGACTCCCGTGTCAACCTGCAACGCATGCAATGCCCCCAGCAAGGAGATCTTTACTTCCGGCTGGGCTTGTCTCAATAACAAATGCGAACAGTATTTTATCTTTCCCGAGGGACCCGTTGAGGATATCAATAGTCTGGCCTACACCAGCGTGTTCCTCAATGAGAGAACTCCCTTTGTGGGCCGGATTCCCTCCCTCTTTCCGGAACCGCTCGACCTCACCAACCTTCATGGAACAGAGGGGACGTGCCGAAATGGATTTGTCTGCCGTGAATGCGGCTGTGCCTGTCGTCGGCTTTACTGGAACCGTTTGAAGTGCGAAAACACAAGCTGCACATACGAGGAAGAGGCAGTGATGCGCCCATACCCAGGGCACATGCTCCGAAACGAAAACCGCCGTTTTGACGCCAGCCTCAGAAGGTCAAACCAAAAGATCTCCTTTGATATGAAGGTGGATGTTACGACTCTTGAAGCGTCCGACTTCCCACGTGAATTAGCAGCGCCACAGACCCCTTTTCAACTCGGCCAAACCTTGCGCTTGGGTGATTTCGAGGTTTCGCAGTACTATCTCCCCGGCCCCGACGGCCGTATCATCGGGTCATTTTCAATTTTCTCCGCCAATGACGCGATCAACAGCAGGGTAGACGGGCCGGACGATCTCTTTAGAAGGCTCGAGCTACTTGACTTGGGCCTCTGTAGAAATCCAAGTGCCATAGCAGGGCGTAAGTAGGAGGGGTTATTGGATGTAATAATTGATGTGAACTAACAACGTCATGTAGATAAGCTCGAGGGGCTTACCCGTCATTTCCAGCAGAACTTCGTACGGAATATCGTTTTAGATTAATTATTTTACACGTTGAATGCTCATGCTAACTATCCCTAGGGTGCAAGATATAAATTCGGCGTCCAAGTTCAGTCTCGTGGATTTTCAGGGGCACCAGATGAGATCCTCCGTGCTCTACATCGTTTGATCTGGGCAAAGAAAGCTGCCATCGAGCAATCCAATGCATTCATTAGTTCATTGGATCCACAATTGGTCGGTGATAATGCTGTTATTCCCATCGAGGATGATTTCGATTTCAATGAGCTGCTCGCGCTCGGTTACATGGAGAATGACAGCATCAGCGTATGGCACCCTACAACCCATGGGATGATTTTTGCTAACCTTCGGTTGTAGTATCACGACGATGGCGAAAAGGAACTCGGACCCGCCGTGGCTGCACTCTCTTTAGGCTCTCCATCCTCAATGAATTTCCGGCCTAAGAACATTGCGAAGTACAACCACCGAACACGGCAATACAGGCGTAAGGTGTGCTACACAGATGTTCTTTCTGTCCCTATGAAGCATGGTGACATGATGGTCATGGCTGGAAGGGACATCCAAGCTGCGTATGAGGTAAATAACTCCCCTCCGGTTGCATTCTTTGGGCCAGACAGCTGACTAGAACAAGCACGCCGTCGTCCCCAAGGGCAATCGCCGCTTCTCACTTACCGCTCGATATATTGACCCGATGCGCATTGCGGACCTGGATGATCGGGCCGACGCTTACTCCAAAGGAGCTATCCCGGAGCATGCACAAAGCTTCGCCTACGACGGCTTTTGAGTCCGCTGTCGGGTCCTATGATGGGCTACTTGTGCGTTATTTTCGCCGGTGGCAGGAACCATATGCCTTGTTTTTAAACATTCTTTCTTTTATGTGTTCTTTCTTTTATTTCCTTTCTTATATCTTTCACTTTCTCTTTTCCTCGAGCATTATTTCTGTTGCTCACAATCGACCTGTCCTGGCTTTTGCTTCGACCTTCCCCCAAGTTACGGACCTGTCCTTGATGACCAGTTTGCATGTAGGGCAATAGGGTGGATTCATTGAAATGTTAGCTTGTTTACATTGTACAGCTATTTGCAAGCAGCGTGCTTAGGCACTAGCATGTATGGTTAGTTACAGGGTGATTTTACAGAGATCTTGCTGTCCACTTTTTCCTCCTCTATTCTTTTTTTCTTCTTCTCTCCGGTCCCATCTCCCAATTTAAACGACCTTCATCTTCCCAAGTTCTGTTCAGTTCTAGCTAAGCAGACCTAGCCGCTCTCCGTCTTGGTCCCCTGCCCCGAAACAAGCAACACCGTGCTCCCAAACTGACGCCTCACGTCCTCCTTCTGCACATCATGCGTGTCTTCCACCTCGCCCCACCGCCCCGTCTGCCAGTCTACCTCAAGACTGACGGCCCGGGAAGCCTCCTCCACACCAAACTTGCCCCCGTTACCCTCACCCTTCTCTTGATTCTGAGATCCAGTAGAAGCAGCCTTGCTCTTCCCGGCGCCTTCCTCACTCCACTCTACAATCAGCCTCGCAGCAACCAACAGACTCTTACCAGCCAGCGTGGCGCGTTCCAACCCGGCCAGCTCAAAAGGCGATAGCCCCATGACCCAGGCTTGGATGACTTCGCGGGTGCCGGGGTATTGAGGTACCGGCAGGAGGGCGGTGCCGTCGAGGACGGGGATGATGGAGATGCCTGGCCAGGCGTGGGCGGTTAGGTAGCGGGTTGTGGAGGCGTAGGCTTGTTCCTGAAGTTCGCGCAGGTGTGGCGAGGATGAGGATGGGTCGTGGTCGGGGTCGACGGGGGCGAAGCAGAGGAGGGAGTCGGTGTCGAGGTAGCGGAGGAGGGTGGTGGTGATTTCGGTGCGGGTGGCTTCGGGGGTCGGGGAGTTGGCGATGTCGAGGGCGCGGCAGATCAGGCTGGTTAGGGGGATCAGGTGTTGTTTGGTGGCTTGTTGGGCGGAGGTTAGACTGTCCCATTCGAGGGCTAGGGCGTGGGCGAGATGGGGTTTGGTGAGGGGGAGTCGGATGATGGCTTTGGTGGTTGGGTGACGGAGGGGGCGGGAGTCGAGGTGGATTTCGAGGGAGCCTGGGGGTTGGTATGGTGTGTTAGGTATAGGTCCTGGTTGATTGATCGAAGGAGATGAGATAGAAGAGAAGGTGGGTAGAAGGGGTGGAAGGCGGGGGAATTCAAACAACCGCAACTCAACGAGAGAAGAGAAAAGCAAAAAAACATACCGTCCACCTCCTTCACAGAAACATCCTTCCAAAACCTCCTCTTCAACCCAGTACTTTTCTTCCCATGCTGTCCCTGTGTCTGTCCCTGTCCATGTGTCTGTGTCTGTGCATGTGCGTGCGCATCGCTCCTCAACCCCTGAATACCCCCCGCGTGCCTCAACAACTCAGCCTGACGACGGCGCCTAGCCAGTCTCTCCTCGCGCTCGGCACGCTCCTCCGCAACAAACTCGGCACTCGGTTCGGGGGCACGTGGAGGTGGGCCAGTGCCATAGACAGGGACGACTTTGGCGGTGGTTATGGGAGTGGTGTGGAACGCGCGTGTCACGGACGCTGCTGTCGTTATTGGGATGGTCTTAGTGGTGGTGGGATTGCGTAGCGGGGTTAAGATGGAAGAGAGGCAGAGCCTCGCTGTGGGGCGCATTTTTCTTTGTTTTGTCGGGGTCTGTGAAAAGTCGGTGCGATCGCGGGGAGGTGAAAGTCGGTGAGGGTATTGTTAAGTCGGTGGTTCGATATGTATTGTACGTATGATTCGGAATTGGGTACATGCACCGACGTATGTATGCACCGAAGATACCTCAGCGCCGAGAAACGTGTGATCGCTACGTCGGTAGCGGACGGTGTTGTAGGAAAGGGTGGTGGTGGGTTGCAAGCGACGATGTTTTCCACTGGAGGGGAAGCATTTTCTTGTCAAAAAGGGATCGGGTCTTGCCGTTGCAACAAGGGTCCAGGACCGCTAAGCAAGGGTAGCTTGAGAGACAATTTTCCGATTGGGGAATAGGGCCAGGATGACGTCAGTGATTCCAATTGATGGAAGTGGTGGGACTCGGCGTTGAGGGTTTGTGTTGATCTCGTTTCTCGGTGATTAGGGGTGAGCCTCGTTCGAGAAGATAAGAATGCGACGGGGAAAATACTCTTTCGCGACTCCGTCTGTCCATACCCTTCTAGTATCACTGACTGTATCCGTGCAACCAGAAGTTTGTCGTTCCGACTTGTCTCTCTACCTAAGACCAAGGCAAAGTTTCAACATACCTGGTAGACAACGAACAAACCATCGCAAACTATGTCACGACGTGAGCATGCAGATCAAAGGTGAAAAGAAGCCATCAGCCACATTGACCAAGTAAAAACCAAGTATGTATTCGTATTTCGATCGCCACACCGCTAGTCACCATATTCCATCCACCCACATTGCCTGCCTATCCCAATGCATTTTCGCCTCGCCAAAAAGAAAAAAGAAAATACAAAAGAAACCATCGCAAAAGAAGGCCTAAATGTAATATACAACAACTGCTGAACTGCTCGACTGGCTCTGTTAACACATATCACCACCCCATGGGAGGAGTAAACAAAGAAAGCACCTTCTAACGTCAATCACGGACACGCCCGCTTTGCTGTGCTGTATAAACACTTCTGGTCCAACTTCAACACCTGATCCATTCCTCAACCCCCCAGTTTCCCATATCAAGCCAAACCAACAACCCAACCGCTGTAGAAGACAAGCAATCGCAAACACAGAATCAATAAATCAATCAATAAGGCGGGCGACTAACAGCCCCCAGCCCTTCCCCACCCCCCTGCTCCCCCGCATGCGCATCAATCCCCAAAAGCAACGCATTCAAGTCCATCGCAGGCGGCTTCTCCTCCGGCGCCATCGCCCACGACGACGAAAGTGGCCGGTGGCCACCATCACCAGCAGCAGCACCACCGCCAGTTCGGCTCTTGACGCTACGCTTGGAAGTCGAGGGCCGGGGAATGGTGGGCGCGCGACTGTCGGGTGATGCGCGGCTGCTAGCGGCGGTGGTGGTGGAGGACTGAACGCGGGTTGTGGCGCTGGATACGCCGCCGTTGGAGGCGAACCCCGACGGGAGAGGTGGGACGGGGGGCACATGCATGCCGTCGGTGTGGGGGTCCGGATCTTGCTCGTCGTCTTCGTACTCGTGGTCGTCCTCATCGTCGGGCGGGTACGAGTTGAGGGGGCCGCCGGGTAGGGAGGGTTTGCGGTCGCGTGAGACAGGGCGTGATTGATGAGCAGCGGCATGGTCGAGTTTGTCTGTTGTTCTAGACGCTGTGGCTGTTTGAGTGTGTTCGTTGCCAGGGAGCATGCTCGGGTTGAACGACAGCTCGCTGGGGGTCATGTCGTAGCTCACGAGGCTGTCGCTGCTGGAGTCGTCGTGTTGGAATTTGGGGCCGTGCATGGATGGTGGTGGCTGCAGGTGGCCAGACAGGACGAGCTTGAGCTGCTCGACGGATGTGACCTGTTCTTTGGGCTCGCTGTTGCGTGGTGGTCCCTGAGAGTGGCCGCTTCGTACGCTCGTTTTGTGCGGTCCGTCACCACCAATCGGCGAAGGGGTTGGCCGGAGGTTCGTCCTGCTACCGTGCGGGGAGGTCTTATCTGGTCGCCCGTGGTGTCCATTGACCGCCAGTCCTCCGTTAGCATTGAGGCGGTGGTTGGTGCCGGTGGTGCCGGACCGCGATCCGCTGATCGATGCGGATTTGCTTGCCGTCTGCACGGCTGCGAGGACAGATTCGCGGGTCCAGTCGCCCAGCATTTGTTCGCGGAACAGAGTCGGTACTTCATCTTCGGTTTCGATGCTGGGGATGTTGCTCGTTGCGGAGCCCAGGATCGGGTGTGAGAAGCTGCGGCCGGGACTAGCGGCCGGACTTTGCGACGGCGAGGTCGTCTGCTCCTGGTATGCCGTGCATACGCAGTCCACAAGCCCCAGCCGCTCATCGAAGGGAAGCAATGCCTCCGATTCAATTTCGTCGCTAGGGAGCCTCGGCTGGCGGGCGACAGTCCCCGGTGTTCCGACCAAGTCGATAAGGGGCGCGGGCATGTTAACGCCCTCGACCCAAAAGCTCTTGGTACGGCGCCGGACAATTTCGTTGTGAATCGCCCGCCCCACGATCGACCCTTCAAAATCAAACTTCTCCGTCAGCGCCCAGAAGTACCCGTGGACCACGCTCCCCAACCGGACCTTGTGAAGCGGGGTCTCGGCATCCTGGATGTCTTCCTGGAGCCTAAAGATCATGGGGAGGCCGAATCGGACGGCGTTGACCCCTAGACGATCAACCAGCTTCGCCAGAAGGACATGGAGGAGTAGAATATCCGTCTCGTAATCGATGTATTGGATCGCGTTTTCGTAGATGGCGAGATGGAGAAGTTGCAAGAAATGCGATCGAGGCGTCTTGGCGGGTTTCTCGCGCCCCGAAGCACTCGACACTGCTCGCTTAGCGAGCGACGAATTATGCATATCCCGGTTCTTAACCACCGACCGGGCTGTCTCGTCCTGGGCTTTCCAGTCGGCCGCGGTCGTCTCACGGTCCAACCACGTGATCACAGCGTCCCCATACGCCTTCCGGACAAGTCCGTCCGGGTCTTGCAGGAGCCATTGTGTCCCTTCCCATACCTGCACGGGAACCCGGCTCCTTGATAGACCAAGGTTGGTGCTCATCTTAGACCGCGGGTTCGCGACGAGGAGAACCGATTTGATAGCTCGCAGCGCGGCGATCTTAGCGACGGTAAGCGCGAACAATGAATCGGCGTGATGGTGTTGGTGTTGGGGAGGGTGCTCTTCACCCAGGGCTTGCTCAGATGACTTGGGCGTGTCGGATTTGTCTGCAGGGGGAGAACCTGAGGTGCTACTGTTGGAGCGCGACGGCCGGAGTTTTTGGAGGATAGTGGAAATCATGTCAGAGATCTGGTCAGCGTAGTAGACATGCGTGGCTAGATCCCCAATGCACTCCTGGAGTCGGTAGAGGAGATCATTACGCTCCGCTACAGCCAGCTCCACCTTCTCGGCAGAGTCCAGGCCAGCACGATAGCGCGGGTCGGGTTCACCAGGGACATGCGGCTCAGTCCGCATGCTATTCGGGTCGCCTGGCATCTGCACAAGCTTGCGGATGTGGGCAGTGAGTTGAAGAAGGATATCCATCACGCTGAGACCGATCAGGTTGACGTCCGAACGTAGCAGCGCGCCGATCAAGGCTGCGAGCACGATGTGTTGACGTAGCGTGTCGTCGGACAGGGGCAGCTGGGCGAGGAAATCCATGGTTGTGACGAGAATCGTGAAGCGGTCGGCGACTGGCGCCCAACGTGCAACCAGCAGGAACATCTTGACAGCCCAGCCGCTGTCCCTCCCATCCGAATCCGTCCTGACCACCTCCTCCTGTTGGCTGACACGGTCCTGGATAAACTTGAGGAGTGCAATAGTGGCCCCCTGAGCCTGGGACCGGCTAGTCGCCACGAAAATCTGCCGCAGACACTCCATCGCTAGCACACCCGTGTCTTCCTCGGCTAGCTTATCCATGTCAACGGCAGTGTCGGCCAGCGCGATCGGGTTGTTGGATTCGCTCTCGGCCGTCTGTACAGTCGCAACACTGGTCCGCCTCCTCAGTAGCGATGAGCCAATTTTCTCCTCCATCTCAACTCGCTGGTACAAAACCTCTAGAAAATCTTCGTTGTCGGTCCACAAGTTCTCAAGGACCATAGGGACGGCAAGGTCGTAGTGCTGGGCCGTGACCGAGGCTAGGACATCCGACGAGGCAACGCTTTTGATAGCCTTCAACCCTGTGTTCCTCCACCGAAGCGCAATCGGCTTACTGGGTTCCAACCTTCCGGGGAAGGCCCGCGTTGAGGCGAGAGAGGCGTATTGCTGGACGACGTCGAGATATTGGCGCAAGTAGGCCTGGTCAGCCATGAGTGACGTCGAATCATGGTGGGTGCAGAAGGCCTCGAACGTGGGGACGGAGGACTCGACCATGGTAATGTCGTGCGATTTGAGGATCTGGTCGAGAATGTGGAGAACACATGTCGCAAAAAGGGGGAGGTCGTTGGGGGTCTTTTCGATGAGCGCCGTCACGATCTGCAGCGTGACTTGCACATTGCTAATTCCCCGAGGCCGAACGCATTAGCACTTCGCGGGGAACAAAAAGGGGGGAAGGTTCGGCATAGCGCCAACCACAAGCAAACAGATGTGTACCCTATCCTTTGGCGATAGACATCGCTAGCCGTCTTCTTTTCAAGGAAGCTTCCAACTTTTTGGATCTTGGACCGCCGCGACTGAGCGTAAAAGAGCAGGTAGCTGAGCTCGCTCGAGTTGGGTTTGACGTCCACGGCACCCTTGGTAGTTCGTGGGTAGCACTTCAAGACGAGCACCTGGTGCTTTGGGCGGCACTTTTGTTGGATGGCGTTCATGGCGGGCGAATGCGACAGGTCGTATGGGTGGAAAGTTGCGGGATGCCGTGGGACGCGACACGGAGCCTTAACGAGCGACAACGGCTGCGGGCGCCACGGGGAAGTTCGGGAGGGAGCAGGAGCAGTAGTGATTGCGACGGATAGCCTGCAGCTTTGCTATACCCGACGTGACGGGCACCAATGCGAGACGTTAAGTGTCATGAGCGGCTCTTGTGATGTGGGAGAAAATGTCCTCCAAAGTTGGGTTTGGTGTTGGAGAAAAATGTTAGGCCAGGGGGGGAGATTACGGCGTCATACCTGGCATTGGCATTTGGGCTGGACTGACAGGGGGCGTTGGCGGGGGCCAGAATCGCAATGCTTCGATGAGGCGGGGTGAGTGAGCATGAGCCTTGGCAGAGGATGGATCCACTTCTTCTTGCACCCGAGCCTCGGGCCCCAAGTTTCAACCAACAATGGAAACTGGAATGTGAAAACAACGACTCTCCAATTCACAACAGCACTGTAAATTTACCAATGTTCTACTTCACCTACCGTCTTCTTTTGCGACTGATTTTTTTTCTTCTTTTCTTTGTTAACTGCCGCTGCAACATGTTAGGGGTTCTCCGGCTGAGACTTTTGTAACCGGCCAAAATGATGATGTGTCCAATTCCACCAAAGAAACCCAAGGAACCTCGCACACCCACCGCATCCCAATTTCCGGACGCTCAATACCCGACTGGGTTGACCGGAATCGTCAACACCATCTATTATAACATCTTATAACATCAAGATATTGGCGACCCCCAACGCTGCAGCGGCATAACCGTTTTCGTGTCGTATACGATCTGTTACCAACAGCTCTGCGGCGTCGGCTGTTAGTTATTCAGCGATTTGCCGCGGGGGAGAGTGTTCATCAAAGGCACAAGGCCCGGCCCCCAACCGCGTCTCAAATTACCGTTTCGTCAAGCGCAGCCCAGCGGCAGAGCATCATCCTACCATTGTTCATTCCCGATTCTAAACACACAATGCGGCCGGCTTTGAACGAAGGAGGGCGACAAACTAATAAACTTAGCAAGAACGCCGTCGATGCCGTGTTCTAGTGGTTGTAACGTGTGGACCATGACTTAGTCACGTTTTCCATCTCAAGGTCCCGTGTATCCGGATCGCATGTTTGTCGAGGAGATCAGATGCTGCGATCCGTTGACCCTCGGCGGCCCAGGCCTCGGGCCCTGGGTGGGCCGAAATGCAGGACTCGTGAGCCCCTGCTTCCGCCAGCATCCCGTCCTATCAACCTCATCAAAGGAGGGTTGCAATATCCGTACAAGGCTCACGCGGCAATAGGGCTGAGGCCTCCAGCAACAGAATGGCGCCGATGCCTACATAGTATTTGCAAAAATGGATATTTGGTTTTTTTTCTTCTTCCTTTGTTGATTGCGAGAGCTACCATTGGGTAATGAAACATAGAAAGGAAGGCCGAAATAGTGTGTGCCGTGGACCTGGATTATGTACTTGAATCCTGAAAACGCGCAACTCTCACGTAACCACGTACCATTCTCGGCAGGTTTATGCCGGTGTTGTCGAATCCCCATACTCGAGAGAGAAGCGACCGCAGTGGTAGGAAAACAATCCTTCAGTGGGTTAGAACCAAGCCGCTGTTACCGCCTCATCCCCCGATCGCTTTGAAGGTCCCTCTCGAAGATACAGTACGTGTACACTACACTACAGTTACCCACAGTTATCAGCCTTACCAAACTCAATGTTACCGTATTTCCCACTGCCTAACAGATCAATGACCGGATGGTAAGCCCGCTGGCGCGTCTCGCACGGACAACTTGGCACCTTACCTAATCGGTACAAGGCAATTTGGTTGCTGACGACGTCGTTGGGCATCATGTCCCGACCGCAGCCGCAGTGAGGACTCCAATCAACCTCATGAGGCTCTCAGTCCGAGCAGCAAGTATTCGCATCATATTCGTATCATATCCGTATTCCGGAAAGAATAGGAACTCGCAACGAACGATGTTGACGGGCGCATGGAATTGAATCAAGCCTTGCCAAGCGTGCCAAGCGCACCCTTTGAGGTTAGTTATGCTGTGGGACAGGGCCTTCGTTCTCCTCGGGTTGTCGCCGTATCCCTCGCGAAATACAGTTGAGAAGACTTGTGAATGGCTGCGTACACGTGTATTGTGGGGCGACGAGGGTTCGGATTGCCTCCTATCGGATCAAAAGCTGGTGTCGAATGAGGCAACTTGGTTTGAAAATCGGTTCGGGGGTGAGCTGTCGACGCGTGGTCTGAGAAGATCGTGGGAGCATTGCCAGGGAGCTGAACTCGCCTCCAAGGCCAATGGCAAACCCAACCGACCAATACGGCCGGATCCTCGGCACGGGAGGGTACTGTGGGAGTGAAAGACACCCTAGACGACCATCGCGGCGTGCCAAGGAGTGAAAAGACATATTAGTCGAACCGCCCAGCCCTGCTAAACCCTCTACGACCGTTGTTCGAAACAACATCCCAGGTCGATCACTGCTCGTCCTTGACCCTTCCCACATCGCGACCCTTCTCCTCCCCCCTCAATCAGAGTCCTTTATAGGGGCGTCCATCTGTTCACCATGGCGCTCTCTCGCAGCCTCCTCCTCGCTCTCCAGCTCGTCTCTCCAGTCTTCACAGCAGCAGCAGCAGCAGTAACAGCAGCCAGTGGAGAGCAGAAGCTGTCTATCACCATCGGCAACGACCACACTCGCCACTCGTCCTGCAAAGCCTCCTGCAAAGCCGTTCCCGGAACACCAGACTGGCCCTCAACCAAGGAGTGGGACAGCCTTAATGAGTCGCTTGCCGGAAGACTGCTGCAACCAACTCCTCCAGGCGCTGTCTGTCATTCCGGACCGGGAGCCTTCGACTCCGCAGAGTGCAAGGTTGTCCGAGACGGATGGTCCACCTACGACTACCACCAGGCCGACCCCGTGTCCGTCGACTGGAACCAGTGGGCCAACGACACCTGCCTTCCCGTCGATGGTGCTCCGTGCAGCGGTCAAGGATATCCTGTATACGTTGTGAACGTAACCGAGGCCCGCCACGCCCAGCTCGGCGTCCAGTTTGGTGAGAGCAGCTCTCCCTGATCTCTTTTCTATACCCCTTACTGATAACAAATATAGCCAAGAAACACAACATCCGGATCATCGTCAAGAGCAGTGGTCATGATTTCCTTGGCCGCTCCACCTCCCCCAACTCTCTCTCGCTCTGGGTGCACCACCTTCGGGGGCTCCAAACCCACGACACCTTTCAGCCCGCCGGATGCAGTTTTACCATCGACCACACCTCCGTCACCGTCGGCGGCGGCATGCAGATGGGGGAACTCTACGATGCGCTCGATTCCATCGGCCAGACCGTCGTAGGCGGAGGCGCCAAGTCCGTCGCCGTGGGCGGGTACGTCTCGGGCGCCGGGCACAGCGTACTCTCGTCGACCCACGGCCTTGCGGCCGATCAAGTCCTCGAGATTGAAGCTGTCACGCCTGACGGTGAAATCGTGACGGCCAACGAGTGTCAGAACCAAGACCTCTTCTGGGCCTTGCGTGGTGTACGTTTATCCATCCCTTTTTGCCCCTTTTCCCTCGGTTCTACTCGTATATCTGTTCCGTGTTTTACTCACTCTTTGTTTTCGCTTGATCCAGGGCGGCGCCTCGACCTTTGGCGTCATGACCTCAGTGACGATGAAGACCTACCCCACGATGAAGATCGACGCGACCACAAACATCATCATCACGCCTGATCTCGAAAACACCCGCGTCACTTTTGACATGATCGCCTACGTCCTCAGCCAACTGCCCGATATGGGCGACAAGGGCATGTCCGGCTACTCGTACGTTTTCCAGCAGTACCCCAACCCCCTGGACGACGGCAACACCACCATCGCCGGCTTCGTCATGTCCGCCGCCCTTCAAAACCAATCCCCCGAAGCTCTGCAGCAGCTCTGGGCGCCCGTGTTCGAGCACGTCAACACGACCTGGCCGAACCACTTCACGGCGATCCAACTCCCGGAGTCTTTCACGTCTTTCTCCGACTGGTACTCCAAGCACTACGACACCACCCCGACCGGCTCCGACTTCTACATCGGCTCCCGCCTGCTCGACCGCGAGGCCCTCACGGCCAACCTGACCCACAGCGCCGAGGCTTGGAAAGGCTTCACTGGCGGCAGCGTATCGACCGCGTACCTGGTGTCCGGCAAGGGCGTCCACAACGCCAAGCCGCGCGGCGGTAGCAACGCGGTGCTGCCCGCCTGGCGCAAGGCCTACATCCACGCGACCATGGGTGAGGAAGCCGAGCCCTCCAACACGACGTCTAGGGCGATCGTGAAGAAGCGGGTCAGCGACCGTGTGGCTGCCCTGAGGGAATTGGCCCCGGATTCGGGTGCTTATATGAATGAGGTACGTAGCCTTTGCTGGGAAATAAAAAGTGAGATTGAGATTAAATATAAAACTGACAACTTTCTCCCCCAATCCAGGCTTTCTACGAAGAACCCGACTGGCAACACACCTTCTGGGGCCCCAACTACGAGCGACTGTATGTATCCCGCTTTTATCTCACCCCACAAACCCAAGCATCAAATCGCACAAACACACAAACCTACACACCCCAATACTCAATAAATAAGTAAAAAAGTAAACAATAAACTAACCCAAACCCCCCTAAACCCAGGCTCGCCATTAAGCGCCGTATCGACCCCCACGACGTCTTCTGGTGCACCCCCTGCGTCGGCAACGAGCGCTGGGAACAGGTCGATGACCGTCTCTGCCGTGTTAACGGTCGCTGAGGAGCATCACCGAGAGGGGCAAGCAGGGAGGAGAAGAGGCTTGTTTGTTGATTGATTTGATGTGGTGGGATGGAATGGTGCTTATATAGAGCTTTCTTTGCTGCCATTGCAATTGTAATATATATACATCAATATGTTCACTCAACTTTGTCTTACTACCTTACGTATGTACTGTGTACTCTCGGCTGCCTCAAGTTTCTTTCGGCTATGACGTATTGTGTACCGACCTGTGTAAAGGTATGCATGCAGTAGTATCTTGAGACTATTCTGAAAATGCCCATTGAGTCAAACCAGCCTAGACCGGCAGTGCGGTGTCAGGCAGGATATGAGCAATCACCTAGCATTGTGATAATCTCGGGGTTGAAAAAGAGCGTCAGTTTCTTTCTTAACAGTGTTATGCTTCAAATTCCCATACCCCCTCGCCATTTAGAAAACACACCACCCCAACCACCAACCTACACTCTGCGCCCCTGGTTTCTTTTATGTTTTCCCGTTTTTGATATTCCAAGCTCAAACCAGAACTATGTATACTATGATTTCCAAGTTACCACTGATTATCCCAACACCCCAAACCCCCACACCGCCCAGTCCACCTCTCAGGCTGCCCACCATCGTGTCTCTTCCCTAGTCCACCACCATATTCTACTCCGCCAACCTTGCTAACTGTACCGTAATAAGTTCCTTAACCCCACCCCTCCTTTTTACACAAACAAACAAACACACCCTCAAACAAACGCAAAACTCTCATCTCCCCTCCCATCACCAGCACTCACCCCTCTAACGGTTGTCCCCTGCCCCTGCTCCTCCAAGATCTCGCTAATTCCCCTCGTCCGATTCAAGCTATTCCCATGGTTGCTATACCCTCCACCAAACTGCTTCAAAACAGCCTCGGTCAACCCCGGACTCGACAGCACACTCATCACGTCGTCTCCGTCACTAGCACGAGACCCAGGACTGGCCAACTCCATTCCCATATCTCCCAAGCTCGGCCTCACAATCCGCAACGGTTCCGGTCTCAGCTTGCTTCTAGGTGGGATCGGCGGGGTTCGACTACGTAAATTCGGCGGGGGTGGAGGAGGTCGAGTCGGTCGAGTTGGGCTCTCGTTCTCATTTTTGATATGACTGGATCGCGTGTTTCCTGCCATGATAATCCCCGACCGTTTTCCAACCCCTATCCATTTACCATCGCTTGGTTGCTTGACAACATTGGGTTCGACACGGCCCAGAGGCGCAGCACCGTTGTGAGCCGCAGCAGTAGTAATCGATGCGGCAAGAGCGGTAGCTGGGATGATTGTAGTGGAAGTAGAAGCAGTGGCAGCAGCAACAGCAGTTGTTGCAGTGGTATTCCGGGCCCCTCGGGAAGAAGAGACAACGACGGACTGAAACACGTCATCTCCCTCTCCAGCCTCTTCTTCATCTTCCCAATCTGTGTCGTCATGGATCTGGGCTTGCTCGCGGACATGGCCGTGAAGTGAGCGCCGGCGACTTGTCGCGGGGGACATGGCCCTGAACGTGGTTGGGTCTTTTGGGGACAGGGTCGGTTCGAACTTGTCAACATTAGCGGACAGCCAAGTTTTCCACTCGGCTGAGCTCACCATCGACGCTTCGCGATGACTTGCTTGGCGGCGGTATAGAGCCGGTGTGTCCGTCGTCATGTTCTGCTTCCGAGGCCCCCTGACCACCGTCCTAGTCTTTGAGACATGGTCGCCCTCGTCTGAAGAATACACGCTCTCGGAGTAATCCAGATCTTTGGCCGAATCCGAGTCGGTGGTTTGCGTGTGGGGGCCAACCGAGTGATGAACTTGCGTGCCGCTATCCGAGTCTTCATCAGCGGTAGAACCGTATTGTCCCCAGGCCTTTTGCTCTTCCTGCATAGACTTGCCAAGCGCGTGGCGATACAGACTTTCTGTCCTGAAAAGATGGGATGCCGGACTGGCTGTAGTCCCTAGTTGTGAATCCGGGCCAACCTTTTCATGAGCCAGCTTATCGCTGGCGAGAGGGGTGGCTGATCGCCTTCCCCATTCATCAACAGTGTTTTGGGTTAAGGTGGCCCTTCTGGGCGCTCGTGTTGGTGTAGATGTGGTGCTAGAGGCCGCATACTTTCTCTCCGGAATGACAGACCGAATCGTGTCTGGCGTGTCGTCTAACCCCTGAGTCCCACCTTCATTTTCTTGTTCATCTCGGGAGTCCAGTGACTTCATTCGCTTAACAAGGGCCGAGTAAATCCGCTGACTGTCCACCACCGGCCCAGCCACCGATTCGCCATTCTCGGGCCCCCCTCTCAGCGGATTGAAAAGACCGGGGTCGAGTGTCCGTCTCCGGATCGATGGGGAGGGAATATGGGCGCCGTTCTCTCCAATAACAGAGAGGCGCTGCTTCTCCCATTCTCTCCACTGTTGTTGCTCTTGGCTGGTAAGAGAGCTGGGCCCCGAGTGTACCCAGCTCGTCAAGGACGAACCGTCTGAGATGTTGCGGATTTGTTCGAAGCTGAGATTTTCTAGGCTTGCCTGGTTGGAGCGAGCGGTCTGGGGCATTCCCAAATGGATGATAGGTGTCTTGGCCGCCGGGTTACAGAGAATCTTTTCGTCTCCGTCTGCTGGCCCCTCGTCGGAGCTCAGAGGACAAATGCCAGCGACACGCGTTCGGCGGGATTCGATGTGCTGAGAAGGGATCGATAGGGGTTCATCGTCTGACTTGGTGCTGGAAAACATGCCTCTCAGCTTAATCCTCAGGGATCTCGAAGCCCTTCGAGCCTTGAACTTCAATGTGTCTGACTGGTCAGGGGTATCTTGTGGGTGATTGTTCAGGTCCGCAACAGACTGCGATGGGCTACTGTCCCGAAGTGATCGGCGCGTTCGGAAGTTCGAGTGACGGTTCAAGGAACCAAAGAAAGAGGATGGCCTGCGCTTGATTCGCATTGTCGCGGATTCATCTGCAAATGATCCGTATTCTGGAACATCGGCCAACTCAGAAGCACCCGAGTCCAGCGTACTCTCTCGGTGTTGGCTACCGAGCTGCGATCGAGACCGCCGTGTGCTCAAAAAGCTCATCGATCTGGGAGCCCTAAGAACCGGAGTTTCGCGTGGAGATTTGGTGGCGCTGGGGTCCGATCGAAATAGCCTGCGAGACATAGATGTAGACGCTGGCCGTGACTTGAGCGACGTGTTGGCTGACTGTTCTTGGTAGGCTTCGTGAAAGCTATTCATTCGCGGAGGATCGGTATACATGGACCTAGTTCTGTGAAGACGCCGGTATGATGAAGGGGCAGACGCAACATCGTCTTCAGGCGTGTAATAATCCTCGGAGGCCGCGAGGGCATCAAGATAGTTTGTCGCGGTCTTGGACAGGGGCCCTGGGGCTCCCACACTTTGTAGCGAGCTGGAGCTTTCAGCATTCGGATCGCCATTCCCGCCTGCATGTTGAATGCTTCTTTCACGGCTGTTTCCTGTGTCTCCCACGCACGCTCGGTTCAGCTCATCAGAGCTGTGGTCACGGCGTACTCCCTGACTTTCGGCTGGTGTCGAACACGGTCCCATAAAACGAACGCTCTGACGTCGACGAAGATCCTGCGCTTCATTCTGATCTCTAATCGTCGCCTGTCGACGGTGGCGCTGGGACGACAGGCGCGGCGTCAGGGGGAAAAGCGGCGGTTCAGCCATCGTGCGGTTCCGGGCTCTCACATATGCCTCCTCGGCCGCGATGTGGGCATCTCTCTGCGCCGAGCATGGATCGAGATACTCGAGGGCGACTCCCGGCGTTGTCGTCGATGTGGACGAACTAGTGGTAGATTTGTGGCGTCTCAGGTCCGGTCTGGACTTGAAGCTGCGTCGACGCAGCATCGATCGAGCCGGTCGGTTGGACAAAGGGGGGGAGAGGAACGGACTGTGGCGTAACAGGTGTGTAGTCGTACCAATGACTAGTTGTCTAACGAGACAGGGGCTAAGATCATCAGTTAAAATCTGCGGCAATAACTGTATGTCGCGGAGAATGAGATGGCCATGTCCGGAGTGACACGGTTTCGAGGCTCATAACGGCGGCGCAAAGCCGCGAACCAAGGCACATTCTGTTTGTTACCTCAAAACATGGGCTGCCTCTGGAGGAAGTCGCCATGGCAGAAGCGACGGCCAACGGCCGACTATCACGTTTCGAAGAGGCAGGAATGACCTGGAACGCCAGGTAATGTGGTGTGGCAGGAGCAATTCTAGAGCCGCAGCACGGTTCGGGGAGTCAAAAATCGCGGTCAGGGACAGGATAGGTGAGAGTCATGCGTAGTGGACTATGTGAATGCGAGCCTAGTGCCTTCAAAATACAGATCAAGCCAACGTTCAAATTGTGTCCGAGTCCCGACTTAAACCATACAGTACAACAAGAACTCCTTAGGGTGCTGTATGCCCATCCCGATATCCCAAAACCAACGACCAAGCCAAATACAAAAAGTGAAACCCGCATTCCAGGGGGATTAATCATCGGCCCCATTGAGTCACACGCTCACAGCGCCTGTGGTAGCGGCTGCTGCCGTTTCGAGGACTTAGGCAGCGATCTCCTCAAAGAACTCCTTGAGCTCCTCATCAACAAGCTTGTGGATCTTCTCAGAAAGCTCCTCAGCCTTGTCAGCGAGCGACGAGACGCCCTTGACGACCTCACCCGAGACGACGTTGAAGTCGTGCTCGATGAGCTTCTCAAGGTCCGAGACGGAGGCACCAAGGTCAATCTTGTCAGTGGTGGTCTTGTGGTCGACCTTGTAGCCACCGGCTTCGACAATAGCGGTGTAGTTGCTGCAGCCACCGCCGTTCCAGGCGAGGAGGTTGGGGGTCTTGCTGGGGATGTCGGTGAGGGCGCCCTCGGTAGCAATGCTGAGCAGGTTCTTCTTCAGCTTAGCAGGGGTGATGGTGGCAAGCGAGTACTCCGAGTCCTCAGCGGGCTGGAGAGACAGGTAGTAGGCCAGGAGACCAGCAATGTGGGGCGAGGCCATCGAAGTGCCCGAGATGGTGTTGGTGGCGTACTTGCTGCCGATCCAGGTGGACAGGATGCTGAGGCCCGGGGCGAAGATATCGGTGCAAGCGCCGTAGTTGGAGAAGTACGCACGGCTGTCGTCAATAGCGGAGGCACCAACAGTGACGGCCTTCTGAGCAGCCGCGGGCGAGTAGTTGCAGGCGTCGGCGTTGTCGTTTCCGGCAGCGACGGCGAAGTGAACACCAACAGAGACAGCGGCATCTACCGTGTCATCGAGGGCCTTGGTCTTGCCACCACCAAGCGACATGTTGGCGACCGAACCCTTGAAGCCCTTGCGCTTGCCGTCCTTGGCGGCCTTGACCTGCTCGATGTGGGCGTTGGCCGCCCACTCGACACCGGCAACGACGTCGGCCATGGTGCCGGAGCCGTTGGAGCGGAGCACCTTGACGGCGCGGACATTAGCCTTCTTGGCCACACCGTACTTCTTGCCAGCGATCGTGCCGGAGCAGTGGGTGCCGTGGCCATTGCCATCGATATCGGCATCGCCCTTCGGAATGGTCTTGCCCCATTTGGCACGGCCCTCGAAGTCAACGTGCTCGATGTTGGTGCCAGTGTCAATGACGTAGGCATCGACACCCTCACCGCCCTCGGCAGCGTACAGATACTTGTTGAAGGTTGAGAAACCAAGAGCGTCCCGATGCGAGATACGCGCCAGACCCCACGGAGCGGCCTTCTCAGTCTCGCTATCGCAGCTCTCGACGTTGACACTCATCGTGTGAACGATGCTGTCGCGCTCAATATACTCGACCTGTTATCAAAAATCGTTAGCATATGATACGGAGAAAATGGAACAAATGCCATGGTTGAGTGTCAGAACATACATCAGGGTGCCGCCGGACTTGTTCGATGGTCTCCTCATCGAAGTGCCCGGCGTAGCCGACAAAGTCCTTGCCGATCTTGTAGGTGTGCTTCAGCCCGTGGAAAACATCGTCAACCAGCGGGATCTGACCGCGCTTCTTCAGATCCGCACGCTCCGTCTGGCGGTTCGTGTGGATGTCCTGGATCCAGGTGTGGTGGGCCGAAGCGGAACTGTCGTCCACGTGCTTCTTGAACTTGACAATGTACGAGTTGGGGACGGCCTCGGCGTTCGACGAGGAGAGAATGGGTGCGGCTTCGCCGTGGATGGTCTCAAAGCTGACCCGAGGGGCCGCCGCCGCGCAGGCCGCGAGGGAGAGAGCGACAAGGCCCTTCATGGTGAAATCGAGCAGGAAAAGAAAGACGAAGTCGATAAACCAGCGACCTCAGAAAAGAGAGAAATCTACCGAACAAACACTCTCCTACTGTTCTTCCTCCTGGGATTGATGGGCTTTGTGATGGGAAGTTGGTTGATGGAATGGGGGATAAGGGTAGAAGGGAAGAAGAGAGCGGGTTCGGAAGCTGGGGGAGCTGGCGCTGATAAAGAGGCGGCTGCGTCAGATGGTGCGGTTGCCTCAGGGAACCTCGCAGTGCATCACGCGATTGGGTCCTCCGCCTTTCACTAAACCGCATTGGGACAAAGTCGGGTCCCCTCGCCCCGGCTCCGCCTGGGGCGAGCGGCGTGTGGATCCCCAGCCTGGCGCGATAAGGACATCGGGTGACGCCGGCCTTCGCAGTTATCAATTCGGCCTTCCAGCTTCCCCGAATGCCTTGTCTCTCACGCTCACCATGTCCACCGGCGGCTTGAATGAGTCAACATATTCCCATTCCGGAAGACGGGGCAGGGAGACAGATACGGCAATGTTTTGTTGAAACCCTGACCCTTCCTTTGTCCCTGGGAGCTCCTCGTGGGCGCGAGACCTGCACGGCCCGGAAAGTGTTGGGGGGCGAGGCTGACATGGCGGTTGGCGTGCCTGGCCATCGGCTCCTAGCTTGCCCAGGATCAGCAGCTTGCCGATTGACGCATGGGGGGACAACGAAGTCGGCGGTCTGGCCTTGGTTTGCGCGACTCGAAGGCCCCGATTCGTCATACACTTCCTTTCGGATAATGAGGCAGCAAATCCCCAGATATGTCGAGCTTGTTTGTCTGGTTTTGATTGATTCGGATGCACCGCCCCTTGAGCCGCCTTCGAGCAACCTCAGAGCCTCCCGTCGCAGCGAGCTGTGGGCGTGGCCACGGCTCCCCTGCGTCACAGGTACTCAGATTGGCGTGATCCTGCCCACAGTCTGGAGGGGCGAGAACAACCCCGTTTCGGATTTGATACAGACCCGGAGGGTATCGGGGGGAACAGAGCAACATCATCAAATCTACATGCTTCAGTCATAGTTATCTGTAAGGGTGATGGAAATCAGCCAGCCAGTTCTTCCCAACATTGCCGGTGGAGCCGGTACATCTCCTGGATCCAGGAACCTTGATGGGGAGCCCCAAAGTCACGGTGTGTCGCTGCATCCTGTACCTGGCGTTGGCGGCGAGCGGACAAGGGGGGCAGGGGCTCCACCAACCGGGATAATGATCACGAGCACAATGTGTCGCATTCTCGGTGCATCTGACTCGAGCTGTTCCGAGATCCCTTCCTTTTTCCTAAAAGCATTGTGCAGATTTACGATTCCTCACGGCAGCTCCCGCAAAGTACCGGGCCACGAGACTCTACGCTACGTGTGCTGTGTCTTTGAACAAGATCAAGAAGCGCCTATGTTGGAGTTGTTGGTGTGCACACTAATCAGCCAACCTGATGACATCATACTGCTTCGGCCATGCACAGTTCGTCCTAAGTGTTATGGAGCATGTCTGAGAGTCGGACCCTACACCTAAAAGAGACACAAGAAACAAGCAGGTCACTATCGCATTTCTCTCCTTAGAGCAACAACTAGTGTAGTTGCTGTTTACCAACGGTTAGTCTTTTCCCGCTGTGTCACAGGGAATCTGGGAAGCAGCATGCGAGGGGCCGCACCGGGCCGCTTTCAAGTGGGTCAAGGATCGACATCGAGCAGTTGGGCAGAGCTTCCGTTTGTCCACACTACCTAGACTACGGATTCATCTTTGTTGTGGTTTGTTTGTTGTTGGATGCAGGCCGCTAATTATGGGACATTAGGTGGTGTAGAGGTTCAGATAAGCTTAGATAGGGATGGAGAGGACTGGGAAAGAGATGGTGTACAAGGGAGTTTTGAATGAAATGGAACACGAAGCTCTGGAGGAGCAGGGCTGAGATCATTGCTGGCCGAGGTCGGTGAGAAGCTAAATTAACTTGATGACAGGTGCCGGCTGCAAAAATACAGAACTTGACCTACCGCAGCTTGACATCACCAAGAATAAAGGGAAAGTGCCCGGTCCATGATATCAAAACCGAAGTCAGCTGTATTTCGTAGCGTTGAAAACAGCTCCCGGTATTCCATCAAAGCTAAGAACACAGCGTTCCATGTTGAGTAGACGAAGGTCCTTGTCCTGCTATTCGGGCCTCCGACTTCGGTTAACTCGAGGCACCTTCAGGCAAGGTTCAAGAAGTCGGCGGTGGGAGCTCAAGGCTGAGAAGTAGAAGGAAGCTGTGGACAAGTGACAAGGCTCGAGGCGAACCAGAGCCGTTCCGTGATTCCCGACTGATAACATCGGTGCAGCGGGAAGCATCGGGTCAGCATGGAGCCATGTTGAAAGCGCACTTGTAGGTGTACATATATCCACATGTACCCTAGTACTCGCCCGGTTTTAGATAACAAAATGATGGCTAATGCTACTTTTGATGTGTTTAGCAGGCCCCCAACCACGACTTCAAGGGCATGAGGCAAAGCATCAATACAATAATGTTCCTAGAAGAAAAAGTCCCAAACCGAGGAGACTCCATGGGGTCCGCTACTGAGACATGGGACAGATATTGAACCCGATTCAAATCAAACCACATCTTGTGCAAGCCAAGGGCTCTCGGAGGGTAAGTACGTCCAGATGGAAATGATCTGAAAGAAAAAGCTCCTGTTGCCAAAAATGGGTCTACAACCTTTCGAGGTACAAGAGTTCAAGCAATAGAAGCAAAACACCCTACTTGAAGGGTTGAAATAAAAGAATAGAGTGTTGGACTCAGCAAACTTAGGCCGTCGTTATTGTCTCCGTGAAGCGACATTTATGCCCTCCCTTGTCAATTTGTCACTAACGTTAAAAGGATGAGTTTCGATTTGGCACTGCCACAGTCCCATGTTCCAGCGCCCTCCCACAGCGCTGAAACTCCCCGCTAGGTGGAGCAGCCCTGCCCACACATCGTCTTTGGGCAGCCCCCGCATGGAACCAGCACCACAACTTCAAGCTGGTGGGTAACTATGGAAGCTTCCAATTGTGCAGACCACAGCTAAACATTGGACAGACTACAACTCTGCAAAGCACATCGCGTCGGCACAACGCGAGTCAACCACCGTGACGGAACAACACAAGCCACCTGGCATTGCCTGATTCGAACCTCTTCCCGCAACACACGCACCAACCAGCTCCATTATTGTACCTCGACGTCGATTTTGAAATCCCACTCCTCAAGCAAAAGGGCCCTGCAGTGGCAGCCTTGGAATGCTGGCGTAAGCCTCTTCTCGATTCGCGTCCAGCCGCGTTCCCGTCCATGACGCTGCATCGACCTTGCACACCTGGGCCCTTGATGGGTTCTAGGGATCCGACCCACGCCTGTCACCTTCCTGACCTCGAGCAACCGGCACCCCGACGCAATTGAGCGGCCCGAAGACCCCACCAGTTCAACATGCTGTCCGTACGATCCCGCCGATATCGAGCGTCGACCTCTGCCTCGACGCTACAAACCTCCAAAGCCGCGGAAATTCTCGAAGCACTCCTCCGACAGCTCTCGGTGACGACCCGATCATTTATAGACGGCTTGTACCCACAAACTGAAGCCTTGATAGAACAGATCCGCCACATTCACCAGCATGTCGCTGTTGCCCCTCCACCCTCCCCACCACAAGACGACTTCCGTCACCTTCGCGGGTTCCAAGCATTACTCGATGTCCTGCGGTCATTCTCAGGCTTTTACAACCCACAAAAACGTAGCGAGACAGAGAGGAGGGCAATATTCGACCTGATACACGTGGTGCTAGCCACACTTTCGGCGGTCTTCCGTGCCCATCCCGGTAACCGACGGTACTTCCGTGATCGAGTGGAGGGCGGTGGCTGGGAAGCCTTGGAACAGACCATAGCGAGCATTGGCGTGGGCGGCGGAGATTCTGATCTTTGGGCCAACTGCCAGCTGTTTGGGAAACTGCTCTCGTTCGCCCTCGACGACCAACGCCTTGATGAGCTGTGCTGCTCTGTGGCGCCTTGGGAGGACCCGAGCGACCTCCGTAATGAACCCGGCGGCGAATCTGATGGCACAGAGGGCCCCACTGGAAGAGACCGCGGAGACAAAGCTGGTGTTGTGCCGGCCCCGGAGGAGACCATCGAGAGGAAGCTCGCTGAGATCATTGGGCCGAGTACCGCCGTCCAAAATGCCGAAATCATACGGACGATCATCACCTTCTGGGAATCCATACCAAGAGGGCAGGATGTTGCCGTCAGCCCCGTGTCCGTCATAGTGCTTACGACGATGTTGAAGCTGGCGTCTGTCTCCCTCTTCAACCTTAGCGCTTTGCACAGATCCGGCATGCTGTCCAGGCTTTTGCGTCTCCTTTTCTCCCAACAACAGACCCTCGCCGAGCCGGAGAAGGCGAAGGTACTGGCCCTATGTAAGCTTCTGATGCATCTGGGCATTGAGCAGCTCGAAGATGCACAGTTTTTGTTGAACAGCCCAGAAGTTGCTGCCTCTGAATTTTGTCTCGAAATGACAGAAAAGCACGCCTCCCCACCTTTCATACAATTCGATCTCTCCTTACATGGCCACTCCTCAGTCGAGCTTCCTAATCTGGGGCGATCTTTTCCACCTCAGAGTGCCCCGGGTTATACCTTTGCCGGCTGGATCCGCATCGACGAGTTTGACCCAAAGTCCCATACGACGCTTTTCGGGGTCTTTGATTCGACTCAGACGTGCTTCCTCCTCGCCTATCTTGAAAAAGACACCAAGAACTTCATCCTCCAAACGTCTGTCACATCCTCGCGTCCTAGTGTGAGGTTCAAATCGATTACTTTCAAGGAGAACCAGTGGTATCACTTGGCCCTCGTCCACCGCCGGCCCAAGACCATGGTCGCCAGCAAAGCAAGTCTCTACGTAAACGGAGAGTTTGCCGAGCAGATCCGGGCCTCGTATCCCAACCCACCTCCACCTTCTAACGCGAGCACCGAGAGTTTTGTTTCCTTCTCCTCGAGTAGCGGCAAGACAAACCCCGTTCAGGGGTTCTTGGGCACCCCTCGCGGACTCGCTGCCCAGGTTGGCCCAGGGTTGGTGCGCTCAAAATGGTCTCTCGCTTCGGCCCATTTGTTTGAGGATGTGCTGAGCGATGACCTACTCGCGGTATACTACCGTTTGGGTGCCCGGTACCAAGGGAACTTCCAGGATTGTCTTGGAGGTTTCCAGACCTACGAAGCTTCGGCTGCGTTGGGGCTTCGGAACGAGGTGTTCCACCCAGGCAAGGACGAGAACTCGGATATTCTTAAGGCCATCCGGGACAAGGCCAGCACGATCGTGCCTGAACATAGGGTGTTGTTGAGCAACTTCCCGCGTGCCGTGTTCACCGCTGATGGAAAGTTTATGGAATCATTACTTTTCCGTTCGCTGTCCCGGAACGCGGCCAACAGCCTCTTCCATGCCACCGTCAAGAGTGGTACAGCAGTCGCGATCAACGGCGCCGTGCCTTGCGTCAACGACGCCCTGATCAAGATGAACGGAATCTCACTGCTTGCGGGTGACCCGGTCGTCGCCACACCGTACTATTTCGACGACAACCTTTGGAGGCTCGGAGGCTTCACGCCTGTCGCTCTTAAACTTGTCGAGCGATCGTCCACATCTGATGAACTGCTGAGGTCGGTTGAGCTCATGTTCCACTGCATAAGTAACAGCTGGAGAAATAGCGAGGCCATGGAAAGAGACAAAGGATACGCCGTACTCAGCATGCTACTCCGCGCAAAGCTGGGCTATGGCGTCCCCGGTTCGGATACCCAGTCCCAAACCTGGCGACTGCCGCTCACCAACGACGCGAGGGACCGCCTGAGCTTCCAGCTGCTTAGCCTCATTCTTCATTTTGTCGGATACCAGCATGCCGAGCCGATCGAGTCTTTTATCATTAACCCACTGGCCTATCGTGTCCTGCTTATCGATCCGGACACCTGGAGGCGGTCTTCTCCTCTGGCCCAAGAGCTCTACTACAAGCAGTTTGTGACTTTTGCCGTGAAGAGCAAGCACCATCAGTTCAACAGCCGCCGGTTGCTTCGGATGCGTAAGTCTAGCCCTCCACCTCCCACCCACCATCCCCGAATGTTGATGTTGCTTAATGTTGAGAGCATATGGTGAACTAATGTCCCGCAAATAGGCATCATCAAGAGGCTCCTGGATGCTTTGAAAGCCGAAACGATCTCCCAGGATATCTTGCCGCACTTCATGGCCTCCTTCGAAAGTCTTGTGAAATGCAATTACAATGCCGAAGTGCATCGCTCCATCGCCCTCTTCATCACCTACGCATTCCACACCCCACCGGGTTCCTTGCCGCGTACACCTAAGCCCGGGTCCACCAGCAGCCGTGCTGCTACCCCCGGCCTTGGCGTTTTCCGCCGGCCGACTACTGAACTGAGCCCTCTCTCGTCTGCAATGGGATCTAGAATGCTTAGCAAAAAGGAACTGGGCATCAAGATCCTACAGATGTACAGTGGGCTTCTCTGTGAAGAGGCCAACTTGGCCAACATCCGCAAGTTTGCCAAAACTGTCACGAACAAGGTGATACACGCATCCGGCCCAAAGAAGAGGACTCGAGAATACGTGCTGACTTCTCGGCAGTGGCTCCTCTACCTACTAGCCGAGAACGACCCCGAGATTGTGGTACTTGGCTCCAAGATTCTCGCACGGCTCCTCGTGACGCAGCCTTCGGGTTACACAGCTAAGTTTGCGAGCAAGACTGGTGGCTTCTGGATCATGGCGTACCGCTTGAGACAGTGGTGGGATATCTCCACGCTGTGGCCGATCCTCTTCAGCATCCTCTTTGGATATGACGTATCCCGTATTAACTTTGACAAGTCGTTTGACTTCTTTAGCCTCTTGGAGCTCTTTGGTAACAGCAAGGTTGTATTCCCAGACCTGCTCCCTGTTATTACCTCCATGCTCCAACATGGCCTCCGGGACGTTCTGCGGCATCAGGATGACCCCGACTCGCCTGACCGTGAACCTAGCCCGGAAACGAATCTCGGTGCCGTTCACACAAGGCCTCGGGCCCGGTCTATGGAGCTGGGCCAGGCGCTCGAACCGCGAAGTGAGTTAACTAGCATAGTCTCCTCTTCGCTTGACATTTCCACTAACACCTAGGAACCAACCAGAAACCCATGTGCCGGACAAGGAGAGAGTTGCGGCGAATGCGGCCGTGCTTCAGACCATTGTCCGCTTTTTGGCCGACATGCAGGCACGCTCCGCCAACTTTCGGGATTTTGCGCTGTCCTCGGACTACCTGCGACACCTTTTCGCTGCTCTGTACCCAGTCATCGTTAGTTCCGACCCGGTCACGGCCGAGACGGAGCTCAATTCAAAGGACACTCTCAACTTTGAGGGGGGCGATGTCATCATTAGGCCGGTACCCGGATCCTCGTCGACGGCCATTCCGATCATCAGGACGGCCGGCTCCGTCCCGGCAGATACTCAACCATATTCTCGCAGCCCCGGCCGAGGTACACCTCTTCGCCGGCCGTCGTCGTTCATCCTAGTCACCTCGCAGTCGCCGCCCACAGTCGCGCCCACTCCCACTCGCCTGAATCACGCCATATCGCCGAAGAAGAGATCATCCACTCGGAACACCAGTAATGCCGTGTTGGAGGGGGTGCTCGAGTTGATTGTCAACGTGTTTACGGATCAAGTCTTGGCGAGGAAAGAGTTCCACGGATTTGGCCTCCTCCTGAAAGTTCCCCCGGGTTTCCAAGAGCACAGGGCCTACTTTGAAACGTACATTCTGAGGAACGTGATCACCCAGTTGAAAAACACTGTCCAACTGGACCAAAAGGTCCTGACAGAGCCCAAGATTCTGCAGAACATGGCACGCCTGTGTCTTCACATGGCTGAGGCCGTTTTTGAAGGGTCGTTTATGAACGGAGCCGAGACCATGATCGAGTTTGCGGGGACCTTGTTGGAGTATTTGCAGCGGCCCGATGTCTCCTCACTGAAGAGCGTCCGGTTGTGCAGTTCCGCGGTAGCGACGATACGGTCGTCTTTTCTACGCTTCACCTTACTGCGGCTCTCTGATATGGACGACCCCGAAACCAAGGATTCCGAGGCGCTCACAACCATGGAGCAGCTGATTTACTGGCAGACCGTGCTGCTCGGCTGCCTGTCGACCGAGGATGAGTTCATGAAGCTGTTGTGGTATCAGCTCTACAACAAGCTCGTCAACCCAAGACGGGACATTCGCCTTGTGGCTGCCATGCTGTGGCGGATTATGCTTGTGCAGAAGCCCGAGGAGTCCTCAGCCATCTTCAGGCAGACTATGACGCCGGATCAGAAACCGTTAGCCAGGGGGTTTGAGAAGCTGACCGAGCTGGACGATGTCTCCTTCCTCGAATGGGTGGATCAGCATCGCTCATCGCTGGATGTTCTCTTTTTCGACGGCATGTCGAAGTCGTGGGAAGACTTTGTCGCGGTTGAGAACCAGCGCACGGCGGACTCTGCTCGCAGCAGAGCGAAGTCGCGCAAGGACAAGCTCCGTCAGTGGCACACAGAGTCACTGGAGAAGGACAACATCTTGCTCCGTCACGAGATGGCCAACAGCGCGTGGATGAAGAGCATCTATTTTACGGAGCACTTCAAGCACCAACGGCTTCTGCAAGATCTACAAGATGACAATGCTTTCCTGGCGTCAACCTATGCCAAGATGGAGCAAGACCTGTGTCGGCCCGGAGCGGTGTTCAGCGAGCCGCAGACGATCAAGTGGAAGTTAGATCGGACTGAGGGCAGGAACCGCATGCGTCTCCGTCTCCTACCGGTGTACCCGGCCCAACAACACCCGGAATTTCAGCCGAAGAACAGCAGCGGTCCGACTGGGAACTTGAAACCCACTACCACTGCTGGCAGCGAGGGATCCCGGCCAACGGGTCCCGCGCCCGCAACGGTCCGCCCTACCTCTGCTGGACCGGACGGCAATGTGGATGCTCCGGATATTTCTGCGGAAGCTGAGCCCGTCTCTGGAGCCGATTCACAGAGCGCGGTACCGGAGGACGACTTCGAACTGGTGGAGGACCCCAACGAGCCTGATGGTGACGACGCTTTCGAGGATAAGAACAGGAAAGTGATGCGCCGCCTGCAGCAGGGCGATGCGGTCCAGAACGTCTTCAACATCTCACGAATCATTGGGCTTGACGCTCCTGAGGGTATCCTGATCATCGGAAAGAATGCTTTGTACATCATGGACAACCTGTTCCAAAGCGCGGACGGCGAAATTGTCAACGTCTGGCAGGCTCCGCCAGAAGAGCGGGATCCGTTTTCTATCATAATCACGGGGGGCAAGCCGGGAGAGCGGCCACAGGGTCAAAGTCGCATCGATCAAGAGTCGCGCAGTTGGAAGTGGCAGGACGTTCTCAGTATTTCAAAGCGGCGTTTTCTGTTCCGTGACGTGGCGATCGAGATCTTCTTTACGGATGGCCGGAGCTACCTCCTAGCCGCGATCAACCCGGCCATGCGGGACGAAATCTATTCGAGGCTGACAACCATGACGCCACACACCAGCAACCCGAGCCTACTCACCAGTCCAGAAGACATTTGGCGGCTCGAGAGTCTCCGGTTTACCGAGGAAGCACCCCAGACGCTGGGGGCCAAGTTTGGCAGCATCTTCAACTCCTCGGCCTGGAACCCCATGATGCGGCGGTGGCAGAGGGGCGAGATCTCCAACTTCCATTACCTCATGTTGGTGAACACGATGGCCGGCAGGACGTTCAACGATCTGACCCAGTACCCCGTTTTTCCCTGGGTGCTGGCGGATTACACAAGTGAGGAGCTCGATCTCAACAACCCGGCCACATTCCGGGACCTGTCCAAACCAATGGGTGCGCAGTCGCCGAGCCGCGCGGCCGACTTCGCGGAGCGCTACAAGAGTCTGGCTGAGATTGGCGAGACGCCGTTCCACTACGGGACTCATTACTCCTCTGCCATGATTGTCTCATCCTACCTCATCCGGCTTCCACCGTTTGTGCAGTCCTACATCCTCTTACAGGGAGGCACATTTGACCACCCAGACCGGTTGTTCTTCTCCATTAAAGGTGCTTGGACCTCGGCGTCTCGTGAGAATGGCACCGATGTGCGCGAGTTGACGCCGGAGTTCTTCTACCTCCCCGATTTCCTCACAAACATCAACGGCTACAATTTCGGCGTCCGACAGGGGGGCAACGGACCGATCGATAACGTCGTTCTGCCACCGTGGGCCAAGGGCGACCCCAAGGTCTTTATCGCCAAGCACCGCGAGGCGTTGGAGAGCCCGTATGTGAGCCAACGGCTGCACCAATGGATCGATCTGGTGTTTGGGTTCAAACAGCGCGGCGAGGTGGCCGTCGACAATCTGAACGTGTTCCATCCCCTATCGTACAAGGGCGCCAGAGACCTGGATAACATCACGGATCCGCAGGAACGGGCTATCACCACGGGGATCATTCACAACTTTGGGCAGACGCCGCATCAGATCTTTACCAAGCCACATCCTGCGAGAGAGTATGATCATTGCCCGATTAAGAGGCTGGATACGTCAATTGCGGCGCTTACGAGGGTGTCGTATCCGTTACTTGGTAGGTTTAATTAACATTGTACCGAGATGGTGTGGGTGCGATGGAGAATTCACTGACAACTTGCAGAGAGTCGAGAGCGCGTAGCCTCGTTGATCTATGTGCCCAAGCTGGATCGTCTGTTATGTGCATCACCTTTCCGGCTTAACCTTCCACCGACTTATGACAAGTTCCTAGAATGGGGCTACACGGACAACAGCGTGAGGTTCTTCTTGAGCGACAATCGAAAGGTGAGATAAAACTTTTCCCCTGTGTTTTGTTTCAGCACTCAAGCTAATTCATTGTATCAATCACAGCCCGCGGGCCTTTTTGAGAACCTGCACATTGGCCAAATATCTACCTTGACCTTTGCGGACTCCAAAACCCTGATTACCGCTGGCGAAGACTGTGTTGTGTCAGTCTACACAATCCAGTCGTTGCCCAACAAGCCACTCGTCGATCTGCAGCTGCGCTCCTCGCTGTTCGGACACAAAACACCCGTCACGCATATCGTCGTCTCCAAAGCCTTTAGCACAGTACTCACCGTCTCGCAAGACGGCATCGCTTTTCTCTGGGACCTGAACAGCCTGGAGTTCATCCGCAAGCTGCCGCTCGCACGTCCTGTCGAATGTGCCAAGATTAACGATGTGACGGGGGATGTGATGTTATGCTCGGGGCAGAATGTGCTGCTGTACACGCTCAACGGCGAGCTGATCCTGGATCAGAACGTGTGTGCGAATCACGGCCGCCGTAGTCACGGCCACGACACTTACCGTGACGAGCACGAGCACGAGGACGATCACAATGATGACGATGACCATCACGAACATCATGACGAAGCAACCACAGCAGCGATCGCCGCCGAGGACTTTGTGCACGCATGCGCCTTCTACGAGGGATCACAGCAGGGCGCGGGCAACGAGTGGCTCGAGAATCAGCTCGTGTTCACCGGCCACCGGCGCGGGGTGGTGAACGTGTGGCGCAAGACGGTGGGACAACGCAGCGGACGGTGGGTGCTAGAGTTTGTGCGGCGGCTGGACCATGTCAACATGAAGAGTGAGACGGGAGCCAATGTCGAGGCGGCCATTACTTGTATTGCGCCGCTGGCTGGGCTGGTGTATACGGGAGATGATGATGGGCGAGTGGTAAGTTTCTCGTTTTTTCTTACACTTTGCTGTTGAGGATGATGTGTGAGATTGTGGGGCTAACTGATGAACTTAGTGGGAGTGGAACTTGGTTCAGCGGGAGAGGTGAATACAGGAAACAAAGGGTTACAGGTGCTAAAAGGGAGCTACCCTTGGAGAAGGTTTGTCGGCCCGCAAACAAAAGTCGCGGGGTGCTTCTCTTACCCCGAGTTGTGAGGTTACATGGTAAACAGAGCGAAGGCCGTAGCCATAGGGCGTTTGGTTTGGGAAGAACTGGTGAGGCTGGCCTGCATCTGGATGTCGTTTAGCGGGGCATCACTAAGTAAAATGAATATTTTTGTCCTTTTATTCGTCATGCTCCTACGAGCAACTGCTTGAGATCTCCTACCGCTCGATCTGCTGCTCGCTTACCCGCCCGCCTAGCCGCAACGCCAATATGTACAGGTGATATCATAGGCCCCTGCCCAGTGCTGGCCGCTTCGTCCCCCTCCCAGCCTAACAGATCACCGAGTCGAAGCCGTTTTATTCTTAAGCATCCTCGATCCCTCTACTTCATTCCGTCTCGTCGCCGTACCCCGTTAGGTTCTTTCTCGGTGTTGTGGGAACTGTAGGATCCCGCGGTTAGTTAGGATCATCACAAATACCGTCCGAGTCCCCAGAACCCCCATCCATTCGCCACTCGACGATATCATTATCCCATGATAGGTGTTCTCAACACTCCGCCTCCCAACCATCACAACTTCTCCCACCATCTACCCCTCCTCTTCCCTCTCCCCAAAAGAAAACAAGACAAAAAAAGAATATCACAACGCACCAGGATAAGTCAACGGAATTGGCGGGGCATCCTCATCGCCCACCAAGCGGCGGATAGGCGGCACTGTGAATAGCGAGACGGGACCCAGCGCGCCGATAACGATGGACCAAAAGATTGCCGGGCGCTCGCGTGCGGCCCAGCGGCAGTATCGGATGGGCGTTGCCCAGAAGCGGGGGCCTGCTGCGCCGGCGACCATTGTGTTTGTGTGCGAGGTTTGTGGTGTGGGTGTGTGGGTGTCGTTGGGTAGGCTTCTGTTAGTGGTTGAGGAGTTAGAACTGGGACGGGGGGTTGTTGTTGTGAGTAGGCTTGGGGGAGGAGGGGTTGTTGATAAACTTCGGGATTAATTATGTCGGGGGTGGAGGAGAGGGAGGAAACTGGGCGGTTCGTACTAGTTGGTCTAGGTGATTGCACAATTTGCTGCGCAACCTTGCGGTGCAGGAAGGTTGTCACGCCGGACTTGGTGTGTTATTCTCGTCGTCCGTCGCCGTTGAAGGCAAGCTTGGTCAATTGAAGCTTGGCGAGGCAGTTCAAAGTCCCGGCCAAACTGCGGTTAATTTAGCACTGAAGCTGTTGAGCACAAGCCACCCGTCGCGAAAGCAGCAGGGGTTTGCCCACAAGTCAAGTGGGTCCGCTCGTGAGCTGCGACCCCCTGGCTTGTTCTTGGCAAGGCTACGTATGCCGAATCCAATGCATCGCGCTGCAACTGACTTGGAAGCTGTCGCGGGACGAGGAAAGCTTTCCGTAAACTCGACAACCTTGAGTTTGCGCCCCTCGATTCCAATTGCTCTCACGCACGAAGCGGCTGTATAGGAGTGGAAGCAGGCCCATTCTCTATTCTCTGCCCATCATGCGGTCGCTCATTTCGTTCTTCGTCTTTCTGTTTGCCGCGGTGGTGTCGGCTGTCAGCACCTCGGGGGGCAGGTTACTGGCCATTCTAGACGATCTTGCGGAGAAGGAGAAGTATACCAAGTTCTTGGGGGATCTAGAGAGTATGTCATTGCTATCAAGACTTGGGCAGCGTTCTAGGATGTTCCAACTAACAATTGGCAGGTAGAGGATTTCAGATCGAATTCGAGACACCCAAGAGCGAGTCGTTAGCATTGTTCCACCTCGGCGAGCGGAGTTATGACCATATTATCTTCTTTCCGACCAAGGGGAAAGGTAATGTGCTTCCTCAACGTGCTCAATGGCATTTTGGCTGACTCTTGTTAGGCCTCGGCCCCAACCTGACCCCCAACATCCTCATTGATTTCATGAACGCCAACGGCAACGTCCTCGTGACACTTAGCTCCGGCATTTCGACGCCGAGCTCGCTTGTCTCCCTGCTCGCCGAGCTCGATATCCAACTCCCCGCCGAGCGTACTGGTCTGGTCGTGGACCACTTTAACTACGATGCCTCGAGCGCCGCCGACAAGCACGACGTGCTCCTCCTCCCGCGCCCAAGCCCTGTCCGGCCCGATGTGAAGGACTTCTTTGGCGCCGGTGCCAGTGATGGCGATGTTCTCGCGTTCCCCCGCGGCGTAGGTGCTGCTCTTGGCACTAGCGAGCTTCTCACTCCGATCGTCCGTGCCCCCCGTACCGCCTACAGCTACAACCCCAAGGAGCAGGCCGAAGTAGTGGACGAGCTTTTCGCCGCCGGTGAGCAGCTATCGCTGGTCTCTGCCTTCCAGGCGCGCAACTCGGCGCGCTTTACGTTGGTTGGGTCTGCTGAGCTGCTACAAGACAAGTGGTTTGACGCCGAGGTCACGCCCGCAGGTGGCAAGAAGACTGCCAAGACCCTCAACCGGGAGTTTGCGAAGCGTGTGAGCGGGTGGGCTTTCAATGAGATTGGTGTGCTACGGGTCAACTGGATCGAGCATCACCTTGATGAGGCGGGTGCGGCCAACGTGTCGAACCCCAATATCTACCGCATCAAGAACGACGTGGTAAGTTTCCGCCCAGTCGAACTTTTCCTTTCTGCACAACACACTAACCACTGATACACCGTAGAAATACACCATCTCCCTATCCGAATACACTTGGGACACCTGGGTCCCCTTTACCGTCCCGGCCAACGATGCCCTCCAACTCGAATTCTCGATGCTCTCGCCCTTCCACCGCCTCCCGCTCGCCGCCGACTCTACTCACAGCTCAGACTCGGCCGCGGCCTACAGCGCAACATTCAAGCTGCCCGATCAACACGGCATCTTCAACTTCAAGGTCAACTACAAGCGGCCTTTCCTGTCTAACGTCGAGGAGAAGAACACGGTGTCGGTGCGCCACATGGCCCATGACGAATGGCCGCGGAGTTTTGTCATCACCGGTGCCTGGCCGTGGATCGCTGGTGTGGGTGTGACAGTGGGCGGGTGGTTGGCATTCTGCGCATTGTGGATGTACAGCGCGCCCCCGGCGAAGAGGGAGACCAAGAAGACGCAGTAAGAGGGAGATTTTCAAGGAACTGGGTGGGAGGTGTGTATGTGTCCACAGGCCATAGACGGATTTAGTGGTTATGCTCTTTTCATTTGATGTGGTTCGTTCTGTATACAAGATACAATGTACCGGACGGCAGGCGTAAAATCTGGGTTCCCTAAAAGAAAAGGCTACAAATGAACAAACAAACGGCTAGAAGTGATTGGATACTTGTGAGAGTAGCAAAGCGGTTGAACCACCAACTTCCAGGGTTCTCTAGCCATCCTATTAGTCTCCCAGGTCAGAATTGTAGTGTAGTCATCCTTCCCCCTTCTACTTCCTCCCGCCACAATCAAGGGAAAGACAGAAAAGGGGAAAAGAAAAGGGGCAGAAACCACAACAGAAGCGAAGACCCTCAGATTAGCTCTCTTCTGTTCCCACTGACAACCTAAAACGGGCAAGCTTACGGCTATGCGTAATGGCCAGGTCCCGAGGCTGCCTGCAAATTTGGCTTTTTGGACCTTCCGTCATCACCGGGCACCGCTCTGTTGTGGTTGTAGCTTTAGTCCTCTAGGCCCCTCGGAGCTAGAGAACCGCAACTTGGAAGAAGGTGTGAGAAAATAGAAAAAGCATCGAAAACCTGCCAGACCGCAGTATTTCCCGCTCTCCCGCTCCTTTTTCCCAAGACGAAACGAAAAATAACCCCAACTTCCCCCCAGCCTCCTCCGGCCCGACACTTGTCACCAATCCCAAAGCGGCCCAGAGGAGCCAAGGTCAACTCTTCGTTCATCCATCAACCAGGCCTTCACCACCCCCCCTCTGCATCCTTTTCAGGCTTCCTCTTCCCCACTGCTCCGATTGAAAACTACTTGTTTGCAAGTCATCGATGCTGCACTGTCGCGCGCACTCATACACCCGGGTTTCCCTCCTCCAACAATGAAGGATGGGGGGGACCCCACGGAGAAGTGACGCACCGGCGCACCTCCTTGAGTTTGCTTTGGGTTTGTCGTCATGGCAGCTTGCTTGGGGTGAGGAAGGTGTGTGAAAAGAGGGTAGTGTGTGTAAAGATAGTAGTAAAAACCGAATGAATGGAGGAGGCACTTGGTATGGACTTCAGCCCGGGGCCTAGGGGAAGTCAGGGATAGGAGAGAAGCCAATCCATAGCCTGTGAGAAAGATGAACTGGCAAGTTTCTGACGCTATTTCCGGGGGTTGGTTCGGAGTACAATAAGTACTTCCGTTCCGTATATCGATCGGTTGGTTATATGTGGTTTTGTCCTGCTCAGATATCCATTCTTAGCGCTCGCAACCTCGCCCACGTCAAATGATGACGGGATGAGTCGAGGATTCGCGGAAGGTTTTCGTCACTGCAGACTTTGTCGTCGAATCCAGTGAATGTAGAAGAATAGCAGAAAGGGAAAGGAAGGCCAATATCGCTTGATACTGGATCTCGCATTAGATTTGAGGTCGAAAATGAAACCAATCAATGTTGGCTAAAGGTCGCGTGTGTTGAACTGCGGAACCGGAAATCAATCGACGTTCTCGTGCCAAGTGTGCTCAAGATCGTAACAAGTATAAGGGCTCTTGTCTATCGTGAAACGACGAGCGAAGGTTTGAGCGTGGTTGAAATGCTCTGGTGGCGACGTCGTTTCCAAAGCTTGGATGTTACTAGAAAGTTGGTGGGGGTGAGGAGGAAACGCGCTGCAGCATGGAAGAAGTCGCGTTTTTGGTGCCGGCGACCCGCCAAGCCCACGTTAAAGCTAGAGCCACAGCGCCACACCTGCTGTGGCCGCAGCGCCTCCGTCCCCTGCCAACGTCCTCCAAGGCTGGAAATTTCCAGATCAGGCCGTCCTTCAACATCGCCAGACTCGGTCCCCGCGATTCTCCTAGCTTGAGCTTCTTGCGCTCCACGGAAAGCTAAGCCGACGGCATATCTAGCTGGGTTCAGTGAATTGTAACAATCCTTCAAAATGGTATACTCACGACCTCCCCTCGTAATTCCTTAAACAGCAACCGCTTCCGCCCAGGAACTAACCAAACCCTCTCTCCATCCAGGCGCGCAACTCCGAAAAAGCCCAGTCCATGCTCTTCCGCTTCCGCGAAGCGCAAGCAGCAGACCTGGGCATCATCGACGCGGGGCGATCCCGACGACCGCGCGGCATCACCGAGCAGGACAGCATCCCGGCATGTGAGAAGTGGCGCGGGCAGGTTCTCAAGGAGATCTCGCGCAAGGTGTCACGCATCCAGGACCCGGCGCTGTCCGACTACCAGATCCGCGACATCAACGACGAGATCAACAAGTTGATGCGCGAGAAACACATGTGGGAAGTGCAGATACGAAATCTCGGCGGGCCGAATTACACGCGCAGCGGCGGGAAGGTGTATGACGAGGCCGGCAGGGAGATACAAGGGGGTGGGAAGGGGTATCGATATTTTGGCCGGGCGAGGGAGTTGCCGGGGGTCAAGGAGTTGTTTGAGGCCGCGGCGAAAGCGAAGAAGGAGGACGAGAAGCCACTGGAAGAGAGGATGGATTTGAGGCGGCAGGTGAATGCGGCGTACTATGGCTACGCACCAGGGGAAGAGGATAAGGAGCTGTTGGAATACGAGTGGGAAAGAGAGAAGATGGCCTTTAAGGGGTTGGCTAAGGCCGGGCCCGCCGAAACACCGCCTGGGTGGGAGCCATTGCCAGGGGATATAGGAGATGGGCGAGCGTGGGAGCTGCCGACGCTAGATGAGGTTCAGCAGGAGCTTATTGAGCGGCGGCGGCGAAAGCTGTTGGATCAGTTGTAGAGATTGTGGATAGACGATGGGCCGATGGTGTTGTCTAGCATTTTCACGGATGGATGGGCTGGCGTTCATGGCGCAATGGGAGTATTTCGGCAGCCAGATATGATGAATCGACCTTTACTTAAGTCGATCTGGTATTTCGGTTCACAATGTTGTTCTTAGTATAAGTCATACAATTTAACCGCTATATCGGCCTGCCATTAAAATTCCATCATATATCCGCTAATGCGCATCCAAAATGTAAACATGCTCCCTATATGCAACATTATCAACGCCAACATCCCCCCAAACAAATCTCAATACCCATCTCAAAGTAATACAAAGATACCCGACAGAAACCTAGCAGGTCTTCGGCCAGTTCTCCTCAATCCACCCCGCCATCAGCTCCGTAAACGTCCCTTCAACATACAACTTCACATCCCCTTCGGTATAGTCACCACCCCCAGCAAACTTGAGCGCGACCAACACCAACGGCGTAATGAAGTCGAGGAACACGAGATCCACCTTCTCGGGGAAATCACCCCCTTGGTTCTCCTTGCCTTCCACCGCCGGAGGCAACCCGACCTCGGCTTGCACGCAGTTGGGAACGACGTAAAAGTTGACTGGCTGGTGCACGGTGTCGTCCCCGTCACGTCCAATGTCGTCGTGTGTGGTGTAGCCTTCAGTCAGACGAGGCCGCTGGCCGGTGGGCTTAGCACCATCATCGCCGAGAGGTTTTTGTTGGAAATCGGTATCTAGAAGAGGCCCACCGTTCGCAGCGTTGGATACAGGCAGTTCGTGGATGACTGATTCGTGAATGACGAGCTGCTCAGGGTTTGCCATGAACCGGGGGTCTCGTGGGAAGGAAGGGCCCGAGCCCGATTCGGAGCCCGACTCGGCCACGATCTTGCCGGCATTGTTGAGGAGCCCAATGACTTTGCGGGCCACCGCGTAGGGCACGTCGGGGATGTACACCATCTTGCTTAGGAACGGGGACACGATAAAGGTAGCATCGCGGGTGAACGGGCCCTGGAAGATGTCAAAACGGATGGCACCGGTATTGAAGATGACCAGACGCGGGACGTCGGCGCGGGCCGGGTTGACGGCGATGTCCGGAAGGACGTCCTTCTCGAGCCAGGTGAAGATGCTATCGTCGCCTGGATACGGGGCACGGGACAGCCAGAAGGTTTGGGGGGCACAGCCGAAGGCGTAGTCGAGGTCCAGGGCGCTGCGGGCGCTGGTAATCATCGCCGACACGTTGCGGCCGTGTTCTGTGGGGAAGGTGTTGGCATCGAGGCCGGTGTGGTAGTGCAGGCCGAGCAGGTTGTTGTCGATGTAGCGGCGGGTGAAGGAAAAGTTGGTGTCTGTGGAGAGGGCCTTCCGCTCGAGTTCCCCGTCGATCGACATCCAGCCGATGGTCTCAAAGTACCGCCCGCTGGCAACGGCGAAGGACCGCGCGTCGTAGGTTGTGGCGTCGCGGATATGGACGTGGCCACCGAAGAACAGGATCGGGGTGAGAGGGTTAGCCTTGCGAATGGCCCGGAAGATGATCTTAAACTCGAGCATCTGCACCCCGACGTGGCCGATCACGACAAACACATCCGTCTCTTCCCGGATGGCCGTCTGGAACCACGGCTCTCTCACGGTTTCCCGGACGGGTTGGACCACAGTGTTGTTGGCATTGCCGGTGAAGTCAAAGAGAAAGCCGAACGCTACAACGTCCAACTTCTGGTTCTTGGTCTGGAACTTGCGGTACCGCTGGGCCAGCGGCGTCTTCTCGCCAGATTCGGGATCGATATAATCCAGGTTGGAGGCTATGTAATTCTCCTTGAAATTGGGCACGGTGTAGCGGTGCTCTCCGTCCGCGGTGGAAGCGATGTACAACTCATGATTGCCGCTGCAGATGATGTCGACGTCCTGTTGGCGGTAGATGTCGTAGTAGTACTCGCCCTTGGGGCTGGAAGCATCGTAGAGGCCGTTGCCCTCGACACGGTCGCCCGTGTCGACAAGCAGCAGATCGACACCATCACGGTCCGCCTTCTCGCGCATGTGATGGGCGAACGACACATAATCCCCCCAGTCGGCCGAGTATTGCGGCTCCTGCAGATGCCCTGCGTGCCAGCCGTGTGTGTCTATCCATCGTCAGCTGCTTTCTTTTCTGTTTTCATCCTTTTACTTCGTTCTCTTCTCCTTGCCTATCCCATCCATCTCTCAGTATTTTGCCAAGGATAGAGAAACCGTCTGAATTAACTCAGTTCCTCCTTACCTGTTGTGTGCAAAAAGTTGAGGCGGCCCCAAACCAGGTCACGCATTGGCGCAGGGACTGGTTCCGCAGCGCCCGGTTGCGCTGCAGCGGCCGTCCGAGCGAGCGCCGCAAATGCGCTGCCAATGACAGCTGCTTTCAACCCCATCTCGTCCGAATCTGGAGATTTGACAACTTAGGCCATAAAAGTCGAAGCCGATGTCAAATATCTCGGAAGCGCAACTCCAATAACAATGGTTGAACAGATGAAATAGGCGATGAGACCTGCCTCAGCCATGAAGGTTCTCAGCCAGCCCCCGGCGTGTTGGGGACCGACTGCGCCGTTCCACGAAACCGCGGCGACAGGGATAGATCATGTCCATTTTGGGTATCCCTGTCGAGCGCACCAGCTCCTTTTAACGTTAACTCTGAAGACCTCTGGTATCAATTGTCAATATTTGTGTCCTTGGGTGATGTGTATCCCCCAATCTCTCTTCCCAGTTGCTTATGACGTGGCATTCCGTTTACATGCGTAACAAAATGGGAGAATCGAGGTTGAACTTTAGCAAGATGAGGCTTGTGAGCACTGTTCACCGCTCCGCAACACCCATCAAGGTAAGCTCAACGGACTCGGCAAGGGGAAGCGATGGGAGTGAAATGTGGTGTTTTATTTATTTATTTTGTTACGTCACCCTCCATATTTTATCTTCGGCTCGACTATTTCCCTCGAAAACATCCTTCCCTCATCACCCTCAGTTCTGAACCCTCCGGGTTGATCCAGTACTTCCTCAGGGCTTCCAAGGCCTTCACGGCCGACCCCTCCTCAACCAACCCAACATCCTCGAAATCCCGAATAACGACAGACAACCAAAATCGGCAACCCTCCCACTCCGGTGAGAACGTAAACCGGTCCCGTCCCTTTTCGCTGATGATATGAACAACGTCGGCGATAGTAACGTCTCTCAAAGGCTTGTAAGTAAAGGCGTGAAGCGTCTCGTTTGTGTAAGGCTCGTTAGGAAGAGATGTCGTTTCGATTTTTCCGCGTAACCCATCCGTGCCGTATCCCGGGACCATGTCGAGCATAACACTGGACGTAGCCGAATTCTGGAGGCACAGGACCCAGTGGTTTGTAGGTGGCTCTCCAGCCTCGTTGCCTTCGTTCAGATCATTGCAGAGGGCACAGAGGTGAATGAGTTCGATCGAGGCATCCAGGTCATCGGTCTTGAGATTGTCGAGATCCCAATTATTCTCTTCCCGGAGTCGCTCAACGATATTAGATTGTAACGCCGATATGGCGAGTTAGGTAAGGGAGTGGAATGCTTCAAATTCAGGCGTGTCCAACCCGTACGGCGAAGGGAGTGGAGACATCTTTTGTGGACTCGAGTGATATCGCAACGTTTCGATCGTCGAACTCTAGTTAACGTCACGAAGAGCAAGGTAAAAGACTCCAGAACAGAATGAAACGCCAGGAAAAAGAACCTTGATTGATTGAAACAAAATTTCGATCAATGGGTAGCCCCTCCATACTTTATATCGTTCATTCCCCCACGCTCTGCTGGCTGTTGGTTGGCACTATATCTTGCGTGCGGTTTAGCGCGCGCTTCGCGCCTCTCGATGGCCCCTTTCCTCCTCTGCTTGAAACACGACATGCTCGGCAGTACATGAAATCAAATTCAGGCGGATAATTCGTAAACGGGGCTAAGAAAGAGTCAAAGGAATAAAAATAAAAAAGAAAGGAAAAGGGACAAAAGAGAAGAAAAAACAAAAAAACTTCAAGACGAGACCAGAACAAATAAACTCACCTCCCACGCTCCCACCTTGCTACCTTGGGCGTCCCACAGTACAAACCCTAAACCTCGCTGCGAAGCAAGGCAACACCCCGGATATCTGACCGTTCGAAACCACCAACAATCTTTGACGCCTCTCTCCGAAAGATGGAACCCCAAGGAGAGGATTTGATCATGTAATTATCGGACACAGACCTGGTCGAACACATTCATAACCTCCGTGTGGCTCGGAGACTTCGTGAGGGTCGGGGAGATAGCCCAAGCTCATCGCGATATCCGATTCCACTCTCAGCAAATCCTACCGAGAAGAAAACGTGGCAGATGCCAAATTAGCATTGCTGCAAGCCGCAGCTCTCGGCATCCCCGTCCCAATCATCAAAAAGGTCATCCCTTGCGAGACAGGGTTTGAGCTCATCCAAACAAGGATTCATGGCCAAGATCTCATGGACGTCTGGCCTAGCATCGGGCTGTTCCAAACTATCCATATCGCCTTGCAGCTTCGATGGATAGTTCGGCGCATGCGAAGCGTGACTCGGTCGACAGCTGGGTCGCTTGGAACAGGGATTTGCCGTTCATTTTTCCTCGACAACGACGCCTACGGCATCCCCAACCACGCTTCGCCGACTATGACATCCTATATCGTGAATTTCTGGCACAACCACAAGTCTTTCCGCAAAGAAGCCAGCAAGACAGCGGAGGAACATAGAGAGTCCTGCCCAGAGCCGACAACGCCTGAAGAACTGGCCTTCACCCATCACGACCTCGTGCCTCGCAACATCATGATCGAGAATAAGACAGAGAAGCTGTGGGTGGTGGACTGGGACTTTGCGGGATTCTACCCGCCGTGCTTTGAACATGCCGCGATGCACAACTTCATTCTTCCGCCCGAGTGGCCCTGGTTCGCCCGTTGGAGGTGGAGAGTGGTGGTGTGGATCACGACGGGCTTACACAGGGGGAAGCTCGCCATGTTGGAGCGGATGCGCTCCAGGTCGATTCGGTTTCCTGCCTCTCGGCGCTTTAACATCAAGGCGGGCGCTACAGAATGCACCAAGGAGGTGAAAAATTAACCCAGTGACTGGTTGGGGGCCGGCGTATCGCTGAGTCACCCCCCGGGATACTCCGTAGTCGGTTGCGACTTATGTTTCATAGTGCTGTTGGTTGGAATCCCTGAAGCTCCGGTGGACCACGGCCTACTGCGCTGAGCGTGCGAGCTATCTGACGTAAGGAGGGTACGGCAACAAATACCGAATGGCCTATGGGTAAGGGCGGGTGAAGGGCATGGCTCGTTATAGACCTACGAATATCATGATATATTGACCGTGCCTGCAATTGTTCGTGAAATGTGATATCGAAGATGGGTCCGGGAAAATCCTCAACAAATAGTCCCGGAGCGGAAGGCCCGGCCAGCGGCGGATGCGGGACGGCGCCGAGGTTGCTGTGGAGAAGCTTCCCGCAGCAAACCAAGAGCTGCAGACCGGTGGTACCAATGCGTCTGCACTCGTACCTTGCGTCATTATCGCAGGCAGGCTCGAGGCGGGTTCCACCCCACCTGCACCTTCCAAAATAATGAGGAAAAGAGAGGAGAGACGGAGACACTTGCCTACCTACACTACTTACCTACTCGGACCTGTTATCTTCCCGAATTCCCGTTGTCTCGGCGGATTTAGGATTCATGGTCCGGTTTGTAGGTCTCCGTCTTTACCGAAGCAAATCACCATGCGCGAAGCTACAGAGGTCCAGTGGGACAGATAAGCAACCAAGATCAGCATTAGGTAACCTCTTCTACCTCCTAACCTAGCTCACTGAGGGAATTGTCTCAACCGAGGAATCACGACAACTTGGACAGGCTGTCATGCGGATCCGACCGAGGAGCCATCCTCAGCCAGTCTGGCTGCAGGCCCTCGGCCCATCTGCAGCAAGCCAACCCGTCCACGTATGAGTGGCGCCAAACCCCGCATCGCGGGGTGGGAGGTGTGGGAGGATGGAGTGGTAGAGCCGAGGGCGAAGTCAAAAAGAAGCCACAGTAAAGTCGCACGCACATCCACGAGAGCCACCCCAATCGGTCTTGGGCAGCCAGTGAGAGACGGCGCCATGATGGCTCTGCAGCTCTGCAGCAGACTTCTTTGCTTCTGGCTGCGCCGAGCCCTCCATGCTCTGAGAGTTCCCCCACCCCTTGCAGGATATGCTGTCCCGTCGATTCAGCCCTGCACTCCTCACGTGTGCCTTTCTCTTCCGAGTATCTTCACACGAGAGCAACTTTCTCTGTCGGAAACGGGTGCAAGTCTGATTGAACAACGTGTAAAACGTAGTAGGATCACGGAACTCGCCGGGTTTTCCTTCGGTCTGATATCTTGAACTCACGTTTAACGTTACTGGTGGCTTCGTCCGACCTCGTCGTGACCTAGACCTGCCTGAGCTCCCAGCTTGCGGTCTGCACGTGTAGCTTCCACGTCGCCTCCCTGAGCTGCTCTTTTCATTACAGCACTTCTTGCCGATCTTTGGTTCTTGCCTCCCGGAATACCTTTCGAACACTATCATATCCACGTTCACGATGGCTGCAACTATGGTTGACGACATACCGCGCTTCGGCCGTTCGGCGGTCGACTCCCTTGGCCCGGAGGACTTCGAGACTGCCTCGCTACGCTCCGTTCGCTCTATTCGCTCAGCAGCGCCCTCATATAGTAAGGAGCCCGATGAGTTTGGAAGCCCGCTTTCAAGGCTTCATTAGACCCCGCCACGGAATATGCTTGCTTGCTTCACCATTGTCTCCTTTTGGATCACAAAGCTAAACAGACATCCTTGAAGCTTCCGACGCCCCCTCCTACCACTCCACCAACCCGCACCCAGACCCCCTCCCAGCTTACTCTCCGCCGGCCCGCTCCACGTCCACGCCGACGCTGGGCAATGCATCTTCTTCCGCATCCACTTCCACAACCACACAACAACAGCAACAACAACGCCCACCGCCCCAACCACGCAACGGAAGCGTCTCCTCCCTCCTCGATCCCTTCGACCCCCCTTACGAACCAGGCACCACCCCACGCCGCTATGGCCTTCCACCCATTCCCTCCGCACCCCCGCGGCACCAAACCGGCCTGCCTTCCGTCTCCCAGTTCCGCAGCCCATCCTGGTCTGCCTCGGCCACCATCGCAGCCGGCGGAGGAAGTGGTAGCAGCGGACTTAGCGGCAGCTTAGTCGGGAGCGCCGTTAGCAGTGGCGGAGGTGGTAGTGTTGGCGGTGGTGGGATGGGTGCAAACCCGACAGCGAGGTTGTATCAGAACGTGGCGCTGCGCCGAGCGCGAGCTGCCAGCGGAGCTGCGGGTGGTGGGGGATACGGGAGTAGCCCTTATGGGGGCGGGAGCTTGGCGTCGTCATCGTTGTCGTCGTCGACGGCGAACTTGGACGGGCTGATGAGGCGGGTGATGCTGGAGCGGATCGAAGAGGAGGAGAGGAACCGAGTGCGGCCGCTGGAGGATCCGTACTTGGTGGGCGAGGAGGCGGCTGCGCGGGCTCGGGCGGAGAGGATTGCGAGGGAGAATAGGGGGGATGAGGTTTTGATTCGGGAGGACCGACGTTGGGATTGGTTCCTAGGTGAGTGGAAAGATCATCTCCCCGGTTCAATATCGATGTTTATTGGGTATCTGGCTAACCGATTCTGAACCGTAGCCCAGACGAGAGACCGTGAAGAGCGCGAGCGAAGCTGGAAACGCTTTCGCCGTGATATGGACCGGCGGTCTGGCAGCAGGCTTCCCTTCCGTATCGGCGCGCGCTTCTGAGAGAAGAAGGAATATGGGTTGTTCAGGGGTTCCCTCGCCGACTTTCAAGTTTTGATTTTGACTTCTGGCTTCCTGTTTCTGTCTATGGGCGTTCTGGTTGGGCCCTGGTGCGTTTCTGTTTCCCTTCGCTCCCTCAACCTCGATTCAGACCGACTTTTCTTTCGGCCCCTGAAGGGTTTTGGTCGTCATCGTCCTCCTCTTGCATTGGGCGGATATCGGCTATTTGTTTTCCATTTCCTAGGTGTTTGGCGGTTTCAGCATACTTGGAAGGCCAGATTGGTATTCTTGGGGTTATTTGACCCCATGCTTGTTTGCATTTGCCGGAGCACGTCTTCAGCCGAATTTGGGAGATGGTGGATGGGAGTTTGCCTATCATGCGAGCAGTGTCTTTGGCATAGTTTTCCATATCAGCAAATCAAACGATTATATTCACGTACGTACAAGTCCCCACGGCATAGCAGAGCAATGGCGCAAAACCGATCACATATTTTACATGTGAAATATCGAATAGCGCCCTGCTTGCCCGCCTAGATCATATCCGTTCTATGAACCAAGTACGCATCCGTTCAACGCCGGCCCAAATGCTACTACGGATGACACCTTCAGTCAGCCGAGTCCCTGCTGCTTGTAAACAACGCTCGTACACAATACTCCTCGTGAACTTGTGAACCAAAATTGCGTCTCGCTTCGTTTAGCCCTTGCTCTTGGTGTTGAGGATCAGGGCGACAATGAGTCTGGAGACGGTGTTAGCAACGTGGTCTGGGTGGTTTCAAAAGTTCAAGGACGGAGCCTACCCGTAGAGCCCCAACACTTCGCCGAAAATAAGGATCAGAACCATGCCGACAAACACCCTAGACTGCAACATGTACGACCGAACGCCCTTGTCGCCAACGACGCCGATGCAGTATCCAGCTGCAAGACCCGTAAGGCCGACAGACAGCCCGCATGCGAGGTGCATGAAACCGCTGGCTCCTTGTTAGCATGTTGATGCGATCCCATACAACCTTCCAGCTCGATGTAGGTGGGCCACAAACTTGAATAAGCTATAGTTTGACCCGGGTTGCAGGTCCTGGGCAATGAGGACGGATATCACGAGCGAGTAGACGGCGATGATACCGGACATGACAACGGGGATAAGGCACTGTCGAAGTTGCGAGTAAAGTCAGCCCCGGATCCCCCTAGGATAAACGCCGAGGATAGTATCCCTCCCACCTTCATGATCAAGTCCGGCCGAAACGTTCCCACGCCTGCAATGCCAATGCCGGATTTTGCGGTGCCGTAGGCGGCACCCATGCCTATTATTCGATCTCCAGTCAGCTCGCTGTCCGTTGGTTTGGTTGGAGGGGCGCTCGCGGTGTAGGAGGGAGGGGTTGGTTCGTACAGCCAAAGATCATGGCCGATGCAATGCCGCCCTATAGAAGAAGTCGGGTTAGTGATGCTGATGACGCATTCTCCCAGCCGCCGTCGCGTAGTTTGCTCAACTTCCGCGTCCGTCATCGAGGAAGCTCTCCCAAACTCGACCAGCCACCAACTTACCATGCCAATGAAGGGCGCAAACTTGGGGCTCAACTCCGACTCGGCCATCTTGTAAATCGTGTCGGAGGGTGGCGCTTTCAAATCGGTAGCTGATGGCGCAATGGTGGTGTTGCGCGAATCATAAGATGTTGGGACAGCTGAGATGGCAGGTTGACGACAGCTCGGTCCTCTGCGCTGCGTTTCGAGGCCGCGAATCCCTCGGCCGAAACCAACAGCACCGTGCCAAGAAAGTCACGTGAGCATGGCTGTGGAAGTGGCACATGCATCCCTGGGGAAGTGTTACATTCAAATCATCTACGAAGCCCGGATGAAGACATCGAACCGCGCTGGGCTTGATATTGGAGGGGTTGGTGGCATGTTTCATCATACTATTATCCAGCGAGGCCACCAAGCCAACTCTTTCGCTGCAATAGAATACCAATCCATTGCTCATGCCTCGCTTTCGCGACGAAATGCTCCATGTATATTACACAGTGTCACACTGTATATCTAAATCTGTGACACTGTGACAAGAACGTTCTGAGCTCCCAAGATGGAACTGGGCTTCCACTCTGTTTCCGCTTCTCTCACCGGCAGAACTTATTGAAATCGAAAACGGAAACGAGATATTCATGGGGTGTTGAATCTCACCGCGTTAACGAATTCGTGATTTTGAATTGAGGTCTCCAATTATCCCTGACCCGAGCCAGGGGAAACAGGCTGCGCCACACTCCGCGGAGCTCGCGGTTGAGTTGGTGGATCGCGAACACACCTTTTCGGCGTTGCAAGCTCGCAAATCGCCCTGTGGCGGCATTGGGCCTTGGCTACAGCCTATCGTGGCCTTGATTGTAGCCATCAATATTGGCATCGCGGTCCATCCGGAGAGCAAACCCTTCCGGGCCGAGAACCAGCAAATGGTGCACGATCCCCCGTTTGCATTTGTCGAATATTTTTCGCCCTCTCGGGTCAGCCCAACCATTATCACCTCAACCTCAACCAAGCCCTTCTTGCTCCAGGCCTCTCAAATAGCTCATCTCCCCCGGCTTTTTCCAAGGCTACAAAGTTAATCGGAGGCCTGAGGCTAGCGGGTTGTCCCACAGCGGTTCCAAAAATTGTTGTTAGGGGGTCGCTTCATCGCCCAATAACGTCACCCGCTCTCCGGAGCACAACCGGGAGCACACTCTCGAGCAACCTCTTTTGCTCTGCCCCATCCGCCAACCCCCCTCCCTGAAGCATCGACTCCGGCTTCGACAGGGGATAGCGGAACCGCCCGCTGCGGCCTCCGACGCACAATATCTTTTCTTGCTCCCCAGTGAGCGCGCATATCTGGAGCGGTGGTCACAATCGACTTTTTTTGGGCTGGACGCAATCGAACGAGTGGGCGAAGTGCGGGCGCTGCGTTGGCTGCGAGATCCAAGTGCGCCGTCCCCGACTCCACTTGGATTGCAATTCCACCCCTGGCACCGCCCGACCATCCGTCGACCAAACCCTTCAACGGTCACCCCTTTGCAGCCATCGACTCGCTGACACGCGCAATCGTGTTCACCTCGAGCCATGGCCGACTACCAGCGTGAGCGGGCGCCGCCCCCGAGGCAGCAACAGCAGCGACCACCGCAACACCAACAATACGGAAACGATTACCAGCGAGATGCCGCGTTTTCGAACATCTTCGGTGCCGCTCCTCCTCCCGGCCGCTCGCAGACCATGACTTCGTCCATCGCGCCGCCGCAGTTCAGCCAGGATGGGCGTACCAACACAATGTCCTCGACGACTTCCGCGATGTCCGACATGCACCGACCACCGCCTCAACGGCCACCGCCAGGCGGGGATTACCGCAATCAATACCCCCCTCCCCGGCCACGTCCCAACGATGGCGCCCAGGGCTACGGATACTATCAGGGACAGCAGCGCTCAGCATCGGGGGGGCAGCAGGTTCCGTCACCTCAATTCATCCAGCAGCAGCAACAGGCACGGCGACCATACCCTGGAAGCCCACCGTCGCAGCAGCAACCCCCGCCACAACGCTTCGACACCCGCCGGGGACCGCCTCCTCCTCAGGGCTATTATGACAATAGTCAGCGCGCTCCCACACAGCGATTCTACCAGGACGGAAGACCCGCTCCCGCTATGAACAACGATCCATATCGCTCGCAGTCTTTGGCCAACTTCCCGAGACAGCCGATGTATCAACAACAATCCCCACCGCAGGCGTACCAGCCGCAGCAGCAGCAGCCACAACAGCAGGCGCCTGCTAACACTTTGCGAAACGCACAATACAACCAACAGCCCTCTCGAACAACAGCCCAGGGGCGGATTGTCCCAGAAAGGCACATGGAAGACCGGTCCATGACCATGACGGGGTATCCCTCCCATGACCGAGATGCCCACCAAACAATGAGCGGCCGTGTAATTCCCAACAGGCGACCCGCGGGTGGCGCCACGCCTCAATCGGACTACGGAAGCAACCACAGCTCACCAAACCCGAACTTCCCGGCGGGTTACGGCCCGCCCGGGTCTCAGACACGGACTACGAGCATGGCGTCCTCGATCGGGAACGACAGCAACAGGACCATGTCCATGGCCTCGACGATTGCCCCGTCGACAATTGCCCCAACAGAAAAGTCGGATCAAACCGTCGTGCAGCGCTCATCGATAACCAACTCGATCAACGGCGAACGCCCGCCCACCGCTAAGATCCGGCCGCCTATCGTCTACCCCGCGCTCCTTTCCCGCGTCGCAGAATGCTTCCGTCAAAAGATTGTCACAGGCGACCGCACCAAGAACGAGCTCACATACAAGAATGCGTTTAGTGGCGCTGAAGCGGTCGATGTCCTCTCGTATATCATCAGGACTACGGACAGGAACCTGGCCTTGCTCCTTGGCCGTGCGCTTGATGCCCAAAAGTTCTTCCACGATGTTACCTACGAGCACCGGTTGCGTGATTCGACGTACGAAATGTACCAATTCCGGGAGACGATGACCGAGGAGGTGGAGGAGAAGCCGGCGGTCAATGGCGTGTTTGTCCTACTCTCCGAGTGCTATTCCCCGACCTGTACACGGGACCAGCTTTGCTACTCTATCGCCTGCCCGCGACGGTTGGAACAGGTATCGAGGCTAAATCTCAAGATGGGCCCTGGCCTCAAGGCAGAAGGGAGCGCTCCCGTCAACGACGACGACGTGGATCAGACGGACGAGCAGAAGCTCTGGATCAACAGTGTGCCCAAGGAGGTCGCCGACAGCATCAGCGACCGGGAGAAGAAGAGACAGGAAATTATCTCCGAGATCTGCTACACAGAAAGGGATTTCGTCAAGGATCTGGAATACCTCCGGGACTTCTGGATCTACCCGCTGCGTGGAAAGATCAATGGCATGTCGCCTATCCCGCCGCAGAGGAGAGACAAGGTGGTCCGGAACATCTTCACCAACATCATCGATTCGCCAAGTATCCATGGCGTGAGCTCGAGATTCGCCAGGTCCTTGACCGAACGGCAGCAAAAGACACCGGTGGTGAAGAACGTGGGCGACGTCTTTTTGGAGTTTGTGCCTCAATTCGAACCTTTTATCCTCTACGGCTCCAAGCAGCTGGAGGGTAAATTTGAGTTTGAGAATGAACGGTCACTGAACAAGGACTTTTCTCGATTCGTGGACGAGGTCGAGCGGCGGAGGGAGTCCAGGAAGCTGGAGTTGAACGGTTACCTGACGAAACCGACTACGAGATTGGCCAGATACCCGCTGCTTCTTGAGAACGTGCTCAAGTACACCGAGGATGGGAACCCGGATAAGGAGGATCTTCCCAAGGTCCTGACCATGATCCGAGATCTCCTGAGCCGTGTCAACGAGGAGTCTGGAAAGGCCGAGAACCGCTTCAACTTGCGCCGTCTCCACGAACAGCTCCGCTTCCGTCCGAACGAAAGAGTGGACTTGAAGCTCACGGACGAGGGCCGCGAGCTGGTGTTCAAGAGCCAGTTCAAGAAGTCGCCGACTGAAAACCCGGATATCACAACATTCCTATTTGACCATGCGGTGCTTTTGGTGCGCATCAAACAGGTGGGCAAGACGGAGGAGGTCAAGGCTTATCGCAGGGTGAGTAAATTATCTATCTTTTTGAGGCCAAAACGTACGACTGACTGGTTTGAATAGCCCATCCCATTGGAACTGCTCTCCATCAAGGAGATGGAGGAAGTAATACCGCAATCCGGAGTGAAGCGCTCGTCGTCTAGCATACTTCCGGCGCTTCGCAACACCGGCAACGAAACTAAGAAGGGTGACGGGTGGCCGGTTACGTTCCGGCATCTAGGGAAGAACGGCTACGAGCTGACACTGTACGCCTCGAACCAGTCGAGTCGGCAGAAGTGGCTCGAGGTTATCGACAACGCGCAGCAGAAGCTCAGGGCTCGGGCTGACTTCCTCAACACCACCATTATCACGTCTGGTTTCTTCTCTGGCACGAACAAGGTCAACTGCGTGGCACCCTTTGGTAAGTTCGCTCTACTACTCCGAGTAATTTATGCCAATCAAGTCTTTCAATTCTGACAGTCATTCCAGATGGCGGGCGCAAGCTCATCTACGGGACGGACAACGGCATCTATATGTCGGACCGCCGGTCCAAGGATAACGGAGCGCCCAAGCGCGTTATCGACGTGCCAAGCGTAACGCAGGTAGATGTTCTTGAAGAGTACCAGCTGCTGCTTGTGCTCTCCAACCGCTCGCTGCTGTCGTACCAGCTCGGCGCTCTCGATCCCAACGAGCCGATCTCGTCCAAGCGGGCCAAGAAGATCCAGAGCCACTGCAACTTCTTCAAGACGGGCATCTGCCTCGGCCGCCACCTGGTGTGCTGCGTCAAGAGCTCTGCGTTGTCGACAACCATCAAGGTCTACGAGCCCAACGATGCCATGTCGCGCACCAAGAAGCAGAAGGGACTAAGCAAGATGTTCAACGCCGGCCAGGACGAGCTCAAGCCGTTCAAGGAGTTTTACATCCCGACGGAATCCAGCTCGGTGCATTTCCTCAAGTCCAAGCTGTGCGTGGCCTGCGCCCGCGGGTTCGAGGTCGTCTCGCTCGAGACGCTCGAGACCCAATCGCTGCTCGATCAGGCCGACACATCGCTCGACTTTGTCGCGCGCAAGGAAAACGTCAAGCCGATCCACATCGAGCGGCTCAACGGCGAGTTCCTGCTCAACTACTCGGAGTTCTCCTTCTTTGTCAACCGCAACGGCTGGCGCGCGCGGCCCGAGTGGCGGCTCGACTGGGAGGGCACGCCCCAGGCGTTTGCCCTGTCGTACCCGTGGATCTTGGCGTTTGAGCCCAACTTTATTGAGCTGCGGCATATTGAGAATCTGGCGGTGCATATTGTGCCACATCGGAATATTCGCATGCTGCACAGCAGTACGCATGAGGTGAGTTTTCTTCTTCTTCCCCGACATGCTACCCCAAAGGTACAGCCACAGAAAAGGATGACTAATCGGTATATGTAGATTCTCTTTGCGTATGAAGACGAGCGGGGCGAGGATGTCATCGAAGCCATCGATTTCTGGAAGAGCCAGAGGAAATCGGAGATGTTACCCGGTGGCCTCAACGCGGGGTCTCCGCCTGGTAGCTCACACGGTCCATCACGGCTAGGCTTGGGGCAGTAAGCTTGAATTGAATTGGGGCAGTTGATCGTGGTGGGGGATGATGAAAGGGAGCGGCCGGAAGTGGTGGATATAGTGGACATCCATCCACATATCTCCGATTTCTTCCTCGTGCGAAGGGGTTAGTGAGGCCCGGCATTTCTTGTTTTCCTGTTACGATTCGAATGGGAGCCGGAGGGGGGGAAGAGAAGGAGGAGAAGGACAGAAAGAAAGATAGAAGGTGGTCGTTGGGGTGGGACCTAATCTGGGCTCTTTCTAGGTTTTTGTCTCAACACTTACAATTGTTCATGTTCAAGCTGGGAAGTTTGGTTCAAGATGGAAGAGGGGAAGGGAGGCGTTTCTCTTTTTCTTCGTCTTTTTTTTAATCTCGAGAAATTTTATCAGTGTTTCACCCCATGTTCTGTTTGGTCCGTTCGCACTGAGTCTCTATGATTGGTGTTGGCTCGTTGTTCGTGAGGCATAGTTTGAGGTCTGGTTGGTAAAGTGTGAGAGTAACAGTTGGGGAGAAGAAAGGGTTATGGGAATCCCACGCTGATATGGTGTTGTGAATTTATGTGCCATGTTCTCCTTCTACAGCCGGTTGTTTTCCTCACCACCAGGTTTTGTTGAGTGCTAGGACAGGAGACTGAGATATATTGAAGCTACCTAGGTATGGTACATAGGGGGCAGACATTCGTGGACTTGAACTTGGCGGTGATGATAAGAAATGTAGCCACGGACAAGAATAAATCCCACCGAGTTAGGACGCCGTCTTGATCCGCCATTTGCGCCATGTTCATGAATTACTGTCTTTGAACTGTGGGAGGTGGTGAGCACTGCCCCCTTTGACATCATATCAGATCCCCGAGCCGAGTGGTTGTGGGGGAAGTCTCAGAAGCCGGGCCAGTTCCAACTCGGTACCTCGGTTGAGTTCTTTGTTAGAAGGGGTAGTCGAGCGTTCAATTTTCACATACATTATTTTAGACTGCACTAACAGAAGATACAAAGAGCTAGTTCTCATGAGAAGATGGCAAGAGTGACATCCCACGATTTGTAGCTGCCGTGGTTATGTGGAAGATGCTGTTGAGAAATGGTGCCCCACTAAAGTTGTGGGGTTCCACAGGGCCCACTGTAAAGCACCTGGAAAACTGTGGGCCGAGCGCTGAAAGCCCGCCCCTGCCGAGACCCTGAGCAGTGCACTGCCCGTCGGACAACGGCAGCTCAGGTGACGAGTCTCCCGCAACGCTTGGCGGCTCGGGCTGTTGCCCCCGGAACCCACTCTAGTCCAGGGCCTTAGGTTCTGCAGACCCCCGACGAAACCCTCCGCCTGCAACTCCCATTCTTAAACGACATCCCATCCCGTCTTCGAGTGGGCAACACAGTACCTTAGGTAGCCACCGCAACTTCCCCCGACTTGCGATCCACGACCCACAATCCACAAGCACTCGGACAGAAAAGCCCACCATGTCGGAGTCCCGTCAACGTGCGATCGAGACCAACCGGTCTCTGCGGGTGATCAAGAATGTGAGTTGATGCATCCCAGGTCCAGGTCCAGACCCTCCATGTTGTCCACCCCACTATGCACCGCAGTTCGCTGTTCCTTCCGTCGCTGCCCTTCGGGCTGTCACTCTCACTGTCGTCGTCGTAGCTAACCCCCTCCCCCAGGAACTCGAGACCCTTCTCGAAAAAGGCGTGATCGACGACGCCGCCTTCGACTCAATCCACTCCCTTCTCCCCGCCGAGTCCCCCCTCTCCGGCGCAGGCGCCCGCAGCACCAACAGCACACCCGCTCCCGCAGCAGCAGCACCAGTCCCTTCTCCAGCTCTTCCCACCCGCAACAACAATGCCAATTCATCTGCACCCGCCCCCCCTTCCTACGCCCAATCCACAGCCTCCCCTCCCGCTCTCCCAACCCGCAACAACCCACCGGCCCCGCCAGCCCCCCCAGCCAAACCCGTCCTAACTCACGCCCGCGCTCTATACCGCTACACCGCCAGCGACGCACGCGACTGCTCCTTCGAGCGGGACGACCGCATCGCGGTGCACGAGTACATGAATGCCGACTGGTGGATGGGCCGCAACCTGCGGACTAACCAGGAGGGGATTTTCCCGAAGAATTATGTTGTAGCCGAGGAGCAGGCGCAGAAGACTGCTCCTGCTCATACTCCTATTCCTGCGCCATACCAACAGCCGCAGTATGCTTCCCCGGCGCCTGCCCAGCAGCACGGTGGGTATCCCATTGCGCCGGTGCCGGTGCAGGGCGGGTATCCGGCTGCGCCACCGCCGGGACAGGCGTACCAGCAGGATCAGCAGCAGGGCGGGGATGGGAAGGAGAGTAAGATGGGAGAGCATGGGAAGAAGTTCGGGAAGAAGTTGGGGAATGCGGCGATTTTTGGGGCGGGGGCGACGATTGGGAGTAATATTGTGAACTCGATCTTTTAAAAGGGGGTTTGGACGGAGGTATCATTACGCTGTTGGGTTATGTTGTTTCAGCGGGAGGTTATTGGAGGCCATGGGCATCGAACAATCACTATACAAGCAAGTACCGGCCAGCGAGTATGGCCTCTTTTCCTTTTCGTTTTTCCTCGGCACATCACTAGGTCCATAGAGATACGGCGTTCCGGTTCTCTTTTCGTCGTAGCTGAAACAGAATGACTTTGATCTCCATCGGCTGTCCAACGAGGATCCTCCTTCGGGGGTTCTATGTCTAACCACAGGTGATGGATAGCTAAGGGTCTCTTATAAGATTCAAGTATTTGCGGCATGTTTATCCATTGCTATTGACATGATAGAGGTATATGATGAGATACCTAATACATGTACCGCCACAAGGGCTATAATCTGTCATATAGTCAGAAATACAGAGTAAACTAGATACAAAGAAAGAGTATTGGAAAGGTAATAGGAAAAACTCAAGAGTTCCCATCCCACCCGTTAACTCCGTTTCACGCCTTTCACACTCGCTTGCCTCCCACTGGTATAGTATTGTTTGCTTTATTTCAACAACGTTCTCCGCCTGCCCGCTCCCCTTCCCATGCGATGAATTTGCCCGCGTTATATGATCCCCAACCATCCCGAGACATAGGAAATGATGAGACCGGGTCGTGGTCTGTTTGTGAGATGGCATGGTCATGAGACTGACCGAGAAACAAAACAAACAAAATACAAGAAATGGAGGAAATAAGAGAGAGATGCAAAGTAAGGGGGTTCATCGACCGATCATGCGACAACCTCCACGGCATGGCCCACAGCTCCCGTCCCTGTTGTTGTCGTCGTCGTGCCCCAGCCACTACCCCGGATATCACGTAGCTCTTCCTGCTTCAGCTCACGGACATGCGTATCATCATCACCATCATTATCGTCACGACCTCCTTCAATTCCCCTTCCTTCTTCTCCCAGAGTCGTTTCCTCCTCCACCCACCTCGGCACTTCAACAACCGCATACCCAACCCCCTCCCGTCCCTCAACTTCTTTTCGCACAACCTCCGCCTCAACCCTCCACCGTCTCGCCAACCTCCCCCTCCGCTCCCCAAACACAGCCAACAACGCCTCCTCCTCATCCGAGAACCGACCCGCCAAGTCTTCCATCTCCGTCGCCCGGCGCTCAGCGAGCGTGTCCATTTCGCGCTCGTGTCGGTCGGTGAGCTCTTCCATGGCCTTGGCTTGTTTCTCGCGGAGACCGTGGATTTGCGAGAGGTGGCGCCGCGCCATGCCGTCGCGGACGCAGTATTGCTGGCGGAGTTGTTCTAGGTCGCGGTCGGTGACGTGGCGTTGGGGGAGGGGGGTGGGGAGTAGGATGGGAGCTGGGACGGGTGGTTCGGTTTGTTGGGTTTGTTGGGTTTCTTGAGACCCTTCGGGTTGTTGTTGTGAGGGTTGTTGGGAAGGGGGTTGTTGTTGATCGACAGGGCTCGAACTCGGGTACGGACTCGGACTCGGCGCCGCCGCAATCCTGCCATTACAATAATCCTCCATATACTTCAACTTAATCCGCACCTTCTTCGCCTTCTCCTCCAGACTCGCCTGCAGCTCAATCTCCGCCAACACCTGGCGATCCTCCAGGTGCTGCTCCGTCTTCGCATGGCGCTCCCGCATCCGGTCCATCAAATCCTCAAACTTATCATGCAACGCCCTCTTCCGCGTCGTCTGCCGCGCCTGCAACGCGTCCTTGGCCCGCTGCTCAAACACATCGAACCGCGCCTTCTCCGCCGCCTGGCGCGCCCGCAGGGACTGAAACGCCGGGTGTGCTCGCGTACGCGCCTCAGCCGCCTGCTGCTCGATGGCTTCTGCGGCAGCAGCCTTCTCACGCGCGGCTTTTTCCGCTTCACGCTCGGCTAAGCGAGCGGCTTCCTCCACCCGGCGGCGCTCCATCTCTTCTTCGCCATTGCAGAAGTTCGGGCAGCCCATAGTCGGGCTCCAGACGGCGCCGCAGATGTAGCAGAACTGGGCTTTGCACCGGCAGGTGATGTGGGTGCAGCCCTGGTCGAGCTCGATCAGCGAGCGGCACTTGTAGCAGCGCCGCCAGCCGGATCGTTCGCCCATTTTGAGGACGGCGTCACTTTCGCGGTCTTCGGGGCAGTCTTGGCCCGGTTGGTGGGCGAAGCGTTTGCACATGAGGCAGGCACGGGTTTGGCAGTGGCGGCAGAAGGCTTCGAAGGGGTTGGGGGGTGCGTGGTGATGTTGGGAGTCGCCGGTTTTGTCGGTGGTTGGGGACTTGTCGATGGGCGGGATGAATTCGCCGCAGGTTGGGTTGGGACAGAAGACGCGGGCTTCCCAGGGGGTGCTGTACTGGACGACGGTTTTGAGGAAGAGTTGGTGTTTTTCACGGGGGAGGACTAGTTTGATGATGGCGCTGGGGAACGGCTGGGCGCAGCACCGTGGGGGCATCTTGGACTCGTCGGTGATGGACTGGTCGACCATGATGGCGAGGCAGTCGCGGCAGTAGCAGTGGCCGCACGGTAGAGTGTGAAGTGTGCCGTTGCCTTGGGTGAATTCTTCTCGGCAGCAGATGCAGGGCCTTGGAACGGTCAGCCAAGCCCATAACGGAATTTCTCCAAGCATGAGACCAGAAAAACTTACATAGGCGAGTCGGGACTCGGCTTCTTCCTCCTCAACTTGGCCGCAATCCCCCTTGTGAACCCCCTAACCCCCCTCCTCGACCCAGTCTTACCACCAGCACCAGCACCCGCACCAGGACTGACCCCATTCCCGCCCTCCGTCTTCTCCTGGCCCGCCGCGGGTCGACCCATCTTAGGCTGGTCCAGCGCCGTGCTGAGCTTGCTGAGGTACGGCTCGTACTGCGAGAAGCTGAGATTCCGCTGGCGTTCCTGCTTCGGCATCTCGGCTGACAGGTCTGATGCCTGGAGTGTTGTTGCGTTCGTGTCTGTGGTGTCTTCGGAGTCGGTTGATATCTCCCTGTTGTGCTGTGCGCCTGTGCCTGCGCCTGCGGTTGTGTCTGTGTTTGTGTCTGCAGCTACAGTTGTGTTTGTGTTGATGGCCGTGTCGGTACATGTTCCTGTACTTGTGCTACCTGCTGCTGTGCTCTGCTGTCCGGTTCCTGCTCCTCCTACTGGTGTACCTCCCGCTGACCCCGGCATTTCAACCCCCAAAGCCTTAGCCTTAACCTGCAGCTCCAGATCAATATCAGCCTCCATCGTGCCGTCGTCTCGGCCCAGCACATCGCGCAGATAGTCGGCATCTTCAAGCTCTGGCAACTGTCCCAGCCCATGGGTGGAGATTCCCGTGCCTGTCCGGCTGTGTACATGTATCCCGCCTGCGCTCCTCCCTCCCCCGGCTGTCAGCGGTGGATGCCGGGCGGCGGAGGCCATCGGGCTTGTGCGGCTGCTCGGAGTGGTTGTTACGACGTGGGCGGAGGATGGAGGTGTGGTTATGGAGCGGGTATTGTGACTGCTATTGCTGCTGTTGTCGTTATTGGGGTTATGGTTGCTAATGGTGGAGAAGACATGACCCGAATTCGAAGCTAACGGCGCCGAAACGTTGGTGTTCTCGTAAGGCATACGACCGGATGAAGCCGACGAGGGCAAACAAACGCTTCTTTGGTTTTGGGGGGTTGAGGCTTCGAGTTTTGAGTTTAAGCTGTGTGTTATATTTTTTGATGCTACAGTTTAGCGTCGTTGATTTTTTGGCCGGGGGAAAGGCCCTTCTTTTGGTTTCACCCCTTGCCCGCCGCTTGTTCGCTGTTCGCGAACCCTGGGAATGGGCAGCGAGGGGTTGGGTTGTGGTGAAGGCGGGACGACGGCAGGGAGACGAGAGGTGTGATCGACCTCAGGACCTCAACTGGCCGTGGGGTGGCCCTGGCTTGGCTTGCTTGCCAAGGCGGCAGCTGTCCTGGCAAAGCTCCTCGGGTGACGCGAGCTGGGCTGGGTGGGGGGGAGGCTAGTTAGGGAGCTAGGCTGGGAAAGCGAAGCGATAACTAGCCGGTTTCCCACAGTGAGAGGAGGAAATCGGGAGAGTTGTTGGGCAAAATCAGGCAAAATCGGAGAGTTTGCCCGGCCGAGAGAGACAGAGAGAGAGAGAGAGAGCCAAGGATCGGGATTGCAGAAGGTGGCCAAGACGCCAGGACCTGTACCGATCACGCGAATGTGTTGGAGCCGCCCGAGAGAGGTAGAAAAAAGGCTGACCGGTCGCGGACAGGGCAGGGCCGCGGGTGCGTGCGGATGTGATCGCTTCGCTTCCGTTCCAGGTTCCGGGTATGTATGAGTGGAGTGGGCTGACCGAGGCCACCGTTAACTGAAGGGAGAGCTGGGGAAAGGTCGGTAAGGTGAAAAAAGTGTGCGATATTGCTGTCGTGGTCGTGATTGCTGTCGTCGATGTTGTCTCTCGAATTCGGAGTCGGTGTCGGTGTTCGTTCACTCAAAAGTGACAGGTTTGATAGACACAGGGTAACGGACAAGTCCACAGCAGGAGAAAAGCACGAGACGACGATGCATGCGGCCAGCCGGATGCATGTCTCTATGTATCTCTCTAGACAAGCTCGGCAAGGTACTTACTGAGATAGAGGGACAATAAGACAAGCATTACGACAAGCATCATTACGACAAGGCATGGGGGGTAGAAATCTCACGAACTGTTTGCTGGCCAAGCGCCACTTTTCCCCATTGCAATTCCTCGTCGATTTCGTCTTGCATCTCACCTCTCCCCAGTGCCCCCACCTCCATCCCCGGCATACAAGGTAACTAATAAAAGTATCTTCCCCGTCCCTGGCCATAGGGCGAGTCAGTTTTCCAAATCCCCGAGATCCGGGCCCCGTTGGGATCCCGATCCTCATCGGACTTTCAAATCTCCCATTTCCCATTACGACTGTGTATGTCCATAGGTAGGTATTGTGCCCGTCCACGGTAATGAGCAAGCAACTTGGCGTGCTAGGGCGGCTCATCTCGGGCCTCAGGGTAACCCTCCTCGAAAGCTCAAGAGACGGCTGGGCAGGACGCAGTACCCAAGTGTGAGGAACTCAAATAGTGGTCCCCGGAACAAAAAGGCCGAGACAGCAAGGCCACATCGAGATCTGGCGAGGATCAAAGGACCTGATAGCGTACAGTAGCGTAGGGACAGAGACGGGCAAATGAGCCACTGGCTGAACGAGACATTTGAGAACTGGAACTGCATGTGAGTGGCATTTCATGGGGACAAATCCCCCCACTGCAGCTGCAACGCCAACAACAAACGCCCAAGTCAAAAAAATCTCAGGTAACCCCACAGCACAGGTTACATAGTACTCGCGGGGGAGTGCATCCGAGCTCTGCAGCTCTGCAGCAGCACTGCAGCATGATCGACCCTGTGGCTTTCAAGCCTTGAAACTTCACTTGGACGCATCATTGGCTCGTCATCGGCCTCCCCTTTCCGCTTGGGCCCCAAGGTCCCCTCTGTCCCTTCAGGGACTATGCTGAGTCTACGGAGTAAAGGTTGTGTGACGGGAGATGGAATGCAAGAGCGAGGCAGCTTTTGATAACTGAGCAAACGTTGAAAACAATAAAGTTGGGAAAAGTTGACAGAGCGGACACAAAATGACGTGTAACAGAAGGGAACGAGCAAACGGGGCCTCTCTCCCGTCCATTGTGACGCCAACCGATTTTTCCACTCTGATTGATTGATTGCCTTCATCCCTATTCCCGAGGTAGGTTAGGTCGGTATGTACTGGACCCTCGACATGGACACCACAGACACGGCACGGCAGACTCGGCATTGTGATCGCAACCGACAGTTCGGGCCGTCCAGGCATGCAGCATGGGGGTGGTGGTGTGTGCACGGCATCGTTGCCGTCGACGTCAAGGTTGAAGAGATGCGTGTCTGAGACTTTTGAGCTCTTTTTTACCCTATGATTATTTTAGTGCTATTTTTTATCAGCCTTCTTCTTGGCCTGCCAAACCCCTTGTGACAATGGTACAATGGTTCCCCCCAAGGGTTCGGTCAGCGAATACGTTTTCTCCCACTGCTCCCACCCAAGTCGTGTTAGGAAGTCATCATTCATCAATGTCTTTGCTGTTTGCTATCTCTCATCCAACACCGAATCCACAAGTGGACGGAGCTAAGGTCCGACGACCAACACATAACAAATCAATAGTGACGCTACACTTACTCAGTTTGATGGGATCTGCCTTGCTCCTGACTCGCCTGCTCCTTTGCAGTTGAATCAACAGGACCGAAAGCGAGATCTCGATGGGGAGTCGGGGACCGACATGTTTGTTTGTGGGGTTTTGCTGTGTTGATTTATTTGATCGACTTTATTTGCGCCGCCGTTCTTCGTTTAACTTATTTTTATTTTCTCCTTTCCTTTTTTACAATTTCGGCCTTTTGCCTTAAGTGGCGTTTTTGGCGTTTTTGTTGATTTAATTCTCCGACCGGGCGTTCCGTCGGCTTACCGAGCGAACGGCGCGCACATCATCAAAGTTAGGACTAGCAGGCCCATGGCCCGCTCGGTTGTTGGTGGTTTGCCCGGGGGGTGAGTGAGTGTGTCCAGGGATGTGTGATCATCACACTCGAAAAGAAGCAAAGGGAATACAACACTCCACCCCCCAATAACGGTAACGTGACCGAGGTCATGTTCAACTCGTCATGTTCGTCAGCAAGCCTTCGTATCCTCGGCGGGATTCTCATCAATTACAAGGGCGTTTATTCGTACCATTCTGCGGTTATATCCGTCGTAGTTAGTTACTGTGTACGGAGGTCAAACAACCTCCCATCTCGCCAGCCAGCCCACACTCTCCCCCGCGTTCCTCACCACACAAAGTTTGCCCGTCCTCGCACCCGCGTCCCGGATCGCCTCCAGCGCCCTGTCCGCCGAGATCGACCCGATTGCCGTGCCCCGCCCTTCGCTCAGACTGAACGCGCCCGACGTCACAAACCCAAGCAGATCCTCCTCTCCTGGACAGAGCGGGTGGTGGTGTTGGTGTCCTCCTCCTCCTCCTCCTCCTCCTCCACTGCTCATCTCAAGTCCATTGTAACTGTGATTGTGATTGTAATTCCCCGGTTTTGGTGGTGGGTATGGCAGCTCCGTCGCGACGATGGACTGCGCGAGCAACTTTTTACGCGTCGCCATATCTATCCCGGCGGGCATGCGTGGGGGCACAGGTACGCGGCTGCGGCCCAATTGGGGTCTCTGGCCCCCCCTGGTAACGCCGCTATGCTTGGGCTGGGGTAGTTGCCGAAGCCACTGATCACCCAAATCCCGAGGGAGGGATTTCGTGGATGCAGGTGCTGCTGTTGACGACGACAACGACAACGACGACGGGTCTGTGGCGAACACCTCGACCCCCTCGACCCCCGGCAGAGGCAGAGTGGGAACGGGTGGTGCAGCCCCTGGTTTCCGGGAAGGTAGCCGGTAGATCCTCGCACAGGTGTTTGCGACGCCCCTTGTGATAAAGGTTAAATGAATTGTGATGAGGGAACATTTCGCGGGCGGATTGCCCAAATCTGGTAACGCGGCCAACCATGATGTGAAGGTCGGCTTGGGCACATGCCGAATCAGTCCCAGGGCCGCTTTTGCTGCTACTGTTGTTCCCGCTGTTGTTCCCGTTGCTGTTCCCCCTGTTGTTGGTGCTGTTGCTGCTAGGGGCTGTTGGGGAGCGCCTGGGCCAGATGTGGGCCCTGTCTTTTCCGATAGTTCCGGGGCTGGGGCTGGGGCTGGAGGATCGATTTCCATCGCGGCCCCATCCGTGATCGACGAGCCGATCGCTTGGGGGTTCAGGGACGAATTCGAGACAGGAACAGGAGGACCACCACCACCAGTAACATCCGCCGCACAGAGCGCAAACAAATGCGCAAAATCGCACGCCAAGCCATCGCCCACTTCGCCCTTGCGTCCCGCGCCGAGGTCGAGTGAGTTCCATTCTATCCTCTTGCCCTTGGGCCGGCGATCCCAATCCCGGCGTCGTTTGTCCCGTTGCTCCAGTTCCCACTCGCGCCCCGCGTCCGTCGCCGGGTAGTCGGCAGGAAACCACGGGGCGCTGTGCTCAAACGCGATTTGCCTCTGCTCGTTCAGTCCCCCAAGACGCGGGTTCCCGCCCGTTGAAAGCGGGAGACGCATCATGGAGTACCAGAGCGGCATCACGCACTTCCACGGCGCGAGCAATGTCCACGTGCCCTGTGCCTGGCCGTCCGTGGAGGGCCGTGAGGCAAGAAGCAGGACGGGCACCGGCGGGTCAGCCTTGGTGACGGGGAGCGGCTCGCCCGACGGATTTACCCCTTTTCGCCGGTTGATGGCCTTCTGAGACGGCAATCTTGACGCTTCGTGGCGGCGATCTCGGCAGAAGATGTCAAACGGCTCGACACCTCCGTCGTCGAGTGGCCAGTTGGCCAGTGTCTCGAGAAGAGCACCCGCTGGACCCCCACTCGAACTATCGACTCTTCTTGGTGGGTACGATAGGCGAGGATCTTGGACAGAGAAGGCGAGTACCGCGTCCTTAGGGAGCGACGCCGGGTTTGTGACGCCGGCGAGGGACCGAAACACCCGAAGATGCCGCTCGTCCTTGTTGTCTGACTTGGTGTGATATGGCTGAAGGATGCCCATCAACGTTTCCGTAGACGCGGGCCCCGTGAGCTCGATACTGCCAATCTCAAAGCGCAAATCCTCGATGTGAAGACGCGGTGTCTGCATCTTGGCAAGCTTGAGGAGTTCCTCGAACAGCTCGAGAAAGCAAGACGGATGCGTGCGGATGAGCAATTGTCTCTGCGGTTTCTTGGGGGGCGCTCCTGCGGCGGCTGCGGCTGCTGCTTCTGCTGTTTCTGTAGTCGTTGGGCCGTCGTCGCTGCGAGTCGGTGCTTGCGGGTTCCAGACAATCGTTGCAGGTCCAATATCACGTCTCGAACCGCCGCCACCGATCGGCTTGCTAACAAGCCCCGTCCATTTCCGCACGCCAGCCCTCCATTTTTGTCCCCGAGCACCCCATAAGCTCTCTTGTGTCAAGCCCAAGGCCTTCAGCACCCGCTCGACACCCTCGGCCGTGCCGTAGAGGCCAATGGTGCTCATGTAGCTCGCGTCCCATACCACAACCCCCTTTTGTCCCACGGCACGGTGAGTCGGCCGGTAGCACTTCTCGGTTGGCGTGAGCGGAATAGCGAACCGCCACAGCGGCTTGCTCGGCTCGGTCATTGTTGCCCGCTTCGCATGCCACAGGTGCGTCGGCAGCCACGTCTTGTTGATTTGCCTCTTTCGAAACTTAGATTGCGCCTTGGGCGGCTCGTTAAGGGCATCTCGCCGGATCTTTGGTCGTGCCGGCCGTGTGTCGACCAATATCTTCGCTCCTTTGTCGGTCAATGCGGCTCCGCCGGCAGCGGCAGCAGCAGCGGCCTTCTGACGCAACCGCTTCTTCTTTTTCTCGGCCAGAATCCCCAACTTTTTAGCCGTCTCGGCGCGTATCCGGGCCCGGGTCGTGCGAGGACGGCGCTTCCGAGCCTCGACCGTCGGCGTGTTATCCTCCAGCATCTCCCGCTTCGCGCGCTCTCGCAGCCTCTTGGGCACCCTCCTAGCATTGTGGCTCGCCGTCCGTCTCCGCAGAGCGCGCGGGACCTGCTGGAAAACGCGGGACGCATTGGTGCTCTTGCACTTGCGCATGCTGTCTTCTAGGGCCTTGATCTCGAATTCGCGGGCGTTGAGGAACTTCTGCAGGTCGAGCTTGCCGTCTTCCAGCGCGGCGTCGGCCGGCTGCGTGCGGATGTTGCGGGCATCTTGGAACTTGACGCGTTTCGCACCGAAGCGTCCTGCCGTCGGGGCCGGCGCCGTTGTCCCTGTTGTTACGGTCGTCGCGGTTGATCGTCCGTTGTTGTTGGGTGGGCGAGACTTGGCCGCGGCGTCGGTTCCTGTTGGGGGTGCTTTTCGTTTTTTGGACTCCGTCCCCTTTCCTAGGGGTCCGGACCGTTTGGCGTCCATGTATTCGGCATCAAGGAGCGAGGTCTGGTTGCGGAAGCTTTCAATCAGCCGTTTCGTCGCGTAGCTCAATTTTCGAGGTCGAGTTCTTCTTTGAATTGGATTTTGGAGCTCCTCTTATCTTATCAATAATACAAAGCAAACCAACGTGCCCCACCGAGGTTCATGTACCTTTTTAACCGACCATCCATCGTAAGCAATGCTCAACGCGAGATCTGTCCCAAAGTTCGAGCCAAAGCTTCGAGATTTTTATTGAATCTGATCCGTAATACCGCATCTATGATATCTTTCAACTAGGTACCAGCAGAATTGATGGTTGCTTAAGCCATTAGCATTCCGTCAACCTCTTGCAAATATGACTCTACCTCTTCTCCCTTGTCGTACCCTGGTCTCGTGGCCAAGACCTCAGAAAGCTTGAGCCCCTCGCTGGGAACGTTAAGCACATTCATAACGTTAATTCAGCAGAGCCCAGCGATCTCCATGTTCCAGCTCCCGTCCAGGGCCCGGTTCTCCGTCCACAAAACCCTCGAATTTGACCAGATTTGGTGGACCTATCCCCTATCATCCAACCTCTAACACTATACTCCCAATCCCACCTTAATCGGCATCGGAACTCCCGACACGACACCCCCAAAGCCGGTTCGGAGTTTTCGTGTTCTTGTCCGTCCATCCACCTGTCTAACTGGTGGCTCTGCACGTCAGCACCTGCAACAGTGCCCGGCCCACCGACGTCAGCGCGCTCCTCTGGCTCCACGCCTACGCCTTGGACGAACAGGAAGCGAACAGGAAAAAGAGAGGAATTCGGCAGCCACCCGAATTTGCTTGGTTCCGGCTGCCGGGTCGCAAAGACGGGAATGCGATCTAGCCCGAAGCCGATTGCTCGCACATGCAACCCCCTGGTTACGAATTCGTGATAACGTTAGCACTTTGCTTGCTTTTAAAGCATGGCCTCCCTAAGTACGTCTGCTGCGGCGAGCCGCCCCTTTTTCATCGTTCTCCCGTCGGGTCTACTCCTTCGCGCCCTCCTCCCTGCCGCAACGGTTGGTTACACCTCGCCGTTACCTCTTTTTTGTCTCGGCCGGCTCTTTCTCCGGCTGAGTAAAATCTATCTGTGTGCAAACAAGTCGGCGCCATGGTATTTTTCTTTTGCGGGCCTCGGTATCACCAAGTTCCCGGTTCTACTTAGTCCATACCTTCGTACATTGAGAGCGGTTCTCCGTCAGCCAACATGGGCTTCGGCCGCTCGGTCAACTTTGCCCCCTGTAAATCCGACCACACCAGCCCCTCCCATATCCCACATCCCCATATCAGAGAGTTGGTGCTAATATGCGGTTTTCCCTCGTAGTAAATAAGGGACGAAAGGTGTAGCCCCTCCCTAAGCCTCTATAAGCCTCTCGTAGACTCTCGGAATCAAAACTAACAAACTGAAACTTGCAGCCCAAGTTTGACCTCCATATCAAGGTACGTGCCGGTCGAGTGGATCGTCATTTTCTGTGCTCCAAGTGTCCCCCATTGCCCATACTAACGCCCCCCAGATATCCGATCTCAACAATGTACCACTCGTCTCGGGGGTGTCCATCATCAAATGGTACCTCCCACATAGCATACATGGCGAGCATCGAGGTCGAACGCAGAAATGCGCCATCGTCAACCATCGGGTCGAATACAACTACTCTAAGGTTGTCCCGGTCCGTATTGGTATCGACCGCAACAACAACCTGAGCGAATGCCCCATTGAGTTTGAGGTCACGCAGGAGTTCAGCGCAGGCGGCCTGGCTGGCGCTGCAGGACGAGATGAGAAGATCGTCCTCGGCCTCGTCCGGCTGAATCTCAGCGAGTACGTCGAAGAAAGCGAGGGGATTCTCCGCGACGGGGTTACCGGAAACGCGGCCAAGGAAACTCTGGCTTCACCCATCCAAAAACCAGCCACGCACCACCGCAAGCGCAGCTCGCTGAGCACCACCGCCTCGCCGGGGACCGAAGCTAGCCCCCGGTCCTCCCGTGACGAAGAACGCCCGGCGTCGGACGTCCAGGACGGCGTGGTCCGGCGCTACCTCATGCAGGACAGCAAGATCAACTCGACCCTAAGAATCAGCATCCTGATGGTACAGGTGGATGGGGACCGCACCTATGTCGCTCCACCCCCCAAATCAGCTCCCATGTTTGGCGGCATCGCCGGATTCATGGCGGGCGACGCGTTCGAGCCGGTAGACGTCGGTGCGACCACCCCAGGTCACCCTCCTTCATCATTCAGCGGCAAGTCCAGGGACATATTCGAGGTCCAGGATGTGTACCGCCGCGCCCTAGCCGCGAGCTGGGCCAGCCAGCCGGGCGAGCTACCAGCCGACCAGTGCATCGAGAACATCTTCGGCGGAGGTGAAGGGTTCGCGCCCCCTCCTACTTCCCACACTAGAGGTCACTCCCGCCACCACACCATGATTGCCAATCACGCCCGGGCCGGCGGCGCCGGCGTACGAGAGAAATCAAACAGCCCGAGACGGCATTTCCTCCGACACGACAGCCACATGGGGGGTGGAGGCAGCGGGTACGCCTCGGAGGACGACGAGAACGCAGACACCATGGGCACGCTCCGACCGCGCGACGTCACCCGTCTACGCCGGCACCTCCGCGACCAGAGCGTCGCAAGCGACCGAAGCGCCGCCACCATCATTCTCGGTGACCACCAACACCATCTCCATCTCCTCCCCCACCGCAACCAAGACATACGAGACCGAGACCCAAACCGGGACTGGGAACGGGAACGGGAACGAGAGCGTGACCCAGAACGTGAATCAAGCCGCGCCATCGGCCTCGCTGGCCCAGGACTCCGTGAGCCATTCCCCTCGTTCCACCAGCAGCAGCAGCAGCAGCAGCACCCGCACCACCTGCAACACCGCCGAGAAGAGAGCAAGATCACACACGACGGCGGGCTCCGCAGTCGCAGTTCGAGCTTGGTCAGTTTGGCGACGGCCACGGCCACGACGCTGGGGAGTGATCGTGATCGGGAAGGGAGGAGTGGAAGGGAGGGGGGGTTTAAACGGGCTAGGGAGGTGGATGAGTTGGAGGTGAGGGATGATTTGGTTGCTTGGACTGTTCCGGGAGGGCAGCCGTATTAAATTTGAATTCCCGGGGAATAAGGGGAAGAGCAGGGAGAGGTTGATTGGGGCGTTTCTAATTGATGGGACTGGGAAGACAGTACAGGACTTGCAGCACACAACATTTGGATTGTGGAAACAAGCCCAGCGTCTAATAATATATTACAATACTAGGCAACTAAGACCCTAGATTCGACTTGCTTTGCTCGTACACCATCATGGCTCGCCAAGTGCTAAAAAGATACCGACCTAGGCTTGAAAGTATATTACACCGAGAACGACAGGCAATCAAGGATAAGGGGTCAACCACGGCCAACGGCGGGTATCAGGTAAATAGATATATGCAGTGCATCTATTGTCACAAAGGCAGACGTAACCCACCCGGTCAAATAATGCTCTATTTATCGTGGCCAAACACAGTGAAACCGCCCTCCTTTTTGTTCTGAACAATATCCTAACCGGTGAGGAAGTAATAACAAATCAACCAACCCGCAGTGCGGCTTTTATATCATGACGGTCTGTCTATCTATGTGCGCACCAGCAGGATCCTGCCAACTGCTCCTACCAACCCCTGTCATGACTTCGTCAAAAACAAAACGGTTTCCCCTTAATCCCCCTAAGCACTCGCAGCGGCAAGCGTCCCCCGAACACCGCCCTTACCACCAACCTCCCGCGCTGTTACAATCACCGACAGATCCGAGCCCACAGTAATCGACACCTCGACCTTGCCGTTCTTCTTGACACCTTTGACACCCGCCTCAGCGAGGGTAGCCCCGATCTTCCAGACCTTCTCCCGCTTCTCCTCCTCGTCCTCCTCCTCGTCGTCATCGTCCGAGAAATCGCTATCGTCGTCACCGTCCTCGTCGGCGTCCTCCACCTTGGCCGCCTTGGACTCGGGCGCCTTGACCTTGGGTTCGGGCTGCGTCACTTTTATGTGCGTGTTGCCCTCGACAACCTTGACCAGGACGTCGCCGCCGCTGGGGGCCGAAACGTGCACGGTGCGCCGCGCGGGCACGGCCGTCTCCGGCGGGATGATGGGGACGAAGACCTCCTCGCCGGCCTCGTTGACCGAGATCACGCCGATGGCGTTGCCGACGTGGGGTACGGTGGTCACCGCGGCGTGGGTCGACTGGTTGATGTCCTCGGCTTCGTAGTCCTGGATCAAGCTGGCCTGGAGAGCCGCGCCGCGGGCCTCGGCCTCGGAGGGGTTGAGGGCGGTCACCTCGGTGGAGGGGGCTAGGATCTTGGTCGTCTGGGGGAAGAGGTAGCCGAGGTTGGTGGCGATGCGCGGGGTGTGCGAGGTGCCGCCGGAGAGGATGACCTCGTCGATGTCCAGCACGTCCAGGCCGGCCTTCTTGACGGCCGACTCGACCAGCCGGTTGATGCCCTCGAACACGGTCCTCGCGATGGTCTCGTAGCGGAGGCGGTTGATGGTGCTGGCGAAGTCGATGCCGTCCGACAGACTCTCGACGCTGAAGCTAGCGTTGTTGCCCAGGCTGAGCGCCCGCTTTGTCGACTCGGACTCGAGGCGCAGCTTGGCCAGACTCCTGGCGTTCTCGCGCGGGTCCTTAGCGCTCGAGTTCTTCTTGAGGAACTCCTTGGCGAAGTGGTCGATGAGCACCTTGTCGAGAGCCACACCCGCGAATTCGTAGTCGTGCACCGTCGCAAGGACCGTGTACATGCCCCCGCGGCTGGCCACCACGGCAACATCGGAGCGCGTGCCGCCCAGATCCGCAACCACAATCACCTTGTCCTCAATCTTGCCCTCGGGGCGCCCATCGTACGCGAGCACGGCGGCCACCGGCTCGCTGATAAGCTGGAGAATCTCCAAGTCGGCCGCCGCGGCCGCTGCGACGAGGGCCGCCTTTTGCTTGTCGGTGAAGTCGGTGGGGACGGTGACGACGGCGGAGGTGACCTTCTTTCCGAGGTAGTCGGAGGCGGAGCCGACCAGGCGGCGGAGATAGCGGGTGGCCACCTCGGAAACGTTCAGCGTCGAAGGCCCCTCCTCCTCGCCGGCTTTGTCCTGGACCGTAAACGAGACGGTCTCGCCGGCCTCTTCGGGGTGTGCCGAGGCATGGTTGTGGGTAGGGTCGATCGACTTGAACTCTTTCCCTAGGAAATCCCGGAAGTAGGCGACTGTGTTCTTGGGGTTCCGGACGAGGAAGTTCTTGGCCTGCTGGCCGTAGTACTCGTCGCCGTCGACGTATGAGAGGATTGTGGGAATTTGGCGGTCTAAGAAAACAAGGGAAAAAATAAGGATGGTTAGTACATAATTATACTATCGCCAGAACGGACCACGGGCAATTCTCACCTCCATCTTCGTTTGCAATAACCTCCGCTTTGTCGTCGACGACGTAGGCGATGGAGCTGTTGGAGTTGCCAAAGGTAATACCAATGGCAGTGCGCTCACTTGGCTCAGGGCCAGGCTTAGACCCGGTGTCACTCATTTTGCTGGCGATAAGGGCTGTGGGTGGAAATGTGCGGAAGAGTGAAAGTGAAGGATGAGCAGAGCCTGGAATGCGTGTCTCCCCAACGTTCACCAATGTGGTAGTGGGGGTTTCCAAAAATTTCCCAAGGACCTAAAATTTAGACCCCTGTTGGGCTGAGTGCCCCGCTCTCGTAAGAATGGTAAAATTGTACTTCACATACATACCGCATAATCGATCAATCACATGCTGCGCGTCAAACAAGTTGGGTTTGTCCTAATTTTTAGTTCAAATGACTAGGAATTATTTCGGCAATATCATTCACATCAGCAGGATGCCTTTTCTGTGTTCCTAGAAGAAGACCATGGACTCCATCTTCCTGGGAATCTCAAAATCGTCCATTTGTGTAACGTATCAGGTTATTACCATCTCTTGGCCCGACCCTGGCTGACCCCACCAAGGCTGTTCAACCGCCAGCCGCAAACAAGGCTGGCTGGAAATTTAGCGATCAACAAACCAAACTCGAAGCTCAAGCAACAAGCAACAGGCAACATCACACCACCATACCGACCCCCAACACCCCAATCGCTAAACAAACAACACCCGTATCAACACCACACTAATACCAACCTACCAAAGATGGCACCCGACGGACCTCTCGTCCTCCCAGGCGAGACAATCGATCCGTCCCTGGTCCCTTCCCACCCCAAGAACCCTCTCCGACTCGGCCCCGGGCTCCGACACATTCCCCCAACTGACATCGTGCCCACCGTCGCGGGTCAGCTCATCACCAACCCTGTCAAAAACTCCATGTGGATAGAATACAACTCCAATCGCGTACGCCCTTTCCCCCCTCTCCCCCTTAACCCCCAAACACTCCCAGCTAACCCTTCCATAAACAACAGTACATCCCCTCCCCCAACGACCTCATCCTCGCCCAAATCCTCCGCTCCACAACCGACGCCTACCTCTGCCTCATAACCCCCTATTCGGCCCCCGCCACCCTCCCCCATCTCGCCTTCGAAGGCGCCACAAAAAAGACCCGCCCCCAGCTCGCCCCCGGCCAGCTCGTCTACGCGCGGATTACCCCGGCCTCGGCGAATAGACATATGGATCCGGAATTGGAGTGTGTGAGTGCTACGACGGGGAAGGCGGATGGGTTGGGGCCGATTGGGGTTGTTGGTACTACTAGTGGGAGTGGGAGTGGGAGCACAGGGCCAGGGTGCGTGTTTGATATTAGTTTGGGTTTCGCGCGGCGGCTGTTGATGGCGCGGAGTCGGGAGGATGGTGGGGTGGGGGTGTTGGAGATGTTGGGTGGGGAGGAAGGTGGTGGACTGGCGTTTGAGACGGCGGTGGGGAGGAATGGGAGGGTGTGGGTGGGGAGTGAGAGTGCGAGGACGGTGGTGTTGGTGGGTAGGGCGCTGCAGGAGACGGATCGGGCGGGGTTGGGGATGGAAGGGCAACGGAGGTTGGTGAAGAAGTTGGTGAGGGAGATGAAGTGATGGGATGGGAGTCTTGGCTGGTTATAGTTACTGTGGTAGTTAGCGAAGAGGTAGTTTTCTCTTCTCTAACTAGATGTTGTGGATATAAGACCCGCGATACCCAATGAGATAATTCACTGCACCCAGTGTTCTGGTTGATGGTTCTTTTTGTTTATCACGAGCCCAGACGAAACTGAACGGTAAAAACTTCGCAATGAGCATTGACACAAATGTTAGATTGCTGCAGAAGATATCATCTTCCAAATCGTATACAAATCACACCCAAGGACGCTGAACACAAGCCGCAAGGGCAATGCATGTTACCTAACCGCAGCCGAGATCCAAAAATATTCCGCACAAAAAGAGGAATGGATATATGACGGCTCGCAAACTCCTAGTCCCGTGTGTCCCAACTGTGATACCCGGAAGAGAACCATGAAAGCAAACGCCCGGTTCTGCTCCCTTTCAATCCTTTTGTTACGCTCCACCGGTAAAAACCCGCACATGGAAAGGTTCCTCCTTTCCGATCCCCCCAGGTATCCCGAGTAGAAATCAATAAACCCAGTATCAAAAACAAAAACTGTTCCCAACTCCGCCATTGCCGGTGTCCTGTGTGCCTCGGCACCTATTACAATACAAGCCCACGGTGTTTGATCAACCACCCGACAGCGTAATTGAATGAATGAAGATGTGCCGGTGTGGTGGCTCCCGTAAGGTTATTCAACTTCGGCGGCCCGCTTCTCCCAAAGGGGTATCATGTCGTCGTCAAGCGCTCCTCCCGCCTCATGACAGATCCTCAGACAGATCCATGGGAATTGGGCGGTTCTCTTCCTCCTCCTGCTTGTCGATCCGAGGCTCCATGTTGTGTTTTGTCTTCATGTGCCTTTTCCGGTTGTCTTTTCTCGGGAAGGACCTGGTGCCTTGCCTGGAAAATTCGCACCCGGGATGCTGGCAATAGAATCTGATAGTTTTGTAGTGCTTGTCATTTTCGTGCCGCTTCAAGTGGGTGACAGTTCCGAACCCCATCTCACAGCCTGGGAATTCGCATTTGAATTCCGAGTCGTGGTATCGTCGGTGATGCCTGGTACTGATTGTTAGTTTTGTTAGACTAAGCGAGATGGTTCCACCTACTTGAACTGATGCTTTGTGGTGAATTTTCGGTGCTTGAGGTTTTCGTATTTTGGGCCCTTTTTGTTGTCTTTTGCTATGCACCGTTCATCCTCGCAATAAAAGAAGCCGTCGGGGCTAGGGCGAATTTGGGAGCGATCTGGGGCCGATGGGGTTGGCGATGGCGCTGATACTTGGCCTGGCGATGGCGAGGGCGAAGATATTTCCGGCGGTGATGGACCGGGTGCAATGCCGAAAGACGGCATCAAATGGTGGTTTTGTGTGGCTGGAGGTTGAGGCTGAAGGTCAGCTGCGGGAGACGGAGAGGCCGTAAAGGGGGTGAGTCTCGTCTCGGGAGAGTTAAAAGCCGTGTGTCCAGTGGATGCTGGCGGTGTCGAATAGTCCGATATTTCAGCGCCGGGAGAGTTATATTGCTTCCCGGCTCCTCCCTGGAATTGTGCCTGATAACCCTGCAACTCGAAGTCCGAGGGCGCCAGAGGTGGCGACCGATATACTGACTGATAAGAGGGTACCTGTGGGAACGGAAGCTGCCCCTTCAGGCCATTATCAGACACCCGGTAGGGGATGGCTCCCTGAGGCTGCTGTACCAGCATTGGTACGTTTGGTGTAGGTTCTATCGTTGGGTGTGGCTGCGACTCTAGCTCGAGCTTCACCTGCGGCTCCGGCTCCAGCGCTAGCTCCGGCTCCAACTCTAACGCTAGCCCCAACTCTGGTTGGGACTGCGGTAGTGGCTGCGGATCTCGGATCAGGCGCATCTGATGCTGCAGCATCCACGCGTTCTCGGTCGAGTTGGTTGGGTTCATCATCTCCATGGGGTTGCCGCTGGGACCAGCAGAGGTGTACTGAAGATGAGGCGGGCTGGGGAGATCCGACACAATGATGGGGACTGGCAAACTGTCGGTCCGGGGCAGAGGACCAAAGATTGTCTGGTTATGTAGCGGTAGAGGGTTCTGTTGCCTGCCAAATTTCCCCGGAGAGACTGTGCTGCCGCTGTCGGCCGAGATGGCGTCTTGGTTTTCTAAGGCCGGTCTCGCGACTGCAGGCAGGGGGGCCCCCCCACCCGTCACAGAAACTTCGTAGGGGACAAAATCGGCGCCGGCTGGCGCAGAGGTCGGGACGCTCGGATCGGGTGCTGGTTGTGGGTAGCTGTCGGCCAGTTCGAGACCCAGGTTGGGATCGTGGTAATAGTCCCAGGCGAGGCCTGGAGTGTCGACGTCGATCTCGAGGCTCGCCCCGAGTTGCTCGGGTTCGGACTGCGCGAGGTAGTCGCTGTGGGTGAGGACCGACGGAGAGCGGGCTACATCAGTAGCAGTCGCGGTAGATCGTTTGCTATCACGGCGTTGGTGTGAAGACTGGCGTCGGTTGATGAAGCTACGGAGCGATTCCTTGAGATGAGGGAAGTGGCTATGGTGCTCAGAACCGGGAGAATGGTGATCCAAGGACTCGGGCTCCTCGGTGATGCCGGCGGTGGTGATGTTGGTCAGTTCACGACTGGGTCGACCACCCGATTCTCCGAGGCTGACTCCACGAGTGCTCTCGCGGCTGACCGTGCTCCTAGATTGGTCGTGTGGCGGGCTAGATGAGGACCCGGTGGGCGATTGCGAGATAGTAGGAGGGACGGTAGCGGGGAAAGATGGGTCGGCCGGGGAGGTAGTTAAGGAAACAGGAGATGGTAAACCTTGGTCGGCAGTGGTGATACCCTGAGGCAGCTTGGTGGACTGAGGATGGCTGCCGTGGTGGGTAGAGTCTGCCGGGTGTCGGCCATCGTCGAGAGCGGCCGTCTCGGGGCCGGATCCCGAGGATCTTTTGTAGGAGTTGTCGTCGAGGTCATGGGGGTCGGTGTGGAAGGGGACAGGGCGGCCTCCCGGGCCTTGCCCCATTTCGGCCAGGCCAGCATCGTCATTGTGGGCGTGTCGCCGACGTCTGGCGCGGACGACGAAAGGGAAGACGCAAAAGGAGATGAGGAGGGCGCCAACGATCGAACCGACCACAGCCCCGGCGAGCGCACCGTGGGACAGTGGAGTAGACCTCGGAGCAAGCATCGAGCCGGTGGGTGGCCTCATGCTCAGAAGCCGCTGCAGCACACTGCAGCAGCGCGTGCATGAAATCCGGACAAGCTCGCGGAACAGCCGATGCAAGATGAGGAAATCAAGTTTCCTTGAGGTTTGGGGAAAACGCGAGAGTTTGCAATTGCGATTCGGGTTTGGGGATTGCTGGGGGCGGCGACCAGGGGCGTGCCCTCAGCCACGCAGCAGACCAAGGTGGGATGAACCAGGGCGTGCTCTGTGGTGTACTAACTATGCCCGTACTGTGCGTCGTCGGTGTGGGCGTGGTGGGTGCGGGTGAGGCTGTGTTGTGCTGCCACGCGAATGCTGGGAACTCCACAGCTGGAGCTGGCCGTTGCACAACGCAGCGCTGGCCGAGCGATTGATCCTCTGTGCTGCGCTTCCAGTTCAACGGTGGAGAGACCCCTGAAAACGGTCCAAGTTCGAAGAGATGCAGGCTGCTCAACCTGGGACTTGACGTCAGTCACTGCTGCCTCTCCTTATGCTAGGCAATCCGGTGAGAAGCGTAGGTGATTGATAGGTCCATGGCGATGGGTGACGGGCGTGTCGCGTGGTGAGATGAAAGTTGGGTTGACAAAAGGTTGAGACGGGAAGCGAGAGAGAGACTGGGACAGAGGATGGATACGAATATGATGAATGAAGCCTGGAGGCCTGCGAAGCGGGTTTTACTCGGCTCACTTTCAGGGCCCGGGCTCCATGCAGCAGGGTAGGTGCTTGCCGTAAGCAGCGCCCGTAGGTATCCCAGCATGGCATCATGGAACATTCATCGCACTCACGGGAATGAGAATATCTACTAAACCAACACGGCTCGCAAGGGTCTTGAGAAGAATTCAAGGAGACAAAATGAGTGACAAAACGCACCTTCCATTGTGTGGATACATAGTAACCTGGAAGTAACTAACTTTTCTGGGACAAGAAGCATCGACAGACTCTCGGTGTGGCTGTGAACCCGCGAGCGACCGGGATGGAAGGAGCAAGCCGACGGAGGGCCCGGACGGGAGGGTCCAGACTGGTTGCCCCTCAGCCTCTCGATCTCTCTCTCGTCCCTTCCCCGCTGCTGGGTCTTCCCGCTTGAACCGGGTTTGGGGAGCTCGGCCCCACATCCATGACGGCTTTTAACTTCAACCAATTTATCATCAAGCACCAAGTGTGGCTGACAACAAGGTCGCGGCAGCCTCAATATCAGAACCTTAGTTCGACACCACCCCACGATTCCGCAGCGGCTTCGGAAGATGGAGCCTGTTGATGACGGCTCAACGCCTTTTTCCAGTTCCCAACTACTTAGGTACTCGGCTTGTTACCAAACCGGCCGAGACGCCAAACCATCTGATTATTGTGCAACGTCGTTGTTCACACCGCCGCCTAGCTCTGTTTCAAGCACAGTGTAACTGACCTGCTTTTCCATACATGAATCTCATTCCGATGTCTCTTAAAATTCACACGCTCATGCTGGTCCCGTCTAAACGCTGCTGGAGAAGCGCGAAGGTCCCAAGAGCGGTTGTGGTCGCGGCCAAATGGCCAAATGGCCAAAGACCCAAAAGAATCGCCGCTCGGCGAACATAGTCCAATGAGACAGTTCTTCGAAGGTGTTCGTCCTTAACCGCGACCCCAATCGCGCGCCTAGAGCTTATATTCTTGAGATCGCAACTTATCCGCCCGACAAGTTTCATCTATTTCGAGTTTCTATCGGCCCTGCCCGACTCCTCCCGGCCCAAATGGGAAGTTGCCCGGGGAGATATAATGTATCCATGGATGCTCACAAGACTTACTCGATTGTTGTGCCGCCTGGCCACCTTCTAATACTGCAACAAGCGCCACTTGAACCAAGACTGAGTCACGGGAACTTCACCATGTTTGAGAACGAGGCATCGAGGACCAGTTGAAGCCGCCACGGCACTCTGGGACGGAAGGTTCTAATACGGCAACTAATACCCAACGGAAGCTCTTGTCTTCAGCGTCCTGCTGGCAACGTTCAAACACGTACCGTGGGAGTCATCGATATTCCGGGCTGGCCCTTGTTCGCCTCAGACACAAGTTGTGTTTGTTCAACACATACGTGCGCCCTGGGAGAGCACAGCCAGACCGGCATGGCTAAGGCGCACCCCCCCTCCACTCTCATGTTGGTGATGGCAACAATGGTTTCGCCCCAGGACCGGGAACTGCCCAAGGACAGTGAAGGTATCTTGCTTTGGTTGGCCAACTGGGCTTCCCTCGATTTGCCTGAGCCGGAAGCAAGGCGGAGAGGGGTTGTCAAGCGGTTAACCAGCGTTTGGCTTCTTCTCAGCTTGACTCTTCGTTATCCAGTGGTTTCCTTCGCCCCGTTCTGGGCCAGCCGTGTCTAGCGACCAGGCCCGGCCACGCCCCAGGGCTGGATGGTACGAAACGCAAGGGGTGTGCGTGTGGGAAAGTAGGCAACAAGTGAGCCGGGTGCCAGGATCTGGGCTCGGCCGAGATTTCCAGGTGGAGGAGGTGTGTCATTTCTGCCCAGTGATTCATGCCCTCGTTGGCAAATCTGTTCCAATGGTCAGGCAAGGCATTCCCAATGTTGAGGCGAACTGGTGATGACACTGAGGGTGTCAAGGATGGCGAGACGAAACCTCGTTGCCGCCTAGATGATCTTCAAGAAAGCCTTGAGTGATCCCAGCGAGTGATACCTACGCTCTTGTTTGCTAGACTGGCCCTTGAAAGGTTGAACACTGGGGGCCATTGAGGTTCGGTCATCGTGGTGGGCGCTAAAGGCGGACAAGTGCAGCCCGGTATATCAGGAACCGAACCCGGGCAGAAACCCTCCGGCCTGGGTGCCTGGATGCTTGACTGGTAAAAAGGACTCTTAAGAGTTGCACGCAGAGACATCGAGCCAAGGTTCTTGGTGATGTGTAATCAGAGACCACTTGTGTATATGCGAGATTAGTCCAAATGGATGGTAACCAACATGTTGCAAAAATCCTGTGCATGCTTTGTTTGGCGGGGTTGCTGATGTGCACAGAGAGTAAGTAACAGTAAGTAACCACATTACACTCGAAACGCAAAAAGCTTACAGCCAAGCCCTATCCCCATCCAGAGGGATAGACGTTGGCAGTTACGAAAAACCGGTGTTTTTCTTCGCTGGTCCCGGGAATCGAACCCGGGACCATTTCGATTTACGACGGAATTGGCGGGACCAACGCCCCTCCCAATACCGCTGAGCCAAACCGGTGTTTGGATTTTAATTGGGAGGAGATGGTGACAGAAGCTGCGAAAGGGGGACTTATATCCTCGGGACGGAGGGAAGGTGCGGTGGGTTTTGTGGGTTCTCGATACAGGTACAAAGTATCAACGACATCAACTTGCCATGATGAAGAGCACCCTGTTTGAAACACTAATCAGTCCAGGTATAAAGATATAAAGAGGACATATTTTGCAGTTCATTACCTACATCGCTACAATAAGTCAACTCAACCAGCAAGCCAGCGGCACTGCTTAATTTTGAGAGCGTCATCCTTCTTCTCTGTGGTCCAAGATGACCAATGAATAAGTCGACACATAAACAATCGCCTAGACTCAATGGCGTCTTTTGTACCACACGAACCTGCGGAGACAGAACCAATTGAGCTGTCAGAAAGTGAATGACGCATTTAAGCCCACTAATTGGTTGATGTCTGATTCCCGCTTAGATCGCACTGATCGTATATGGACAGTACATACAAGTGGGAGGAGGGGAGCTCGGGAGCTCGGAAGCTGTGGAAAGCCTCCATTGAGCACGGTCAAGGGGGGGTAAAGCGACCCACCAATCATTCGTCTTGTCAAGCGATGATGACGATTTCGTTGCAGAATCGAGGGGCCGCGCGTCCCCAGCGGTTGTCCATATTTGAGAACAAATTCCCCTTGGTTTAGCTCTATTGTTGGGTTAGATGTGTTGTCAGTGCGAGGCTTTCCCAACACCTCGTTACTGTATCATTTTATATTCCCGTGCCGATTGGTCTGTCTTATGTGACGGCCCTTCGCATTAACGACCACTTATACGTACTAGTTATTGGGTAGTCCCACATTGTCTAAGCCAATTTTGGCTGTAAACACACAATGAGACGGTCTATTTTGCTCTTCGCGGCCACTGCTGCTGCCCTCGTCACCCCGAACGAGCCCGGTAAGCAGCAAGTCGCTCTATCCGAGAACCACCAACACGAAAAGGCCACCAACGACCACCATAATGTGATCCAGGCCTGGTGGGATGCTCTTCCGGACGGTGGCAAACTGCTCTCCCCTCTCGAAGACCGTATCAGCAAGAGCGAGGAGCATGGCAACACCTTTGACCGCTTCATGTCCCGGGTGAACTCTCTTGTGGACGAGGCGGATTTCTTCCCTCCGCGGCCACCTCATCATCCTCACCCACCGGGCGGGGGACACGGCCATCACGGCCATCACGGCGACCCGGAGAAAACACTCTACGAGCTGATCAAGGAGAGCAAGCACACGACCAAGTTCGCCAAGCTGATCGAGGAACACGACGAGATCAAGCAGCTGCTCCAAGACACCGAGCATAACTACACCGTGTTTGTCCCGACGGACCGTGCCTTTAAGCATCTGCCGCATCACGGCAAGCACGGAAAACACGGTGATGACGGCGATGACGATGACAAGCACCACCACCACAAACCCAGCAAAGAATTCATCACCGCCCTCCTCAAGTACCACATCGTCCCGGGTCTCTTCTCCTCCCACCGCATCCACGCCACCGGCACCATCCCCACCACACTTCACATCACCTCCCTCGAACCCTCTTCACTCTCTCCCTCATCTTCCCAACGCATCCGCGCCTTCACCACCCCCCTAATCCACTTCACCCGCCTCAACTTCTTCACCCGCCTGGGCCCCACCGACTTCCTCGCCTCCAACGGCCTCCTCCACGCCATCGACACCCTTTTAATCCCCCCGCCCTCCCAAACCGACATCATCCGCCTCCTCCCAAGCCAATTCAGCACGCTTGGTCTAGCGCTCGAGTCGACGGGCCTGGGTGAGGAGTTAGCGAGCCTGCCGCGATCGGGGGGAGGGACTTTCTTTGCGCCGACCAATGCGGCGTGGAATAAGTTGGGGCCGAGGGCGAATGCGTTTTTGTTTTCGGAGCGGGGGAGGGGGTATTTGAAGGCGTTGGTGAAGTATCATGTTGTGGTTAATGAGACGTTGTATTCGGATGCGTTTTATCGCGGGGATGGGGGGAAGCATGGTGAGGGTGAGGATGAGAATGAAGGCGGCAGTGATAAGGTTAGTCTCGGGGGTGGCCGTCGTGGTGGTCGTCATCATGGTGGTGGCCAGGATAGGTACCGCCATGTGGACCTCCCGAGTCTGTTGGACGGCAAGCCGATTAGTGTTGATGTCAAGCGGTGGAAGGGGTTTGTGTCGATTGTGGCGAACGGGTTTTCCAAGGTGCAGGTGCGGGATGCGGTCGCAGATGATGGTGTCTTGCAGGTGGTTGGCAATGTGCTGATTCCGCCGCATGGTCATGATCATGGTGGCCATGAAGGTAGTGAAGATGCAGAGGTGAGCGTGGAGGAGTTGAAGAGCCGGTTGGGCCCGTACTTGGAAGAGGAGGATGAGGAGAAGACGGACGGTCGCCAGGAGGAGCTTGGAGATTTGTAAGATTGGAGACTGGCTTTGGAAGTGGTGCAGATGGATATTCACTCTACTCTTCACTTAGTCATGTCTTTTTTACATTGTCAACCTTAGGACGCGGAGCTCGTTAGGGGATGGTAGTATAGGTGCCAAGTTCCCGTACACATTGGCATGGGTGTCTTGCACTCTTCAGGACTTTATGTCTTTCCTTCTAGCTAGGGGCCAAATCCCACAGGTGTAGTATATCAATACACAGCAAAAGCTCCAGCCAGCTTTCTCCTTTCCCACTCGTAACCCGTCTCTCCGCTTCATCCTGTATATCCGTCTTCTTGTCACCAAACCACATCCCCAATCCTCCCCAGCCCATCCACATCCACCACCCCCCACCTCTGCTCTCTACTCCTCCTCCTTCTACCCTCCCATCCCCAATCCCCATCTTCGCCACCACCACCTGCCTGACCCTGACCCTTTCCCCCTTCATACACCCCCACCTCATCCAGCAATACCTCAACCACCCACACGTACAACACGCCCCCGGGCCTTATCCCTAGATTGAATACATCTGTACCCGCTGCTGCTGCTGCAGCTGCAACGATAGCCTCCCTGTCCTTCCTTGTACGGGGCACGCGTGTGCAGAGTAGGTGCACGTCTAGAAGCTGGGTGAAAATTAGGCCGAAGGAGGGTTTGTTGCGGGATACTGCTGCTGGTGGTGGTGCTGGTGCTTCTGTTATTGTTACTGGTGTTGGTCCTGTTATTGGCCCTACTGTTGTTGTTGACGTCGTCGCTGCTGCTGACGAATCATCATTATCATCTATAAAACCACGACGGTGGGAGGGTAGAGGGTTGAAGATGGAACGGAGTGTTGGATCGGGATGTTTTGTTGGTCTCTCACGGCCGTCTGTTCGCGGGATGGGACCGGGTTCGTCAAGGTTGTTGTTATTGTTGTTGTTATGAGCCGCAGAAGGGAATGAGGAAGATGTGGTGGTATTTAGAAGCATGATGAGGGGCCCGCCGGGAGCCGGGGAGTGTGAAAGAGTTCGCAAGTGGGAGCCCAGGAGGACGGCCGTGTTGTGAGCGGTGTCTTTGTCGCGGCCGGTGAAGAGCGTGCTGAGGAGGCTTGAGGTGTGGGTGATGAGGACCAGGTCGGGGAGGGTAGATTGGGGTGCTGGCTGAGGCTGTGGCTGTTGTTGTGGTAATAGTGTGTTCGTAGTCGACCCTACGTTTTGAACCCCAGAGCCTTCACCCCCCTTCCTCCCCGTCTCCGTCGTCGAGGGACCACCCTGGGCCGCACCATCATGAACCACAGTAACAGCCTGTCCCAGCTCATCAACAACCTCCGAAAGCCCCTCGACATCAAACACCCGAGAAATAGATATCCTCACAAAACACGCCTGGACTTTCCCCTTCAATCCCTCCACTCCGCCATCCAGCCCCGATAGCTGACCAACCAGCGCCTGTTTCAGCCTCGGCACCAGTTCCGTCATGGACAACATCGTGACAACCCTGACGTTCGCCGTCGGCTCCGTAGCCACCAGTCGCGCCAAAAACTGAAAACCAACCAGCATACTCATTTCCTCCTCCTCCGCGCTCACCCCCACTACCGACCCGCGTTCGAGCCCGCCTAGGAGAACATACTCATCCAACTCGGGACATCCGGTCATCACATTTCCCTTATCTGCAAGCGCTTCCTTCCGGGCAATCTCGTGGTCGAGAAGCAGTGATGCGGGGAGTGGCTCCATCCAGGCGGGCAAATCAGTGTGCATTTTCCGATAACTCCATCCCTGGAATTCCGTTAGAAAGCAATACGTTGGGTCTTGCGGCCGATTTGTTGTTGGGTTTGCTGTCGTTGAAGTCCGAATGTGATTGATCAAAAGTTGGGACGAATGACCGGCTTGATGCAAGACGGGTCGTTCCTGCTAACTCTTGAGACGGCCACACGGCCAAAGCGGGCTCGCATAATTTCCATCACAACTCCGGATCATGCTGAGCCTCTCAAGCACCACACATTTTGATATCTCACGTTTTCTTGTCCATTCTTAGGGATTTAGACATGACTGAGCCTTAAACAGGGCCACCAAATGTTTCTTCTTCTTCTATTCATTGATGAAATTAGTGCCATTTTTTACGGGAATGAATATGAAACTAAAAGACGCTTGGAATAATCACCAAATGGCCAAACCAACACTCGAAGAAAACATACAATAACCCACATCGTAGCTTGCACTATATTTAGGTCTTTCGTCCGAGCGGAGTAGTCCCCATCACCTCGTCGTCGGAATCTCGAGTCTTCTGCGCAACCGTCTCCGGATGGCTCCAAGCAAGTGGTATGTGACAGCAAAGCATACTCCACCGAAACCGACGCCGATGGCAAGTGAATACATCACCTGCAGCGTGTCCATCGCAGCCAGGTGTTCGATACGATAGTTATTTGGCGCGCAACAAGCTTAGAGTGGAGTATCACCGATTTTACTTGTTCAATGAACAAGAAGCAGAACCTTTGCTTGCTGAGGCTCACGAGGTTACGTTGGGCTACGGACGAGCCCGGAGGATACTAGTTGTGCCCGGAGGTTGTTTACACTACTCTCTACAGACACACACCGCCCATTGAGCTCGATGCCCGTTCTGTCTCACTCAACTCATGATTGCGAGCCTGATGAACGTTAACCGCGCCTATAAGGCTCTCCCTTAATGCCACAAAAATACGCCGCGGCAGCTCCTCCTGCCGACGCCAACCAATATCCAACACCAAAAATAGCGTTCACTAAACAACTCACACACTCTCCCTATATACTACACTATGTACACTACTAGCTGTCAGACGATGTGGGGGGAGGGGGGGATCGTGAACGCGCGAGTGCTTCAGAAGCTGGTCGGAAGACATCGCAGTTTACACACCTTGCGGCTCCGCGATGGGGACAATGAGCTGGCAATTCCTCAGTTTGGGCAGAATCGACACCGCAACGAACCATCACCCCCCTCGGTCAACAAAACAAAACAATGCCAGCGCCGAAGCTGGAGCGCCGATGATGGAAAATGGCACGTGAACATGCGGCTCCGTAGGACGATCGGCTCGGCCGATGGTCCCGGCCTTGCCCGTCAGCGTCGTGTCAACGCAAGCAATGGGATGTCAGTTGCCATGACAACGGCCAATAGCAGGTGCCGAGGGTCAGTGCAGCGCCGAAAACACCTCGGCAGCAATGGGGCAGGATGGAGCTGTTTCCTCTCCCCCAGGCGAGTTACAGCACTCGGAGCTTGGAGGCTAAGGGAAGAAGGCCGAGAACCTTGCGCAAGCAGGCTGGAACAGGGCAACGGCCGGGATTTCCTGGAAGGGTCGTCTTGACCGCCGCTTGGTGGTCCCATTTGCTGATGGTGTCGAAACGCGTCGCCCGCCCGTCACAGAGGTCTGGAACCCCCCAGCAATGTGCAAACGCCGAAGATGGTGGTAGGCGGCTGGGCTTACTTCTCTCATCAATTCAACCACCCGCTGCCGCATCTGGGTTTGCTCCGGGCAATCCAATTGCAAGCGCCCACGCAGGATGAAGCAGCCACGCCGACGCCGAGGAAGGAGAAAGAGGCTGGGAGCAGCGTCGACGGGAAAAAAAAGGCCAATTGATGGGGACAAGCTGCTGGTGATCGGCCAATGCGCGTTCCCTCGCCCGCAGATTCTGGTGTTGCAACAGGGGTTTGACCGGCCACCCCCAGCCACCTATCAGACGATGTGTGTGGCATTCTGCATGCTTCAACGATGCAATGAGATCGGAGCTCGAGCTCTCAGTGGCCTCGCCAGCCTTGGATTGTCGCCAGCCTCCGCATATTTGCGTTACGAAGATTGCCAGGAGCTGGGCAGTCGTCAATCGATTTACTATGTAGGGGGATGCTCATGCGTGATGGCGACTCCAAAGTCGGTCTGCTACAAATCGGCCGGGAGTTGTGCAATCCGATTCTCAAAAGGACCGCGGCAGCGCGTGCTAGGGCGATCTCGCCTCACTCCCGCAATCAAGGAGGTTGGACAGCCGAACTGACCACCGGCAACCCCCTGTCGGAATGGGGGTTGGGGTCCAGGCGCCATGCTGGGATGGACGAGGTTTTCAGCTCGCAACAGGACAGCTGCAAGCTCGGCAAAGTGGCGGGACGCGACGAGACGGGCTGGGGGAGGTTGGGGAACAGTTCCCCAAAAACCCCCGCGGCAAGTTCAGGGAAAACGACAAGGAAAGAGCCAAAGGGCGGTTGGGTGGTGGGTCTCTGAGGGAGTCGCTAAACCCTTTTCGGGCGGAATAAACAGAAAAAAAGGACCCACTTCATGTAAACACGATGCTCTGGGAGAGCTCCTGCCGCAGAGGGAGGCCGGGAACTTGGCTTGCAACTGCCAATTGACCGCGGCCGGAGCGAGCACACAGCGTTTCAAATGATCCCATTGGGCTTTCGTCACATTGGCTGTTCCCCCCGCCAACCAGCCTCACAAAGCATCGGATCGGGCAACCCCCCAGCGGGAATGCGTATTTGAAGCCGCCTCGCTCGAGCAGCCTGGCCTCGATCTTTTTCTCCTCCTTTCAACACCTTGCACCTCCTGTCCACTCACAGACATCCACAAGTCTCAACCCCAACCTTTCTTTCCCTTGTAGGAATTCGATTGAAAAAGAAGACGGGTCCATCCACAGACCGCCTTCTCTCATTTTCACTCGACTTCTTTCCAGGAAAAGAAGCAAGAGTCATTCTTCTTATCCACCTTTCGATATCGGAAGGTTGAGGAGAAGACTGCCTCTCTGCGCATCAAGCCGCCAACCTGGACTTTGAAGCCCGTGTCCCGGTCCCTTTCAGCGTCTTCCCGTCATCGTACAGGGAGTCCGAGACCGCCACCCAAACCCACATCCACGAAGAGGTTGAGATCAAGCTCCCCCAGCTCGCCGGACGGGAAGGTCAACACTCTTCACCCCCAGCCCAAGCACATCTTCCTCCCGCCGAAGAGGGTCGCTTCCGCGAAGAAGAGGTCCGCATCACTCGTGAAGAGGAAACACACCGCCGTCCCGGCATCCGCGAAGAGTTTGTTGTCCGCGAAGAATACCGTCGGTGAGTTCAGCCCGCTTTCTTGTCTTGGCCCCGTTGGCTTTGTTTTTGTTTTGTTTTGATCGAGACCGATCACAAGCGGGTCTCTTTTTCCTTCACACTGGTTTCTCCGCCCAGTTCGTGTTTCTCCATTGGGGAGGGTCCATCACACACCCAACCCCCCTGCTTAGGGTCACGCCAAGGCGGGCTGAAAGCTAGGGTTCCCAAGGTTGACCGAGCGACGCGAAAATCGTGGTGGAGAAGGGAAGACCCCGTCCAGCCGGTCTCAAAACAAACCTGTTTCCCCTTTCCTCGCGTCCCTTTCTCTTATTTATAAACAACAACCAAGACTGACCAATCCCTCTTCTTCCATCCAGCCCTCAGTCAACCTACACCGAGTCTCGTTACGAGTCCGATAACCGTCGTCGCCCTCAAGAGTCTCACTCCGTCATCGACGTTGCCGAGAGCGAGTACCGCTCCCGTGTCCAGCCCAACTACTACAAGGAAGCCAGCACTGTCGGCAGCACCGTCGACAGCTCCTACTCCGGCCACCACCACAAGGCCAGTACCATCGTCGACGACTACACCGTTGACACCCCTTCTCCTCCTCGCTTGACCTACCACAAGCACGTCGACGTCGTCGAAGAGACCGTTGATACCCCACGTCACACCCCGAAACCCAAGAAATCTTCCAAGATGGGCTACTACGACAGCGAAGGTAAGCTGCTAACCCGACCCCCATAGCGTCGGCTCGGGAAGCCCCGAGCCACCGTCACACAAGTGTGCTCACGCCACAGTTCAGGCCACTACCACTCCATTCGCCATGGACTCCACAAGTTAGCTGACCGCATTACTCACCACCGTGAAGACGTTGACGTCTATGAGGCTCGTGAGTCCCGTGGATCCCGCGTTGGTTCGTCCGAGGGCCCCGCGCAAAGCGCCAACACGGTCACCATCCCGAGCCACCATGTCCGCCTTGGTGATATCCTGATCCTCCAGGGCCGTCCCTGCCAGATCATCCGCATCTCGACCTCGGCTGCCACTGGCCAGCACCGTTACCTTGGTGTGGACCTCTTCACCAAGCAGCTCCACGAGGAGTCGTCGTTTGTCTCCAACCCGGCGCCCAGCGTTGTGGTCCAGACCATGCTCGGCCCCGTGTTCAAGCAGTACCGTGTTCTCGACCTGCATGATGGCACCATCACCGCCATGACCGAGACTGGCGATGTCAAGCAGAACCTGCCCGTCATTGACCAGAGCAACCTCTGGGAGAAGCTCAACAAGGCCTTCCAGTCTGGCCGCGGCAGCGTCCGCGTCCAGGTTGTCAGCGACAACGGCCGCGAGCTGGTTGTTGACATGAAGGTCGTCCACGGCTCGCGCCTCTAAGCGCGTGTCGCCGACCCTCAGTCGCTGCGCCTTTCCATGTATTAGAAACGGTTTTTTGGTACATTTCATTTTGGCAATGGCGTGCTCGTCATGTTTGGATGGGATATTGTTGGAAACCGGGGTCAGCGAGTAGCTAGCGCCCGGCGTTGGATATATGGTTGTCATGTCGGTAGTTTCACGTGTATATGATGACTGTAATGGATGGATGTTTGGTTATCGCTATCACTATGTGCCATTATCTCAATTCCTCTAAGTGACCTCATGTGCTTGATTTCTGCCAGCTGTCTGCATTCCTGTTCCCGTTCTTCATACACGTGGGTCCGTTGGGGAACTGCACGCCATCTTCGGTGTCACTCCATTAGATGACCCGACCGCGACCCCTCCTTTATCTCTCCTAAGAGCACCTTCCCTCCCTGGACAACAACATCCCCGCTTGCCTGCACCCCGATCATTAGTTATTATCAGCCCCGAGCTCCCTTGCATCTTCAAGTTGTTCACCCAACTAACTCCCTTTAATCTTGTTCAACACGCCTTCACACCTCCCCTCATACGACTAGAGTCCAGGACAGTATCAAAGATGAGCGCTACTCAGTCTCGACCGTCCGCCGACAGTACCGGTGAACAGGAGCAGGCTACCTCTGAGCGACTCCGCCCTCTCCATCTTGAACAGCAGCAGGACGATTCTGACGAGGACTATGTCTACATCGGTGACCTCAAAACTAAACCGGCCTTCCACGGTACACCCTTACGGGCAATTATGGGAACGCGCCGGCCCGAGGTCGTTCCCGTCGCTGAGACGGCCAAATGGCAGGATGAAGTGCTGAGGAGCCCCAAAAATAGGTGAGAAACGTTTCGCTCCAAGTGAGGGGGGACATAGTTATCACCGCCAGCGTGGTGTACTCCAACACCTTCCCTTACCACACTTAATTACTAACCATAAATCTTCCCTTCCTTAGGCTCGCCATCTCCGCACTTAACAATGCGAACCCCAAGGATGTACTCGCGTCTCCGGCCACCAAGGTCACCGAGCAGCATGTGTTCAACGTTAAGATTCCGTTCGAGGGCGGGCCCATTACCAACCAGCACCAGAGCGGACGCTGCTGGCTGTTTGCGAGCACCAACATCTTCCGGATTGCGCTGATGCAAAAGTACGGGCTTGAGTCGTTTGAGCTGTCGCAGGCGTACCTCTTCTTTTGGGACAAGCTGGAGAAGAGCAACTGGTTTCTGGAGCAGATCATCTCCACGGCCGATATGGATCTGGAGTCGAGGTTATTGCAGACTTTGGTGCAGGAACCGCTCAGCGACGGAGGCCAGGTACGGATAATTACGGTCCCCCTTTTTCGTGCCCCCTAATTTTCAACTCACTTACTTACTGTTCAAGTGGGACATGGTCTACAACCTCGTCACCAAGTACGGTCTCGTCCCCCAGTCTCTCTACCCCGACGCCTTCTCCGCCCGCTCCAGCAGCACCCTCAACCACATCATCTTCACCAAACTCCGCGAAGACGCCCTCATCCTGCGCAACCTCCTCCGCTCCCCTCCCAACTATAACCCCATGGCCGCCCGGACCTTCTTCGACTTCAAAAAAACCCGCATGCTCCAAGAAATCCACACCATCCTCACTCTCGCCCTGGGCCCCCCGCCCGCCGCGGCCACCCCCTTCAACTGGACCTTCACCGACAAAGCCGGCCGCGCGCGCACCGTCCGCACCACCCCGCTCGACTTCGCTGCCGATATCTACTCGCCGCAGTTCCGCATCACTACCTCGGGTACCGTGGCCGAGATGATTTCCCTCGTGCACGACCCGCGACACGCGCCACTGACGCTGCTGCGGGTGGATAGGCTGGGGAATGTGGTGGGTGGCCGCGGGGTGACGTATGTGAATGTTGAGGAGATGGGGACGATTAAGGAGGCGTGTGTGAAGATGTTGAGGAGGGGGTTGCCGGTGTTTTTTGGGTGTGATGTGGGACAGTTTAGTGATAGGGTGGCCGGGGTGATGGATTTGGATGTGGTGGATTATCAGGTTGGGTTTAATGTCTCGCTGAGGGGGATGGATAAGGCTGGGCGGTTGCGGACGGGGGAGTCGCTTATGACGCATGCGATGGTGTTGACGGGGGTGCATGTGGTGGATGGTGATGATGATAATGGGGCAGGGGGCAAGAGGGAGAAAACGGTGCGGTGGAGGGTGCAGAACTCGTGGGGTGAGGGTGCTGGTGAGAAAGGGTGGTTTGTTATGAGCGATGCGTGGATGGATGAGTTTGTCTATCAGGCGGTTGTTGATCCGTCTGTGGTTAGCGAGGCGATCAGGAAGGTGTTGACCCAGGAGCCGGTGCTGCTACCGCGGTGGGATCCGATGGGAAGTTTGGCTTGAGTTGGGGGACATGCATACCTAGGGTAAGTCTCGTATTGTATGTCAGGTAGGTGGGCTTTGGCTTTTTTTATTTGTGTTTCCATGTTTGGTCATGCTACATGTAATTTGATATATTTTCCCGAGTACTTAACGACCTTCCAAAATGAACTTTATGTGTCGAGTTTTACATTTGTTTGTACTTGCTATGTTGTATCCTTCGCAAAATAAAAGGTGAGCGAAATTAATATATCAACTCTTCGTATAGTGTTAACTAGTTCGTAAAGAAAGCGGGGAAAGACATTGATGATTATTACTACTTCAACGTAACGCCTTCAGACATGTATAAAATAGAATATCAACCTGAGTCTCATGTAGACAGTATCAAAACTCGGGTCTTGTCGGACACAAAACAACCCGAGCGTATCGGGAAAATCAGGGTCCAGGAAAAGGGAAATGGTGTTTAATACTCGCCCATTCCAAAGTGTTGTTTGTGGAGTCCCCGATGAGACCTTACCCGCTTTCCGCTGCGATGTCCGTCTCTAGACTACTAGTGTTGATGGAAAATGCGACCTGGAGCGGCAAGTGGAATAGTGTAAAAGGTACCATCGCGCCAACCGGTGTGGATGTCGGGTAGGGTTCTGGCCCCTCATCCGGCTTGGATATTTATCGTTGACATACACAGTAGCATCAATGAAAGAACCTTGACTTCAGAATCCGCCCAGAGTAACTTTCTCATATGCGGTGATTGACTAGGTCTTTCCAGTCCCGCCCTCGGTCAAGCCATATCTTGTCTACTCTAACAAGCACAAGGTCTTGATTGGGCGAACTAGGACATTAATAGGCGGCTGAGTGGGGTGGTTATCAAGATCATGATAGAGCAGTTTGTGTGGCGTTTCACGTGTTGTCGACACGGGAGCGAGAAGGGAGCATTCGACCCAAACCAATCGCCTTCGACACGGCTCTTGCCTTTGGTCACCTCTAAACTGAGACATGCTTTTGAGCGACTGGCCCGCTTCGTACTCTTGTGGGAGGAGACGCTGGGTTCAAAAAGTCCGTCCAAACGAGTGGTTTGGTTCCCACGTGTGAAGAATGTGCGAACTCTGTGACCCCAACGCAAACGACGCCCAATCGGACGGGAGAGCTCACCACCATTTGGGATGCGACGGGGACAGCTGAAAGAGAAGGAAGGCAGACCAACCAAGGCAGTCAGCGGCGGGCGGCAAGACTTCCATGCTGCTGCGGATGTGGGTTGGGTATTTGGCCGTCGCTGCCCAATCCTGAGAAACGCCGGACAACTGCGGCCTGTGGCACTCCTTGGCCGACCGAGGGGTTGTGTCCATCTCTTTCTGTTGAAAGGGGGGCCCGATCAGGAAAGCTTCTAAGCCAGAATGTTATTGAGGGTGCTCGACGCCAAGAAACGGGTCATTAGGCCATCTCTTCCGCCAGCCGGTCGTCCTGAGTATTGCCGGGGTCGCGTGGTGCCCGGTTGTTGCCAGGATTGCATCAGGGCAAGGGAGAAATCCGAAAGCCGAGCAAGTCCGTAGACATGAGGGGATGACTGTCTGTTTTCGCAAGTCGAGTCGGCGTCTTTGCCGCTGGTGAGTAGGAGAGCCGGACCGGTCCAGGTTTCCAACATATCTTGAGACAAATGACGGCTCTCGACTTCTCACCAAGAACGATTTGGGTTAGATCAAGGTGAAGTCAATGCGCAAGAGAAGCAGTTGAGAGTCCACGGGGTGGTGGACCGACTCTGCCGATGTCACCGATCCGGGTTCCATCCAACCCATTCCATGGACCCCTGTCAGACCCCGAATGCACACCCTTCCTTCGCCCCTCCGCCCGGCTTATATGTGCAAAACGGACGATCGCCCGGCAAGGGAAAGCGACAGAGAAATAGATTAATAAAAGGGCGCTAGAATTGATAGACTAGGCGCGAAAAAATGGCGTGGCCAAACCCCACAAGAAATAAACCACATGAGAACGGGAAAAAGAGGCGGCGAGTGCCTCAAGCGTTCAACTAGAAACTTCGGACAGTTTGCTGATAAACCAACACCAAAATACATAGTAAGCTCATCCCTACCGAGAAGCGCTGAGCCAGGGCTCCCTTGTCCAACAGCTCGTGGCTCGAGCTCACTTGGACGTCATTCCTTCCAGTACCTTGGCGGCAGGTTTGTGTCGGCGGTTCGGTGGTTTACAGGTCGGGGCGGCCATTTTTTGCGGGCAGGGTATCCTGTCGCCAACGGCAGCTCGCATGCTTTTGTGACGCTCAGGGTGACGAGTGAAAAGAGAGAAACAATATAAGCGCCAACAAGACACTCCAGGCGCGCTTCGAATGAGCCAACAGTCCATGAAAGGGCCATCATGGACGAGTAAGCAAGCGGAAGCCATGCTCACATAGCCTTGTGGTGGGGGAAACTCGCTGCGCAAAACCCTGACAGGCAAGTCGCCGTGATGGTGGGGTTGTCCGTCAGCCTGGGCGTGCCCACCCACTCTCCCTCATCTGGTGAATTCTTGGAAAGCCAGGGAAAGTCCTCCCGTGGCCCTTGGGCCATCCGAAAAGACAACGTCAGGCAGACACATCCCCGCATTTATCTCTCTGTTCCCTGGTGGGAAAGAACAACGGACGAACTCCTCTCTTCTCTCTCCCGCGGCCTTCCTTCCCAACTGGTTCGACTTTTCGCCCGATAAGATAGATCTCAATATTTTTTACCCCTCCAATAATTATCCACCCCGCAACAAGGCCATTGATCATTTGTATTTCTGCCCTCGCCATTGTTCTCGAAATTCGCCTGGTCCAATCGCTTCAAATCCGGCCCGCCGTGGTAGGCCCCTTGAGCCCTTGGTTTCCAACATCGCAGGCCCCAGCAGATTGGGGTGTGTGTGTGTGCGTTGCATGCGGCAAAGCGAAGCTTCCACCCGGCTTGCCCCGCCATCCGTCATCGTTTAACCCCACCTGGCCAGTCGCACGCACGCTCTCTGCGGTCTAAAAAAACGAACACCCCCCCTCCCTCGTCTCATCCCACCCTCCCTCTGCTGCGCCTCCGACAGGCAAGACGACTTCACACGCATCCCACCTAACCATACCCTTTTCCTTCTCCAAAAAAAACCTCTTCACGTGGGGCAGTCACCGCTCTTTTCTTCCACCAAGCAACCTTCCGTCATTGACCGCACGTAGTAGCGGCAGCAGCAGCGTCGAGTCAAAGTTGCTAGGCCCCCCATCGCATCGTCGTCTCGAGCGCCTCCAGCTCGGAATCACGCACCTGCAACACACTCGCCTGCGCGGTTTCCTCCCTCTCGGGTCGGTGCGATCCCGCCGCGGAGATGGCCGACCCTACCCGCTATCACTACATGGACTCGGCGACGGGGAGGCGCTCGCCTCCCCTGTACAACCCCGCCCGCTCTTCCATGCCCGTCACCGGGGGAGGATATGGCTCACTCTACAGCGGGGACCTCCACGTCATGTCGGCCTCTCACCACGAAGGGGTACCTCCCTCGTCCGACGTCTACCGCACCAGCGCCGTCCCCGTCACTTCCAACACCTACGCTGTGAGAAAAGAACCACTACCAAGGAGCACCAGTCTAAACGACGGCCACCGAGTTCACCGACCCCACGATCAGGGCGCCAAGCGGCCCGTCATTGTGACCACCAAACACCATCAAACTACTTCGAGGTCGGGGAGCCCATCGCGGGACACATATCGATCGAGTGACGAAGGGGGGCCATACTACACTGAGCCGGCCTCGTCCATCCCCCGGAGCCGGGCGGTGGCGAGCCATACTCCCGCCAGTGCCACCATGGATGAAGAAGAATACCGCCGTCTGAAGGATAGGACGCATCTTGACAGGTTGGGAACCCAGGCTAGTCGTGGAACGGATGCCCACCGCCCGCGACCGGCATCGTTGTACGCGGGGCCGAGCCACCGCTCCACCAACTCTCACGATTTCGATGACCAGGGGTACGAGTATTCGAAACCGAGCGACTTGGCAAGATATGATCTCGACCACGATCAGCGAAACAAAACCACCCGCCGTGAGACCCTTGACCGGTACTATCGCCCAACCGTGAGCATCAGCGAGGACCTGACTCGGCCCTTTGACCCATCCGAGAAACGAGGACGCGGCCCGCCGCCCGCTACGAGGGGCCTCGAGAAGATAGGTTGGGGCCAGACCGCTGGCGGCATCTACGACGGTGCTGGTTCCCATATGCCTCTCCTACCAACCGCGCCCCCTGCGCCCGACGTCCGCCGCCCTAAGCTTCTCGAAGCCCCAGGCAGTCCCAGAGAGGAGCACCGCACTGGACCGCGCCCACTGCCCATGATTCAAGATGTACCCAGCCGACCGAGTCACCACGAAGACCAATACTACTACGACGACCCTCGCGATCAAAACTACTTTCAGGATGATCGTGTCTCTACCCGAGGTTTTGGTATCCTTGTTGACGCCAACGACGCAGAGGAACATCGCCGTCCTGCTGGAAAGGTGTATCACGATGACCGTCGCCCCGTGGATAAGCTATACTACGATGAACGTCGCGAGCGCCGAGAGCCCCGCAAACGTTACGAGGACCGCGAAGCGAGGCGACATTCAGATGATGACTTAGAAATCGTCAAGCGCAAGCACGACGAACGAGACCACAGAAGGTACCGGGACCGTGACGAGGACGTTGAGGAAGCCCTGCAACGCCGACACGAACGCGACCGCGAGCATGAGAGGAGGGAGAGAAAGCCAGACAACGACGAACCCGCCAGCACGAGGGACAAGATACGTGACAAGGCTGTTGCTGGTGTTGGTGCGGGCCTCGCTGCCGCTGCCGTCGGGCTAAAGTCTGCCATGAAACAAAAGTCTGAGGACCAAGCCCCTTCCAAACACGCAGGGGAAGATCGTGACCGCCCGAGACGTGATGAAGGCGGGACTAGAGGAGAAGCCAGAGGGGAAGCCAGAGGGAAATCAACCCGAGAGGACCTACTCGGTGACGAGGAGTTCGAGATCGTTGAGCACCCAAGAGACGGCGAGAGGTCTCCACGCCCGCAGCCGAGACTCGAGAGTGAGGCACCAGACTCCCGAAAACGCGATGATTCCCCTGCCTCTCCATCCCCTCGCGATCGCTCCCCGTTGAGTGATGATGAAGGGGGGGCTCAACCTCGTCGACGACGACCCCAATTATTTGATCCCAATGACACCGCCGTACTTGCCGATATCAGGGAAAAGATTCAGAGTCTTAAAACCTTGACTAAGGATTACAAGGAGGCAAGTGACAGCGAAGATGCTCCGCCACCAACCAAGCAGGAATCGGCTGAGAATAAGCCGGCTCCCGTCGAGAAACGGGAAGACGACCCCGAAAGCCCCGCGGCAGCGGCCCCGAGCAAGGACGATGAGACACCGCCTGCCCCCCGGCCGCGGGAGGAGAAGCAAGTTCGCGTGGTTGCACCTCCCAAGGAGACCGACAAGAAGCCCATCAAGGGCATTCTCAAACAGCCGCGGGCCCAGTTTCCAGAGGAGCCAAATCCCGTCCGCGAGGGCGTTGCACCGCACAAGGACGATAAGAGCAAGAACGACGTACCACGCGGCGCACGGTGGACCAAGATCAGCCGCAAGCTAGTGAACCCAGACGCGTTGAAGATTGGCAAGGAGCGTTTTGAGGTCCGCGATGACTTTGTCGTTGTTCTGCGTGTACTCAGCAAGCAGGAGATCCAGGCCTACGCAGAAGCGACGGTGACGTTGAGAGGTAAGTTCTCGTAATGAGGCCGGCGGGTGGGGATATATGTGGCTAAGCTAACACGATTTGATATAGAGCGCCGAAAGAAAGAGATGGAGCGTGAGATGCGGGAGGAGGGTGGTGAGTATGACGAAGAGCGTGACCGTAATGGCGACGACGACGACAAGAAGAAACGTCACCGTCAACACCAACGGGAGAGAGACGACGACAGGCACTCGAAGTACAGGGAAAAAGATCGCGAGAGGGAGAAGGATAGACACCGCCGTCCTGACGATGACAACGAGACCTACGAGCGGCGCCACCACCGCTCGCACCGGGCTTGATCTGGCTTAATTCGAATGTGTTTTTGGTTGAAAATGAGCGATCCTATTGTGTACGAGATATGACGTGACGACCCGGTATTTGTCTTACTCCAAGAGTGGTTGGTACGTTTTATTGTCGATTGGGAGCAAGCGCCTAAAAAGGAGACCTGTATTGGAACATGTTCTGATGTTTTAACAACGCCATGTTGTGGTGAGGGATATATTACTTGGGGTATGGGATTTCGGAGTTGAGGTCGCTATGTGACGTCTTGTTTCATTTGGCTTGTGGCCGGTTTGGATATCGACAAGGAATCATCAAATACTTTCACAACTTGATACACGTTACGCGTCTGCTTCGTATGTGACTTGTGACTTGGAGTGTCGTGTCTCTTCTATTCACTTTCTCCATCCCCGGGGGGCTTTTACGGAGCTTCTCTTGTGATGCTGGCGTAGTGATCATGTTGGGGTTCCTTAAAATAATAATAGTAGCCGATACCATCACGCAACTATGGGACTCTAGGTTTAGTTTTGGTGGGACCACGGTTATGTTCCTCGTGAACGCTTTTATGGCAATACTTGCTCTCGTCCCCTGATATCGCAATCCGTGGTGCGGCCCCTATTTATTTTGAGGGATTTAACTTGCTTGAAACAATATATTTTCGGTTATTCATTGTAGAGGTAACAGCATTTGGGATGTAACTACTTCATACTCTCTTGATAAACAAATATTATACTTCTTCCAAAAGACCGACAAGCACCCGGAAAAGAGCGTTGGAGATAGGGAAAATAATCATCACTTTTTTTAATCATCTTAGCATTTTATGACATTTACACTACACTCGGCTGTGATTTAAGCTTTGATATGAAGCTGATGAACTTAAATCGGAGTTGTATTGTCTTACCAAGAGAGATAGTTGTTTCAACCTTCGCCCAACACATCTCGACGGAGAAGGGAATTGATATATTGCCGAGTGCAGCTTAGGTGACATGGTCTTGTTACCTAGGAACTCCTCACAGCCTACACAATACGGCCTCCAGCCCATCGTGCGTAACCACACACCAGCAATTTGCCACAACCCGACTCCGCACTCCAGCGTTAGGAGAACAAGTCTCTTGGAGTCACTGGAATTTACTCGTCGACCCAACAGACGGACGAGATAGACGACCTCACATTGACTGGCTCGACAGAGCTGAGTGACCTCCATATTTACGTAGTACACTTGTAACAGTCCTGCTGACCGAAAACATATTCGGCAGTGATCTAAGCTGCCTTTGTTTGTCTGGTGCATTGTCACGCAGGAACTTCGGGGCGCTTGCTCCCGAGTCCGAGTTGGATTGTTACTGCATACATTCAGAGCCTGATGATGTGCGTCGCTTTGTGTTGTGTGGCGTGTCATCAGAAACGAAGATCCTGCAACATCGAATTATGATCGAAGAACGCGCAATACCAACATCAACATCAAACAATAACAAAAACTCCTTAGACACAGCCCAAAACCGGACATGGCTCTTGTTGATACTTGCCGTCCGTTCGAGCCTTGGGCCCCGGGCCACGGAAGAAGTCTGATCCCGTTTGTTGTTTTTTTCGAAACAGCCCAGCCCCCTCTTACAATCCGTAATAGCGGTCAAAGCCAGAATCAAGTCACTGACAGAACCGACACTAACCAAGTGAAGAGCAACGTAAAAACCTTCGCAGTTGCTTAAAGCGAAATACGACTGATGATGCGTCTCCCCGAGACACACCGAAACGCTCAGACGCTAAAGCAGTCAGTTCAACAAAGGAAAACGATCTTCTTAGCGTGCCACAACGATTTGTCACGGAATTGAACCAACAAGGCGGAAAAAACCAAGTAATCAACTAACAGCATTGAACCACCTTTCGATTTACCTGACACAAGAAAACCAAAAGATCAGCTGATCCTCAAATCGTACCATTCTTTTGTCTGCTCAACTCTCGCTGTTCTTACCTGTTGTGTCAAGCACTAGTGGAGCCGTCACAGTAAGGCCCTGACTAAGCCGCAGTCGACTGAACTTTTTGCTTGAGGCGAACCGGCCGATGTCTTGGGTCCGCGGGAAGACGAGACCCGGGCCGTGCAAGCGAGTCCTTTGCCGAGCAAGGGAAGGGATGAATTGATGGATGGGAATGGGTGGTGCCTACACTACGACTAGTGTACCAGAGTAGGATGGGTGGGGGCGGTTCGTGGAAAAAAGGGGAAGGAAGACTCCCGAGAGGTCGGTTCAACAAGAAAGACGTCACGGTGAGAAAAGGGAAAGAGAATGCAAAGGACCTCCTTCCGTCGCGACGGGAGTCCCTTTCTCGAGTCCCGACAACTCGCCGAAAGGAAGACGGAAAGAGAGAAAGGCAAAGGACTCCTGCAGTTTTGGACTTGGTCTGCCTGCCGGGGAGAACGGAGTCCAGCATTAAACTTGGTGCCGCTGGGGACAAATCGAGATTCAAGCAAGCCAGCGGCGTATTTTGCCGGCCGAAATAGTCGACAGAGGACTGACGTGAAGTCCGTCTCAACATCGTAAACTATGCTTATTTCAGTGAAGATTGACTAAGTTGACAACGATGCTAGCGCGGTTTTGCTGGCTAAGATTCCAGAACTCTCAAACAAGCCGGCCAGGAGGTAAACTTCCGCAGGTCGGTCACAGGAGCGCTCGCATTAACCGCTTTCTGTATTCCTCTCTCTTCTGAAAGCCAAGTAACTCATGTGGTGGAGCATTGTGTGCACTGCAACTGCAGTTGTCCATCACCACCTTGGGTGTGAATGAAGACCGGCAAAGCACAACAATCCAATGCTGCCCTCCAACCCCCCTGACTGCTGCATGATGGAACGCGCCGTTTCTTTTCTCCAACAAATCCCGACCGGACGAACCAGGAGCCAAGCAATGGGCCATCACACCCTCCCATTACCACCCACCCACCTTTCCTCTGGCCGCCCTTGGCCGCCCCATGTTCCCTTCCCGCCGGAATTCCCTGCCTTGACCTGAACCTGCGGCCGACCATTCCGGGGGGCCACGAGCCATGCCCGAACCGTTGGAAGCGCGCACGCGGCAGATTTTGGGGTGGTTACGGGACGGTGAATCAAGAAGTGGGGGGAGCCTGTAAGCAAAAGGGTACGAGCTGTACGGAGGGATTGGGGAGATGAGAGAAAAAGAAGGAGGAAGAGGACCGAACGAAGTCACATTGGAAGTGAAGAAATGGCCGATTATTTCCTATTTCAGAAATATGAACAGGAGAAAGATGCGAAGGACGCTGCTCGCAGGCTAATGGTGACGGAAGTGAGAGCTAAGTTGAGATGAGAAGTGCGGATGCGCAGATGCGTAGGTTTGCGGCACAGATTTCCTGTCAAATAAAATAAACTGGGGAAAAAATTGCTGTAAAAAGGGAGAATTAGTCATTGATTACGGGGAGTCAAAGAGTAGAACAGCAGTCCCACGAATTTTTGACGTCCGCCGGCGGCCTGAAGACCATTGTCGCTGTGGGTTGAGAACTTGGAGACGACACGCTGAAAGAAAGGAATGGGCAGCTGTCAGAGACGGCCGACGCTCCACATGAGAAGAGCAAGGTGGAACGATGTCTTCTCGGAAAGGAGCACGGACGCCGCGACCACCTCTTGATCGCCGGGCGTCTCGCGGTCACGACAGTTCGAGGCAACGAAAGACAACATGCTCGTATGCGTGCTTTCGTTTCCAATGTAACCTTCGGCAGGGGGCGATCAGCAGAAACTGTGGAAACCGAAACAAACTCAGCCGCCATTCTTCCCTTCGAATGAATTCACCGGTTCGCTCAATTGATGAGAGCCACTTTGTTGGCGAAAGGCGGACGACCGCGGCGCTTCTCTGGTTGTTTGAGTTCCGAAAGTCCCAACAGGCCAACATTGAGCACGGGCCACAGTCGGTCCTCGAACTCACACTCTTTTTTTTGGTCTGGACTGTGTCAGCAATGGGGGAATTCAGGACCCGAAAGAGCGCGCCCCCGCGTCTGCGAACAAAGAAGAGCTTGGACTTTCTTTCGGAATCACACCGAAAGGGGGAAACAAAGGCCCGGCAGTGTTTGCTTCAATGGGTTCTTCACTTCGCCTTTTCGAGTCCTGAGTCCAGCGCAATCCTCTTTAGAGTTACTCTGTAGGCGGGTCGACGAATCGCGAGATTCCCGCGGCGGAGCATTCTCCGCTCGGGACGAGACAGACAGACGCGTCTGTTCCGGTTGGGTGTGCATGTTGGCAGGCTGGCGGTCTGCAAAACACTTCTCCTTCGTTTCCGCTCTCGTCCGTAAAGACCCCGTGATCGGCGCCCGATACACAGAGAAAGACACAAGCAAGGCGTGGGACAAGTCACGTAGGGACCACTGTTTTTTCTTTCTTTTGCTCTTTTGGGCTGGCGGACTCGGACTGGGCGAAACGCCAGCAACGATGGGATGTTTTCGGCGCGGACGACCGACGAAACAGTGACCGCTCTTCTCGGGGCCCGATTAGGCGAGCCGGGAGGGCCGCGAGCCTGTGCTTCGGGTGAACCGTGCTTCGCTTTCGGCGAGACCCTCGATTCACTTGTCTTCAGAGTTGGCTGGCAGATGGCAGACCTGCATCAGCCGATCATCCCGAGGGGACTTCTCGGTGAGACCGATGATGGGAACCGGACGAGGTCAGAGCTGAAAGGGGACATCAGAATCTGAGACATAAAAGTTGACGGATTCGGCGATCTTTGTGTCCCACTGG